ATCCCCGGACCCCGACGATTCCCTCCTGGTCCAGCTCCTACCGGCTAGACGAGCGAACAGTAGGGACAACCTCTCGGAAATCTGTCGAATGATCTGAAGACCTCGTGTTTTCAATTTGATTGATTTGTGGGCTTGTTGATTTGGGTAAGTGAAGAGATTTTTGATCGTATGGTTGTCCAGGCCGGAATGTCGAAAACCCCCCGATGTCAAAGTTCAGACGAATGAATGGACTGCATGGATATTGAATGGATATCGCATGGATATGAGAGACACACAATTGGACACTTTTCTTTGGAGAATGAATTGGAAACAAATCGGAGTCTGGCAGAGTTAGGATGATATTGGAACGATGTCCTATATGGCTGAGATCAGGACCCTGATATATCAGGATACTCCCAACAACTCCATTTCAATCCGATTGAATTGTGTACCAGGAGTGGAATCTCGAAAATTGGTCTTGGAAGTTGCCAGTCCTGGAGGGGAAAAGGGAATTTGGGTGTCAGGGGAATTATATTCGAGTGGCAGGCAGTGTGGAATGCACTTCTCCTGGGTTTCCTTGAAATCCGGGGCTGTCAGGCTTAATATTCTCCCTGCACCGCCCTTTCCTTTTTCCTGTTCAGGCCTGTTTTAAGGTCAAGTTAAGGGGGCATGAAAATCTTAACCTGGGGTTCGACATTCCGACGGACAACTATCAAACGCCTGGGCAACACATACCTGCTGTCGTTTCTATGCTTTTTTTGCTATTGATGATCGTCATTGAATAAGCCACTGACGGTGATTGCATATAGGACCGGTTCCATTTTTCTGACTTGTAGACTTGTCTGTTTGGATGATTCAACAAGGTCATTGAACAACCTTTCCTTCCTACTAACCCTGTGATTTTTACATCTGGAGGTTCATCCTGAACACGTTAACTCGTGAAGTGTATGTTCATATCCTTGTTGCACGTTCTCCTTCCCCTGACGATCAACCTCCCCCCTACATAGGGTGTCCCACATTCCACACAGGACTAGGGGTGAAGACGTTAACTCGTGCTTCATCTCTCGGACTGGTATCCTACAGAATCTTAATTCATCGGATCATTCCTGTGCTAGCCTAGATGCCAGACTTGTCGTCGCGGTAAGGGTTGCATTGTACCCTCTGCCCGAAGACCTCTATCTGGGTCAGTATTCTCCGAAGGGAGTTGACCCGCCCTATATCTGGTGGATATCAAATGCCCACCGCTTCCCTGTCTCTCCACCTCATTCATTCTCTACTTTCTTAATTCTAATTTTTAATCACCTTCACGTCGGTGCCATTCGCTAATCTCTAATTCCTTCCAAACAGCTTTCCTTTGAAGACTTCCTCCCGGTATCCCGGCCTGTCTTTTTTCTCAGCATCTGACTATTGTCTCGACGCTGGTCCACTCCTTAATTTTTCCAACCTTCTGTCATTCATTTGAACTCCCACGTCTAATCAGACGACTGTCATTCTCTTAATCTCCGTCGTTGCCTGAAATACTCGCCATTTCAGGTCCATTCTTTCGGTATTCAGCAAAGCTAATAAGTCTCGCCTCGCACTTTTCACTCCGTTCACGGAATATTTCGATTCACCATGGATTACATGCGCCCCCGGTCTAGCTATCAGCCTTGTGATACGTTCTTCGTCGAAGATGATTACCGCCTGCGTGCCGAGAAGCAAGCCAAACAGGAGCACGACAAGCTCGTCGCTCGTGAGCGGCAATATGCTATCGCGGATCAGCTGTCCAGACTCGCCAGCGATGAGCTGCGGGACGACGTCCTGAGCCACATGCTGGAAATGGATGTTAGTGGTCAATTGAGATAGAATTGACATGCTGTTGAAACAATTGCTGACATCACCTTCTCTTAGGGCCAAACGCTCCCGGACGTTGAATCAATTGATATCCAGACTGAGATCCAGTGGTTCATGCGACCTTACCTCTTGGACTTCCTCATTGAGGCTCACACTGCATTCCAGCTGCTGCCGTCGACACTGTTCCTGGCCATCAACCTTCTAGATCGTTACTGTTCTAAGCGTGTGGTCTACAAGCGTCACTACCAGCTCGTTGGCTGTGCAGCTCTTCTCATCGCCGCGAAGTACAATGACAAGAAGGATCGGGTTCCTACCGTCAAGGAATTGAAGTCGATGTGCTGCTCCCTCTACGACGATGACATGTTCATCCAAATGGAGTGGCACGTCTTGCAGACCCTTGGCTGGACCATTGGACACCCAACTGTGGATAGTTTCCTCCAGATCGCCGTCTTGGATGAGCCCTACGACCCGGAGGTGGAACACATGGCACTCTACATCTTAGAGATTGCCCTGTTCCACCGTGACTTTGTGTCCAAGCCGTCGTCAGAGCTCGCTCGGGCTGCCCTGGCACTGTCCCGCTGCATCCTCAACCGACCTCAGCCTCGTCACACTCACTGGGCTTCCCAGTACGATTCAATGACGCTTGTCGGTTTGTCCCAGCAGCTCCACCAGCCTTCCGCTGTCGTTTCCCGGAAGTACGCCTCGGCCCACTATTCCCGTGTTTCCAAGGTGTTGGAGCATTTCCTCAACCGCCAGGCTTCTTTGGCCAACTACGCCCGTTGCACTCCTCCGGTCGAGACTCCTGTGGAGTCCAAGCCCTACAACGGAGAGATGGGCCTTGCCACTCCTCAGAAGTCCCAGCAGTTGACTGTGCCCCATGGCTATCTTACCCCACCAATCACACCCGAGAATGTGGCATTCGCACAAACGCAAATGACCACCCATCCTGTTGTGAACACCTGCTCGCCGTCGCCTGCACCATCGGCTGAGATGCAGTACATGCCTACCGACGCCTACCAGCAACAAGAAGCAATGTACATCTCTCAGCAGCAGCAACTGCAGCAGTTCCCTCCACAACCTCAGATGGTGGTCGACCCCGTCTATGCTGGTATGATGTAAAGAGGCACGACAGAAGAAGCAGCCTCCCAAAAGTGTTTTTGGCGTCTTGCACATAATTCTTCGGTGCGCCCTTTAATTCCATCTTGACCGCATAAATTATTTGCGGGAGCGTCTGCTTTATGTCGGTTCGATTCGGCCAAGAACACCCTAATCCTTCGCCGTCGACACCGCCATCTCGACCTTCACCTCATCGCCTTACCATTCTCCCCTTCCAGCTTTGCATTCGGCTCCGGTCTACAGCACCGGAGTCGAGACCAGCCTTTTCTTCTTGTTCCAAAAATTGCATACCCTTCCTTTTCCTTGTTCCCATATTCCTGGGTCATCATCTGCATTTTTGATCTCATTCCACATAGCATTGCACGAGCGAGCCTTTCTGTTTACCATCCGATTTGATTGCATTTGTCATTTCCCACCATCTTCGCTTCTCCGTCCTGGAATCTTGACAACCCTCCTCGACCCATTGTTCACCTGCTGCGCGCCTTGGCGCTGCGCCTTTGCATCTACTACCAACCCTCGACGATCTTTCCGCAGCATGGCTGCAACCCCCCTGTCATCCTACCCCTACCCCAACCCCGAAGAAAAAAGCCTTTCATGTGTCTAGCCTTTCGCCTAGGATTGTAATGATCCCATGGATGAACTATCGAAAGTGTTGTCGATAGGTCACGGGCCACAAAAAAAGCAAAAAAGAGAGAGAAAATCTGCAAAAAAGAAGTATTGCGGTCAAGGACTACACGCTTCCGAGACCTAAAGATTGAGACCATCCCCCCTTTGCCCCCCTTTGTGTACCTAGTTTGATGGCCTGGTTCTTTTGCTCTAGTCAAAGAGTGACTGGACTGAGCTTTGTCTTGATTCTTTGAATTCGAGGCTGCTACATCCCCACGAATGATATCCAATTCAGTGGAAATATACCTTAACTATTTTCTTCAACTCTTCTTGTAATGTTTAAGGTCCAAGATCTCACATTTGTAGTCTGCTTTGTCCTGGCACATTTAAAGATCTCGATCTCGGTACCTAGCCCTTCACTTCAAACTTGCTACCAATATTTTATATTTATGCATACCTAGTACGTCCGTGGATTAAATTATTCACCATACATCTCGTTCAATTTGCGGGTTTCAAAATGTTCCGACACACGTGGCATTTCTGGAGTTGGACACCGGGAGCCAAATATATATACCTTACTCGAATCTTCTGCACGACTACATCTTAAGTCCGAACAGAACATAGAAATCATTTCAAAACACAAATAATGCTGTCTTTTCGATAATTGAGACTGAATTGACTCTCTGTCTCAACTCACCAAGTACATAATGTTGCCTAGTATGCAACATCATAAATATACTAATAACCTCACTTGGTCAGAGGGAACCAGTCCCCGCTACTTCCAGGCTTTCTACCATATGTACATTTCAATTGACACTTCAAAATCTTACACTGTACATGTACTTCCCACCCTTCACAATAATGCTAACATTCGGCGAAGTCAATATCTCCTCGCTAGGAATACGGTGCCACTAGAATGCCATATTGTATTTCAGATATTCCAAGGTTTCATGTTTAAACAATTTCTCCCTCGCAATGAATGATATATATATTTTTTTAGCTGGAGCGCTACCTAGGTGGAGAAAATATTTTAGTATACGGGCATTAAAAGAAAGGGCTGCGGGACGTCCCAGACTTTTATCATGTGAGTGACTATAAGCACGTCGGAGTCAGACAGGTCGAGGACATTGGGTTGAGTGGTAGGATACAGTGCCTATGCTGTTTACGAGGGTTTGTAAAGATTTTTATTTCAGGCTTATCCATGTACAGTGTTAGGTATAATAGGGTTACAGAGTATATTTTCTTCATGAATTTGACTCCCTGTTGGTCCTGGACGAGGGTCTTTTCTACGTGGTCAGACAAGAGTTAGCCCGGTGGTTGGTTTGGTCATAAAGAGAATGTCTGAGATTCGGTCTATAGTACACTTTTGTTCAGGCGCTCGAAATAGTAAAACACGCATCCCTTAAACATTTGGAATGATGAAATGCCACATGGCAATGTTGGTATCGCTTCGTTAACTGGAAGCTTCAAAAAATGCTCGCGTTGCCCAGGTTGCCCAGGAAGTCACCCGCCTGCCCTGGATTGAGCATTTCTAAATCATTTGCCTCTTGTTCCTCGTCGTACTCCTCTTCGTATGCTTCGCTCTGCGTCGACACTGTAACCAAACCAGTGTGAAACATGTAGCCCACCAGAGCGGCGGTACCAGCCACAACAGACAAGATAGAAACATACATATCCTTCGTACCAAAATCAGCAAACATGGACACGGCCTGGCGTTCCATCTCATTCAGCCCCGTGTCCGACTCGACTTCTTGCTTCAACCGATTATTCATACGGACCTCCCGCAGAAAGGGCGTGGAATCCGCCAACGTAGCGAGAAGTGTGCTCCCGACAGCAGCCACCGAAAGACGGCCGGGGGCGCACCAGGGCAATGATGATGGAGCCGATTGTGGCGCGAACGCATGCGCCACCTCAGCTGGGGCTTGACCGAAACAGAGACGGCGCATACGCTCCGTGTACGCCGACAGTAGCGGGGCCTTGGCCCGCATAGCCTCATGGAGCCAGGGCTGGCTGAGATCGGGGATGTGCGAAAGGGAAAGATAGCCGAGCGCAATGCAGTCCAGACTAGCGGGGGAGTCGGATTGATTGGCGAGCAGGTAGGACTTCTGGCCCAGCATGGCTTCTAACGGCTCGAAGAACTCGCCGGTTAGGGCGTCGATGCGGAAGTGGTTCTGCTGGGCTGTTCGGCCCAGGAGACCGGTGACGGTTTCGCGGGGGCTTTGGATAAAGTTCTTCGGGATTTGACCGGTGGCTACCGCAGCCGACTGTTTTCGTTGCCGCTCCTCTTCCATGGCCTGTAGGTCCAGCGACGAGAGACCCAGGTGTTCTGTGCGGGCCTTAGCGGCGCTGTGCAGCTTTGGTGGGAGGATCCATTGGTTGGGCCATTGGAGAAGGGCACCATATGCGGGCGATGTGTTTAGGTTGTAATTCTGGCTGCTCACGTATAAGGAGAGGTCGAGGAGAGGTTGGCCGCGGGATTCGACAAAAGAGGAGAATCTAAGCACACCCAATATGCATTAGCTGATTGTTTCATATTTATCGGATGCAGATTTATCAATCTGACATACGCGGTGTTATCGGCCTTGTCTGACTCGCTCAAGTCCCGATCCAGGTCCCAATCTCCGTTTGAGCACTTGCGCAGGTAGTCCACGATATTGCGGAACCGACTCACCCAGACTGAGCCATCCCGAAGAGCGGGCAGCTCACCTGTGGATCAAACTCTGTTAGCTGGCTTCTTCCCTTGCAGCTCGTATCGTCTTTATATTCGGCATCACGTCACTTACCCGTAGGGGAGACGGAGGGATCGCTGCTTGCGATGAGCTCCCACGAATCCTTGGGGAGGACTAGAGAGCAATATGCAATGGTAGCAAGACATTGCGCCTCAATTGAGGGCAAATTAAAGGCTGGGCCCCACACATGTAGTTGTAGCTTCATTGTTGGGTTGCATGGATAGAGAAGGGCGGCGCGGGTGAACTGAGCCCGCGAATCACGTGTTTGGATGCATTTCCCATGGAAAGGTTCCGCTTTACTCTACGAGGACTCCGTAAATCTATTTTTATTATACTTTGATGGTTGACCCTATGTGTTCGAATTTGGAAGTTGGTCCTCACTGAATCATGTATATCTGAGACAGTCACTTTGTCAGGAACCTTCTGTTTCATCCAACACAGCCTGACTGGAAACCTTGAACCAGCCATACAGCCGCGATAAGAGCGACCATGATCTCACTATACACGTGGCTACGCAAGAGCCCCTTCACAAGTGACTTCCATACCTCGGGTAAAAGAGGAGTACAGCCTTAAGAAAGAAAGAAAAACCAATCAAAAGAGCAAAAAAAGCCGGTTTCCTTTGCGGGGCTCACTCCACTAGGACATTATACAATCAGGAACTTATAACTTTCTTCAGAGTGATGACGCCGAGACTTCTACTTCCACCAACCGTTTTCGCGGATAACAGCACGCCCTAAAAGTTACTCATTAAGCCCCAGCTGATAAACGAAACTAGGCAACACTGACCTGACCCGAACTCCATCCCATGGGAATAAGCTTGAACCTGATCCAGTAAATGTAGAGAGGGACCAGAACCCGGACCATCCAATCGCAGTTCATCCCAATGACTTGGCTATGGGTCTCAGCCAAGAAACCATGATCAAAGCAAATGCTCAGACGGTATCGCCAAGGATTATGATTCATTCGTGAATCATGATGATTGTATCCAGGTTGCCTTGCCAATATGTTGCCTGATGCGTTGTTCATGCATGTGGATGAATAGGGAGCTTTGACGGGATTCCGCAGATAACGCCATAGAAAGGGTTCTAATCAATATTGATTATTTATTTAACTTTTATCTGTACATGTCAGGATGTAGTAGATCGGACCTTTCCAATCAATCAAAGACGATCTTAAGAGAGTTTGGATTCGGAGGGTTAGATCCCCCGTGAAATGTCCTAGCTTTACTAGCTCCGAGTTTAGGTTAACCGGTTTGCTCCTCGCCTTAATACCCTGTGCAAATCTAGGAAAATGCAACGGCGTGAAATACTGGTGAAACAAGCGGGGAAACTACCGGTTTCATCCCCATGTATAGGTACTTACTAAGTAGGAAGGTGGAACTGAAAATCCTTGAAAGATAATGCACGACATTCGAGAAAGACAAATTGCTCTGGGGTATATTAAGTCTATGATACATGCCGGTGATTCAGATTCGGCCCAATGCGGCTAAAGAACGAAATAGAGAAAAAAAAAATTACAAAGATTGAAAGCGCCGAGATGGCCAGTCATGGCATGCAAAACAAGAAATGAAATGAAAAGAAATGAAGGGAAAAATGGAGACAACAACACGGAGATTTCACGTAAAGATGACGCAAAAGCGATCGTAATGCAATCTGCTTTCCTTGAATGAGACAGGGATGCTTGCAAGCGATTCGCTATCTGCAGATGCAATGCATCTTTTCTCCGCATCTGCGCATCATCATTGCGGAAAAATTGAACCCCGCACCTGAAGATAAGCCAAACTTGAAACGGGAGAGCAAAAAGCGAAAAGTGAAGAGAAAGTAAAAAGAAATAAAAAAACCAAAAAAAATCCAAGTGGCTGTCAATGCGACTTGGGGAAACGGTAGCGCCGGCGCTTCGTCCCCAAAGAAAAACCCGTGAAGGAAAAGCAAATATGGAGCTCGTATCGAGCTAGCTTGGATCCTTTCTCGTGTGGGCGCGCGCACCCCTTGGAGTAGGGGAAAGCGGAAAGCGGAAAGCGGAAAGCGCGCGCCTTTGTTTCGATGTATCGGGATGATTAAGGTAGTTTCAAAAGGCGAGAACAAAGAATTGTCAGGTAAGCCGAAACCAGGTCGAAGTCGAGGTCATTCATTTCCATGGAGAGAGACCTCCCAGTTCGTGGGCGGATGTTCGGAACAGGCGCCAGAGTCATCACAGTTCGTTTGGATCTTTTATTTTGGGAGCGGAGGGAGAGGACCCTTGGGTGGAGGACCCGGGCAGGGAGGGAACTGAGAGGTGCCACCGACGGAAGGCATTGTGTATGATGTGAGGTGTGGTGTGGTGTGTTGAGTGGTGTAAGGATAGCCAGTAGCTGTGGTTGTAGCTGTAGCTATAGAAGTAGAAGTATTTAGAAGTATGTGGTTGGTGGTTGGTGGTTGGTGGATTGGTATGGGTGAGGAGTAGAAAGCAATAGTGGGAAGAAAAGAGGAAGCGCAGCTCTTATAGCAGATCATTACAGTAGGACCAAATTACTAGTGCCAACCATCCCTGTGAACAGGAGGCTGAGTATCCACCTGATCTGACGTAGGAATTAATTGCGATTAATTGATGAATAAGACTGCCCCAACCGGAAATCCAATGGAAATCCTCTAGTTTTTCTAGAAGCTCTCCACTCGGGTCTCCCGTGTGGCGTTGACTGTCGTTGGTGAACCACTAGTGGATTAGGTATAGGGGGGAAATATATTTTTTTTCTTTTTCTTTTTTCTTTTTTCTTTTTTCTTCTGGCTTGAGACACTTGGCCCCGATTCCAACTCCTATACAGCAGACTATATTTCTCATTTCATTTATAGATACTCATTTAATATCCTACATGGTTGTCGTTTAACTTGGTTTCACGGCATAACTTCCCAGCAAATAATCATCCATGAAAACCACGCGAGGTGACAACTGGTAATGGGCAATCTCCCGTGGATCCACCACTGTCTCCATCACCGATGCGGTGAGGAAAGTTGATGGTAAATTGGATTTCAGGATTTTTAATTTGATTTTAAATCATAAAATTTTAAACTTCTGTTGTGCAGCCCCATGTACTTCAAGAAATAATAGATAACTCAAAAGGGCCCAAGCACCAAATCGAGAGGTAAAAGAGGGGGCCGACATGGGAAGGGTCCATGACCGACACGTGTGTAAATGGTCGATCGCAAGATAAAGAAATATGACATACCGGGTAAAAGCCCTGATTTGTAAACTTGGCGTGGCGCAGGGGCTGAGTCGTGTAACTGATATGACACTCAGAAATGCCAAACCGTAACCATGTCCTCTGTACTAGATAAGAGCACTCGTACCTACTAGCTTTGCTTATTGTTTAACCTATGGAAACCTATGGAGTCGTAATGGGGTACGGAGTAATTATCATCAATATTTTATAGATAGTACAAATCTAAATACAAGACAAGGGTCAACAGTCCTCCATCGGGACCCATCTTGGTCCATGGTTCACATCCGTAATGTCCAGCAAATAGAGTGCGACTGTCCTATTATACAAGCCCCTTTAGCGAAGTCAATCGAGGTTACTTGAGAAAAGAGCCCTAAAGTGGTCCCAAAATTGATTCACGCACGGAGAACACCACCGGGGGATCTCCGACTGTGGCTGGTGATCCTTGTAGATTGTATATCTTCATTTCCCTTCAGACAAAGCGCAGGTAGTCTGATGATCGCCCTCTGCAGCGTGATTATCCCAGGACGAATCGGGAATTCAGGTAACTAAGTTCTTCACAGACACAACCCGGTTGATCACGTACATCACTGGAGGTGATTGGTGTTTCAGGATTATGAGATCGACCTGCCAACCGTGGCGTGGTTCCATGGCGTGCTTAACAACTCGAGTAAGTTAACCACGGAGTACTATATGGCTTACGCATGGCCGATCTCCAAATCGGAGACGTCACGCATGCACTCCGATCCCCCCTGAAGGTTGGATCTCCGCTTCCAAATCCTATTTATCTAACTAGTGGGAAAGCAATCTCCAAATGACAAATAGAAGAATCCTGCGAGCCACATGACTGCAGCCCTATATGGTAAGTTTGGTACCAGGAACGGGATTTGAAACGGCCACAGACACGGGTACCTGGCATAAGTTCGCGGCTTGAGCGGTTCCCACATCCCCAAAGAAGAAGAGAAACACTAGCGATAAGTGGAGAATACGGTGGCGACAGGGGACAGAAAACGGGAAAAGTGGGCAGAGTAGAAAAAATTGGACGCGCTAACGAGTTCCAAACTTCAATAACGAGTCGAATCGGGAATAGTGAGGTAAACCAGTCTCCACTGATGATGGTGAGTGTCCACCCGTCGTTCCGCACCGTTGGAAATGACTGTGGAGGCCTCGGGGAAAAGGAGTGCGTGCGATTGGGAGTCGGAGGTTTTTTTCTCTTTTCTTTGGAGATTATGGTTCAGCGGGATCTTGGAAAGTTCTTTGTTCTTTCCAGGATTCGGGGAAGAAGATCCTCATATTGAATTACCTTTTTGGTTCGGGATCGGGAACCACACGTGGCGATGCCCAGATCGACGATGTATCCATTACGAATGCATGGAAAACATGATTGTCTGATCGCGAGACATTCGTCACCAAATTGCAGTTTCAGTTCCATCCGTCTGGTCAGGGGCTTTATTTTTCGCCTGTAGTTACTCTGTAGAATGGTACCAAAACTACCGTGTACAAACACCTCCGATGTGCCGTGGTCACGGGGAAGCAAGTGGAGGACGCGGGTGGTTTCACATTGATCCACCGTAAATTTTTTCTTTCACCGTCTTCTATGGAGTACTCCGTACATATACTGGAAAACGAGCCGAGGCAACCACATGCAATATGCTCGAAACCGTCCATACGGGGCTCAGGTTGGAACTAAAACAACCCTCCCGAGGATTAAAATTCCGGGAAAATAAACCACTTCATGATTCGGAAAGAGCTCGAAAATTATCAACCAAACCGAGACATGCAAACGGAACTCTTCTCAGCTGGCCGGGGTATGATGTCTTATGACACGCATGTGCGTCCTCCAGCCACATCTGTAAGCGAGGATAAACCCCTCGAAATTGTAATCCGGGCGGTTCTAAAACCTGGCCATGTACATCGGTTCTAGGAATGACAAATCTGCTGCTTGCGTAACAAAATCCCCCATTGACTCATTGGGAAGTTGGTTACGAATAAGCTGACTGCATCCCCAGGGCGCATTGTAGCGGCCCGTTCGTTCATAACCAGGGCAGTGAAACGACGCGTGACATGTAGCGTGTACGCCAATGAAAAAAAAAACCTCACCAAAGAGGTCTTTGCGCCAGGTATAGCGGCATTCTTCGGTAGGGCTGCAACTCTGCAATTTAAGTATGTGTGACAGGAGGCCCTGCTGCCGATCACGCCACCACCGCAGGTGTCCGTGTAATGCGGAGAAAGCTTGGTCATGAAGGATTCCCTTCTGCCACTTTTCCAGGCGGCCTGAAACCAAGACCTCAATCCTCGCCGGCTTGTGCTTGTGTCGAAATCCATTGCTCCATCAAGGGTTGTGTTGGCTCAGAGGTTGCAACCGGTCTTGTCTGGCCCGCCTTGCGTGAAATGAGCAGACATAGCACCCAGCCCGAGATATTGAAGCTTTCATAGTGTGTGCTGAACCCCAACTTTTTCTCATCTGTATCTTCATCTTTCACATCCAATGAAGCCTTTCTCTTTCTTTTCCGCGATGGCTGGTTGTCTGTATTGTCAACATCGGTCACTTCAGGAATGTCGCGCAAGTCAATCTCGGAATCGCTATCACTGTCGATGACCTGTACGTCTGCAGGATCGGCAACACCGAGTGCCTTGGAGTCGCTTTCTTCCGTTTTCTCTGGCTGGTCGAACGTTTTATGCCGCGTCAAGAGGGAGTGGCGGGTGCGCGATTCGCGGAGGAAGATACCTACTTCGAAATCATCTTTACCGGTGACTTAGCTCAAGCTCAATATACAAAGGGCAACTGGAGACACAAATACCTTCAACGATGACATCCTTGGTGACTTTACTCTTCTTTCGAAGAAATCGTCGCTCGTTCTCTTCGCGCAGCTTCGGCAACACCAACGGTCGGATCACATCGAAGACGCGAGGTAGAACGGGATCGCGAGGGTTGAGCAGCCAGCGATTGTCAGATGGGTTTTCCAGATAAATACGGCATTCAAGCACGGAATATTTGCTGATGCGTAGGTAACGGCGAATGGGTGCCATGGTGACGTAGATTCAGGGATCATAAAGAAGCTCGGGCGGAGGTGAGCTCATTGATGCCAAGCTCCGCCCCAGACAGCTGGATGCTGATTGGCGACCGGGAGCAGTCAATCATCCCTGACACCTCAACCTGGTGAAGATTTTGAGATTTCTTCCCTGTACATATCTGAAGAATCAACTTCCTCCAAATATCGCAATTCAAAGATAAACCGGACCAGCTCCGATTCTAATATGTGATGGTAAGTGCTTCGATCCCCACGTGACACCAACCTCCGCGAACGGAAAGAGACTAATCGTCCCCAAGGTCCTCACCCGCCGATCCGAAAAAATTATGTACCGGGTACATCTGAGTACACCATTTTTAACATGGTAATCTAAGTACCGTGTACTTGATCCGATAAAACGACATCTTCCCAACCCCCAAGGTCCCCATGGATCCCACTCTGCTATCCCCGCTAGGCAAGCGGACAGTGTTTTCGCAGATTTTGATTCCTTTTCAGTTTCTCTTTAAAAGTTCTGATTGTCCAATTGATCTGTCTTTTATTCATATCGGACGATCTGTGTGAATCTTAGCTACCAAGGTACTCACACCTCCGGGAGACGAATCCGGAAAACCCAGATTACGCCGTTTCTACTCCTTTACTTTGAGTTCCCTGCATCATCTGCGTTAGTTTCTCAATATCGACAGGCCTATACCTTGTTGTAATCCGTGATAGCTATTGGGCGTCTCGCCTCTATCTGGGGACCTTGGGGGTTACGGCCATCCCACACAAAACCTACAACCAACCCCTCCACGTCAACTCGATCTGCCCGCTTTTCTCCCAAGGTGCTCACTTGTTTGATCCAATCGAGATACTTGTCGGAGCTTTTATCTCATTGTTCCTCATAAGATCTCCTGTCAAGATCTTACACGGGATCCACATTCCAGCTACTTAAGCCTTGGCAAACTTGTCATATCATCATTATCGATATGGAAGCTTACAATGTTCTCAAGCGGGATTCTTGCTCCAATGGGAATGACTACGATGGTCACATGGGCCTGCGAATCTCCTCCATTTTCGTCATTCTGATCGGATCCACTTTTGGTGCCCTCTTCCCTGTCGTTGCTAAGAGGTTCAGCAAGGCTGAAGGTGCCCCCAAATGGGCCTTCTTTATCGCCAAATACTTTGGATCGGGCGTTATTATCGCGACTGCTTTCATTCATCTCCTTGCCCCGGCCGAAGAGGCGCTGACCAATTCCTGTCTGACTGGCGTTATCACCGAATACAGTTGGGTCGAGGCTATTGTCCTCATGACCATTGTGGTTCTGTTCTTTGTGGAGTTGATGGTGATGCGATTTGCCCGCTTTGGTACGGGCCATTTACATGATGAAGAAGGCCACTCCCATGTCCAGATCGAAGATGAAACCACGATCACCCAGCAAGTGAGCCAGAGCAAACACTACATCCCCGGTGAAGATCACCTCGGCCACACCCGTTCGCACCACGACGCCGACGATTCCGAGAAGGAAAGACAGGCGATCGAGGATTACACCGCTCAGCTTACATCGATTTTCATTCTGGAGTTTGGCGTCGTCTTCCACTCGGTCTTCATTGGCCTCACGCTGGCCGTGACCGGAGCTGGCTTTATCACTTTGTACATTGTTCTCGTCTTCCACCAGACCTTTGAGGGTATGGGTCTTGGCTCTCGTATCGCTCAAGTTCCCTGGCCTAAATCTAAGCGCCTTACACCTTACTTCCTTGGCCTGGGCTTCGGTATTTCAACTCCCATCGCCATTGCTATTGGCCTCGGTGTTCGTCAGAGCTACCCACCAGACTCGGCGAAGACGCTGATTGTCACCGGAGTGTTTGACTCCATTTCCGCGGGCATTCTAATTTACACCGCCTTGGTCGAGCTGTTGGCACACGAGTTCATGTTCAGCAACGCCATGCGTGAGGCTCCAATCCGCGATGTCCTACTCGCCTTCCTGCTGCTGTGCTTGGGAGCTGCCCTCATGGCCCTGCTGGGTAAATGGGCATAAGATTTGATTTACCCCCATGATCTTCATCTTTTACGACCTGCAAATGACTTGACTTTCAACAAAAAGTGATAAGTGTCCGCGCACATACTTCTGGGTGTACCCCTTGAACATGCATTTGATACCCACTGTTTCACATTTCGGCGTTTATTTCTTTTCCCGGAAGGCGCAACCTGACTTTGTATGGATATTATGTACATAAATTTTTCAAAATCCACAGTCATCATATCTTCCAAATTATCCTTGATCGCCCACGCGACAGTACAAAGCTTAATTATTTGAAAATTACTTGGAAGAGGAAGACCCGCATCATGCCCACCCCCGCATTCCGCAAATCATTGCCTGAGGGAGATGAACGTGGTGTAGTGGAATGTAGATCAGTCCAAACCCGGTCACTTTTTGCGCCTTTGACATGCGATATCCGCAAAAAGTTGGCTGTCGCCAAAGCTAGACGTTCGTGATAGCCTTGTCTCGATTCGGCCACCAGATAATCCCCTGGAGAACCCCCGCAGGCTTTAGCTTCAACAAGGGTCACACCGTCTATTGTTATCCACTCTCCTCTTTTCCTTTTCCCTCCCCCCAACGGTCCCTCCAACGTCAACAACATGGCGGCTAGATACATTGAAGCGGTCGGATCTGAGTCCAAGTCTGATGCTACCAAGACCGAGGTTCAGGACAGCATTGGTCCACTCGACGCCGACCCCTTACAAGAAGTCTCGAGAAAGCGTCAAAGCTTGTCCGATATCTTTACAATCGTGGGTTTAATTGACTGCATTTCCGATGGGATCTCAGTCGAGGATAGGGCTGCTGATAACCGCGCTTTCATGATTAGATTGCAAGTGGCTTTGCATTGATCAGCGATGGATACCAAAACAACCTCATGTGAGTCTTATATCTAGTGATGGCTATGCCAGCCACTGACACGCTTCTAGGACCATGACAAATGTTCTTCTCAGAAAGGAATACCCAAAGGAGTACACCTCAACCGTGAGCACTCGTGTGTCCAATGCGCTGTTGGTCGGCGAGGTTATCGGTCAGGTTGTCATCGGGTAAGAGCACATCTACATGACCAGACGATGTCTCATTAATGTGTATCAGTCTGACTTGTGACTACCTCGGTCGAAAGACCGCTATCGTCTTCACCACTCTCATGATTGTCATTGGCGGTATACTCGCTACCGCATCTCATGGAGTCACCATCAATGGCATGTTCTGGATGATGACGGTGGCTCGTGGTGTAGTTGGATTTGGTATCATCTCAAACAACCTTAAGATACTCAATTCGAGGCTTACATTGTTTAGGTGCCGGCGGCGAGTACCCTGCATCATCGACGTCTGCTTCGGAGTCTGCCAATGACTTGACGCCCAAGCATCGTGGTCCAGCATTCATCATGGTGACCAACTTCCCGCTGTCTTTCGGTGGGCCATTCGCAGTATCGATCTTCCTGATCGTATTAATGGCCTGTGGACAGTCCCACTACAGCACCGTATGGCGGGTATGCTTTGGGATCGGATGCATATGGCCATTATCCATCTTCTACTTTCGAATTCGTATGCTCAACTCGGCACTCTACCGTCGTGGTGCTATCAAGAGGCATGTTCCGTATATGCTCGTGCTACGCTACTATTGGAGATCGCTGATCGGAACTTGTGGCGCATGGTTCCTCTATGGTAAGATTTACCGCCCAAGTTAAATTATAGAGCTAATACTCGCACAGACTTCGTTACTTTTCCGAACGGTGTCTTCTCAGGAACGATCATTTCAACCGTTGTCACAAATGGGACAATCCGCTCGACGGCCGAATGGCAACTTCTACTTGGAGCAATCGCCCTCCCAGGTGTTTTCCTCGGCGCATTCCTCTGCGACCGCGTCGGACGCAAGAACATTATGATGATAGGCTTCAGTGGATATCTAGTCTTCGGACTAATAATTGGTTGTGCATACCATAGAATCACCAAAATCATCCCCCTCTTCATCATCTTTTACGGACTAATGCAGAGTTCCGGCAACTTTGGCCCTGGAAACATGCTCGGCTTGCTCTCTTCCGAGTCATATGCTACCGGTGTACGAGGAACGTGCTATGGTCTCTCAGCTGCAGTTGGAAAGACCGGTGCTGCGATTGGAACGCAGGCTTTCCAACCTATTCAGGCTCGACTGGGCAAGAATTGGACGTTCATAATTGCAGCCATCTGTGGCATTGTGGGGGTTTTGATTACTTACTTCTTTGTACCTGATCTCTCGGGTGAAGATTTGCGAATCCGCGATGAGAAATTTCGTGCCTATCTTGTTTCTAAGGGATGGGATGGTGCAATGGGGGAAGATGACCTTCAGGCCAATGCGGACCAGGGAATTCCCACAGCGATCGCCCATGAGATTGCGCCCACGAAGATGGGCTAGTCGTCATGATAAAAGATTTTATGAATAAATAAATCAATGTATGGCTTATTTCCCTCCTCTAGCTCATTCTGAGATAGCTGTGTTCATCGACTGATCACAGCCTTCAATTAATATCATTTCTCAGCAACTTTACCTTCCCCACTCCTCTTCAATGGGACAATTCTTAGAATATCCCAATCAATTACTATTTACGTGCGAAAAAAAGAACTTTGAATGGTGACTTTGTAAATTATCCATAGGACTTGATTAATCTACTCCGTATTTTCACCCCTACTTAATGAAGACCCACACCTCCGCACCTCCAACTCCCACGTTTCCTCTCCAACCCCCTCTTCCCTTCCACATCTCACCAATAAACCACCAAATCCCCCACAATGCGTCTCACAACAATCTTCCTCTCCCTCGCCTCCCTGGCCGTTGCCGCCGAGCTCGGCATCGAAACAACCCACAAGGTCGAATGCACCCGCAAGACCCAGAAAGGCGACACTGTCTCTATGCACTACCGCGGAACCCTGCAGGCCGATGGCTCCGAGTTCGACGCAAGCTACAAGCGCGGTGTACCACTGAAATTCAAGCTGGGAACCGGCCGTGTTATTAAGGGGTGAGTTTCAGAAACAATCGAGCTTGCGCTTGACAATTGGCATCTTTCTGTACTGTTCCTCCTGACTGACTTGCTATGTAGATGGGACCAAGGTCTTCTTGATATGTGCATCGGCGAGAAGCGCACCCTGACTATTCCTCCCGAGTTTGGATACGGTGACCGTGGCACTGGTCCTATCCCCGGCGGCTCGACTTTGATCTTCGAGACTGAGTTGGTTGCTATTGATGGTGTTGACAAGGATGAGCTGTAAATTTATAATGTTTATGAGTTGCTTGCGGACTTGTGATGATTATCTCGGATCTTGGATGATTCTGCCATGGCTATCGATCTTCTCTTCTAAATGATACCAATACCACGGATATGATATAGCTGAGCGCAGAGAGAGCGTAGTTTTGAAATCCCGAAAGGCTTCATTATTTTCCATTGGGTACCTAAGTAGGCCCATCACGCTCATTATGAAACCGCCTATACAGTATCGTAGCAAAACGCTCTATCTTCAAGTTCAAGTTCAAGTCACGTCCAGTTTAAGCCTTCTCCCCTAAAATCAAACCCTCCGGATCAAGAACCTTTCGCAACCCCGTCATCCCAGTATGATTCCTCGAATCCGTCATTCGATGACACCAAGTAACCCTTACCCCATCCTCCCCCGTCTCAAATAGAAACTCCGCACCATTCAAGCTCTTGGCACCCCCCTTCGTCACAAGCCCAGTTCCAAGATGCTTAACCATATTCACAACCGATTCCGCCACGACACGCACCATGCTCTTGCGGAAGTACTCCGGGCGCGCACCCATAGCTATATTCCTCACCATACCGAGCTCAGTGTAAAGGTTCGCGGACGGGTCGGTGTAGATTGGGAATGGACATTGCGTCTGTGCGGTGTAGGAGTCTATAAGACCGGGATCTCCTTGACCGATTATAACGATGGAAGTGGGGATCGGAAGTTTTTGTAGGTCAGTGGGTTTAATTTTGGAGAGGGCGCAGATGAATTCGCGACAGCTCTGGATATTGTTAGTTGGTTTTGTAAGGGAGTAGTAGGTTTGGACTTGCCCCGCAGAAGAAGTGGCGGATGAACACAATCAGAACGCGCGGATTAGAAGGGCCATAGAGGCTTTCGAACGTGTGCTTTTCTCCTTGGTGATCCAGTACTGGGTATTCGCTGATTTTTTTGATTGTCTCTGCAGATGGCGGTGTATCGATGGCTAGTGAATCGGTCTGGATATCTTGAGTGGCTTCCATTGCGGCTGGGTCTGGCGTTTGTCCCTCTGCTAGGCTTTCGATGAAAGGTACCAGTGAGATGAGTGTAACAGTACTTGAGAGGAACATACGGTGAAGCTGACATGGGCCAAGATCGGCGAGCTGCAGATCGGCGCTTGATATATAACTTCTAGTAAAAACATATACTCTAGACGGTGGGCTGTTGTATTTGGAGCCCTTTTAGTAAAGACTAGGTTTGCTTTCGGAAACAAATTTGTTCCCTTGATCCAAGAACTATGGATCAGATAAGTAGCAAGTAGCTTGATGGTGGCTGAGAACAGGATCCACTATTCATCAATACCCGTCAATGTTCATTACTCATGAGTTACCTAATAGTAATGAAGCTGTGCCAAAGATAATATGACAAAAGCAATTTGAATCAACATTGGTCCAACATGTTGATTAGTCCCATCCAGGAAGAAACTTGGTCAGTAAGATTGAATCGATATAAGCTGTAATCGAACGTGGGATCTCTCTATTTGCCTGTTCTCACCGAGTACTTAGGTACATTGGGAATAGCCTCATTTGCAGCACCCACAAGATCCTCCCAAGATACTATTCCTTTGAGATATGCTTTTATTTTGTCATTTTTGATGAAACGCCTTTATTAATCCTTGACGATGGCTTACTTCTCTAAATAAAGTAGTATGAATAGAAACTTCGTAAACAAAGATTCCATTCTAATCGATACAATGTAACATTGAAGTCTTTGTTTCTTTCGAAACGTCGAGCACTTGAGGACATGGGGCATTGTATTATTTTAAACATAGCAAGACCATTTTTATAAAGCCTCATCAATATCCCATACAAGACTCGTTAATTCCCCAAGTACAGCCTGGAAGTAGAATATCCAGAGCAGACCTTACTACCCAGCTTAACAGAACATTGAACCAGCATCATGTCCCTTCGCACAGACTCAGAAATGGAAACCGCCATGTTCATCTCCAAACCCAAAAGTCGCTCCCAAACACGTTCCCAAACCAAAACCCTAACAGACCTTCTCAGCCAACACATGAAAAGCAGACGCAAAGCCAGGAGAACCAAACAAGAATCAATCAACGACACGATATGCTACCTATCATTCCTTCCACGCGACTGGTTCTTCCTCGGCATCCAGATCCTGCGCTCCCAAAAACATCTCCGTAAAGAAGACATTCTGTACTTTGGTCCGCGAGAAATCTGCGTAATCCGCAGTCCCAGTACCAAGGGCCAGACTATCGAAGTTGAGAAAGCCGAAATGATAACACTTGTAGCTAATGCTGTTATTGGAGAGCAGACGAGAAGAAAGGTAGGTGAGATTCCGCGGGCGGTTGATGATTCCTCGTGTGCGATTTGTCGGGAGGATTTTCCGGTTGATGCGGAGGTTGTTATTCTGTCTTGTGGGCATTGGTTTTGTGTTGAGTGTATTAATGCTTGGATGGGGGTTCATCCGACTTGTCCGATGTGTCGGAGGCCGGTTGAGCCTGCTCCTGATACCTTTGTTGGTGTTTGGGCTAGGGATCAACATGAACCGAATGGTAATGGCAGGCTTGTTGATTTATGTGATATCAGAACTTGACTTGATATTTGGTAGATTTACTTGCGGTGTTCATTATGTTTCCATCAATTGATTCAATCAGTATATTTGACTATTTCCAAGGTTCAAAGAGATAGTATATTCTATTGTACAGGGGTATTTCAACTGTAAAGTATGAACAAAGATTATCAAAATATGCACAGGGCAGTGTAATGCATACAACGCTCGAGTCTAATGTCGATGTGCACTGTTCAGAACTCCGCCAATATATGACGGTGTCTCTCCGTCGCGGGTATTCTTGTCGTGGACAAGTGAGTGTGATAGCTCAGCCCTTTATCGAGCCAAGAGCTCGACGATTACTTCAATCCATCTCATCCAAAGCATTCTCAGCCTGGGGATCATTCTCAGAAACCAAAATCCCAATCAAACACTCATTAAGGATCCCATCCCAGTTCACCCAAGGATGAACCTCCTGGAACAACTGAGCCGAGTCCTTGCCTGCCCCCCGTAAAAGCTCACCCTTTCCACCAGGATGGTATGGCACATATGGGGTGATATTATACACCTTCCCGAGGTACGACGTCCACGCATCACGGCCCTTTCGCCCATTCTGCATTTTCAGCATGGAAGGCGTAACCCTCAAGTATCCGGGCGGGACATCCTTCCCCCGAAGCTGGTTGTTCGGCTTTGCAGCAAGCGCAGCCCAGTCAAGAGGCGAGTATCCTGGTTCGAGGATGACTCGCTTGGTTGAGGAGGATTTCTTCAGAGAAAGTGGTGTTGGCGCTAGGGTGCTGCTGCTTAAGCCTGTATTGCTAGGAGCGAGGCGTGCTGATGCAGCGGGGGACAGTGGTGTGCGGGGGGAGCTGCTCATACGCGGTGGCGCCAGGCCTCCGGGGGTTCGGTTTGGTTGAGGGGTTTGACGAGGGCGTGGGACTGGGGCTGGAGGCGGGGGCATCAGAGATGAGGTCTTTGCGGGCATTGTGGGCTTTGAGAAAGGAGCAAGAGATGGCTGTTGCTGGACTTGTGTTTCATTGCGACCGACTGACGCTATCTGCTGAGTTGAACCATTCATGCTAGGTTTCGCGGGCTCAGTGGCGACGTGGGTGTCGGATTCAAGGTTAAGTGTTGGGATAGCGAGTACTGCTGGAGGAGCTTCGAGTATGTTTGCTTTCGGAGTGGTTTGTGGGATTTTAGTATGTATTTCAAAGGATGGAGCCGCGGGGATGTCTTTTGATTCAGATTTATCGGCAGAGGGAGGGTCGGCTTTGGAGTCCGTGGGAGTAGAGGACCAGGTTCGAGGAGGATAGCGATAGAGAAAGTATGCAGTGGTTGCGACAAGTGTTGCCACTCCTACCCAGCCCATGCCGGACTGACTTGTAGACGTGTGGATGTTGAAGGGTCAACTTTACAGTACTTTGCTAATTATCATCTCCCCGATTCGTTCAGGGTCAAGTGGTCCGTGCGTTACAACCGATCTATGTTGAAATGCTTAACTTTGATTTAGAGGTCTATAAATTCAAATCGTAGAAAGCTTGGAACAGTTTCTGTTTTCCACAAGGCAAATAACGCGCAAATAAATCAGAGAAACACAAAATTTAAGAGGGCGTTCATGATGTCAATCCACCATCACTAGAAGGCGACAGAGCTGCCCAAACTTCAGTTCGCACAGAAGACGTCCTTCAGAACAGTTTTACGTTGATTAATATGGTACTTGCACACAAGGCTGTGAGGGATAAAACTTTTCGCAAAACAGTCATGGCAACGTCCGACAACGTGATACTCTTTGACGTCGGAGCAGGTCAGGTACAGCCCCAAAATCCACAGCTGATGATTGATCGTCTGACTGATTACCCGGTGTGGCAGGCACGAGGCTCAAGAAACCACCAGGAGGATCGATGCACGGTCATTCTGCCGGAGCAGTTCCCCGCCGAGACGAAGGAGAAGCTAGCGTTCTTTGCGATATACGATGGACAGTAAGGAACTCAGGGGCATTCTTCACCTTCCCGATTTTGACTGGATATCTAGTGGGTCTTCATCAGTGGCAGACCACGCCAGCAAGAAGTTGCACCATCTCCTGGCTGAGCGACCGGAGCTTAAAAAGGGAGACTACTCGGGAGCCATCAAGGCTGCGTTGGCAGACGAGGATGCCCTTCTGCTGGAGAGATTCAAGCATGATACGGCCGAGCCTGCAATCTCCGGATCCACTGCAGCTATATGCCTGTTGAACCTCACCCAGGGCGAGCTGGTGGTCTCTAACCTAGGCGATTCACACGTTATCCTAGCGGAGCGAGATCCCAAAACAGATCGTCCCTATCACGTCGTTGGTCATATCTCCATGCACAATGTGTCCCATAGGTGGAAAATGACAAATACTAGCGCCGAATCACCGAGGCACAAGCGCCAGAAATACCCAGTGAACGACGCCGTATCGAAGAGGCCGGAGGCGAGATAAGTATGGACAGTGGCACTACGCGACTCGGTAAGGATACATAGCCGGTAGCCGAGACAGAGATAATGACCAGATAGGATCCCTGAATATGTCGCGCGCTCTTGGAGACTTGCAGTACAAGAACCCTGTCAACGAGGGGCAGGACCAAAAATATTGGACCGGAGCACGGGCTTCGTCATCATCCAACCCCGGAAATTTCCTGTCCAACGATCCATTTACCTCGCGACGAACCCTCTTAGCGGACCAACGGTACCTGTTAATGGTTATCTCGGATGGTGTTAGTGATACCACGGGAGACGCGGCCGTGGTCCAGCACGTAATGGAATTGGCGATGCGGGGGAGGCGAGCCAGTGAGATTGCACAAGAGGTTGCCACTAATAATACTCGGCATAGTAAGAGTGATAACGCCTCTTGTATTCTAGCAATGATTGATGGACGAAGATCGTAGATAGAAATTCATATATTTTTTCTATTTGTTTTCTCTAGCTTCGGAGATGGTTCCTTGTATAGTTTAGAAAAGGGCTAAAAGCCAAAAAGCCAAGGAAAAAGAAAAGCAACGTTTGAAAGTATGGAACGGGGGAATGTGTTATGCATAATGTGGACCAGCTAAGGGTAAAATGTGGAATGTAGGATTCGGCTTATCCGGAAGAAGAAGGTGGCTTTGACAAGGAATTGTATAATTGTCCATGTAAAGGATATGTTTAAACGTGTTTCAATAGTTGGTTTCTTCTTTCCAATGTGAACTCCAATTTTACTCAGTTACTCCAAATTGAAAAAAAAAAATCTTTTAATCCACTACTCCGATAGCGCAATCTACATAGTCGGGTTGTCCAAGAATTTACTGATTCGCTGTCTCGCTTCGTTAAGTGGCGTTTGCTCGTATTGCTTCGTATATCCTATTTAATGTGTAATGTTTACTTGAGATTAATATCTAGAAACATTTGACTAACTATGTAGAAACTATAAACTATAGGGTATTTGTTCTCCCTGGGTTATCAATGACGACAACCTTGGAAGTACCAATTAAGCAGGCGGATAACGCGTACCAAAATCGCTTCGTTCCGCCGGAGTGGACCGGCCTCTCCGCCACCAATACCTGCATGTGCATACTTGCATGTCTTTGCTCGTGTTGAACGAAACCCCAGAGGCTGAGGTACGCTTTATGACTATCGGGACAATCTGCAAATTCCCCGATAGGCCTGATTAGGCAGGCGATGAAACTGGTTCGGGTGGAGATCGATAGTCAAGCATAAGATTTGGCATTAACCACCTTCCGTAATGGTCAATCTTGAAGAGAATCTCGCCATTTCACCTTGTGCCTGGACCTCCGGTTCCAAGTAAAAAAAAGGTCTTTCCTCCCGCTTTTCACCCAGACTTTGTACTTCCTATCCTCCGATGAGTTCAACAAAGACTCACACTCACACCAAATCAGCTTCCAGCAACATGACTTGGAGCAACTTCCACGTCGGAAGAGACTGTGGTCATGTCAAGTGGTCTCGAAACATCACACCCAAATTGACCGTCTCATCAGGCCAGACTGTCACTTTTGATGCTATTGATAGTAGCAACGGCCAACTGACACCAACCTCGGATGCTTCAGCTATCAGCACATTGGATCTCGGTCTCGCCAACCCTGTTTTCGGTCCCATTGTCGTACAGGATGCTCAACCGGGTGATGTTCTAAAGATCGAAGTACTCGACCTCGAAGTCGCAGACTGGGGTTGGTCCGCCATCATTCCCGGCTTCGGTCTTTTGGCCGATGAATACACAGAGCCGGAAATCAAGATCTGGTCTCTCGACCGCGAGAAGGGCTACGCACAGTTTAAGAACATGCGTATTCCTCTCCGTCCCTTCCTCGGATGCATGGGGCTGGCCCCCGGCAACGACGAAGAGCTCTCAACCGTCCCACCTACCCACCACGGCGGTAACATGGACTGCCGTGAACTCAGCGTCGGCTCCACCGTCTACCTCCCAGTCCAAACAGCCGGTGCCTTCTTCAGCTGTGGTGACGGACACGCAGCCCAAGGCCTCGGTGAGGTCTGCGGCACTGCCATCGAAACTCCTATCCGGGCAACCTTGCGTTTCGAACTTTGCAAGAACCAGCCTTGGGTGACAGCACCCCAATACCAGACACCCCCTCGTGCGCAAATACCCAACCCGTTGCCGGATCTTGGGACCTACGGTGCTCTCGGAGTCTCGTCGGACTTGTTCCAGGCCGCGAAGAGCGCCACACAGAACCTCATTCAGTGGCTGGTCTCCACTAAGGGTCTTACTCGGAGTGAAGCCTATATTCTGGCAAGTGTAGCCGGGGACTTGCAAATCGTCGAAATTGTCAACGTGCCTAACTTTGAGGTATCGATGAGTGTTCCGTTGGGTATTTTCAGTTAATTGGAGATGATTTCGTAGGAGGTTTTGGAGAATTGATACCCAGAGATGGTTGGATAGGTTTTGTTTGTAAATATCATCATGCTTGAGCCTTTACCGGCATAGGAAGCGGAGACCCAGATACTAATGCATCTTAAGGATTTATGACTTGAAGAGTATTTGTAATGTTTGAATGTAATTGTCCATTTTGCGAGGCAATCAACCAATGCGACCGGGAGAATTCAATCATACGACAATGATTTGTTTATCACTTTCCTCTTACTTATTCTCCCTCGCATGTGAATCACCATGTTAGGTGTAAATTGTAATTGACTGCATATTTGGACGTCACATGACAGCGCGTCCTGTCGCGTCCGGCGATCAACCAAAGCGGATCCTCATCCCCATATTACAGATCATGGATCATGGACCCCGTCCTCGATGGTCTGAATTCTGCCCAACGACAGGCAGTGACTTCCCCTGATCCTGTTTTACAAGTTCTCGCTCCTCCTGGCTCCGGAAAGACAAAGACCTTAACCGCACGTGTCGCGTACCTTCTCTCACACCATGGATACTTGCCCCAAGATGTTATTTGCTGCACGTTCACCATTAAAGCGAGTCGTGAGATGCGCGAGCGTCTCTCAAAGCTGGTTGGAGAACGTGTGCAGTCACGTTTAATCCTGGGTACATTTCACTCGATTTGTCGGCGGTACCTGGTCAAGTATGGATACTTGATTGGTCTGAGGAAGGGGTTTGGGATTGCCGATTCGGATGATAGTCGAGGAATTCTTCGGGTATGTGCAGCTCTCGGCTCTTGTTGTTGATAATTTGCTGATTGTAATAGCGGATCATCAAACGGTTAAACTCCGCCATCGAGGTCAAAGCCGCCCAAGGTCGAATCTCGCGCCACAAAGCCCATGGACTTGGTCCGGATGACTTGGTACAGCGGGTGAAAGCCGAGGAGCTGGAACTGGTGGATATCTATCGCCAATATGAAGCGGCACTTGCAGCATCCAACCTTTTGGATTACGATGATCTGCTCGTGAGATGCGGGCAGCTTCTGAGAGAGCATCCGGATTGCGTGTCGAATGTGCAAGCAGTGCTGGTGGATGAGTTCCAGGATACGAATATTATACAATACGATCTGATGAACCTTTTTGCGGCAAAGAATCGTCGCATCACTATTGTCGGGGATCCCGATCAGAGCATTTACGGGTTTCGGTCTGCTGAGATCCAGAATCTGAAACGGATGCAGAAACGATACTCGAATACCTCCATTGTCCTTTTGGAATCCAACTACCGCTCATCTGCTGCCATCTTGAGCTCTGCACAGGATGTGATTGAGCAAGATACTGCGCGTCCTGATAAAAAACTACAACCGACCCATTCCCATGGAACTATGCCTGTTCTAAGGAAACTTCCAAATTCCACCGCTGAAGCCCATTGGATGGTTCTTGAGATCAAAAGATGTATTGCCATGACAGGTGGCGTCTTGCGCATGTCCGATTTTGCAGTGCTACTGAGATCTGCCTCACTATCCACTCGGATAGAAACAGCATTTGGGCGCGCCGGTATCCCATACAAAATGGTTGGCGGTCGCAAGTTCTTTGATCGGACAGAGGTCAAGACGCTGATCAACTATATGAGGGTTGTGAGTCATAGTGAGGGCACCGACGCGCTTCTTGGTATCATCAATGTTCCACCGCGGAGAATCGGAGACGAGACGATCAAACAGTTGACGAACGGTGCGGAAAAAGCCAATGTCCCTCTGTGGACATTCATCAAGGACGTTATCCAAGGCCGTCGTTCGACCGAGAAGAAGCTGCAAAAGGCAGCAGAGCTGGGACTCTGCTCGCTGATGAAGCTGATCGATGCGTCTAAGCAGAGGCTACAGGAATGTGAAGATGCATCGGCGCCACGGGTGCTCCTCGAGTACATCACCGAGAGCCTTTCGTTCCAAGAATATCTCGTCAGAACCTATCCACTGGATGAAGACGGTCGCTGGGCAAACGTCAAGGAGTTGATGGGTCAAGCTAATGAAGCTGCACTCTCAAGCGATGACCCCGGTCAAGAGGAAGACCTCCCTGAAATTGAAGGGATTGAACAACAGAAAGTACATGCAGGAGAAGAGGCCCTCTCCCGCTTCCTAGCAAATGTTGCCCTTGCTACTGAAGCAGCTACAAAGGATGAAGGAGACCAGGTGACTGAGAAAGTCACAATCTCCACCATCCATGCTGCTAAAGGTTTAGAATGGCCCGTTGTTTTCATCCCGGCCGTATACAATGGAAGCATCCCGCATTCTCGAGCAGAAGTCCTTGAAGAAGAGAGGCGGTTGCTTTACGTGGCGATGACTAGAGCTCAGGCTTTGTTGTACCTAAGTCTCCCACTACGACAGCCTCGCATGGGCGAAGGAGAGGATTCATCCACCACTCTGACACCGTTTCTTCCTTCCAAATTGATCAAGACTCGCTTTCGCCTCATGGGCCCTCAGTTGCTGGAAAATGTTGTGTACGCCATTGCTGATATCCTGCGTCGACCACGCCCTGCCGTTGAAGACATGTACAAATCGCTGGGATCCCTTCCATCAACACTTGATGATCAGTGGACGGCCGAAGGCGAAGAGAAGAACAAGGGCGAGTCCGGATGGAAGACCTCCCTGGAACCATCAGGAGAACCTGACCCTAAGAGACGGCGTTCGGACATGAACCAGTCAACTACCACCACGTACATGTCAGGTGGACAGAGCATGGGTAACTCATCGAATTTCATGGTCCCTACCACGCTCAACTCCGGGTTCTCATCTGCTCGTGACTACATCACGGCCAACCCGAGTCAGGCAACAATGGAAACCAAGGCAACAGAAAACGTCCCGGCCAGTCAGGCGAAGAGCATCAGCCGCAAAGAAGGACTCAGTCAAGCCAGCATCTCAAACTTCTTCGGCGGGCCAGGGTCCTCCCAGAAAGCGTCCACCACCAGCATGCCCGCCCAACCTCGAAGAAATCAGGTGACATCAAATCTGGGCTCTACTACCGTTCCGCCTACGTTATCTTCCCACCGTCTCCAGCCACGGCCATTGCAGCCTACGCGACCAACCTTGGAACCTGCTGAGCCTAACAATTACACGTGGCTGGCGGCTCCGTCTAGACCTGTAGTGAAACCTGCCCGGATGCTGACCCCGAATGGAAACAACACAGCGGACACAGGGACCAGGGCGGAAGAGGTGAAACAAGAGAGCTCCACCCGCGGAGTCCATTCAGTGACCTTCCACACGACCACTATGACCACGGTGCGCCAGCAAGCCCAAGCTCCGGGGCGACGGACACTAGGGATCCGGCGGAGTATGAATGGATGGGAGGAGCGGATGAAGCGGGAGGGCGGGGGCTAAGTACGTGTAACAGAATAGCCATGATAACATAAGATTCTGTTTTTTTTAAGACCTCTCACCTCGCTGCGTGAGGACCCAATGGCCAACTCATATGATGTTGGGGAGTCCGAGTGGAGTAGACGCGAGGATGCTGGGACTCGGCTGCCCAAGCAATAGGTCAGATGGGATCCGCAGGGAATCTCGGTCTGGGGAGTGACGCACATGCCCGAGAAAGGTCTACGTAGTACGGAGTACGGGGTATAGAGACAATCAACCCACATTTGTGTGCATGCCGTGAATAATTATGACCCCGTGAACAAGATTGATCAACCAGATCCATACTTCTATTGGATAAGACTTGCGCTATCTAAAAGATCCGCAATGATCAACTGGTACCTGAATAATTGGCTCATTGAGGGAGGAATTCATGAGTCTGGACTCAAGTGGACCGAGTCGGTGAAGGGAAGCCCCCTGGATCGTTGACATCATTTGAATCCCGAGAATCCTTGCCTTTAAGCGGTGAGGCTGAGGAATTCTGGTAACATGAATACATTGAGTAATTCACTAGGATGAGTTGAGTTAGTTTCGTAATCAAAATGACACTATTTCTGGAAATTACCGCATAGGAATGGCTGACTCATCATTATTGGATCCACTTGTACGGTTTTGGCGTATTTGACACGTTGACGTTGATTGGCTGCCCTGCTTTCGGTGTATCTTCCAGACCAATAATCATCATTTGTTCGGTAAAACCGAATAGTTACCAGGCACCACAATACGTCAAGGGGCTGATCCATTCCCGTGAGCTTTGTGAGAGCTCCCTGGCGACGATACTCGTAGATCAGATGCGCTCAATTGGGAATGGCCCGGGGTATACAAAAGGGCCGGCCTGCTGCTGCTTCATCCTTACACTATACTAATTCTAACAACTCGACCAACATACTATCTTTGTTTCTATCGTTTATACTATACTTCTGTGTTAAGTTTGGACTCGTTCACTCGTAGTTCAACACGGCATCAGCTCATACACTTCATTAATCTCACCCTACCTTGTCTTACCTCTTACCTTTCTTTTTTCTATTTTCACCAACGACATGCCACACAAAGTCACCAACGACTCCAATTCCACTCTAGCCAGCAGAGCCAGTGGTGATCAAGTCATCGCTACAGAAGTTCGAGGTATGTCAACCCATCGACTGTCTGGTGTACACTGTACTCCAATCATCAAACCACACCCTTGTTCGATCTCCAGATTCAGTCCGGCTAATGCGGACCCGTCTAGTCACCGCCAATACCGTCCGCAAACCCCCGGTCGTGGTACACAATAAAGGCGGCCAGATCTACGACGAAACACGTCCTTCAGACTGGGACAAACAACGCTGGAAATAGTCTGCACATGCAGCTTGCAATCAATTCCTCTAGCAGCAACAACAACACGCCGGGCTCAGTTCAATTTGGTTCGGTTGGGGTGGGAAGAGAGTCGACGATACGAGACTCTCTCCTTTCCCTTGATTCATTTTATTTTATCCGCGCGGCTTGCCCGGCTGAGCTGAATTGAACTGGACTGCATTGGATCTGGATCTGGATCTGGACTTGAGCGGGCCACCAACCGGAAAGGGAAAGCAACTCTAAACGAAAGTGAGGCGATGATCGACACCCCAAAAAGATGGTACTTGCGCAACTCCGAAGTTACGCAAGATCCCAATATCTTTCCCCTTTTCGGGTCTGGAGTTTGTCCATTCCAGCTTCAGAGACGGGAAAGAAGGGATGGGGATTGGGGAGACAGGAGACACGCCTCTTCGTCACCGCTATCTGTTAATGATCTCCGCCCCTGACCCGATTTGGCGAGTCTAGCCCTTTTCGTTTCCTCATTTTTGAGCTCTGGCTCCAATCCTGTCCATTTGCCAAGCTGCTGGGGGAATTATTTGCTTTTTCGTGTTTTTTTTTTTTTTCTTGCCCCGGGTTTCCTCGCTTTCCGTAAAGGGAGAGCTTGGGCTGGGGAAGGGGGATCCACTCCTGTTCCGATCCCCCTTGTCTATCTGCACCCTTGTATCATTATGCGGAGTTCTGGTTTTGGCGCTTTTTGCTTTTTTGTTTATTTCCCGCTTACACTCCCTTGGATACTGACGGGGAATTCTTGGAGAGAAAGACGACCAATTCAGGTCTTGTCTAGTCTTGCCCAAGGTTTCCCTGACTGTTCTACACGCCTCTCTTCTCTCTCCTCTCCTCTCTACCTTCTTCACCTTTTCTTCTCCCTCACATCTTCCTTTCGATTGTTATTTTTCTTCGAGGTCCGTCGACCACCGAGAGATTGACACGTGTCATATTATTGTACACCCCTCCTAGCAGCATTTGCTGCAGGATATACGACGGTCCTCGCACAGAGACCTTCTGACCTGTCCTTTTCTGTTTTCTGTTCCGGCGATGCATAGCGTGGGTTTTGGGTTTGGGTTATGGGTCAATGAGCGAATCTTTTGTATTTTGAAATCTCCTTACCATCTGTCTGATTTGAATATCGACTGAATTGAATCATGATCATGCGCAGTTTGACTTGATGTCTCTGTGGTTTGGATCTATCATTTTTTACTTGGATTGTCTAGCACGTAATTTATCTACTCTACATTTGCTATTGTAATATGGTTAAATGGTTACTGTAAAGACAATCCGTCTGCTTAGCTTTTCTATATGTATCTTCGTTCTGGTATTATGGAGATGGCCTACACAGATAGCGTAGTACTTATATCCACACCTCTGCCCTTTTATTTACCAAGTACGGTAAGTACCTTTTCAAAGTACTCCCAACCTATCAGCAGTGAAACAGAAGGGATTAGAGCAACATCTGTAATCCGAGAGCAATAAGTAAGTGAATAAAGCAGGGCTACCTAGCCTCCCAACTCCAACAGAAGTAGATAGGGAAACCAGCCGCTTGTGATGTTAACCTACTCTAGGAGAACTGTCTAGAAAGTTTTCAGCTCCCCCACAGCGACAATAAAACGCTCGGGCAAATCGACAAGGCCCAGAATATCGGAATTAGAGTGAGATGAGACATCAATGCGTGGTAGTCCCCAAACCTGAGATGCGACAACTCTGTCCTGCAAGCGCTTTCTTGACAGCGTCACAGATATTCTTCGAAACCGGCCAGTCAGCCTCATCTAATTTTCAACGTAAACTAAGACCATCCGTATCATCAGATCTGTGACGCCTGGTACTGTTGCACCCGCGTAGTCATCACTCTCTGGAATGGCTTCTTGACACGCGATGCGGCTGCAATTTCGTCGTGGGGTTCGACACCAGCGATTGAGCTCAGATCGTGCCTGAGGACCGACTTCTTTTCATGCTAACAGGGGCCGTAACTGGCTTCGGGACTGGCTGACATATCCATCCGAGTCTCTCTCCTCAGCAACATGACACGTTACGGCGGGTCTTGTGTGGGTTGAGGCACCGTTGGCATTCCTCTTTGTCCTCTCCCTCAGAAGGTCCCTGTGTTGTGCTCGCAACTGTCCATCTCGGTCAAAGGCGTCCTGGTGACTTTCGCTTCTTGTGTCAAATCTAGTCGGTTACAGGTATGAAGGGATTCCTTTCGAAAATACTTCCAACTCGTGAAAAAGCGAGAGCTGTATCACTTTTTTTGAAGATGAGACAGACAGTCAAGATTTCGTTCTCGCTTGCTAGCTTTGGTGAGGATTGTATGAGTAGTGTTGTCAAGATTGATCAAGTTCTCTGAAGTCAAAAAACCCACATGAATGATGATTTATGATTCTATGTCCTTATTTTGAGGCCACCATTCCCTTTACATCCACCTTGATATCTCCCAGCATATAACCCTTCTCCCTAGCAACTGGCCACTCAGTCAAAATAGTCTGCTTGACCTTCTCACTTCGCGGAACAAACCTAAGCTTACTCTGCTTCGGCAAGGTGTTCACACCACTAGCATAAGCAGCATCAGAAACATCTACATGGCCAACCTTACCATCCTCCATCGGTGGAAGAATCTCAAATGCCCAGATGATGCTAGCAATTGTAATGAAAAGACCGTTTTCCGCTCAATGCATCCCAGGACAGATACGACGGCCTGCACCGAAGTCGAAGTGAATTTGCTGCTCAGGATCAGGGCTGGCGGTATACACGCCTGCCTTTAAAGGGTAGTCCAGGTATCGGTCTGGGATAAAGTCGTCGGGACTTTCCCAGCGATTGGGATCATAATGGAGCGCATAATGGTTCATCGTGACCACTGTGCCAGCGGGTATAAAGTAATCTTTGTAGATAACATCGGCCGTTGTATAATGGGGGGCTCCGATACTAAACTAATGTATTAGTCATTGTATGTGTAGATTGGTCCTGGATAAGTTCCTACTTCGTGATGGGTCGAATACGCAGGATTTCTTTCACGCAAGCTCGAATATAGGGAAGGTTATCTTCGTCTTCAAATGATGGGAACCTGTCCTCATCAACCACTTTCTGGACTTCAGCGTAGGCCTTTGCTTGGGCTTCTAGGTACGCGGCAAAGTATTTCACACACGAATTCAAGGCGGCGGAGGTCGTATCTGAGCCGGCTTCGATCATTGCTGCGATAAATTAGCATCATTGAGTGTAGTCTTACTCATGGGTATCATACTGCCAGCCACGAAACTGGCTTGTAGATCGCTGATGTCGTTTTTATCGTAGCCCGACTCAACGACGCTCTTGACAAAGCACTCTGGTGCCTCGTTCTGCTTGATAATTTGCTGGAGTTCCGTGAAGTATCTCATCCATATTGATGCCTGTCGCTGGAAAGAGCGCTCGGCTGCCTTCCGCCACCATTGCATCCAGGTAGGGAGCTTGGAAAGAGGTGGGAATACTTCTGCAAGATATTTTCCTGGCTCCGCAGCTTCGCTGAAGTCTCCGCATCACTCCATATATTTCGCGAACATCCTCACAATCCTGATAGTAGGTTAATCTTGACTAGATATAGTTCCTGAGGTTTACTTACCCATTTAGGAATCCGTCGTCCGTATGTTGAAGTCATTACCACTAAACACAAGTCAGCGTGGTCAAGTGTAATTGGGGAAAACTACGAACCAGATGTTGTGTATCAGCGAATATGCATGTAAAAGTCCTCCTGATTCGCGTTATCAGTTAGGATATCCCACAGGAGTTGTTTTGCCTCAAACTCCTGCGACGGTATGAAAGCGTTGGATGACTTGAGCGTTAGAACCTGGCGAACTATTGCCCGCAGTTTCTGCCATTTTGGTGTGTATGGCATAAACAATAGACTATAACATACCAAGTTAATTTTCTGGTAACAAAACATAGACACAAAGCCAAAGTCTGAACTTTACCGCATGCCACCCGAGATGATATTCGACACAACGGGACTAGGAGCCCGTGAAGAGGTGTGCTGGGATTGCTTGTTGAAGATGTCCTTGACAGCTTCAGGGCTGTTCACGAACACCCAGTTTTCCCAACCAAGTCGGATTTGGAAGAGCTCGCCATGTTGCCGAGCCCATTTACGCCACTGCCGCTGTGGGTATTCACCCAATTCATTGAGTTTCCCGGCTACGGGAACATCACGAAGGCCAGCGGGTGCTCTTTGCGATTTGAAATGGTAAGTGAAAACTAGGTAGGCAGCCGCTGCCAGTAGAAGGAGTGTTATAAGTGCCATATTTGTGTGATCATAGGCATTTTGAAGACAACCAGCGAGCAGACGAGGGGTTTTATAAGGTCCTTTTGATAATAAATCGCCCCCACTTTGCACGGCCATATACGGTAAAGAGTGCATGCACCGAACAAACAATGTCCTCTAGCCTATCAGACTCCTCGGCCCCATGTGTAAAGCATTTCCCACACTATAAGACGACGCTTTCCAAGCTTTTCGTTGATGATTATGATTGAATTTACGCAAACATATAGAATTTAGTCTTGAAGCTAGATGGAATGCCCTTTTATAAACTTGCATGAACATTTGAGCCCTGATAAGCTTGATTCAAGAGTTGAAAGTAGTCTGAGTATGGCTCATTGGATTAGAGTAAGTCTACACAACAACATAATGTTTGATGCGTCATCTAATATAGGTCTATGACAGAACATTTGAAACCCTACGCAAATTTGGATGAACATGGTTCATAAAGAACCCAACATACCTAACAGAATTGTTATGGATCAGACAAAAATCTCTTCGGAGCCCAGGAATAAATTTATAAGACGACTCAGAAGGTGTCTAGAAGAGCTTGGCAGCCCATACGTGGTGTAACGTCGTGTCCCCGTCTCTACAAGATATACCTCAGGTACCGCCGCACCTAGGAAGGGCCGATCGCTCTTTGATGCTTAGTAACAAAGGCAAACTAGTATAGCCTGAATATCAAGGTGTAAGTTACCAAATCGGGATATTTGCTTACACACAGAGTACTGACGTATTTCACGGGCGGGTCACTCACACAAGCGGGTCGCTCTCTAGGGTCCTTTGATTGATCAATTCGTCGCTCAAGATCAGCATTTCATTCGCAAGTCTCTCATTTCACAAGATGGGAGAGAAAGTCCCAAAGAGACAGGCATGCCACGGATCCTGCCACTGCGGATTAACGCAGTACATCGTCTTCCTGACCCTTCCACATCCGTTTTCGTCGTCCCATCCACCACAAGAAGGGGAACAAGAAGTCTATCGCTGTAACTGCAGCACGTGTCACAAAATGAACTTCTTTCACGTTAATCCTGCCAATCCTCGAGACGATTTCATGCTCCTTTCACCACTTGATCCAGATCATGGATTGAGTATCTACCAATGTTACGACAAGAAACGGAAATTCTACTTCTGTCCAAAATGTGGAGTGCGATGCTTTACATTTACTGGAGTGGGCGGGACAGATTTCGTGGAATTTGCAGAGCTAGCTGAAGACCAAGAAGGAAAGAGAGAGGTTTGGCGAGCGAAGTGGGATGGAGATGATGATACGAGGCCGTATGTTTCAGTTAATGGGACTACGATTGACTTTAGAGAGGATTTCGACTTAAGTGTTCTCACTGAGGAGAGGAGAGTGCAGTATCTTGATGATCGGAGTGAGCCCGAGGAGAAGAAGCAGGAGGCAAGATGGGATAGACCACATTATGGTGGAAGTTATTGACCGATCGTGACTGGTTGGTGGTTACTAACACTTAACCCACTGCGGGTTGGGCCAAGGGCTGGAGATTCCGGCCCTGAGAACATTTTTAAGGAGGTCTACTTGTGTGATCGATTCGTTTATGAAATACGTTAGGTATTGAGAAAGGAGTAGGGGTGATCCCCTAAATTTCACAGAGGAGCTTTGGGGTGTACAGCGCTACAGATCACGTTGTAATATCTGTGGCTTCATGCTGTCTAGTCTAATAGATCCTCTTCTTACAGCGATAGGGCTCACGAAACAGCCCCACGTACTCCGCTGAACGAACATTTACCAAAACACGCTCCTCCCGTTCAACTCACCACATTCATCCAACATGGCCAATATCTACACCTGTAGTCTGTTCTCTGGCCACGAACTCCTGCAGGAGAAGGATGCTTGGGTTGCTGCTATCTCGGACTCGCCGAAGCCCCCATCCAAGCGCATCACTTTCACTTTGCCTGTCGTTGCCGCTGCTACTCGAATTGCGTTCATTGCCACAGGCGAGGGCAAGAAGGAAATTTTAAAGGCCATATTCGATTCCGAGGACGGTCGCAGTCTTCCTTCAGCTTTGGTTAACCAGGCCGCTGGTGACAAGGTTACCTGGTTCACTGATTCTCCTGCTACCGAAGACGTTGTCTATGCCCGCCGAAGCACGTGAGTCTTTTCTTCAGTCCAATGGGGTTGGATGAAAGATGTTATAAGTGAAGAACAGACGAGCAGCTCCAATTCGGAAGAACTGTACATATCATGTTTCATATATCATATCTTGGTGTTGACTGTTAAAGTGGGGTCCACTTATCCGGGGTCCCAGTTAGGATTAGATCGACGGGGCTCTCTGCTTATCTGCTTATTTTCTCTACTTTCCCCTCATTCCCCCAAAGTACATTCTTCTCTTTACAATACTTTTTACCGGTTTCATGACTAGCCCTCGACGATGACATATGACTCTATTTCCATGTTTGATGCATAGACAAGCGGACAAGATTCTGAATTCCAACATTTGATACACCCTTTCTCTAGTTCAAACTTTACATCCAAAGACGATATTGCCCGGCCAAACTTAAATATATACAATCCAATCTTATTCGCCATGAGTACAGCACAATGGCGTTCATCAACATGGTTCATTGTCACAGCAATGGCGGCTGCCCTCTTCACCGGTATCGGGTCTGTAACTTCAACCCAAATCTCATAGACTAACCGCTCGACTCTATCAGATACATTTCTGGCCACTTTCGTCGTGCCCATCCTTCCATACATGCTCGAAGGCCGAGTGGGCCTAGACCCATCCCGCACGCAGAGCATGATCTCCTGGCTACTAGCGGCGAATTCGGCTGTCACTGTTATTGTTCGAATTCCGTTGGCTCATTTCGCGGATCAGTCTGAGTCTACTCGTGGCTGGTTTCTCTGGGCATTGGGGATTGCCTTGCTTAGTACCGTTGCGACGGCAGTTGGGTCATCTTGTACGTCTCAATATTGAAGGTTCTTTTTCAGCTGCTGATCGGATCTTATATGAAGTGGTTGTGCTATTTATTAGTCGATCGGTGCAGACTATCGCCAGTAGTATTATGTGGGTCGTGGGATTCACAACCGTGGCAAATACCGTTTCGCTTGAAAATACCGCTAAGACCTATGCTCTGATCTCCATGGCGGTCTCGCTGGGTGCATCTACTGGGCCTATGCTGGCAGGTATGTTTTTCCAGCTAGCTGGGTACTGGGCAGCATGGTCGATTGCCTTTGTGGTCCTCGGCATCGATATGACGTTTCGTTTGTTGATGGTGGATAAGACGCGGGAGAAAGAAGGTGAGTGCTGATGTGCTGAATGATGATCAGCTTCTGACATATGTACCATCTGCAGAAGATATCACCGGTGACTCGATTACCAATCCGGTCTCTGAAAGATCCCCACTCCTCTCAACCCACTCTGAAGAACCTGAAGTCTATGCGACACCCGAGACGAGACCGAATTTCTACCGGTGCATCTTTGGCATGCCCAACTTCGTGGCCGGCACATACTGCAACTTTATGTATGGTATTTTGCTCACTAGCTTCAATGCTACAGTTCCCCTGCATGTTCGTGACGTATTCAGCTGGGGCGGCATGGAGTCTGGTCTCATGTTTGCTGCTCTGCAGATTCCGAGGCTTATGATGTCTCCTTTCGTGGGCTGGTTGAAAGACCGGGTTGGAACGAAAATGCCGACAGTCTTTGGATTCGCCTTATTAGCCCCATTGATGTGGCTTGTGGGCGTCCCAGGCAGTGCGCAGGATTCACCTATCGGCAATCGGGGGCCTGCCCTATATGTAACGACGATGATCTTGATTGGATTCAGTATGACCTTTTTGAATGGATTAGGATCTATTGAAGCAACAGGTAAGCCACCACCTTCAAAAGCAGTCTGTCTGTTCACTGACGCAAGAAGTGGCGGCGACTGAGCTCGGGCGAAAATACCCTAAGGCCTTCGGTCCAAATGGTGGAAAGTCTCGTGCCATTGCAATCGTCGGTATAGCCTGGGTATTGGGGACATGCGTAGGTCCTCTTTTGAGTGGGAAGCTCAACGAAAAATTCGGATACTACGTGATGAATTGCGTCATGGGTGAGTATTCTCTCGATGATATCCCGTCCAGTGTTAACTTGTCTTAGCTGGACTATGTGCTTTAACTACTCCTGTTGCGTTTCTTTACCTCCCCTCACGACTGACCCCCACCGAAGTCCAAAAAATCCATCAGACATCTACTGAGCAGTGATTGCTGGTACGCCTTGTTTTCTGGGACTTTCATTCTCCACTTTAGACCTATTTCTCGCCTAACTTCATTTTCCAAAATTGTAGATGTGTATAAAATATTGATTTGGTGACTTTTTATGCGTTTTAATATTGGCTACGACTAAAGAATTAGAGACTTTCTACCGTCACTCCCTTTTCTGCTACCGTCACTCCCCTAATGGCTTTTATTTTCTCAATACATCAAGTCCACACCACCTTCGCAGGCGCCTTCCAACCTTAGATTTTCTAGTCCACCTACCCAACCCCAACCTAATAGGGCTTAAGATAAGGGAGGCTCGTATTACCACCACTCTCTATCTACCCCTCTATTACTTGGGTACACCGCAGACTTTTTAGACATGCGTTCAAAACTTCCACCAGACTTTTCCTTTTTTCCCCTTCTCCTAATACTTCACTTTTTTTCTCTTTCTGTTCTATTCCGCTATTTATGAATCTTTTGACCACTTGATTAATATGGTACGAAAGAAGGTAGAATACTAGATAAGATACCGAGTAGGAGACTAAGTAGGAGACTAAGTAGGAAACTGAGTATAAGATATAGTAGGAGATGCGGTCTAACACCTAAGTAGACGCCGCGCTTTTTGCGCGGCGGAAAGCCTCTAGTACATAAATAATCAGGTTCATCAGTTGACCTGTTTACTTCAAGCTATCCGTTCCCCCATCAATATTCCATTCTGCCTATTTGCCCTCTTTGCTCTCTAATAATGGCCACAGCCTCGAGGTAAGACATAGATATGGCTTTTGACTGCTCGCCATCTTTCAATCCGGACTCTACATCACCCTTTTCCGCCTTCGGCTTGGATGACTGCCTCATACTCCGAAGACTAGAAAGAACTGCAAAGAAATCTCTGCTGAATAACAAACCTTGTGTGGTAAGGAGTGTCACCACTTTGAGCCACCAGATAAATACTTCCGAGTTCCGATCAAGTAAACGCCAGACTTGAGTGGGTCTCCAGAGTCCATTTTGAATGGGACGCAGGAGAAATGGCAGTGAGACCACAATGATCAGAAGAACGATAAATGCCACTACAGAGCAGATCACCATGTGCTGCAGTACGTCTGTGGGTGGCGAACTTTGCATACTGTAGATGCTAGCGGCGAAAGCCAGTGGCTGGAAGATGACAGTCGCATATGTGAAATACTTGACATTGTCGTTCTGCTGGAAACTACGTTCAGTCATATGACGATCATAGTTATTCTTGGCCTCATCGCTCTGATACTGCAATGACTTGATGAGTGATGCTGTCTTTGCTCGCTCGCTGTGAAGTTCACGTTGGGCGTTTTGACTCAGCAAGAGGACATGGTTGAGAGCATCGCGGTATTTTCTTTCATCTTTACTCGTCCATCTTGGCTGCTCTGTTCGGCGATCTTGCTCTCTCGTTTCCCAGGCATTGGTATTTTCCCAAACCCTGTCCAGCTGCTCATCCAAAATCTCGAGCACCTCATGCAACGATGCCCATTTTTTGAGTGATTCAAAGTAGACTGCCGTGTCATAAGGATCCAGTGACCCTTTCTTCCCCTCGGCCCGGTTCTCTGCGCCGGTCTTAACCGCCAATTTTTCTCGAATTATGTCCGTGATACTCCGCGTGCTTTTGTTGACGTGCGTGAGGATGCGGTAGAAGAGCAGTAGCTCAAGTATTTTTCTCTGCTGCCAGACGTGTTGCCTACCACCAGAGAACAAGCCTTCGAGCCTCTTGTTATCCTGACCAAAAAAGTCCCTGATATTGCCCTCCAGTGGCTCTCCAGGGTAGCTCTCGATGAAATGACCAGTCCAGAACCGGTCAAAGAAATCACCACAGAATCGGAAGCTTGCCGCCGCACGGACAAGTCGGTGACTCTCAAATTTTGGTAGCTCATCCATCGCAAGTCGTAACATTTCACACGTCAAAACTGGGGGAGCATCTTTGCCAGTCTCGACCAATTGCAGAAAGCCGCAATGGAACTCGGTTTCCCACATGTTCCTTATTCGACTTGTCTTGTCTTCGACAAGTACAGCAGAACTTGCGTGGCGATTGAAGAATGTCCGGATCGGCTGTCTCTCCGAAGGAGGGGAGACGAGGAAGCACATGAGTGCATAGTCCCTTGGTGCGTTCTGGAACCATAGCAATCTTTTCTTCGCAGTGTCCATGTCTCGCAATTGTTTCAAGCGCTTCCAAGAGTCGCCGATTGTGTCATATTGGGACATGCGTTCGTTAAGTTGCCGTGCCTTTTTCGCTCGAGATTTCTTCTTCTGCACATCAATCATCATATGTTGACATTCAGCCGATTGAGGAATTTTGGGCTCGTAACTCTGGCCCTGGACTTCTTGGGATATTTTGGACTCGTGAGCATCGAACCAGTCAAGGCTGGCCCTAAAGATGGTATCTTGGTAGAGCTGAAATGGAGAGACCTGATGCAAGCGTTCTTGCTCTGGAATTAATGTCATCAACGTGGTTTCCCCAAGCTCCGGGTTAAATTGCTCTTGAATAAATTCCGACGGGTCGAATTCAAAGAAAGGTGGAGAATTGTAGAGCCACTCTTCCTTCACGTTGACGATGTTATTCTCATCAATCTTTTCGTTGAATGGGACCGTTCTCTCCAGCCGCTGAGTAGCACTATCAGGGAACCCATCTGCTGCTGTGTGGCTTCTTTGCTCATGGGTGAGAGAAGGAAATTCACCTTTACCTGGGCCCGATAGCAGATACAGAGTCTCAAATGGTATATTGAGCAGGAGATCACGGTGGTAAGAGGCGTCTTCCTCCCCTCCAGCGCTATCCAGCTGGTCTGGAATAAGACCATTGATTAGTATACTCTTCTCGATGATGTCTTTGGACCTTTGAAATAGCTTGTCGGCGCCAGGTTGGCCGCGTTGCAAAGCCAACAGTAAGTTTAGCCCATGGTATAATGGGTTGTCTGTTTCACCCCACTCCAGGTTTGAAAAGAAATACCTCTGAATTTCCATGGCGCTGTACCACCGGGGATCGGTCTCATCCAGCATTCGTTTATCGTTGATCTCGTAGAACAAGGCCGTGTCACGGGAATGGAATGCGAATCGTGTTTCTCGAGAAGACCTTGTCACTGCCAGCATTCGCTGTTTTGCGGGATCGTTGATCGTGGTAAAGCGTTGGGTGATTTCCCTCTTGACCCTGTCTGGATCATACGTGCGTGCAAGATTCTTCCATTCAGTCTCCCATTTGGGAATGTCGGCCTTCTTGTTAATTTTGGATCCTTTCGCGAAGAAGGACGCTTGAGTCCATTCAAACATTATTGCGATAGCACTTATGGCATTCCAGATCCAGACGTGATCATCCAATCGAAAATAGACAATACCATCCCGGTGCCCATGGGGCCAGGCGAAGAAACCTCGCTTATTTTCTCTGTCAAGAGCTTGCATCCATTGAAACGCAATGTTGTCTTCAGCCTGACCTAGAAATTGTTGAGGAACATTTTGCCTGACTTCTCCTTCAGGTAAGAAATTCCAATACTCGTACAGCTTGAGCAATTGGAATGGAGTATCCGTTGGACCGTCCGGAAGGAGCTGAGGAGATTCTGACATCAGTTCGCCATTTATCCAATAATTCCTCGCAAATTTGCCCTTGGTGGCTTTTTTAGCCGTTTGAAAAACCCATCGGAGGTGCGCCAGGCATTTCTCTTGGATCCGTGTCCGCAAGGGGTGGTCCTCTCTTAGATCTCTCGCTACGCCGAGGAGGAATTTGAATGCAAAGCTTCAAATAATAAGAATCAGGATCATTTAACCGCATTTCAGGATGGGATACCTACAAGCTCGCTGACACGCAAACTCGATGACCAGACATGTCGCCGCATGTCAGTGCTATGACCTCCTCCCCCTTCGAAACTTCACGCTGAGCGACGGGAATCATGCACACGGAGAGTATGTGTTCTACATTTCTCCCAATGTAGAACTCACGATCGAAAAGAAATTCGTCTTTCGGTATGTCATTTTTGATTTGTGTCTCAGACAGAAACTGATCAATATCCACATCTTGTGCTGTGATGACTAGACGCTTCCAGTCTGAATCGTCATGCGGCAGGAAGACCAGCTTGTAACCGCAGACCAGTTGAAATTGACTATTTTTCGGGACAAGTCGAGTTATTCCGTTTTCAGATCCCACGCTGGGGATTACTTCTCCATTAATGAAGAGGCCCATGACTGCCGCTACGGCGTCCCCTTTCTCTCGAGTATTTTCGTTCGGTAGAGCATGAACTTTGACAAATCCGTAGCCTCCAGCATTTCCCTCTTCATAATTGTCAGTTTCTTCTTTGTTGAACTCACGTGTTATGTTAACAAAATCCGCATCCCGTATCAGAATACCCGTCTTGATAACACACTCAACTTCCAAGTCCTTGTCTTGTAGGTTGTGTAGCACCAGTTGTTGGATGACAACTCCGCGCCAAACAACCCACTGCTGCACTAGCTTCCATTTTTTTTTCTCTTCAAAGAGGACTCGAGGCCATCGGTTGCGAAGCCAGCCTGTGGTCATTTCAATAGAAACCGAGTCAAAGTCTATGTTGATATCTGCACCAAAGCCGTATTGGTATTCAGACATTTCTAGAAGGTCCGAACGACGTTGCGTGCCCAAGGCAGGCTCGCAAGTTCCATCAAGATCAATTGTGTACATGGAGGATTGTCCATTAGCAAGATACTGGCTGATCTGCATGTGCTGACCATTCTCCGTAATCGTGGCTGTCGTCCCCTCATTCCCAAAGGACAAGTAGGTGGTGTCGGCGAAAAAGTTCTTCTTGGATCCTCTAGGAAAATTGGGAGGTAATTCACCATCTTCTATTTTGTAGACTCGCTTGGCGGCTTCTTCAGGCGTGGGGGGCGAGCCTGGATGAATCTAAATTGATGGTTAGCGTCTGTGACCGCGAGAGCTCGTATTGCAGATACATATTCCTTCACTTCGGCAGGCGAAATTCGTGAGCAATATCGATCCAAGATAGAGTGCAGTGGTGGTGTATTTTCCGTTGGGAACTCTGGATCTGGGCTGTCAGTCATTGTGCGTGAAATGCAAGTGTGGGTGCTATGTTCATGAAATAGTCCTTGACTTCAGATATATCTCCGGTCTCTTCAGCTGGCGCACTGTCCGTGTAATTATTGTTCGCTGAAATGAAGCAACCAATCAGACTGCGGAGTCACGATCAACCCCTCTTATGCACGGGTCCCGCATGTCAATCACACTAGACAGATATGCGAAGGCCAAGCCATCTGTTCATATTTTGATGTTTATTTAGCACTTTGAAGCTGTTAGATACTCAACAGGCCAGGAGTTAAGATCGAAATTGGGGATGTATGCCCGTGTTCGTCTGCTTGCTTGCACGCCTGCCCTCAATAATAAATCGTGTCTCACTGAAAGATTTGGGTGGAGATCCACGATCACGAGCCGCTGCTGGTTGTCGGCAAATTTTTCCCAATGGAAAGAGTAACGAAGAAAAGGGCGCGTCAGCGCGTCAGCGGTGCAGGAGCACGTGGAGTATTCAAGGCTGATATCAAGTCAGGTCCCAACGCCAGGGTCCCGACTTTGACCTAACCACTAATCATGTATCGAGACCTGGATGCTACTCTTGTCTAGGGCAAGAAAGGGCTACATCATAAGTATCCTGGAACCAGAGGGCTGGAGAAATGATATTTATTCCGAGAGGGATGATAGGGATGAAGGAAAGAAGAATAGAGAGGGAAAGAACTATTCAGACTAGTGAGCCCCGAAGCAAACTTAGGCGCTCAGCAGATCGCATACTCCGACAGAAGCTCTGGCAATGGTGCTATACCTTTGTGGTTTTCTTTCAGATCTGACTTCTTCCTTCTTTTCTTTGACCATAGTACTCTCGTTGAACAATGAATAGTATCTTCTTCACTTCATCGTCGTGTCACCGAGTGCTTGATTGAAGCCATCTTGTCTTCAGAACATTGAAAATCGGTAAAGCGTAACCCCCACGATTGAAAGTGATCAATTTACCATATAGTACCGGAGGATAAGCAGTGGCTCAGGTACTTGTTAGGTGTTTTCTAAATATCAACTATTAATTTACCTTCTGCTATCACTATGCATATGTAAATCTATAGACTTTCCTCCCCTTCTCTAACATTCCAAGTACTATTTCTCTCCTTGGAGAACTGCGGCTCAGATACCCAATGCACTCCAGGTCCATCATCATAACTCTCTTCCATCTCAATTCCCCACCGCAACCCCCCATCCTCATCAACAAACCAACCCAACCGCGTCCGCAATCCTTTATAATCTCCTGGCAAAAGCTTCCCCGACTCGATCTCCCGCACCACTTGAAGGAGATTCGCGCTGCCGGATATGAGTACCAGTACATCACCCAGACTTTCCACGTTCCGGACCAAGCTACCGAAGTAACGATTTTGAAGAATCGCGATAATGATAGTGGTGAGGATTAACCAGCCCATAATGCCGACACTAAGCCAGACAGCGATGGCGTTCATCTGGAGAAGTTCAACCCGTTGGGAAAGACGGGCCGAGACTGTTCTGTTTGTATGCGAGATGGGATGCATCACGTCTTGGTACGCTGTGGCCCTGTTGCTAGGGTAGTATCCATCTACCAGCTCGATGGCCGGTCCTAGAGTACTGGGTAGACTTGCGTTGATTGTCTGATATGCCCAGCCGCCTGAGGTTAGGGAGACGTTGTTACTGACATAGTGCTGGAAGAATGTTGTGAATGTCTTCTGTGCGAGCGTGGTGAATGTTTCTACGTTAAGTAGGGCTGATGGGTCTTTGCCTGCCATGGTGTACATGGAGTATGTCATGAAGTCCATGTTTAGGCCGTTGATCTCGTCGCGGATATTATAAGTGTTGTCTGTTAGATCTTCTGTGCTGTAGCCTCCTACGTGCGAGGCGCCACCGAGGTGGAGTGTGTCGGCTGCTGTGAGCATGGATGCCATGAAGAGTCGACCGTAGCTGTCCTCGAGAAAAGTAGTTAGCAAAATTCCAATGACTTCTTTTTCCTGGGCGAATAGCGAAACGCACCTTAAAGTCACATTGTAGTAGAAGAGGCCGGTCTCCCGACTGAATCGAGTCTTGTTATGTGGCAGGAAATTATCCGCGAATGCATCCGGCAACTCCGTTGGCTGGCTCGTGATGCTGAAGGTCTGAATCTCGCCACTGGCCGGGTTCACGGTGACATCAGCTTCAGCCGACTCAACCAGTGGTCTGCAGTTCATCATTGTTACCGATGGGACGTCGGGAAACAGTAAATCGGCATCATAGTAGCGGTTTTGGTCTGAGTTCCGCTCAATACCAGTCACCGCATTTCCATGAATCCATTTGGCTGTAAAGTTTCTTTGCCATTGGCGTACTGTCCAGCTTTCAGGGTCGGTGTTCGGAGACCAATACCCGATGGCTACGCTGGGATCCCACGCGCTACTGCTTCCATTGCCACAGCAGATTATCTCGGATGGGTTAACGAAGACAGTTGTGCAGTTCGGACAAGTTGAGATATTTTCGGATGATGTGATTGGAAGGATGGCACTGGGTAGTTTGCTGTATACTGCGCCGAGCTGATAGCCCCCTTCGAGGTCATGTGGGATTGTGCTCGCATTCCAAAGTGTATGGTTGCTTAAATCCGTAGATGTAAGCCAGACCGACAGATTCGTCAGGGTTTGGACTGGATATTCGGTACACTCGATGCGGCCGCGAATGGCAGGTGTTGTGAATGAGATGTTTTGTGTAGGTCCGCCGAGTGTTTCGTCTGAAGCATCAAGATCATCCGGTAGGTCAATACGGCCAAGGTCGTTCATTTTGATGGGCACAAAGCTCCAGCCGTCCTTACTCCAAGAAGGCTGTGACCCATTCAGTGTCAACTGGATGGCTGCTGTGTACATCCAATGAGAAGAAAGATTCGTATATAACTCGGCCATGACCTTTCCAGCATAATCGTCTGAGGCATCGGGGTAGTATGATTGCGAAGTAGCAAAAACAAGGGGAATGTCCCGAATCTCTAATGTACGGTTAAAGGTAATGGCCTGGGTGACATTTCCAGGGCCGCGATCAAACAGAGCCGACATCGTAGTCGTAACTGGAAATTGATGTTAGAATCAGCACTCCATATCTTCAGTGAAGAACTTACATATTGGAGAAAGTGAGCTTCCAAATGTGAGGAGGGAGAGTAGCCAATGTCTGTTAAGCGCAGCTTTCATACTGGCCCAGAGCCAGAATGAGGACTGGTAGGATAGCCCGGCACCACGGGAAAGCTGCGGATTTTCTCGCGACATCTCCAAATATGGTGTGAGACGACGAAAATTATCGTCAATGGCACCCCACCACAGGCCAATTCCTGTGGCTATGAGAGTCGGAATCATTGAAAATGGTGCGACTGAAGCGACCCCATTACTGAACAAGGATACTTGAACTTGGTAGACAAATGCCTTTTCATATAACCCGACACTCTCCGCGAAGTGATAAAGCACAATAATGCCAGCAATAACCGCACTTAGAACCACCACTAGTCCCAATAAAGCTGGCAGACGAAGTAGCATGGGTGTTCCATTCCGGGATTGTGCGGTGTTGTGCTTGATTGCGTTATCGGGACTGATCCGGTAAAGTCCAGAGGAGTCAGTACTAAACCATTCTCCTTTGAGTGTTTCTTCCATGTCTTTCTGAGATGGCTGTTTGAACACCTGGAAGTCCGATCTAATTCGAGCATTGTCCGAGATCAGACGGGCCGCACCAGTAGTGGCAGCTGGGTCTTGCGACAAGTTCAATGGTCTGCGACTCAATTGCGTACACCACCAGACAAACAGCACAAGAAAGAATGATATGGCAAACAGCACTCCCAAAGCAATGGCAGCACCAGGTTGAACCACGACTCTGGTTTCAACATCACGGACCACTCCTTGCATGGCAGAGTTGTGAGAAGCACCTTGATGACTTAAAGCCGCCTGTAGCACCTCGCCAAAATATCGCTGTTTCGACTTGGCCGCGGAATAGATCCAGTTTGGATCATTGACTAGAGAAGTCATGTTATAATCATAAAGCGCCCCCAAGAGAATGGTAGGTCCTCCCAGGAACGCAGTTTCTGACCACAGAATTGAAATCATATAGGTCGGCCAATCCGAGTCCAGCATCATTGCTCGAAACTCAGTGGTGTTCAGAAGAGAATCCGGGATGGAAAATTTATTCTGTTCAAATTCAGTCTCATTGAAGGAGATGTCGGGATCATTCTCTGCGGGAGCAATGGATGTCGTGACATTTGCCATATAATAATTCGTTTCGCAGAGCTGAGCTCCATATTTCGCATCGCTAGATGTCCACGAGTCGGTAACGATGATGATTTCTTTACCGTCACATTCTGCTGTATAGTTGGACTTAGAAGTTAACTGGTCGTCGCCTTCCACTGCCTCATAGGCATTGTAGAAAGTGGAAGCATCAGACCAACTGCCACCTCCCGTGTTGAAAAAAGATTTAGCCGCGGTTAGTCCATATTCACATCCATCCGACGAGGACCATATAATGGAAATGGACGGGACCTTGACAGTGTCATTCGTGTATCGTAATGTCTCGTTTGTTTGAGCTTTGACTGCCATTGCTGTACATTCAAGCTCGGATTTGAATACCAAGGTGTTTGCCTTCCAGGTTTGAGAAGATGTTGATGGCAGGGAGGTGATAGGGGCTGTCTCCAAACTAGCCGGCCAGAAGGGGAGTATAGTATATTCATCTGTAATCCAAGGCGAAGTGGAAACATTTTGTAACAGATTGGCAATGGTTCGAAAATGCGTCGTGCGATCTGCATCGATAGGCAGAGGAGAATTGGTAACAGGCGTGAGAGTAAAGAAATCGGCTGGTTTAGAAACAACCACGTCATCGGAAAATAAATAGGCGGAAGAGAGTGAGGAGATAGCCATGAAGCCAATGATATTGACGAGCGCTGCACATATCAATACCCAGCTGCGTCTGCCGTGCTTCTTCTTGGCAAATCCATCGTATAATGCATTCCACCATGCCCCTGGAGTCTTGAGAATGCTCGACATCGCCTCTGATCCTTCGAGTCGTGCTAATCGAGCATAGGGCTCGGTTCGCTTGACATCATCGAATAGGACGGCAGTCATTTGGACATAGATCACAGCGATCATAGTCGGACTGTATCGCCAGCCAAATAATAAAGCTGAGGAGCCATCATCTGATCCCAGACCATAGCTTGTTGATGATTTCCACCAGAGTAAAAATGTAATCAGGCACAAAGCAAAACAAATGAAGCTCAGTATACCCAGAAAAGGGTGACTAAATGAATATGGCACCCAAGTCGGTGTCCAAGTTCTCGCTTTTTGTTGATTTAGGGTCGCATCTGGCTGGCAAATAGTTCTATCAGAGCTGCTCAGACTTGAAACGTCTCCGTCACTCCCGGTTCTCGATCCAGACCTGCTGGATGGGACAAGCGATGAAAAATAAGAGCTGTTGCCGAGAATGTCGCGATCTTCGACCGTATTATATTGTCGTGAGGTCATAGTACAAAAAGAAGCATTAGATGCCCGCCCAGCAGTTCAAAATTATGGCATATAAATAAGAAAATATTAAAGAAAAGCCAAACGGGATTCCAGCATCTGCCATGCTTATAATAAAGTCTAAGGGCTGAGGGTCCAGATGCAGGGAAACATGGCCCTGAAACATAGTTTATTCCATCTTGGAGAGGAGGTCGAGAATACCCAATTGAAATTGTTGGTTAAACGCATACGGAGAGAGGTGAAAAACAAGAGATGCGGGATGGGCTGCATGCACTGCGCGAATTCGCATATTGGCCCCCATTTCAAGCACTAGGATCATTCCTCTCCGGTGGTTGCATGTATCTCCTCCCACTCCTAGCTGCCCGCCTGGGATAAATTGATAGAAAGTGAACCACTCCTTAGCAATCAGATCCAAAAGAGATTCTTCCGAAACTCAGAATTATATCTTTCATCTGTCTTTATTCTGCTATCCTGTCGTACTGTGTAGTGGGCCTGACCGTAGTGTTTTGCTTGGCCTCTCACGAGTACTCAGTTAGCGCCCGGGTATAGACCAGGTTTATCCACATTTATGCAGCTAGCGGAAGCTAAGTGAGTTCAGCGTTTTGGATAACCGCTGTGAGGCTATAACCCTGTTGAATTTGTAAGTATAGTCAATTCGGGCTCGATTCTTTATGCCGCAAGATGTGATGGAACTTTTGCTCCTGCATATACACTAGCAGTAACCCCGCCTCATGTTATAATAAGAAGTCATGGCTGTCTGTGTCCATACTTCTGGCATTCGCTCTTCTTTTCCTAGTGGTTGGAATTTTCTTCATTCATTTCTTCTTGCTTGATTCAAGTTGACTTGGTCATAGCGTGTTTCCACAAATGTCGCAACTCTTGTTGTACAGGACCGCATAATCTAAGGTTTATCATGATTTGGCCTAGCAAATCCCATCAGACATTGATCTACTGCTGTCTTATCGGAAAAAGGTTTGTTTCATATCTTGCACATGTGGGCGAACGTCTGGTTAGTTGAGCCACCTTGAACACTGGACTAAAATATCTAATTGAGGTCATTGCAGCTACGGATACTGTTCCCAAATGGCATCGAGTAAAGCTGTCGAAATTGCCCGCCAAATTTCCAATGTCCAAGAGCCGAGGAAAGAAAAAGAATACCAGGGCATGGTAATGGAGAAAAAGATAACCGTCGATATGAACTAACCCAGGTGGTATATGTACAGAGAATGATACGGAACGAAGATCATACAAAATATGTATGCACTTCCTCGGACAAGGAAGAATCCATGGAAGAGCGGCCGAGAGCCGAACGCACGGAAAGAAACATGAGTGAAACACCGCCGGCTTGGGATCATTTGCGCAAGAAGGGTAGGAGAAAAAGAAGATCACGCTGACATAGAAATATCTCTGCTGAGCATTTATTCGCTCCAGTCAAGCTGGACAACAAGGCGGACGGGACCGCTCTGCTGGGTAACGGCCAGGTTGTCTTTGCCCTGATCGGCGCTGGTGTAGGCGTTGAGGAGGCTGGCAAGACCAGTGCCGATGTTGGAGCAGCTCTCGCCCTGGTGGTTACAGATGCGCATACCCGAGACTTCAAGACCGGCGAGCTGAGCAATGATGGAGGAAACATCCCAGCCGGACCAGCCGTCGTTCTTCTCGTTGCTCATGTCGAACTCACCCCAGGTACCAGCGTATTGGCCAATGCCAGATAGGGGGACAGATCCGGGACCAGCAGTCCAACCACCCTGAGAGTTATCGTCGATGGCGACGTAGGCGATCTCACCGGGGGCGAGGGTGAATTCAAGGGCCTTGTTGGGGCTCCAGAAACCGTCGAGCTTGCCGTTGGGGCCGTAGGTGTTCCACATAACGACAGTCCACTCGTCAGTGTTGCTGCCCTCGAAGCGGAGAACGTGCTTGTACTGGCTAGCACTGGTCTCTTCGACTTGGATGATGTTGCTACCCCAGGGGACACCAACATTGCCCACGTAGTCCCAATCCAGGAGACCAGTATCTTGGCTTTGAGACTGGCCACCGAATCCAGAGCGGGAGTACGAGCCATCGGAGGGACTCTCGTACCAGGCACCGCCGCTGGTGGAGGTGGGTACGGCAGAGACAGTGGACTCAACGGCACCGGGGGTGGAGGTTGAAGTAGGCTGAGCAGTGGTGGTCGGGGCGACATAAATGGAGGTCGAGAAAGAGGTGGAAGTGGAAGTGGCAGCAGCAACCTCGCCAGCCCACTCATTGATCCAAGACTCGAGAACACCATCGATAGTGGCATAGACCTCATCGCCAACGGCACGAGCCTTCAGTTCAGAAGCCATCTCAGCGGCAGGAGTGACGACCGGCGCTGCAACCTCCGCTTCAACCTCCTTGACATCTTCAATCGGTGCGTGTGCATGGCGACGTTCGTGGCCATGGAGGCGAGCAACAGCCGAACCGGCGGACAAGGCCGTCAACAAAAGAAGGGAATCCTTGAACTGCATTGTTGGATTGAAAAGAAAGTGTTATAAAGAGTGACTGAGCGAGAAACAACGCTCGAATTGCAGTTCAAAAATGAATGTGTGGGTTAACGGTGGCCCTTGAGGAGAAGGGAAGGAGCGAGGGTCCCATATTATTTAGTAGGAAGGCACACGGCACACAACCTGGATCAGGGGCAGTTGATTGTCGATTGGTCAATTCACTGTGGATCTTTAGGCCGAGACCCCTGACCTGGCAGACCCTTGTACTGAGTACTTTACATTATTACTGTTCCTGCAGGTCCATGATAAGTACACTCTACTTTCCTGGCTTTATTTTGCTTTATGGTAATCTCTCATAGTGAATAGCGCAAAAGTATATTCTCATTCAGACCTCCACCGAATACATTGAATTCCCCCAATGTCAACCACGTGTTGCTATCGGAATGTTGGGGAATGTTCATTCCAGACCCTTAATTTTTTTTTTTTGGATAGAACCCTTGAACCCTTAAACCCTCGACCCTTGACCCTTAACTGAACCCTTTCACCTATCCCCATCTGGGAAAGGGGAATCAGCCACGCCATCGCCAGATTCTCCACACCAGCCCAGCCCAGTCCAATCACACCAGCCCTAAGCCCTGTCTTACGTGTCGGCGCAAATCTCCTCGGAGGATTGAACGGGTCCATGCATGGGTGTACACCGTACCTGTGATGTCAACAAATCCAAACTCTACACATGTCCAACCTCAATTTACGCGCCCAACCAAACAACACAGCTATTGCGAACCAGTCAATTCAATTTTAGTGGTGTATCCAGCGCACTTGCCTAGGTCACAATGACTGTCTAGGGGGGCGAGATGCGTCAGGCTCCATCCCCTAGTCTGGAAACTGGGTCCCCTAAGGGGTCGTGCGAATGGTGTCAGGTCCTGTGCAGCAAAGTCAGGTAAGGATCAGAGAATCACTAGAATTTTCCGGCTCCACCGTGTTTGAGCCATTCCTCCACTCTCGTCTCCATTTTGCAGTGAAAAATCATTCCAAAGCAATCCAGACTGGCTTGGCCGCTCAGTCATGATTGCAATTTCGGAGTCATGCGTCTTTAAACTTTAATTCGTGGGCCATTAATAGCCTCTCAATATATTAACATATTAATTACAACCGTTATGAGGATCATGACATGGGTTGTCTGAGTCTATTTCTGGATATTTAGAACTTTCACAGAATTCTTATTTCTGTTTACTACAATTTTGAGATCAAAGTTGACAAATTAAACATGTACACGAAGCCAGGGGTCAGCCCGACTGTTCCTTGGTTGTGCGATCGGCGATTTGTTTCATCTCGAATTAGTCATCTGACACGTGACTCATATGTTTACTTTACTAACGGCATGATGGCGATGATGACAATCTTCCTATACACCGTGGGCAGGGTCCTTTCAGTCATTGATCTGTCGGTAAATGGCTTCTGACGAATTTTCAGCTTCTAATCCGCTAGTATAGGGTGACCCTGATGTAGTTCAATAGAAATGTACCATAGCTGAAATGACGTTGAAACTCTTTAGAACAAATGAACAAGTGAAGTTGAACTTGATTGATTGAACGGTGTCTTATACACTCCCCAGATTGTCAAATTGCCAGATGGCCGGACTGTCCTATTACCGGATGACCAGATTGTGGAATACCTAAATTGCTCGTTCGAATCCAACTGCCTATAGTCAGTAGTACAAAAATAGAAAATAATTTTATGAGGCTTCAAAGTACTTCGTGCCTGAGGCTCTATGATAATTCTCCAAAAGCCCCTGCCAGCTTATAGCGTTGCGAGATCACCTAGTCAACCCAAAAATTGTCCAATATGTCTCACCTTGTCCCATGCACTTCGCCCAACCGTTATCCACAAGTTGTTTCACTGGCTGCCTGCCCAGCCTCTATCTGCCATATTGAAGAGGTGGCTGAACGCTAGATCCGGAAAATACGAAAATCATCAATTGGGTGGAGACGTTACTATTTACAGACGCGGTAGCGTTCACTGCCTCCGGCGCTCAAGACACAAGATGACCAAATATCGACCATGCAACAAAGTCAAGGAGATCAGGTCTCCCGCAAATCCACACCCCCCTCAAACGCGTTTCCACCCGCCTCTGCATCCAGCTTGACACTTTCATCAAGCCCACACACCCTAAACAGCATCTGCGGCGTAATCTCTTTATCCAATCCCGGCAACCCATCCCTCTTCAACTTCTCCAACCCCTCCCGCATAGCCACAAGCGCCGGCCCAAGTGTCGCAAATGGAAAGATGATAATACGGAACCCTAGCTCCCGCGCCTCCTTTGCCGAAATCGAAGGCGTAGACCCATGCTCAACCATATTAAGCAACAAAGGCCAAGGCGCAAGATCCCGCACCGCCTGCGCAGCCATCTCCCGCGAAGAAATCCCCTCGAGGAATCCGACGTCCGCCCCCGCGTCGCGCGCAGCTCGAAGTCTTGCTAGACTCTCCTCGTACCCGTGTCCCAGCAATGCGTCAGTGCGCGCAATGATCACGATATCACTACCGATTCGCTGGCGGGCTTGAACGGCTGCTCGGATCCGGGTTGTGTATGTTGCTGTGTCGACGAGGAGTTTGCCGGAGAGGTGGCCGCAGCGTTTAGTTTGCACTTGGTCTTCGATGTGGAAGGCTGCTACGCCTGAGCGGGCGTATTGTTCTGTTGTTCTGGAGACCATGATCGGGCCGCCGTAGCCTGTGTCGGCGTCGGCGATTAGAGGGGTGGATGGGGAGAGGTTTGCTAGCATTTCGGCATTGCTGCGCATGTCGTTTAGCGTGCAGATTCCCAGATCTGCATGTCCGTGGACAGAGGCTGCGGTGCCTGCTCCGGTCTAGTCTGCACGTTAGTCTTGTTTTTGCTATGTACGGTAACACTTACCATATACAGGGCGTCAAAGCCGGCGGCAAGTGCCAGTCGTGCTGACATGCCGTCGTACACCCCGGGGGCTGTGACGAAGCCATTGGGATCCGCGAGAATGCGTCGCAAATTGCTTGCTCCTTGGTTAATTGTCATGACGTCGATATGCTGACTTGGAATAGACAGGAATACTTTGGTAGTTCAATGAGAGAAAGAAAAAGAAAAGAGCCGGGAATCCCGCTTTTGATCGTCACATTTTATATCTTGAACATGTTCCACGTGTGCCCCTCTAAGCTTTTTTTTTTTTCTCCACTGACTGGTGCTTGTTCGATGATGCGTTCTTTCGTGCCGAGCCCGATACCGGGACTCGGCATCTTTGTCTAGTCGCCGAATTAAAGCCGAACTAGATCCAAAATCCGAAAATTGTGTTTAGTGGCAAATATCTGGCCCTCAATAAACAAGATTATCATTTAACATCTGAGGTTTGGACTGTACTGTAGGGATTACTAGAAATCATGCAGCTTCATGCAAGCGGGGCATTGGGCCGCGGGGGGTTTCCCGAGCGGGGCACATCCTTGATTCGGATTTATCTCTTGCTTTGGTCTACATGACTCGCAACATATTGAGATGATACAGTTGTTCTTGTAGGTATACTATAGTGTCATCTATAGACAGCAGGTGTAGGCGTGATACCAGGGTTAAGCGTCGGATCTCACCGTGGACGGAATTAGTTTGTCTAAATCTATTGGACTATAACCAATCGGTGGTTCTTCATTGGGTTTGAGTGGCTTGAAGGGTCAGGTTGTGCTGCTCTATTTGTCAGTTTCAAGTTGTTTCTGGCCGAGCCGACATTTGGAAGACTACTGTAGATACTACTAGCTTCCAATTATCGGCGCCAGGTATGGTACCCACGTTTTAAATCAAAGGCCTTCGTACACGCATACAGTGACTGGACAAAAGTATTTGCCCCCCAAGGCTCCACATTTGAATGGGGGGCAAATACTCTTGTCCAGTCAACTACTCCGTATAATTTTTCAATATGTTTTCCTGCCACCCGGCAACTGGCATCATGGGAACATAATAATTCTTCTTATCTGGTCCCGAATCCCATCTCTCGGGTTCCAGCTCCCTTGAAGATTGATGAGGACCTCTAATCCGGTAGGCTGCTTTAATTCAGCTTGCTTAGCGTCTGGAGGCACACCGGAAGTCGGTATCGAGCGGTACCTTGAAACCCAAAAGCCAATCGTATCCTTGGGGCTGCTTTTCATCTCACATTCTCTGTCTAGGTCAACTGGTTATGGAAGCTTGGAGGAATCTCAATATCAACAGAACGCACTGTTTTGGGCAATAGTGCTTTGCTTGAAACTAAGAGAAGGGTATAGAAGCGGAGGTTTGTCAGCATTTGAAAGTTAGAGGAATGTTCGGATACGGACTGTACTCGAATCATGATGTGCTAATGGAGTCAGAAAGGGCTCACAGGGCTCAAAACCTTAAAATATATGTACTTGCATATACATATCATAACCGCACGAGGACATCTGCATGTTTATTAAACATTGAATAGAAGCAAAGAGTGCCAAATTGACAAAATGAAAACGAGAGATTTCCAATTGATATCCATGGTCCATGACTATATGGATATCCAGATCAGTTGTGGACCCGTCAATCTGTAATATTAGTCATCGGCTTCTCGAACCTTGAAACTTCCATGTCCGAGACATTCAACCTCGAATTCAGCTTTGATCCTGAAATGCGCCCGCGACCGACTTGTCCTATCTCCCCTCCTCCCTGACTATCACATTTCCATTCCTCGATGGCTCGCCCCTCCGTCGTCCAAGAGTATGCCGCGCCTTCTACAACCCTAAGCCTGGACCACAAAGTCTCCCACGAGCGCCAGATCTACAAAATACCGCGCCCACAAGGCTACCGCGTCTCATGGCACGCCAACCCAGCAGTCGAGCCACACCATTTCGGCCAGTCACACCCCATGAAACCATGGCGCCTCACTTTAACGAAACAACTGGTCATGGCGTACGGAATGCACCACGCAATGGACCTGTACATGGCGCGGGCAGCCACATACGAAGAAATGGCCGAGTTTCACGAAACAGACTACCTTGACTTTCTCCAACAAGTCATGCCAGGCGACATAGACCGCTCGGAACAAAGCGATAATGTCATCCGCTTCAACTTCGGTGACGACTGCCCCATCTTCAACGGCCTGTACAACTATTGCTCCCTCTATGCCGGCGGTACCGTCGACGCCGCCCGCAAGCTCTGCAACGACCAATCCGAGATCGCAATCAACTGGTCCGGCGGTCTGCACCATGCCAAAAAAGCAGAAGCAAGCGGCTTCTGCTACGTCAACGATATCGTCCTCGGAATCCTCCAACTCCTCCGCCACCACCCACGCGTCATGTACATCGACATCGACGTCCACCACGGCGACGGCGTCGAGCAAGCATTCTGGTCCACAGACCGCGTGCTAACGGTCTCATTCCACAAATACGACAAAGACGGCTTCTTCCCCGGTACCGGCTCCCTCGAAGATACAGGTCCCACTCATCCACTCAACCCAGGCGCACACCACTCCATCAACGTCCCCCTCAACGACGGTATAGATGACGACTCATACATCCAACTATACCACGAGATCATCGGTGCCTGCGTACGCACTTACCAACCTGGCGCGATCGTCCTTCAATGCGGAGCCGATAGTCTAGGCTGCGACCGGCTCGGATGCTTCAATCTCAACGTACGTGCGCATGGCGCCTGCGTCGCTTTCACCAAGACTTTCGGATTACCGCTCCTCGTCGTAGGCGGCGGTGGTTATACACCGCGGAATGTATCGCGCGCATGGGCGCACGAGACATCCATTCTAATAGATGCGGATCAACTCATTGATACAACGATACCTGAAACGGTAGCGTTCCGGAATCACTTCGGGCCGGATTATTCACTTTTCCCTCCGCTCTCGGAGATCCGGAGGCTGGAAAATAAGAATCCGCGATCGTATCTCAATGGTTTGGTTGAGTCTGTGCATGAACAGCTTCGCTATATCAAGGGCGCTCCTAGTGTGCAGATGAGTTTTATCCCTCCTGATATCCTTGGTCTGCGTGAGGATACCGAGAAGGAGATCGAGGAACAAACTGCTATGATGGAAGAGGAGTTTGAAGAGCGGATGGGTGGTGGTTCGGCTGTGGCGTCGAGTTTCAGTCCAGGTGCTGGACCTGGCTCGGCAGGTTCCATTCCACGTGGGAATCGACGACGTGAACTTGAGCGAGGAGCTGGGTACAGAGGTGAGTTATATTCATGATCTCACGCGCTGCTTTTTCTTTCCCATGGTGTTCTGGATATGGAGTTCTGTTTGAGCGTGGTCTTTGATAGACCTTGTATGATGGTATTTTGGGGGGAGTTGGAAATTCTTCTTTTTGTACTGTGATATCCCAAGCTTGTACATGTATAGTATGACGAACCACTTTAATTCATAAAGAATACATTCGAGAAATTCCCATCCCCTTTATCACTTTATCAGACTTCGAAAATATTCAACATCTGATACCATTTTCTCATTTCATCCAGGTCATGGTCTTCAATTACGATATAATGCAGCACGAATTAGACATTACTACGTACCTCGCGCCTTCTTCAGCATGATTGAATATAATGAAGATTCATTTGTTATTTCGGCGCTTTCAACTTTGGTACTTTTGTTAGTCTTTGAGAAAATATCCAGCATAAGATCGGGTATCCAGCAATGGTGCGGCGTCGTGACAGGGGAACGCTTGTGTTGAACATGGAATATAAGGAAGGATTGGACGGCAACATAGATGCCGTCTCGGTCGGAGGGATGGTGCTGGGTAGTCTGGGCAAGTTGCCCACGTCGTCTAGAGAACCCTATGTGAAGTAGAGAGGGCCAAGGTTGAAAGGTGTGTAGAGCGGTCCGAATGGAATGTAAGAGTTGCAAAGAGAAGCATTTCACCCGGACTATTTTCTGGCTTCTCATTGCTCCTCTGCATCCACAAATGTCTCTATCTCGGATGTTGCTGTATCTTTCCGCTCCACAACCTCTCTGGTAGCTTCGGCTTCGGACTCTATTTTTGATGGCGGCATTAGTGATATCCTTGGAAGCCGCTGGCCGCATGATGCAACGCACTGTATGGCGGAATTTGTAAATGGGATGACAGTTTCTGACCTGGGACAATAGGCACAATGGCTAGGATTTGTTTCTTGGCTATTTCCGGGTCATGAGAGTCGCTGATATTGCGTTAGTTACCAATTTCAGTAATATATCGTAAAACTTACACCTCGGCGTTAAGGATCCAGTCAAGGTCCTCGTCGCCCTCGTCCGGACCACCAGGGCCACCCTGAACGGCACGGAACAGGCGAGGTTTCCATTCAACGCCATCATCGGCACGCTTGGCAGCTTCCTCACGTTGACGATCTTCGATCTTGGTCTTTTCGTCTGTGGCGGCTTCGTGGTTGCGGGCGATGATAGCTTGGACAGTGTCGTGCCATAACCGTTGCGATTCCCGCTCTCCCTGCTCTTCGATTGGGCGGGCGATAGGCTTCGAGTGCTTTGCGTGGGTGGCATCGAATAAAACATCCTTCTTGTGGCTCTGCGAGATCATCAGCCCCTGATTGATTTAAATCATAGAATAGAGCACGAACGTGGACGTCCTTGATGATCATTTCACCATTCCACAGTCCAGACAGCTCAAACAATACTTCACCGGTCTTTTCGTTCTTGATGGTGCCTCCAATAGCATTATAGGTTCCGGAGAAATATCCCTTTGTCTTGAACTCAATGTCGGCCGCCAGGCCGGTCTCGGGGCATCGGACATAGCTGTGATCTCCAAGCTCATACTTCATCTTACCGAAAAGAATGCCACGGGCATACATGTTCGGCTGTGTAAGGATACTGGGTTAATGGGTTAGTACTCGTGCGAAGAAACCCAGACCCAGTAAACGTACTATGTCTCGCCTTTCTCTTTGTTCTCGCCACGGTTCAACAGCCGCAGAGTCGCAATACCTTCCATCAAACTAGCCGCCGAGTTGCCCAAGAATTTACTACGGGGCTTGAGAGTACCGTCGATCCGAATGTGGTGCTCCGGTGCCATAAAGAAGTAGCTGGACTTGGGCGGGTGGTGAGAAGTCTGTTCGGAGATGTAGTATCCGCGTGTATTGTCAGGGTATTCCCAGTAGCAGGTAAAGGTTTCGCCAAGAATCGGGTTCAGCGGCTTCTTCACTCCTCTGTATAGTTGACGTCAGACTAGGACCGGGATCAAACGGTGCGGGAAACGTACGGCGGCTTGATGTGCCATCCACTCAGGTAGAACTTGACGACCGACACAAATCGCTCAACTGGGTCGTCAATAGTGGACATGGGGAGAAGGGTATCGGGGTGAGCCATAAAGCTAGAAAACGTCAGTTCTGTAGGGCCAGAGGCCAAGCGCCAAGCGCCCAAAGCTGGGGAAATCAGTACATACTTGGTGATCCGCTCCAGCATCGACCGGGGCTCGAGAATGAATGTAGGCAACACGACCCGACTCAAGTCGGCACCCGGTCGGAGCTGAGAAATGATGTGTGACAAGACTAGTTTCACTGTTAGTAGGCTTCTGCCTGCGGAGGTACCGGGGACCTTACCATTTCCCTGATCAGGCTCGACGATCTCTTCATCGCCGCTAACTGGGGACTCATCGACGGAAGATCGACCTGGGAGTGTTTCAGACATGGTTGTTGGGGTAAAGAAGTGGGAAAGGTTCATACTGGTCAAGGAAGTGCGGCGGAGGTGCGGGACCGGCATGACTGCGTTCGGGATGACAAAAAGAGTAGGATGTTTGAGGTTGGAACTCTAGAACAAGCAGCAATTTGTAAACATGAAAATCACACAAGTTGTAGATGAATAACGAGAGAATGGAGGTGGAGAAGAAAAAAAAGAGGAAAAAGTTTTTAGAGGTCTAAGGGAAAGCGGGCTTAAGGACTGGAAATCGGGCATTGCCAGTGACGTCGAATGGCCTCATTCTATGGAGAAACTGTGCAGTTGACATATTTAAGTCTGTGAAAATCTCCCTTTATTTCATTCCGTGTTTAAATTCATTCTAACCTTGAAGCCCTTCTCTTTCCCTTCCCAACATCTATTAAATCATGAGGGGCACGTTCTTGGCGTGAGTGGGGATCATCGGCACTCGATGGCTTTTAAACAAAACGCATGCCGGAGCATATACGGAATACAGTTTGCAGGTTTTCCTGCAACTATATCCAAAGATCCACTGTAATCATACCCGTTTGATTAGCGGAACGTCTCCACGGGTGATCTCCCTCACAAATGCCAGATCCGGTCGATGGAGCATGACGTGGAAATGTTCAACCGCGTGGACTGATTTGAGTGATTTCCAGTTTCTGAACCAGACCACTTGCTCAGCCGCCACTGAGTGAAAAATGCGCCGCACATACTGATCTATAGCCTCTCGTGCCTCGTCGGTAAGATTACCCACTGAGTCATCTGGAAACTGGAACTTGGTCCATACTACCAGGTGGATAATGTCAGAGTCAACACCGTAGGGCCAGTCGTTATATAGAATTCGGATGTCCTCTGTAAACAGACTGCTCGTCAGCTATACACTTTTTGTCCTGGAAAGCAAGGCATACCGTTGAACTCGAACAAGCCTCCCTTGGGCTTTAGATCATCTGCGTGTCCGTCGCCCCATTCTAGTCTCTCCTTCACCACAAATCGCATCACGGAGCCATACTGGGCTTTGATTTGAGCTGTATATTCCAGATATTTGCGTAGGTCGCTTGGCACGCGTTGGAATCGATCGATCCGGTTTGTTCCTGCGGGTCAGTCAGCAAAAGAAAGCCAAGTACGGAGTATGCAGATCAGCTCCACTCAACTGATTATAGCCTGGACCAGCTCCCAGTTTTGTCGCTGGTAGTGGGTATCAGGCGTAGAGAGACACCGGATATTCTTCGATGATTGGTTTTGAAGAAAGCTGGGACACTCAGTAGTCCATTGTGATTGAGGTACGTTCACCAGCCAGTAAGGGAGGTTCCAAGGATCGTGGTGAACCTGCACGGGTGAATCGGCGACGTCAGTCAATTTATCGCGCGTAGTGATCGCCATCGACGGTTCGAAGTGAGGCATCACGAGGGAAAGACTGAGAAAGACTTTGTACAAAGTATGTAACTGTTGGGGAGGAAAGTTGGAGGAAACAAGGGATCCTCAAATAAAACGTCTTTACCCCAAATATAGTTGGCATCGTCGATCAACGGAGTTCGAATCCACATGCGGTCCTTGATTGGATTAAAAGTCAATAAACCGTTATGATTCGGACCAGATTATGGAATTTATGGAGATTGAAATTCTATGTACGGAGTTATAAAAGGGGCAAATCTATGCGACCGCTAGCTTCTGGAGAACCGCGTCATCGGCATGAATGACTGAAACTCCCGCGATAAGAAGCTCCTCCTTGACTTGATCCCACTTAGCAGGGCAAACACACTTCGTTGCCTCTTCAATCAACCAACTTCGAAATCCAGCCTTGACTGCATCGATCGCTGTGCATTTCACACAATAATCCCCCGCCAGCCCGACAACAAAAACGTCCGTCACTCCCTTGGCCTGAAGCTCAGAGGTAATATCTACCGTAACCGAATGCTTCGTCACAGTTGGATCGATGTTGCCAAACGCATCTGCAAAGGCAGAGTACATCTCGACCTGCGAGTGTCTGCCTTTGAACACCACTAGATCAAATAGATTGGCGTCAATCTCGGGGATGATATCTGCGCCGGGACTACCCTCCACACAATGAACGGGCCACAGCTGCTGGAGTTTTGTTTCCGGATCTTGACCAGGCGGTGGATGAGGGTTCGTCATCTCAACAAATGACTCAAACGGTCGATTATCTGGGGGCGGGTGGTTGCTGGCGAAGGAGATGTGGTCTGGTGGGTGGTAGTCTTGAGTAGCGATACGAGTTACTAGTGCGGGTTGAGCGAGGAGGGAGTTGATCAGAGGAGCTATAGATCGACCATCTTGCACTGCTAGAGAGCCACTCTGTAGACGAGACGCGCATTTAGCTTGCGCATCAGCAAGCTTCAAGCTGTTTAAGAAACCATTGATCACTCACGGGCGGACAGAAGTCTTCCTGCATATCGACTACAATCAAAGCGGGCACAAAAGGCTCCTCAATTTTCTCGTCCATTTCAAGGCGAAGTGATTGATGACGTTTCAAGATTCATTTAGTTTCAAGCCAGGTTGTATGTAGCTTTTAACTTGGATCTAGTGGGGAGAGCTGATAGCTGAGTCAGCAATAGGTTTATAAGACGAAAATCCACGCAAGAAATCCATTGCTTTCTTTCTTCCCAAGGGCTACGGCCCCAATCAATTTCAACGCCCAATAATGAGCTGCAAGGTTAGTGATTTTTATACAAATTGTTTTATTTTTATGATGAATCTTATTTATTGGAGCTGTCTGAGCTTTTGCTATGCGGACAAACTCTTATACGCATTTTTTCCTGAAATAATTATTTCCATCTTCACGCTTGACATCATGGAGAATTCTCTTGCTAATACACAAGAATAGCCAATTACAGATAGTAAACCCAGCAAATCAGCTTGATCAATTTTTCTTTATTCTACCCTTTCCCATAGTCTATCATACCTATACTTTAGGTATAAATAATCTTCATCATGGCATATGATCCTCGTGTAAACACGGGAAGCACAACTCCCCAATCTCCTCCACCTCCCCCTCCACCACCCGTGTCTTCCACTCCCACCGAAATGAACCCCCAAGCTTCAGAAGATGGCACCGACAGCTGGAAACTTAAGTTCTGCACGGTCTGTGCCTCAAACAACAATCGCTCTATGGAAGCACACCTCCGCCTCTCCTCCGCACCTACTGCCTACCCCGTCATATCATTCGGTACCGGTTCTCTCGTCCGTCTCCCCGGTCCATCTATCACCCAGCCAAATGTCTACGGCTTCAACACAACATCCTATAACCAGATGTACGAGGAGTTGCAATCCAAGGACGAGCGACTGTATCGCAACAATGGTATCCTGAACATGCTGGACCGCAATCGCCAGCTTAAATGGGGACCTGAGCGTTTCCAGGACTGGGTCCCTGGCATGCCGCGCGTGGATCACGCTGCGAAAGGGGACAAGGGTGCACAGGGTACAGAGGGAGGTGTTGTTGATGTGATTTTCACTTGTGAAGAGCGCTGCTGGGATGCTGTGGTCGACGACTTGATGAGTAAAGGCTCCATGCAGAATCGGCCTGTCCATGTCTTCAATATTGATATTAAGGATAACCATGAAGAGGCGCTAGTGGGAGGAAAGGCGATTCTGGATCTGGCGAATCGGCTCAATGCGGCTGCGGTTGCTCAGCGCGCGCTGCATGGGTCTGAGGGATGGGAGAATGGGGCTGGTACGGCTCGAATGAGCTTTGATGAAAAGGTTCCTGAAATTCTGGCGGAGTGGCAGGAGCTGAATCCCAATTTGCCGGCGCTGTGGACTCTGGCGTGGCTTTAGCCTCGATTCAAGTCTGATACCCCCAATTCATGGTAGTGATGTTACACAAGTTATCATAATACAAGCATCTGTTTTAGGATTGTCATGGCATCCTATATACTGCATTGAAAGTAATCATTGGGGTATCAAAGTATCTCTTAGCAAGAGCAGTCATCCAAGACCGGTCCCTTCCAGCAAAAAGCAACCATTATGGAGTCTGGCGTATAGGATGAAATCACAGGCTACCTTTGATCTCTTTTTGAACTGCTCGTTCTTGATCCATTTTCATCCGGACCGTTTCATCATTGATCTGTTCGTCCTTGATCTGCCCGCCCTTGTTCTGCTCATCCCTGACCTTCTCACCTCTAGACAGTAAGATGTCCCGTCGTTCAGCGTACCATCGATCAAGACACGCTCTTCGTTCAGCCTGGGTCATACCTTCAACGACGAGCGCAAACTCAGTCGCATCGGCATACCCCAGTCGCCGCGCCATACTGCAAAACTGTCGGCGTTTGACAGCTTCCGGCGGATGATACTTAAACCGAAAATTCATGTTAGGCTGGCGGGGCGTTTGACCGACTTCAGCTAATGATGTCTCATCTAGCTGCATTTGGGATGATCCCTGAAAGACTCTGAAGTTGGCGCCAGGATCGTTGGTGACCTGCTCGGCTTGACGGCTGAGCTTCTCTTCCACACGGGAAGAACCGATCACTTCATTGTTAAGATGTGTATATTCCACCCCTGCACTGGAGAGAATCGCTTGAACCGGGTCGTGTTTATGTGGAGCAGTTCGAGGTTTGGCGCCGTCATCTTCCTTCTCACCACAGAGCATAGCGGCATATTGGCGCATGGTTTCGTCCTCAGACTTTACAGATCTGTCGCCAGTATCAGGGACTTCTTCGTCTTCTTCAACGTGTAAATCCATGACTTGGACACCAGCTCGACTTTCAGCGACGTTTGTCGTATTGACGATATTGCGAAGGACAATGTTATCGAATTGATACGATAACAGGTTTTGCATGCCAAAAATCTCCCCCTTTTGGTCTTTCTGGTCTTGGACTCCCTTAAAATATCGCCTCTCAGAGCTCGCATTGTATCCAATTTCTGCCTGTTGTTGTTTGTAGATCTGCCGGGCGTAGACGATCTCCTCGATCGTACCAGCAGAAACAAGACGAAAGACCTCAACATCGCGAACTTGTCCAATACGGTAAGCTCGGTCTTGTGCCTGAAGATCGTGGGATGGATTCCAGTTAGGATCCACCACCACGACCTTGTTCGCAGATGTGATGTTTAGGCCGACACCGCCGGCTTTGGTAGAAATAAGGAAGACAAACTGTCTAGGATCGGAGTTGAACTCGTCCACCACAAGCGAGCGGTCTTCATACTTCATAGAGCCATCCAGATAGCTAACGTTGTAGCTGGTATGGTTGAACAGCATCTGCAGCATTTTCAACAGACGCACACTATGTGAAAAGACTAGCACTTTGTCTCCGTTCGAATGCCACCACTTGAGCAGCTTGCGGAGAACCTTCCATTTACCGCAGAACTCAGGGTTCGCGTAGTTCATAATCGAGTCGCGCGAGCGAAAAAGATCTTCCCATTGATCGGGGAGCGCAAGCTCCAACATATTCCTGTCTTTATCTTGTCTCTCCTTTGAGTCATTGCCCTGGGGAATGAGGAGAGCAAGATGGTTGCTAAGTTTTTGCAATACGGCTATCGCAGGGAAGACATAGGATTGCCATGGTGTTTCTGTGCCCGGTAAAAACTTGTGGCAGCACCAGCCAGCTTTCTTTCCTGTACCACAATCGCACAGATCTGTGGCATTCTTAATCGTTTGGACCATGTCGCTATCGATGATATTTTCGTATGCCTCTGCCTGTGACCAAGTGAGGGGGCAAAAGACCACTCGATCACTCTTCTTCGGCAATTGATCTGCGATCAAGGATTTCATGCGCCGCAGAAAGAACTGTGGTAGCAGATTTTCGACAAGCTTCTTGGCAGTTCTTCTGGCCTTGCTTAGTTCATTCACGGTGGCATTATGAGACTGTCCGATCTTTAAGGGCTCTGCAATTTGGGCTTTCCATGCTGTTATTGGACCGAGCACGCCAGGGTTTGTCCAATTTAGCATGGTCCACAGCTCTTCATATCGATTTTGAATGGCCGTGCCCGTCAGGCCGATACGGCATAAGGCATTAATTTCGTTCATCGCTTTAGTTGTTTCTGATGTTCGTTCCTTGATCTTATGACATTCATCCGCAATCACGCAATCCCATTCAACAAGATTTACCAGACCCTTGTTGTTCACATAGGTTGTGTAGGTGGTAATCAGGATTTCGACCATACCCGATTTCGCCGAGTGAAGAGCAATATCCTTGCTGGCACCATGATATACTTCGATTTGCCACCATCCCCATTTCTGCAATTCAGAGACCCAATTTAAAATCAAAGTGCCAGGGCACACGATCAACGTGCGTGGGTACCACGGCCTACCAGCAGATCTGCGCATCTTGCGCATCCGTTTTCCATCTCGTTCGTCACCAGTTTTGCCATAGGCTGCTGTCAGAAATGCAATGACCTGGATGGTTTTTCCAAGTCCCATATCATCCCCGAGAATGCCACCTTTCTGATAGATAAACTTCTCGTGCATGAAAGCTACTCCTTCGACTTGATATTGGCGCAACCATTGCGCAATTGGCGCGGGAATCAACCCGAGGGAATAGGGTAAGGTGATGTCCTTATATTCACGAACCGGGGTCCTTCCCGGAAACGAGGGTCTCTCTTCTAGATGCTCAAGGCGCTCGTCGTCTGAAAATTCCACATCCTCATAAGAGGGCGCTAATTTCAATCCATACTCCTCGAGACGTTCTTGGTTCTGATCAAATTGAGAGCGGCGCTTTTTTACATATCCTGGGAGAGTATGTTCCATCAGATCGTCCTCGGATGATACTTCCCCATATTGTCTCATAGGTCGCTTCGGTCTGGGTTTTGCTTTCTCCTGCTTCACAAGGCCAACTATCATATCATCATTTGGCCTTTCTCTCTTGGTGATCTTGGGAAGCTTCATTTTGCGATTTGCAGCTGCAGTTTGTTTGCGCTTGGCAGACTTGCGATCCTTGAACTTGTGGTAGGCAGCTTCGCCGTCGTTGAATCCATCATCGCTATCGCTCTGGGTCTCGGATTGAACTTCGATTGGAGTATTGATTGTGATCCGTGAAGGGGTATCCAAAGTGTCTGATCTGAGAGGTGTCAGATTCTCTAATTTCACATTGGCAGAATTCCGGGCTTTATAGAAAGTAAGCTGCATGTCGCGCGTCTGGGTTGCAAGGACAGACCTGAAGTAGTTGACAAGGGGGTTGCCTTCGCATAGCACGTCACTTCCAAATCGTCATCGTCCGAGTCAATGATAATGACCTCGGAGTCATTTTCGCGATTCTCCATTTCGGCATAGTCGAAGTTGTAATATAAAGTTGTAGAAGCGTGTTTAGGCAGAGGCGGGAAGGCGGAGAAGGTGGGCGTCATTCCCGATCGGCGAAATGAAAAAAAGCTCTCCAATCAACTTCTCCCCACACGAGCTCTGCGCTCTGCACTCTGCAATTTCGGTATTATCAATTGGGCTTGGATTGAAGCTTTGATACTGTACGCGACTACTTCCAATCTTCAGTGGTGACCTCCACTATCTTTCTATCCTCATTGGCTGATATCCTATCAAGCAGGTACTAGACCAATTTGGACATTTGGTCGCCCTAGCGGGGAATTATTCATTTGAATTCACAAAAATACATTCGTAAGAATGCCTCTCGATACCTCTACCACATATCCTTTGACCCGGCTGCGCCTGGACGGTCGGCGATGGAACGAACTGCGCCTGCTGCAAGCCCAGATCTCGACCAACCCCGCTAGTTCTGGGTCCTCATACCTATCCATGGGCAATACATCAATCATGTGCTCCGTTCACGGTCCCGCGGAAGGCCGCCGAGGTGACTCTGGAGGAAGTCCTGGAGCTGTAGTTGAAGTGGACGTCAATGTCGCAGGATTTGCTGGCGTGGATCGCAGACGGAGAGGTGGAGGAAGCGACAAGTAAGCTTCAACATCTTGTCTGCATAACAGCAGGTTGTCTGCGGAAAGCCATGCTAACCATAATCTCCTTTATAGGACATCATCTCGCATTGCAGTTATCCTCCGTTCTGCCTTCCAATCGCATCTACACACTTATCTCTACCCGCACAGTACCATCAGCATTCATGTCTCCGTTCTTTCCGCTGATGGATCCGTGCTCGCCGCCGCAATCAATGCTTGCACATTGGCTTTGGTCGATGCAGGTATCCCCATGCCTGGTCTACTTTGCGGCTGCACAGCCGGCATGAGTGGAAGCGCCTCGACCCCCAAGGATCCCCGACATGATGAACTCGACCCTCTCCTGGATCTGTCTCTGCCCGAAGAACAAGAACTACCTTTGTTGACTATTGGAACTACGACTGTAGTTCCCGTGGGTGAAAACAATATGGACGACGAGGAAGAGAGCACTGTGGCTCTGTTGACTATGGACTCCAAGATTCACAGTACTTACACTGAGACGATGGTTGCTGTAGGTATCGATGGATGTAGCCAGATTCGTGAGATATTGGAAGGAGTGATTAAAGGATCGGCCCGGGCATGAGACGATACGATACCCTTACTATTTTGCATGGGCGGCGTCCAGGAAGAATGAAATTTTATGTTTCAATGTTACTTAACTTTGAAAATTACCATGACAAACTACTAGTAGTACTAGTAAGTATTGAAAATATGCTCAATCACACTCAGTACCAAACCAGTCAAACCCCAAACTTTGAAATCTGCTCATACATTAAAACCCAAGGACGTGTGGTTGTACTTCAATCCACGGATCTTTCTTGTTTACCTTTCTCTCACCCTCAATTCAAGGCTCTTCACGTTGCACTTTGTACACCTTCCAACCTTGGAACAGGTCGACGTGCACACTTGATATTTTACTTGTCTTCAGCAAATATCTACACAGGAAATAATCATGTCTACTGCCTCCACTATGTCAGGAACCATGCCTACTGGTATGATGCCTCTCAGTAGCATGCCCACTGGTATCTCAGCCATGCCCAGTATGCCTGGTATGCCCGCCGATATGGACATGACTTGCAAGATCTCTGTCAGTCCGCATCTCTATTCCGATATGATTGCTTTGCACTCAAACTGACATCTATCACTTAGATGCTGTGGAATTGGTATACAATTGATTCCTGTAAGCTGTCCAGTCCTCAATCAATCGCCTCAAGTTTCAAATAACCGACTATCAAATCTCAGGCTTCCTCGCTCGCTCGTGGCATATCCGCTCTACCGGCGCGTTTGCTGGCTCTTGCATCTGTGTTATTTTTCTGGTGATGATCCTGGAATCTCTCCGCCGAGCTGGCCGAATCTATGAAGCCTTCATCCTACGCCGAGCTCGTCTTCGTCATCTGCACCTCTCTGGTCTGTCTTCCACTATCCCAGCCCGTCAAGGTGTCAAGGCGAGGTTCCAAAGCATCATCACAAGTACAAAGACCAATGCTGGCAATCCGTCTAACGATGATCTTATCACTCCTGTCATGGGCAACTCCTCGCGAGTAAAAGCTTCGGACGAAAGCAACGGAACGCACAGCGGTACTATCTCGGGTGTCAACGAAATTCCTCCCCAGACCGGTCTTGCCAACTTTCATCCCTACCGTCCTTCGCCCATAGAGCAAATTGTTCGAGCTTTGTTGCACACGATGCAGTTTGCCGTCGCATACATCGTTATGCTGCTTGCCATGTACTACAACGGGTACATCATTATCTGCATCTTCATTGGTGCTTTCCTCGGGTCGCTCATCTTTTCTTGGGAGCCTGTGACGCTTGCGAAGGAGTGAGTTAATTCCATTGCCGTATTTACAGTAGTATCATTAAAAATAACCCGGCCCCCTTTTACAGAAATGATGCCACTACGGTCACCAAGTGCTGTGGTTAGTACTCCCAATGATAAATGCGACACGGTTCTTTGCAGCAACGATTTCACCACCGTCACCAAGCTCCGTGATGAATATTTCGTGCAAAAAGACACGCTCATGATGAGAACCCGGGTATGGGAATTTATGGATTTAAATTTACGAATCAGTGTTGAAATTATGGGTCTCAAGTACACTTTAGTCTTATCTTCTTAGCTCTGAAAATATTTGGGCAATTAAACATTCCCTATCCATACCACTCTCCTCCCTCTTAGCACATCATCTCATTAATCTGCCGAGCGACAGAGACATTAATAAGTCCAGTCACCACAAAGTACGACTCAAGCTACGAGAAGAAAGTCTGCATATATAACCGGACGCACCATTTCACAACCTGCAATAAATGCCGGCCAGATAAGTGTCGCCATATCCCCATGCCCTTGCCCAGCCTCTACCTGAACCCGTTCAAAATAGTCCCGCACGGTCTGCACCTCTTGCTCAAGCAATGAAGGATCCAAATCATTGATTCGAGGATGAAAGATGACCAAAAACGCAGTATACGTCGCCTGGGCACAAATTTATAGGTAATATTTAAGATAGTAGTAATTGTCAAAGTGAGCACAATTCCAATCTCATAATCAAAAAACACTATGACAGAGAAAGGAGAAAATAAAGGCGTGGTCCACTGCTCCTCTATCCCCTCGATTGATATCGTTTCTCTAAAAGGCATGCTATTCAGACAAATGCGGGGCGGTTCACAATTTTTGAACGATTGGAACCCTCGATAATTTCAGGAGGCACCTAGGTATTTGTACTGGTTTTTAGCAGTCACTTTACCGACTAAATAGTAATAATAATGTATTGACTTACGTGCATCGGAGTTACCCTTTTCACAAGGGCATACTGAACTAGAGAAGATTGAACGCGGTATCTACATAGAGTAAGCTAATATCAGACGATTCTCGGGCACTCCTTCATTGATTTCCACCTGGGAGCCATAGATAAATGTTTGCTTTATTTTCTATATTAACATGTGATTTCTTTAAAAAAAACTCCTTCCAAGGTTGAAATATTTGACAATCGGCGATAGTGGAGATGATTGTAATCCTAAAAGAACCATTTCCATAAGTACATTTGAACTTAGATATCTACTAAAGTTTCTTGCTCAATACGACACCATAGTAGATCGTGGCAAGGAAAGCAGCCATGTTGACAAGACTCGAAACGCCATGCACGCGAGCAAACTTCTTGTTCAAAGCCAACATCTCTTTCGAATGGGGTGCAGGGTCATAGCTCTTCTTCCCATCGCGAGTTTCTACGGAAGTCAGAAACACACCCAAAAAAGAAGTAACAATTAACGTACCTTGGTGCTTACGCTCGCGCATAGTATTGACAGTGAGCGGGCGCAGAACCACATTGTTAACAAGGCCTGCGATAGCAACAGCAGCTAGAGGCAGCGCGGTGCTGTAGCGGTGCTCAGGAGAAATAAGGCCTGAAATGCCTAGAGCGTTGCCACCGCTGCTTGCGGTCAACGCTACAGCGACAGGTAGCGCAGTCTGGAGGGAGAAGTAGACTGGGAAAATGGCAGATTGCAAAGTAGCAAACTGGGGGCGCGGCAGCGCGCGGAATGCGACTATGCCGCCGACGAAGGACTAAGATTGAATCAATAACGTTTCATGGGTTTTACCGATTTTGATCTAGCCATGTAGTTCAATTTCAGCTCACCTGGAAGAACTGGGTGCCCAAAAGGGTGCCGTAGCTACATGTGTCGGGATATGTTAGTCTTTCAGATAGATAATGTATTTGTATATTGAAGTAATGACGCACCCGAGGATGTGGTAAGGACGAGGGTCATTCATTATGATAATAGTTTCTGAGAATAAAGATTGATGAAGATGTACAAGAGAGTTTACAAGGTAGCTTGGGCGACGCGTGGGGAAGCTAGGTGATGTGATGTTATATTTTTATATTTCCACGGCAATTCAATGGAGAAGGTCTATTTCCACGCAAGCAACAGTAGTCAAATTTGATATGAACACGCACCGTCGGTTAACACCACAAAGTCAGATGATGTCATGTGCGCGTTTGCGCTAGACCAAAAGGGAAATATCACGCGTCTGCCTGTCACTGTACTTCTGCCTTCAGGGCTTGCTTAAACACCCACAAGAACTTGAATCTTCACTCATTCTCACAATGGCTGAAAAGGAGGCTACAGTTTACATTGTTGATGTTGGGAGGTCGATGGGGGAGCGTCGATATGGCCGTTCCGTTACCGATCTTGAGTGGGCCATGCAATATGTCTGGGACCGCATCACCACTACAGTATGTGAGCTTTCAATTAGGAAGATTCGAAGCTAATCACCGTTTCCAGGTTTCTACTGGTCGGAAGACAGCTACAGTAGGAGTGGTTGCCCTACGGTCTGATGGTAATGATTCAATTGGCAACTATCCTGACTGTGTCTAATCTGTGGATTACAGAGACATCGAATGATCTTCAACATGATGAGAACTTCGCCAATATTTCTGTTTTGTTCAAGATTGGACAGTATGCTATCTCAGTGGACACTTTCAGGCGACTGGCTAATGTTGGTTATCCAGAGTTCTCATGCCTGATATTCGAAGGCTGCGAGATGCAATCAAGCCCAGTCGTACCTACAAGGGCGATGGTACGCAAAGAATCCACATTTCCTATGGAAACCTTTTATTGACATGTTACAGCTCTATCTTCCCTTGTCATTGCTATTCAAATGATCAGCACCTATTGCAAGAAGCTTAAATACAAGCGGGAAATCGTGCTCGTGACCAATGCCACCGGGTTGATTAACAGCGAGGGCCTTGAGCAAATCAAAGAGAAGATTGAAGAAGATAATATCAAGTTGACTGTTCTGTATGTTTGATATGGAATATCGCTGCATACTATGGATTTTGCTGACCCCTTCAGTGGACCCGATTTCGATGATGCGGATTGGGGAGTGAAAGAAGAGGACAAAGACGAGCGGAAGGTAATAAAAACATCCTTTCTGACGGATGCTCATACTAATTTCAACCGCAGGCTGCAAATGAAAACCTGCTTCGGAACTTTGTTGAGGACTGTCGCAACGGCGCATTCGGAACCCTTGATCAAGCTGTCTCTCAATTGGATATCCCTCGTCCAAAAGAGACAAGGAGCATGCCCTCATTTAAAGGCTTTCTCTCGCTCGGTAATGCAGAAAAATTTGAAACAGCCCTCCGCATCCCCGTGGAACGATATTTCAGAACTTACAGTGCCAAACCTCCAACTGCCAGCTCTTTTGTTCCGCGATCAGGCGCCGAGCCAGGACAAGAAGCTTCAGAACAAGCTGACGGTCAAGCGGCAGGTGAACGTGACCCGTTGGTTACTGTAAGGACTTCACGAACGTACCAGATTGATGACGAGTCTGTCCCCGGGGGCAAGGCCGATGTCGAGCGTGATGACCTTGCGAAGGGATATGAGTATGGACGTACGGCTGTGCATATCAGCCAGACAGATGAGAACATTACAACGCTGGAAACTTTCGCGGGTCTAGAACTTATTGGTTTTATCACAAACGAGAAGGTATTTTACTCGGACCTGGTGCTCTGATCACGCTAATCCTGCCATCTAGTATGAACGATACCTGCATATGTCCAATGTCAACGTTATCATCCCACAGAAGGCTCATGATAAAGCCACTCTTGCGCTGTCATCACTCATACATGCACTTTGGGAGTCAGACAGCTACGCCGTAGCTCGACTAGTAACCAAGGAGACCAAGCCGCCGCTCTTAGTCCTGCTTGCGCCATCGATTGAAGCTGATTACGAATGTCTTCTGGAAGTTCAGCTTCCATTTTCAGAAGATGTACGATCATATCGTTTCCCGCCCCTGGATAAGGTTGTCACTGTATCAGGAAAGATTGTCACCGAGCATCGTAACCTGCCGAGCACCACCTTGCAGAAGGCAATGGACGAATATGTCGATAGTATGGAGCTAGACTTGAAAGATGATGACGGGTAAGTCGAACGGTCTCTCACATTATTTCATATCCATCCAGCTAATCCTGATAATCCAGGGATATAATTGAAGGGCTCCCGATCGAGCACTCCTTCTCTCCATTGCTACATCGGATCGAGTCTGCTGTGCGATGGCGAGCCGTCCATCCTAATGACCCCATCCCCGAAGTATCGGAGCAACTCACGAGATTCGCTCATCCACCTGAAGACTTGGTAAACAGGTCCAAACAGCAACTAGAAAATCTCATATCCGCAGCAGATGTCAAGAAAGGTCAGTTTCAATATAATCCGCACACGCAAAACGACTAGCAATTACTAACACAGTCACCTTCCAGTCCCACCCAAAACCAAAGGCCGCAAACGCAATCGCGAAACCGAGAAGCCCCTCTCCGGTCTCGATGTCGACGCCCTTCTCAACCAGGAACCCAAGCGTGCCAAAATATCCCCTGAAAATGCCATTCCGGAATTCAAGCAGCTGCTTTCGCGTGCCGATAACCTTGAGGCCATTCTTGATGCTGTCAACCAGATGGGCGCTATTATCGAAAATCAGATTACACATAGTCTGGGCGATGCTAATTACAATCGTGCTGTTGAAGGCCTTGGGACGATTCGTGAGGAACTAGTTGACTATGAAGAGCCGGCAGCTTACAATGATCTTCTGCGGGGGTTGAAGAAGAAGATTCTTGGTGATGAGCTTGGTGGGGATCGGAAGGAGTTGTGGTGGTTTCTTCGGAAGAGTAAATTGGGGCTCATTGATCGAAATACGTCGGAGAGGTCAGAGGTTACAGAGGAAGAAGCAAATGAGGTAAGTTGGCTCTTTTCAAATGTTACAAGTGTTTGATAATTTACTGACTGTGTTCAGTTCTTGTCTGCTGTTTAACCTTGGATACTGTGTTCAGTACCAATTTGCTTCTAAAAACAGTTTACTACATGAGCGACTCGGAGATTGCTGCATCACGCAAGGGAGTAGTATGTCTACTGCAAAACTTCAATGATAACCAATGCGCCTGTCTGAAATGATTGTACAAGAATAAACATGCAAGTGCTGAAAATCTTGGAAATTGGTAATAATCGCCCGTGCTGGGAATCAGAAATAGAAGCTTGAAAGTAGTCGGCGCCAAATGAACGCTCAGTGGAGAATGAATATAAAGATCAGAATGCATCACACGTATGTACCATATCAACAAAATCAACAAAAAACACGTAAGGAAAATGCAGTGCGTATTCTGCTTAGGAGATCTTGCCGATACGCTTCTTACCAACGTCGAGCTTGGCTTTCAGGCTGGTAATGAGTTAGTAAATACCACACAAAAATCCATGTAATGGGGAATGAGAGACGAACCGATCAGTATCCTCATCAGCCAACTTCAACAACTCGTTCTGCACATTCAACTCCTCGTGAATCGCCGTTCCAAGCTCCCTCTGTCGAATAATAATCTTCATCAACTCCTCAACACTGGCATCTTGATTCAGCATCATCTGCTTCTGCAACTGCAGTACACCCTCGTTATCCAGCTCTCGCGTACGCTCGGTCTCCTTCCCGAGGATCCGTCCAGATTTCGCAGGTGTTCGTCGTCCGTTACTCCCAGAATCCCCTCCGGCATTCAGAAGTGCCTCTTTATCTTGAATCGAGGCAACAGCATGGTCGAGCTTGCTCTTAGTCGCCATAGCATGAGACAGATCTTCCAAGCCGTCCTTTTCTTTACGAGCATTGATAAGCAGGTCCTTTCGACGGCGAAGCTCGCCGTCACCGAGGCTAGGCGTGGCAGAGGAGTTTTTGGATTGCGCACTGCGTCCGCTGAGGTTTTTGAGACCTTCCTCGAGAGTGGAGATCAGAGACCCCGCACGGACTAGACTGCTTTTTGCTTGCGCTGAACTCTCATGCTGTTTCTGCGGGGTTGTCTCCTGGTCTCGGCGTGAGAGGGCGAGGCGGGCATCGTGAAGGTGGGCTTTCAGGTCACGGAAGTAGTCCAGCCAGAGTGTTGGGTCGGTGATTGGGGCGTTGGACGCACTACCTGGGTCTGTAATGGCGGCGTGTAGTCTTGTTGAGGAGTTGGCTGCGCTGGATGATGTGGAGGCGGCTGTGGGTAGGTTCAGGAATGCTCGCCACGCTGGTGAAGTGCGCCAGCGTCCGTCTGGGGACTCGTTGATGGCTCGGATATAATTTTCTAGTCCTATGCGCCGCTCTTCGCGGAAGCGCTCGTTGGAGACGGTCTTTGAGAACCAGGATTTGGCTGGGAGTGGGACTGGAGGTTGAGCATTGGTCTGGCTGATAAGGGTCGCGTGGAATGCTGCGAAGTCGGAGTAACGCTTGGAGACTGTGAAGGATCGGAGAGGGAGACGGAGGGTAATGTGGTAGACTGTGTGTGGGGGAGAAGTGGGGGATAGAGAAGTTGTAGGTATGGCAATCTCTAAATTAGGCGCCATGGTGAGTTGTTAGAAGTTGGAGAAGCTGTGTTCAAGACTTGAGTTAGCAGCATGACGCAACCCGAATGGGTCTAGTCCCACTTCGGTTTAACACCAGCATGTGGTGATCAACCTTACATTAGTAAATTACTGTTCTCAAAATCTTGGTAATTTTGATATTTTGCTAAGTATATGTTAATTTATATTAGCCAGGTTAAGTGCTCTATAACCATTTAGAATGGAGAGCTCAATCTAACCCCTCCGCTACAGGGCTGCTCTAAAGAGGAGATCTAGCGGTATGAGTAGTGGAATCTCTATTTCAGAACCTATTTAAGCGTTAGAAACTGAATTTTTTTATTGGACACCACCGGGAGCTTATTAAGTCTCTTTGCGGATATTATCACAGTCCTACAGGATTCCCTATCATTGTGGATAAAGAGGCGTTGGACTCTGTCTTAGAAGCGAAATCAGCAGATGACTGGAGGGGAATGACAGCCGAGGCCTAAGAGTCAGCGGTGCACGCGATTGTGCTTGATGTGCAATAATTTGACCTATGAGACACTCCCCATGAAGAAGAGGATCTACTAGGAGAGCATTAGGGCTTGACAAAGGTTTTGATATCCCTTATCTATTAAAGTTGATTTTTGATAGGGTCACCCATGCGACTATAGATCACGCCAAGTGTTCATTTATCAGCTAATGATAGTTCTATTCTTAATTATCCTCCTTCTCTTTCCAAAACAGAATATCATAAATCCTCATAAAGTAAAGCATCTAATAAGACACACAGGTACTCTCATCCCCGCAGTAGTATCCATCGCAGCATCCATCTGAACACGGTCCGTTTAAACCTAGAGTATAGATAGTCATTAGTCCATAAGAAGCAAGGATTTAGAAGGGTGTGTTTCTAACTAGAGCATGCAGACGCCGTCGCGGTCATCATAGTAATGGCAATCAATGTGAAGCAACCAGAGAAATTCATTTTGATTTTGGAATACTTGTTGTTTCAGGGTGTTCGGTTTGGTCTCCACGGTATAATTTGATATGAAATGTGAAGAGAAGCAATTGACTGACGAAAAAAAAAATTCCTCCTCGGTTTCGAAGATTGTCCTCCCCTTTATATATTTGAAATCCCAGACCAATTTCACCCGCTCAACATGTGTGGTATGTGTCAAAACCCTTCGCTTTTATCATACTTTCATTATTGCTGTAGACGATCGCCCCTTGCGGGACGTCGCTTGGCTACTCTATTACTGTAGGCTCGAATTCAGCACTTGGTCTAAACCTTGCCATTCCCACAGAACCTATAAGTTGCAAACATCCTTGCATTCCTAAAACCCTTAAACGCCTTTTCAAGACTCTTGTAATATGCACTTGGGAGGCTACGTATGCTATTACATACCGCGCAGTAAAGTAAGGGGCTAAGGTTTTACCCTACTGTTGTCCTATGAGATAGGGCTATCCTAAGTTATATGTGTTTCTGCAGCGAGGGTTATGGCCACAAGACTGGCTGTATCGTCAGCCACCCACGATTTCTGGCTTGTGGCGAACCCGCGACACCTATGACTATTTCGCGCCTTTGTATCGCTACTTTCAATAGCAGCGCACCCGTCGCCGGACTAAGTAGTATATATTCGGATCATGAAATTTTTGTCATTATTCTAGCGTTTCTATACCTAGATCTTGCTCTGATAGAATAAATTGTTCTATTAAAACCCATAGGTTTCTTAACAGCTATCCAAAACATTTAGTATCAATAGAATGAAGTTCATTATGGGAGAACAAGTGGGCAGATACTTATGTAATCAAAGTCATGGGCCATGTTTTCGCCAGTCTTCTTTCTCGAAGCTGGACTTTCCAGATATCGAATTTACGCCATATGACATCGCGGCGATTAACCAAAAGATCATGGATTCAAACAAAATCTTCGAATTGGGGGTATCGTGTCCCTATGAACTCTCATCTTCACCTACAAGATTTCCCGATTGCTGCCTGGCCATCTCCAGCACTTTGATCTCCTCTATTGTTTCACTTCTTCCTAAGAAACCCGCCTTTACGCTCTCGATAGGCAGTGGATCTGGTTTTCTCGAGTATATACTTGCTCAAAGCAACGAAAATGTATCTGTACAGGGAGTGGAAGTGAGCTCGACTGTCAACCGATATATTGCCGAAGAAGATATGCACGTTGTTAGCGGCGCGTGGGGCCTTTATTCCTTTGCTCAACAAGCTACGGCATGGATGTTTGTCTATCCACGCGATCCGAAGCTTATCACTAAATACCTGAACAATTACGGTGATGAAGCTGTAGAATTGATCATCTGGCTCGGACCACGAGTCGATTGGCCTGACTATGAGCCGTGTTTTCGCCGGTCTTCTTTCTCGAAGCTGGACTTTCCGGATATTGGATTAACGCCGTATGAGATCGCGGTGGTTGCCGAAAAATCATGAATCCAAACAAAATTGTCAAATCGGGGGTATCATGTGCCACTCAAATCGAATTATTCAAACCGAATCAGCCCAGACCTCCCGTGAGTCTAACAGGTCGCGCTGACCAAAGAACTCGCCAACCACCGTGATGATCATGTCGAGCATGGCGCGGGTCTGTTTCGCCACGCGTTCCCTATCTGTGTCGGTGGGCTTGTCCTCCGCACTATCCTGCACCCGGGCCTGCAACCGTGCCTTGGCTGCCTCCAGCTCCGCCTGGTCCACAGCATCAGACATATCCGCATCGTTGTCTTTCAAAGGCTCCGGCTGTCTTTTTTCCTCTGTTTCTACTTCTGCGACTGGGCTTCCTGGCTTTGTATCCTCTCCAGCATCCGAGTCTGGCGTTTCCTCGTTTTCCATTCGTGAAATCCCCTCTAACTCCCGGATCTTCTGCAAGATCTTCACGGCTCGTTTTCCAACGTCACGAATTTCGCCCACCTCTTCCGTAGACAATTCCCCAATCTCTCGACACTTGCCCAGTAAGCCCCAGGCCCAGGCACCAATGCGTCGAATCTTCTCGGCGTCCCCACTCCGCAGAATGTCAGACATCATGCGTGCCATGATTTGCAATACCCCAAGTACACTTTCCTGATCCATGCAGGCCAGTTGGACCATCTGTGGATACACAGCCATGACTAGTCGCCTCCATTCTTTGCGTGCAGGTTCGACTTTGCGGGGGAGGCTGATGGGGTGGGTGTCGTCGAGGCCAGCAATCGCTTCAGCTGGAGGTGAACACTTCACGGTAGATCGGAGAAGTACAAAGCGATGTCGGAGAAGGTTATAGTAGGCAGACTGAGCTTCAGGGTACGTGTTTTTGGGGGTAGCAAGTGAAGACCTGATCTCAACCGGAGCGATGTAAGCCTCCTCGCGGTCAAAGAATCCAGAAGGAAAAGAGGTTGCGGATTGTTTAGTGTCGAGTGCACTCAGATTCTGTGTAATGACTGTGTCATCTGTCTTTGATGTCGGTGCAATAAAGAGCGAGGGTAGCGCACTCGCCTCGGATCTAGGGAGTTCACCAATGTCAGGGTATGTTCTTTGCGCATAGGGGGTAACAGGGACTGGGGCACAGATGGCGATATTTAGCAAATTAAAATCGACCAAGAAGATGATAAACATACCTGACCATACGTAGGTACTCCAATCCATCGTCTGGATCGTCATAGCAGAGCTCTTCACTGACATCGTCCAGACCTGGGAACGCGTTTTTCTGACCGTACAAAGGATGGCTGTAAGGCTTCTCATAAGGTGTCGCAGAGGACTTTTCATCACCCTCGTCCTCATATGAGATCCGAGCCCGCTTGGATGACGGGGGCGCCATCGATGCTTTTCGCTTGTCGGGCATTGTGGTGTTGCGTGAGGAAAAGCCGCGAAGCTCCATAGCTTATCAAAGCTTATCTGCTTATCGCCGTCGTTAACTCAAATAACAATTTCATGTGACTTCACTCTACTTGGTTTTGTCTTCGCTATTTATTTGCGTTTTTAGGGGAATTGCTCCACGTACCCTGTATTACTTTTGTACAGGAGCATACATATGGCATCGAGTCAATTACCTGGCTAAAGCATGTTTCCTATAGCCTGCCCAGGTAGCCTTCAGTATACCTACCCTTTGAAAGTACTTTGTAGCGTTAAGTATACCTGCTCCATCTACTCCGTAACCTACTCCAGTATATAATGAGATGATGCAGAGTTTCAATAGAAGAAAGGTCCCAAAGCAGAGTTTATGGATAGAGAACATTTGGGATAGAGAGGATGGGAGCTCATATACTACATGTGACCCGGAAGGGCCGATCCCCTTTTAGGCTAACGCCCCACAATACGCATTTGAGCCCCACTCTGTACCCGTTAAAGTCAAGAACCAAAGAACTAAAGAACCGACCCAAATGCATTTTTCATATCTTATCTACACTAGCAACAAAGCTATTACTTAAGGGCGCAGACGCTGAGGGTCACGAGGGAATAGCGATGCCAACCGTACATTGGGCAGACCAAGGAAGAACATCACAATACGGTTCAGACCAAGACCACCACCGGCGTGGGGAGGGCAGCCTTGGCGGAAAGCGTTGAGGTAGTCCTCGAAACCCTCCTGGGTGGGGTCGAGACCCTTGGAGCGCATGGATGCCTCCAGCTCGTCAATGTTGTTAATACGCTGAGCGCCGGACATAATCTCCTCACCACGCATGAAGAAGTCGTAAGAGTTGGAGAAGCGGGCGTCCTTAGGGTCGGCCTTGGTGTAGAAGGGGCGGACAGCCATGGGGAACTTGTCCAGCACGTAGAAGTCGGTATCGTACTTCTCACGGATGATCTGACCAAGCTGCTTCTCCATGGCGGTGCTGAAGTCGTTCTCGAATCGCTCCTGCTCGGACATGTCAACGCCAGCAGCCTTCAGCAGCTCGACACCGTCCATGTAGTTCAAACGCAGGGCCTTGCCGTCCTTGGGAAGCTTGAAGTCACCAGCCTTGGGGTAGGACTTCTGGATGGTAGCGATCTGGGAGGCGTAGCGGGCCTTAAGCTGGCTCAGAATGAAGACCAGCAGGTCCTCGGCGAACTCCAAAACCTCGTGGTAGTGGTTCTCGAAGGTCTTCTCGAAATCGAGACCGGCAAACTGTGTCCCAATTAGCAATGAAATCTTGTCAATTGAGCCAGGTAATCATACCTCAGTCAAGTGACGGTGAGTGTTGCTGTCCTCGGCACGGAACACGGGGGCAATCTCGAAAACGTTCTCCATGTCACCGGCAATACACATCTGCTTGTACAGCTGCGGGCTCTGGGCCAGGTAACCTTGGCGCTTGAAGTACTTGACCTCGAAGACGTTGCTACCACCCTCAGTGGCAGCACCGACCAGCTTGGGAGTAAAGATCCATCGCGAGCCGCTCTTGATCATGTACTCAGCAAAGAGCTCCGCGACACCACTGGAGATCCAGGTGATCGCCTGGCTAGTCTCGGTTTGCAGATCCAGAACACGGTTGTCGAGACGGGTCTTGAGAGTGACGATGGGAGCACCGGCCTCGTCAAGCTCGTTCTCCTTCTCTTCGGTAGGGGGCGGGCGCTCGGCATCCTTGACCTGCATGGGCAGCATCTGCGCAGCCTCGGAGATCATGTAGACCTTGCGGATGTGAAGCTCAAGGTTCTGGAGGGTCGCGGATGAGATAGGAGTCTCTGGCTTCTTCACAATACCAGTAACCTGGATGATAGAGTTGACATTCAATCCACCAGTGTACTTGATCATCTGGCGAGAAATGGGCTCGTGGAGCGCAATGACGGCCTGGACCTTCTGACCCTGCTGGCGCAACATCAAGAATGCCAGCTTGGCACTCTGGACACGCGCATTGTCGACACGTGCGACAACGGTAACCTCCTTCTCATAAGAATCTTCTGTCAATTGACTGAATCGGACGGAAGTGATAACATCCTCGGTCTCGGGGAGCGGGCCGTAGAGATCCTTGGCTGTGTCGTTGGCCTCCTGGGCGGCGGCCTGTGCCTTCTCCTGTGCAGCTCGGGCAGCAGCCTTCTCAGCCTTGGCCTTCTCCTTCGCAGCCTTCTTGGCAGCGTTCTTGCTGGCGTTCTTGGTCTCGCCCTCAGCGGCGGGAGCGGCCGCGGGGGTCTCCTCAGGCTTGGGTCGGGTGGGCAACTCAGAGTCCGCCATGATGCTGATGCAAAAAGGTCAGTGGGTCTGGATCTAGATAATTAGGGGGATACCAATACGGTGGAGAGCTTGGTTACCTTAATGATGGATTGATATCTTGCCACGGGCAATCCACTTGAGTCAACACTTTGAGTCACCCCGCGGCAGGCCGCATATTGCCCTAAGCCCTAGGAGGGGTGATGATCACATGACCCGATGACATACTTCATGCCTGATAAACCAGGACGAACGAATGATCTATAATCTCAATGCGAGGGATAATTTCAGCGGATGAATTGGATATACCCGATATATGTACACTATAATTCAAGTTCAAGGCGCCGTGTGTATGCTTATATTCACATTATTCAATCAAGCGCTGTGCATATCACCCTGCCGGTTCAAAATGCAGACAAATCAGCAAGACCACTTCGAGGTCTTCAGAGCCCACTCTACACCCTTCTGAACATCATCTGCGATGGTCGTGGGGATCCAAGCGGGTTCACCGCCAGGGTAAACCCCAGTGCGGACCAATATGGACTGCCATTTGCTTCCGTATCCACTGCGGTAGGAGTTTGCGCCCCGAATATCCGACTCTGGGTTGTCACCAACCATATACACATGCTGCAGCGGTGGGAGATCAGCTGCATCTCCGAAAATCTTGGATCGGTTCTGAAGCAGCTGTCGCTCAGCAAATTCGTAGGTTCCTTGGTAAGGCTTTCCGATCACAGTCTTTTTCAATTCAATGCCCTTGCTTGGCCCGCCTGTAGTCGCGGCCCAGACACCTTCCAGTGCCTCGCGGAATCCACCCTGACCAAGGCGGGGTAAGGGATAGGCGGCCGCCCAGTATAAATCTGGATTGGAGAAGTACAGATGGGGCTGACCATCCTGTTGGTACCCGTGATTGGGAAGGTCTGTCTTGCCATTCTTCTCCGACAGTGTACCCACGTGTCCCTGGCGTGAGAGCATAATGTCCATAATGACCTGCGTATCCATACCCCAGTCTCGGGGATCATTGAAAACAAAGACTGCGTCGATTTTCAAGCCCTTATTCGGATCTGTTGGGTCAATTGGTTTAGGGAGAGGTCTCGCGAATGTCTTGTAATAATCGGAGAAGTTCTTAGAGAATGGCCAAATGGATGGGTTGTCCATGAAGATGTCTCCAGGGGTCACGACATTCTTAAATCCATACCTATATCAATCTTTTAGCGAAGTGACCCTGGGGGAGGAATGGAGCTATATTATTGACGTACTGTTCCGCGACGCGCCGACAATTATCTCCATCACCTCCAGCCACCAAAACACATTTGTTCTCCAGCGCGCTTGTCTCATCTGTCCCTTTCACTAGTGCTGCAAAAGGGGAGTGGCTCTGTACGATATCAGACGCATCCAGTGGCACGTTCAGCTTCTCGCTAATCTCAGCCACTCGCGCCGTCTCGTGTTTGCCGCCGCCATTGGTGAGGAGGATAAAAGGAATGCCTTGCTTTTTCAGGAGAGCCAATGATTCGGCAGCACCAGGGATAGGCTTAGAAGCTCGCAGTAGAACACCATCGATACTAAGGCATAGAGTCAGAATTGGCAATTCAGGCCGTAATTGTATGCATACATCATCATCCCTACTCACTCAAAGGCAAAAGCAAAATTGGGGACCTGGCTAGAGCTGGCCGTTTGAATTAAGCGACGGCCATTACTGCAACGCGAAGATCGCTGCAGTAGGCTAAATGCGCGCAAAACAGGTTGAGGTCTCATTCTGGAGTGGCTTGGTCGAAGTTGCAGAAGGTTGAAAGGGGAGAACCCGATCGAGTGTGATATCATGCCTCCATGAGTGCCCCACACGGCCGAAAGGGCCGAAGCCGGTAGTATTTTGATGCCTTAAAAATCGGGGTGTTAAACTTCATTGTTACTAGTAACCAAGTACTAGTCAGTATAGACCACTCTGAGCTTGTCAACCCGAGGCTATAGTCACTACAGAGTAGCAAAATATGCCTTTTTTTTCGGGATACACTGCCGATCTCTCTGATATCATTATTGGTTATCTCTTGAATGTATTGTACTGGGTTGTATTTGACAAGAGTATGATCGTTTCAGAGTAGCTAAACATACTATATGAAACTGAATTGGCTGGGATTTACTCAATATTTATATGTTGGGTATTACACTTACAAGTATACCCCTCACCTTTTCCTCAATGACGGGGTGCTTCCCTTGTCAAGTATCGCTTTTCTTTCGATTCATGATAAGTTGATGATTAGTAGTAGAAGTATAGAAGTGAGGTAAGGCTAGTGTCATGGTATTTTGGTATTTTTGGTTTCTTCGCGTTCTGCACCGACTTGGACACCTGAACTTCAAGGCATTAAATTACGTAGCCCCACTAGTTATTCAATGTCCTTCGCCTCAGATTATTTTATATCATTAGCTTCCCTCCACGCTTTGCCTTTTCTTTTTTCTCTCTGATATCTCTCACTTTATTTCTTATATTTTGTTCCTGGTAACCTCTTCAGGCATCTGTGTTCCTGAGCAACGCATCTTCCTTCCACACAAAACACTACGGAACCTCCAAGGATCAGGGATTAAACACCTCTACCTACCTCTACACGTAGGTGAAAGATATTCTGGCCTAAGCTGGAAGCATGCTTCGTGATTTATTCAAGCTTCTGGACTTGTCTCAGCAACTATCGTATCACTCAGTTTATCCTGTGATCTCGACATATGCTTCACACGACAAAAACCTCTAAGAGCCAGGGTTTGAACGCCTCCAAGGACTATACCTTGGCCTACCTGGTTAGTTTCCTAGATAATTAGGTAACATATCCAGTCCGGGATAAAGAGCGTAAGACCCATCATGACATCCACGGAAACCAATTATCTTCCTACGGAGATAGTGGTACTGATTGCGGAGTACCTCTACGATCTTGATCTTTATATCCAGAAGGATACCCTCAATACCCTCGCACAAGCCCTTCTGAGGAGGCAAACCGCTTTGTTCAACTTTTGCCTGGTAAATCATCAGTGGTACTCAGTGGGGATTGATATTTTATATCGCGAACCTAGCCTGTCAAACGGTGACAATTTTCTAAAATTCACCCAAACGGTGTGTCCGAAGCCACATACCAGATTAAAAACCAAGACCAAATCCGATATTGGATCAATAATTCGATCTCTGGATTTGGGTCAACTGGTCCATCAAAGCTCGAACAGTATAACTGCACGACTTCTCAGCAAGGCCAGTGAGAACTTGACCAACTTTATAGCCCCTCGAGTGTCATTTTCGTGAGTACAACCTTATCTCCAAGTAGCCTGGGATGAAGCTTGTACCTAACCATTAACAAGTCTCAATGGCCTAGCATCTCTCACAAAGTGCCAGAAGCTCGTAAGCCTGGACCTTAGCCGAGTGGGTGATTCCTCGATTACATTCCCGCAATTGAAGAAGACCGTCAGCAAACTCGGGAATCTTGAAGATCTTGCACTGCCGATCTATGTCCCGCTCACCGAAACTGGTTCGACTACCGGTTCATGGCCTGGGAAACTCCGGAAAATGACAATCGGCGGGTACATCAATGAGCAGCTGATGGAAAGTTTCGACTGGCCGACCAACTTAACGGACCTGTGCCTGTCGAAGTGCAAAAATGCCAACGTCGATCTCATGGCGACCATCTTAGAGAATGAGTCTCTATGGGGAAATCTGCGGAATTTCACCGTTGAGTCGGATTGCAGATTCACCGAGACAGATCTGGCTGTCACAGGCGTCCTGCAGAACTTATACGCTCTCGAACGCCTCCAGATACCTGCACATTTTGCCCGACATTTACTTCTTCTTGAGGAATACCCAGTCATAACCATACCTTTTCGGGACCTTTCTCTCACTGAGCCTGCTCGTGACTACCCTTGCGATGCCTTCTTCTCCACGGATCTATTGGAATCCCTGGAATCAGGCACTCTGAAGGGAATTTGGTCCCTTAGTCTCCCGTCTTCATTTCTCAGTCTATATAATTTGGACCAGCAAAAGTTTGATGATGTTATATTCGACCATCTGGACAATATTGATGATCAAGAGCTGGACGAGTGGGGTCCGGACTTGGGTTTTCGAGTTTGGAGATGACTTGTCAATCTTTCAAATGGCTGCGAGTTGTGACAATTGTGTTCTCTAAGCGCCATACAGCATCAATATACCCGGCGTTGCCATAGCGAATTGATTCCAAAAATGTATACTCGAGGTCTTACTGTATCGAATAGGTAAAAGATGCTTTTCATGCAGACTATGTATCTCAATCTATTCGAGACAACTAAACCAAGCACAAAACAAATACGGCAGGCTGGACAGCACCAGGAAAAGCGACCCCCCAATTTTGTAGTGAGCTTCATGGGACTCGTCAAGACCAACAAAATTGCGCCGCAGAAGCACAGTGAGGATGGGGGAAACAAATAGAGACCTTGAAATAACAGAAACATAGGATAGCAGGGCTTCGCGTGGACAGGAGCAAATGGGAGAAAAGAGAAAATAACCAAATCCTCATGTCTACTACAATTTGCTATAAAGAGAAAAAAGGAAAATAAGTTAAGACATTAAGTGACAGATGCGAGCACCGCAGCAGCAACGCCCTCCTCTTCTGCCCGGACCGTGATCTTGGTTGTGACGCCACTCTTGCTGGAGTAAGCCATCTTGATGAGAGAGGCCACTCTGCCGCCGGAGACAGTCTTGCCGAAAAGCTTGAGAGTGTGGGTGCTGTTGTTGAGAGCGACATCGCTACCTTCCAGGGGTTGGAGGGACAATGCAGAAATGAGTTGCTCGGTGGCATCTGATAGATTGTTAGTGTGTCTTGGAAAATTGGGCTGAAAGGGGTAAACATACCAACAATGCCCTTCATGTTGCTTAGTTGTAAAGTCTCGCTCTCTTCCTCGCCGTTAGCTCCAGTCTGTTCCCAGACGTGGTCGAAGCTGCCAGCGAATGCAGGAATGACGTAGTCGCTTCCAGTAAGCTCGAGGTCTTCCACCTGGTACTCGTCATCGTAGCCCTCCTCTTCCGGTTCGCCAGTAGTAGGATCGATCTCCTTGCTGGTGAACTTAAGGTTGTTGGTAAAAGAGGTAATAGGGACGCTGTGCTCGCCACCAAGCTTCTTGAATGCCACATAGACGACACCAGGCTCATTGGGCATGAGCTTAGGAGCGGGAATTATGAAGTCGTCCTCTAGGACATCATCCTCGGATGGTGAGGCAACCACGGTAACGTTCCCAAGGACAGTATCGGGGAGGGTGTTCTTGATATCGTACTGCACAACAACGTGCTCCTTGAAGATGTGCTTGACAGCAGTGACAACGTACTCGGTCTCGCTTTCTGAAAGCTCGACAGGTGCGGAGGACTTGAGCAAGGTACCGTACTCCTTGATATCTGGAATCTGCAAAAGCTGCTCGGCGTATTTTTGGGTAGCAGCAGCAGTGGCTGCCTCGGCAACTCCGTTCGACTTGCCCTTGGGAGGACCGGCCGAAGGAGCCTTGAGAGTGGGTGTGGCTGTTGTGAGCTTCTTGGTCCGCTCCTCGGCCAAGGCCTGCTCGTGGGAGACAACGGGGACGGAAGCAACATCGAAGGCCGCAGCGAATGTCTGCTTGTCGTTCGAGGTCACATACATAACGAGCTGGTGCTCAAAGGTGGAAAGGGAGTACATGGAATCTGAAGTTGTCAGTATAAATAAAGTACTTGGAAAACCGTAGCTGGAATGCCTACCGTTCTTAATGAATGCACTGGCTGTGTCATCTTCGGCGCTCATCAACCGAAGGTTGAGGGCAGCACGATCGCGCACCTCATCATCGGTATCATCAAGGCAGCGGGTAAGCAGAACATGCACACTGGACTTGACTTCAAGGTCCTTCTGGCCAACACCAAACTTGGCCAATGCAGTCACGGCAGCGGCGCGGACAATGGCGTTCTCCAAAACAACACGGTTATAGATGTAACGGATGTACTTAGTGGGGTGAGAAGTCTTAGGGCCCTCAACACCAAGCAGATGCAGGACACGAACGGACAACTTAGTGAATTCGCAGTCCTCGATAAACTCGCAAAGATGAGCGAGAGCTAGGCAGACTGTTAGACTCGAAAACCAATAGTTCAAATAAATAAACAAACTTACCATCTTCCTTGCTGTCAGGAACAAACTTGATTAAATCGAACATGCTCTCCACAACAGTACGCTTGAACTCGTAGCCACCCTCGTCGCGCAGAATGCCACTGAGGAAGACCAGCATGCCAGCCTGCTTGCTAGGGAACTTCAGACACAATGTGCGGATAGCCTCAACGATAGTAATCTTGAACTCATCGGTGATATCGGCCATGAAGCCCGAGATCTGCTTCATGAGACGGTCAACACTGGCTTCGTTACCAGTCTTGAGCAGGGTAGTAATGGCGAATGTGGCGATAGAGCGGTTGGAGTTTGAAATGAGCGATTCGATATCGGGGTTGCACACGTTGACGACGTGCGGCTTGAAGGAGGCGAAGTTGTGGAGAATGCGAATAGCAGCGAACTTCGTGATCGATCGAGGAGAAGACAGGAACAGCTGCAGAACGTGAACGGCCTGGGAAGCTTCGGCGTCGGTGACATCCCGCAACTCGCAAATAGCCTTTGCGGCCTCAAAGTTGACCATCTCGTGCTTGTGACGGAGCCAGCCATCCAGCATCTGCACCATGGGCTTCCGGAGACCAGGGTCCTCCTCCGCCAGCTTGGCGGCCAGACGAACCAGCAGGACCAAAGCTGCCGGGCTCTTTACCACACCAGCTGCACCGTACTGCTGAACCATCTTTACCAATGCCATGCGATCAGGAGAACGCATCTGATACAGCAGACCAATTGCGTGATACTGGGTCATGAAGTTGGAATTAGAGATAGCATGAGCCTGGGAGCCAGATGAGAAGCCCAGGAAACCAGTCGATTGCTTCGAAGACGAAGCAGCTTCCTGGGTTTCGCTTTGCCATCTCCGAACAACGTCGCGCGCGATGGGGAGGAGGTGGTACGAGGAGACCAGGGCGGCGGAGGAGACCGAGGGAGTCTTGTCGACAATGGCAGTCTTGATGAGTCGCTCAATACCCTGCACAGTTGATCCATCAATGATGCGACAGAGTGCTCGGATAGCGTTGGCCCGATACAAGACGTCGCTTCCGACCGCGGTATCCTTCATGATGATACTAGTCGACATAATCACATCTTCTGCAGTGTTTGCCAGCTCCTTCAAGATTAGATACACCATCTGTCGCAAAGACGGGTCCTTATTCTGGAACAGCTTGGAAATGCCGAAGAAAAGGGTCGTGGCTTCGTTTGTGGGGAACTGCTCCCCGGTGAAGAGGAGGACCGCAATCTTGGTCAATAATGTACGGCATGTTCGCGGCGAGATAGGGGAGGAGTTGAAAAGTCGAGCTGAAAGAATTGGTCTGTTAGTCCGGTGCCCGTTGGGCAAGGGGAGGGGGGGGGAAGGTGGTGAGCCGCAACAGCCAGGGGTCATGGCCATTTGCCATTGATTGGCGTACCATCTTGGAATACGGAGGTCCGATCAAGCTTGATCATGACCTGGTCCGCATCTTCATCCTTCTTCATGTAACTCATTTTGCCCAGGTGCTGGGATTGCACCAGCGGAATGTACTTCGCGATCGATCGGTAGTCGGGGATTCAACGGGAGGAAGGACACAGTAGCAGCAGGGAGAGCGGTGTAGGCAGCTACAGCATTCGCGTAACTTATACCCCCAAGGAGAAGAAAAGAAAAGTAGAGAAAAAAGAGGGAGAAGAGGTGGTGTTGGAATCGCAACCTCGAGCTCCACGATCACTTGTTTATGGAGTAAAGTTGAATGGTGGCCTTCCGTGTGTTTGGCTGACCCGGGCAAACACTGCAAACAGGTGGCATCATGGACTCACAATACTCTTTTGCCTGATCCAACTTCTCTTCTCCTACACTTAACTACTTATAATTGGAGATTTCTTTCAGTTCTTCATTCCTATTCATTCGTCATGGAGGTCGAAGTCAATCCCAACGAGGATACTGAATGGTATGGTCCCACTACCACCCACATCATGCCCGCATCCCCCGCGCTCCGTTGGAGCTATTTGTGAACAGGGTCTAATTGTGATTGTGCTCTATACAGGAACGATATTCTTCGCCAACATGGAATCATCCCAGAGAAACCCAAAGATCCAGAACCCATGATCCAAGAAGCCCTGATCGCGGCTGAGCATAGGGCATACGAGAACCGCTTGGAGGACAAGGATCTGGATGAACTTGCCGCACTGGAGGAAGAGGAGGACGAGGGTTTCCTCGAGCAATACCGGTAGGTGATCAATATCTATGGTTTTGCCATTTCAATACAAACTATGGGCCACTATATATATAATATTCTGAGGCTGCATGCTGAGCTCCAAGTAGCCAAAAACGCCTCGCCGAAATCAGCACCCTCCAAAAAACCAGCCTTTTCAACCAAGTGTACCCTCTCCAGAAAGTCGACTACGGCAGAGAAGTAACCGATGCCTCCAAAGAAGCATTTGTTCTGGTCAATCTCACATCCCAAGGCGCCAACGTCGAGTCGCGTGTTTTGACTGAGCTGTGGCGACAATTGGCGGCCAAGTATGGCGATATTAAGTTCTGCGAGATTCGTGCCGACATGTGCATTGAGGGGTATCCAGAGCGGAACACGCCCACTATTCTTGTTTACAAGGATACTGAGATTCGGAGACAATTGGTTACTCTGCGGGAACTGAAGGGCGTGCGGACTAAGCTTGAAGGTGAGTGTTTACTATTAATCTTACTTCACTTGACGTGCTTCGGACTGACTTTGGCAATAGATTTGGAACGGCTGCTCATTGAAATTGGAGCGCTGAAGGAGGGCGACATGCGTCTCAAGAAGCATGATGATGAAGATGACTACAAGTCCAAGGACGATGACCTTAACGTTGAGGATTATGATGATGACTGGGATTAATTGCTTTCACACTTAACTCTGCGATCAACCCAGACTGTTATGATTTGATGTGTACATTATGAAATACGCTCAAACAAAGCGAAACAATCCTTACCACCGCGCCGACTTGGGATGGATTTGAATAAAACAAAGAAATATCGAACGACCTGGTAGTTGAACACTCCCTCGAGGCGCATTCATGACGATTGTGATCATTCCTTGCGCTGTTGATTACGTATCCATCAAATTGACAATGCAAGATATATTATTAACATTCAAGTGTCAATACCGCAGCATCCATTTGCAAAGGCCACAGCATAACGTGTTTGGAATCTTGGATGCAGCAGCAAAGAATGTCCATATCCAAAATAAAGTACAAAATCAAAACCAAAGCGCCAAAAGAAAAGATCAACCCTTCAACTACCTGCACATGTGCAGCCAGGTAGATCCATCGCCCCGCTCCCAGTAATTTCGTATATGCAACCCAAGTGCTCCAAGCGTGAAACCCGAAAAGACGCCAATTGAAAAAGGCAGCAAATGGCCCTAAAAAAACAAAAAGACATAGACTCATTATTTATACCGTAGACAAAGTGCTCAAGATGCAATCAAATTAGATCAACTCATCCCGATCAGCAGCACTCGCCTCGATAGCCCTCCTTACCTCCCCCTCCTTAAAAGCAGGCCCTTGCCCATTACACTGAGCCAACCCCTTAAGCCGATCCGCAATATCCCCAATATCTACCTGCCCCGCCTTAAAGAGCTCATGACCCTGGATAAAATCCCACGTAGCACCGGCATCAAGCAATCTCTCCCCAGTCATTTCACACACCATAACCCGATGTGAAGCCGGCGGTGCAGTGGCACTGCTTCCTGGTGCAGGACCCCACCCGGAGCCCTCGGGCATCAAAGTGGAATAGAAGTCTGTGGGGGTGTATTTCATCGGACCTGTGACTGCGGGCTGTTCTTGTGCGCTGGCGGGGTTGTGAGAGCCACCACCATTCATGGAGCCGGATGTTGCGCGAAGGATTTCATTTTCTGTAGCGAATTTGGCAAGTTCACGCTTGAGGCGCTCATTGTCTGCTTGAAGGGTACTGGAGGCTTCGGCCAGGGAGTGAACTTTGTCTTCGAGGTCTTTGACATGACGCTCTTTTCGCTCGCGGAAGGCTCGTTGACTATATATCAGTATGTCAATAAGTTGATAAAAGCCGTTGTATCGATGATTGTCTTGTATTTTGTGCAGTCAAGATTAGGTATGGGGATATTCATCACATACGCTGCACGATTTTGCGCCTTGCGCTTGCTTTGCGCCGGAGTCATGGAATCCTTCTCCTCGCTACTACTGCGAGTCATGCCATCTGCAAAATGATTTTCATCGCCGTCGATCGAAGACGGGTCGAGCTTTGAATTGTTGCCATAGTCATTACTCGAGGAGACGGAGTGCTTGGTGAAAGAGTCCGGGGGTGAATGCGGTGGCGGGACAAAAGATGAGGGGTCGATACGCAAAGTGTTTTCCAGGCCGGGGAAATATTGGTTATAGGCATTCTGGTCTCCATGTTAGAATATGGTACAATCTCACAACAGATCATCCGTATATCAAAATAGGGTGATCGGAGTCCGTACCACGGGAAATGGGTTGTGTAGGGCGTCGTCGGATTGGTGCGGTGCTTGATCGGGGGTTGGCAGCCCGTACATTGAGTAGGGGTGGGATTGCTGGCCATGATAGTTGTAGTCCATCTTGCTGCGATGGTAGGAAGGCTGACTTTTATTGATTTGAAGGTGGAAAGGAAGGGGAGAGTCGGAGAGGATGATTCTCGTTCGGGGGAAGATTTCAGTTTGGGCGTCTGGCAGATTTCATGGGGTTCTTTGTGAACCAAGTCTTTCTGACCGATTCTTTTAGATTTCATAGAGTCTCGACACGCCACCACGTCTACTAATTAAAGCCTCACTATATCTACTATTTGAAATATTCCTTGAACTATCGACTTTCTCAAAAAAACTTCCAAAAAAACTCAACCTCGGATTATTAAACATTATCAAACATGTTAGACAACAAGTGGAGTCTGGTCCGTGCATGGAACGCCCAGAACGGGGGGCGAATCGACTTGATGATCTCACCTAAACTCACCGCAGAGAACGAGAAGACGGATTTTAAGAACTTTTGAGGGTAAAAAGCATTTTGATATTAGATGCGAATAAGCTATAGCGAACTTCGCAAGATCTGATCGGGATCTGCCAGGACTGTATAGTACTGGCAGTTTGATACTCCAGGTAGCACTGGAACGCACCAATCTCAAAATGCAATTGTGAATGATATGAGTATGCAGTTGGGAAAAGAAATTCGAAAGAATGCTAGAAACATAAAACATGCAAATCGACGCGAAACCTCCCCGGAAGCGACCCTATCCATTTTTCCGTCGCCAAGTACCAAACGAGATTAGACCTTCTCCGAGAACAACCATAGGCCACCTGAAGTAAGAACTCTTGCAAAGAGCCACAAGAATTCCAAGCCGGTCAAACGCTCGGAGAAAGTCACGTTCTCCACCACTTCCACCCTCTAGACTGAATCACAGTCTTCTCCTCGTCCCCATACGGCGTCGATTTGCAGTAATAAAAATTTCATAAAAGGGGTAGGGGTAAAAATCAAAAACAATCTGGGTTAAGAGGAATGCTGGGAACACAAATTGATGGGGAGCGCATGTGAATGCGAGATCCAGGGAATCCAGTGCAAGCGATCATAGCAACAGAAGCATAACGTTCTGTTTCCACGGTTAACGCCGTCATTTGCATCTCCAGTCCAGTCAATTCGGTCATTTGCGAGGTTGTTGAAAAGGAAAGTAGCTGTCGCAAAGAACCGAATGAGGGAAGACATAAGAATAGCCACCATATCAAAAGCGCTTCGAGACTGATCGGTCTGTCCCGAGGGAGCGGGTTCACAGATCCGAAAATGAAGAAAGCAGTCGTCAGGAATGTAAAGGCCACGCAAGGCAGCTAGACAAAACACTGAGGGGTCGAAAGAGCTGAAGTCGAAGTATGATCGAAAACGGGGTAGAAGGGCGGTTAGAGAGATTGCAGAATGAGGATCCAAGGAGAAAAAAAAGGGAAATCCGAGAAGGTCGAGAGCAAGGAGTCACGTCCATGGCGAGTTGACAGTGGGCGTCCCGGGTTTCTTCAAAGGTTGTTGTGTGCATGCAGGAGAGAACTGGAGGGAGAGAAAAGAAGAAGCCAAATCAACATCCCCAGTCTCTCCGCAAGTACTCCACGATTAATACCATTGTGCCCCCGTTCCATCGTCCCGCTTCGAACGACTATCAGAAGGTCCATAAGCACCTAGAGCAGCGCCCTTAGAGGCAGAACGCAGCCTAACGCCGAAGACTATGCGATTAGTCAGATTCAGAACGAAAGGGTCCTCCACGCCAGCGTCACAGCAGAAAAACACCAAACGTAAGAGGGTAAAGAGAAGGGGTTCCCTACTCGGAACCAGGTTTCATAGTACTCACATCCTGTCACTTCCTCCCACGGCACGGTTGGTGTCCGGAGTGTTGTCGAGGGTGCCACGGTCAATGACCTTGCGGCGCTGGCCCGAGATGGCACTGGGCTTGGCGGCAGCGCCACCGGCTATGGGGCCGGCAGCAGGAGCACCCTGACGGCGTGCGGCTTCTTCGTCCTTGTCCTTCTTGGTAGCATCAACGATCATGGCGGCGTTCTTCTGGTACTTGTAGACAGTCCAGTCGAACACATAGTCGTACTGGAAGGATTCACGAACGAAGAGATCACGGAAAATCTTGCGGAGGTAGGAGTAATCCGGCTTGTCATCGAAGCGGAGCGAGCGGGTGTAGTTCAAGTAAATGGCGAATTCGTTGGGGAAGCCACGGCACAGGACCTCGGTGGGGGTGGTCATCTTCTTCTCCATAATGCGGTCGTACTTCTGCTTCTTGGTAGCAGCCTTCAGGCCCTGCCAGGGCAAAGAGCCACGGCAGAAGTAGAGCATCACGTAACCGAGAGACTCCATGTCATCACGGCGAGACTGCTCGACACCCAAGTGGGTGTTGATACTGGCATAACGGGCAGTACCAGTAAGGTTCTTGTTCTCACGGTACGGGATGTGGAAGTGGGTCTTGGGATCGCGGTACTTCTTGGCCAGACCAAAATCGATCACATTAACTTGGTTACCACGCTTGCCAATACCCATGAGGAAGTTGTCAGGCTTGATATCACGGTGGATGAACGACTTGGCGTGGATGTACTCGATACGGGAAATAAGCTGGTCGGCGAGAAGGAGAACGGTCTTGAGCGAGAACTTGCGGTTACAGAAGTTGAACAAGTCCTCCAGACTGGGGCCCAGCAGATCAATAACCATGGCATTGTAGTCACACTCGGTACCGAACCAGCGGACGAAGGGGATACCGACACCGCCGGCAAGAGACTTGTAGACACGAGCCTCATATTCGAGCTGGGGGTGCTTGGCCTTGACGCTCTCCAGCTTGATGGCAATCTCCTCACCGGAGATAATGTTGGTACCTAATTTTGGAAATCAGCCCTTGTCATGCAGGAAAGCCACAATGATACGACTCAGATACATACCCAAGTAGATGTCACCGAAACTACCGCTACCGATCTTACGGCCAATACGGTACTTGTTACCGACACGCAAATCCTGTGTGTGATGTCAGCACTTGGGGGCCAACAGAGGTGATTTTGACGCGTTTCCGAGAGAAAACACCCCTTGCCCATGATTTGGGCGAGGGTTGACAAATAGATCGCGGGTATATGACGGGAAAAGGAAGGGAGGTCGTTAGGGAGGATTGGGCACTCACCATGGTCGTCATGTTGGATGGATTGTAGTGGCACAGCGTTTAGCCGTGCAGAAGGATCGAAAGCTATCGGTGTCAGTGGTTAGAATGTCGAAGACAGTTCACAATGAGCAGAATAATAGACTTTCAAGGGGAGGGAGGAGAAGAGGTTGGGCGACGCAGGGTGGTACAGGTCAAAAGCAAAGAAGAATTGGAATTGGGGAGGGGGTGTCCCTATCGTAGCCTCAGGCGTAAAAGTCGTGACGGGGCAGATGTGGCCAACACGAGGATTGTTGGACCTTCTCAGGCAACAGTGAAATAGACAAATAAGGTATGAAAGTTGGTAGACAAGGAGGAGGATAGAGAGTTATGGGATCAAATAAGAGGGGGGGGAAGAAATAAGGCCGGGACATACCTAGAACGCAGATAAGGATCAAAGATGTCCAATGCCGACCGTACAGGAGCCGACCGGATAGATGGGGGAAGAGGAAATTTGGAAGCACACGGGGTAAAACCGAGTGATGTGAGAAAAAAGATAATCCAGATAGGGTCCAGAGGGAAGTCTAGGACCTTACACCTTTGGTTAAGAGTAGGATGAGGAAAAAGAAAGGAGAGGAGGAAGAGAGGGGGGAAGTCGGTGAAGATGAACGTGTAAATTATTTTATTAGCGAAAGAGGGTGGCTGAAAGTGACCTGCAGAGTACAGGCCGCCGCTAGGGATTTCCTGTGACGCCCGAGGTACCTGCCCCGTCACTTTGCGCGAATTTACAACTTAGACTAAAAAAACACATATAAGATCTATGATCTTTTTGTTTTTATTTTTTGTTTTTATTATTTTTATTTTTGATATTATTTCTGTTTCATATTTGTTATTGAAATTGTTCGAGATTTCCGTCTGATCTGCCTCTGAATGCCATTTGGGGGTTCGGGATTTCCCTGCGTATGTATGATATACGCGCTCAGCTGACATTTGGGATGCAAAACCTGGAAAGTTGCCTTTAGTAGATTAGCTAGGGTATCTAAAATTTAGTGAATGAAGTGATAGGTACTTGCATGAATTCTATTAATATCTTGACTCCTGTTGGCCCAGTTATACCACATTGATTCCAGGTCTAGACCCTTAATATGGTCCCCCTCCGATATTCCTATCGTTTTATCTTGAACTTTGCCAACGGAGATATCATGCAAGAGTCTCTTAAACTAGTATGTCTCACCTGGCAAGTGGATCAGATTTCCAAGGTTAGGTGATGTAGTAAAAATGTTTGTTTTGGCCCCAGTAGCCTTACGTCTGCATCAAACCTGCAGCCAAATGCGACCTACCGTAGCCCGGGGTAGCAGAGCGAGCGAATCAAAATCCTGGATTTTAGGTACAATCTACAATCTACAATCTATACGCAAGGTTGTGTATACGCGAGGCGGGGTTGGGCTTAGGCTTGAAAAGCAACATGGATCTTCATAGAATAATTGACAATTGCTGACTATTAGTAGACGGCGAATTCATGAACGTGTTAGTGGTACAGCCAGAGTCCAATAAACATCGGGAAACCGGGGTATAAAAGGGGAAGAGGAAAGTCAAAGGGGAAAGAGAGACAAAGAGCAGGTAAGTGTAGGAGAACAGGGAAGTGGGCGCAAAGGCAATCCAAATCAGAACAAACGAAGGGAATCCCGTCCCTTATGGCCGATCGACAAAAAAAAGGCAAAAATAGGACGTAAACGATGGTAGACTAGGGTACCTTTCATCATGCAAGGATCATGTTTCGCGAAATTACAAAGACAAACGAAGGAAGTAGCAGAAATACATGTGCAAAGCGCTCAGAGAATTGGAGATCGACATATCTCAGAACACATGATCGTAGAGTGGGATGAATGGGAGTTGCTTAGATGACATTGGTCGCACTAGTGCCAGAGGGCATGGTCTTGGGCTTGTTTGAACCCGAGCCAATTCGCTCTTCTTCATCCAGGCGCCGCCGCCACTCCGCCAGACTGTCGGTCATCATAGCAGGACCGTTGCTGTCCTCTTTGGTCGGGGTGCGTTCCAGGTCCAGCTGGCTGCTGAGACGGTAGTTACGGTTGGTGCTTTCCCAGTGGCTGCGAAGTGTCTCAAGCTCATTGGCAAGAGAATCAAGAGCCATAGATCCCCGGTTATCGGGAAAAGAGGTGGAATCTTGGGAGACATTGCTGTCTGCTCGAGTTCGGCCACCAGCGGTGTTGCTAGAGGCGTCGCTGTGGCTGCGGGAAATGCCATTTGTACCTTGGATGAGTTGGGACTGGCGGCGGTAATGACCCACCGAGGTCTCCACTTGCTGCAACAGCATGTTCACTTTGTGCTCTGCATCAGAGGCCCGGGTCTCAAGATGAACATTTTCCTGCTTTAGCTGCTCCAGTTCGGCACGTGTAAGCTCGGCGGTAGCCATCAGTTCTTGTTTGATGCGCTCGTGCTCAGCAAATGATCTTTCCTTCTCAGCACTAGCGTAAGTAAGTTGTTCCTTGAGCTGAGCAACTTGGTTCTCCAGGTGTTGGATCGAAGATGAGGTGTTTTGCTCCAGCTCAGCGATAGACTTCTGAAGTTGGGAACGCTCAACTTCCCATTCAGCCGAGCTCTCCGACCGATTGCCAGCATCCTCGATGCTCTTGTTGGCAAGTTCCAGCTCCGACTGTAACTTTGCATTATGAGCCTTGTGACGGCTCAGCTCATCCTTCATACGTTTCAACATTTTCTCAGTGCCCTTGACGTAGTGGACGGCGGATTGGTAGTCGTTCTCAAGCTGCTCCAGCTTCTCTCGGAACGCCCGGTCGGCTTCTTGCTCTCGAGATTCAAATGAAGATTTCAGATCATCATGAGCCTTCATACTGGTAGACAGCTGTTGCTCGAGCTCACGTAAGCGATTCTGTTCGGGAGTACCAAAGCGTGATCCTGGAGACTCGAGACGAGGTGACCGGCGAGTATCAGGTGTGATACCACGTTCACCCAAGAGGTCCTTCAAAGCCGCGTGCTGGATGTTCAAGGCACCAGCCTCGCGCTGGTGAGAATCGAGTTGGGCCCTCAACTCTCTGCTCTCAGCAGTGGAAGCTTGGCTTTCCTTCAAAGCCGTCTGCAGCTGTCTCCGTAACTGTAGTCCCTCCCGACTAGCCTGCTCCTGGTAAACTTCAAGGCCAGCAATCCGTTCCTCGGCCCTGCGTAACTTCGCAGCTGCATCATTGGCTGCAGCCTGGTTGGCCTTGGCCAGAGTGTTAGACCTTTCGATCTGAGCTTCTAGGGCAGCAACACGCTGATCAGCTCGGGACCGGATCGAAGCATCCAGATCAGTTGATGAGGCACGTTCAAGACCCGAGACGAAAGCCAGCTTGTGGGCTTCGGCTTCCTTGGAATGGCTTTCAGCCAGCTCTTCCGCCTCACGAAGACGGCGAGTGGTGTTCTCCAACTCAGTAGTTCGCTCCTCATGCTCGGATCGGAGTTGCAAGAGCTTCTTCTCCAAGCCTTCACGTCGCTCTCTCTCCTCCTCCAATCGTTTTTCGAGAATGGCGGTCTTTGCAGCGGAAGCACCAACTGCTTCTTTCAAGGCACCAAAGTTGGTGTTGAAGTCGGAAAGACGGCCGGAATAATCTTCAATCTGGCAAAGTAGCTCTTCCTTATCGAGAACAAGCTGCTTCAAAGAAGCCTCTGCCTCCGCACGCAACAGCGCCTCTTCCCTGGAAGAAGCCTCTGCGCGGTGAAGCTCGGCACGCAGATTCTCTGCCTCCAAAGAGTTGTTTTGCATCTCCAGTTCTGCTAAACGTTTGCGGGTGGCTTCGTTGGTGTCCTCTGCCAATTCTTTAGCCTGTCTCTCCTGTTGAAGTTCGGTAGTCAGGACATCGAGTCTGGCTTTGAGTTCAGACTGAGATGCAAGAGCCAATGCAAGACGACGTCCCATGTCAGTTGGGCGTTCGCCGTCCTCGCTGTCCCGGGAAACCTCAGGTTGCGGGGTTCCACGTTGGCTGCCGCCGTGAGCAGCGAGTCTAGCACGAGAATAAGCCGCCTCGCTCACGGCTACATCACGCTGGTGCTCGACTTCTGCGATACGCTTGGACGCGATGGCTGCCTGTCTGTCAACTGTCGCCTGCATCTTAGCCAGTTCAGCTCTCATGCCAAGGAATGCTTCAACGACAGGACGGTCTTCGTCATTTAATGAATCGCTAGCCCGCTCGTCAATTGCAGGGCTGCTGGATGCGTTTGGCACATAGCCACCCTTTCTCGCCAGGGCCAACTCGGAGGCGTACCAGGCGTTCCGCGCCTTGGCAGCCTCCAAATCTCTGATTAAGGCCTCTTGGTGTGGAGTTAGTCTTGGAGATCGAGGCTCATCACCGAGTGTCTTGGAGTTGCGGAAGGTTCGAGACTCAACAGAACCATCGATGCTCACTTGGCGGCCTAGGACAGACTCTTCTGCGCTATCCATCGAGCCACGCTGCCGATGTGAACGCAATGACCGCTGACGACTAGGAGTAGTAATCATCGGAGCGGCTTCACCAGTTTCCATTGCTTTGGCAGTAATCTTTTGCTGCTGTTGAGTTGGGGTCCGCTGACCGATAGAACCAGAGGCGTCCTGTGTGTGCTCTTTGGCCACTGGTGACTCGGCGCCTTGCTCAGCGTTGGCAACCTGTACATCCACAGTTCCTGTATACCCACGATCCATCTTCGTCGGTGTCTTGCTGCGAGGGTTCACTACAGGCTGGGCGCCATTGGTGCGAGGACCGGGAGAAGGAGCCTGTCCCGGAGGAGGTGGTCCAGAAGGTGCCTGTGCAATCGAAGCGCGTGGAAGTCTAGAGCCCGGTCCCGGTCCTAGATTAGGATTGGATCCATAGTCGAGCGGTTTGTTGCTGGCGGCTTGGATCAAGCTTTCGCGAGACGGTGTCGGACCACGACGAGACTGGTCAGGAGTGGCACTGTGTGCCTCTCGGGATGTTCGACCGGAGGGAGGCCCCTGCTTGTCGACACTGATTTTCCTCCCTGTTGGAACAGCACCGCGTTCAGTTGTTCCCGAGTCGTTGGGGTACCGGATCTTAGAGGTATCGAGGATATATGCCATGCTTAGCTCATTCGCATCCCGGGGGGCAGAGCTAGGCTCGCCAGCCATGACAATAATCTGCTTTCCAAACGCTGTCATGCTGTGACCAGATCTGGGAGATGGTGCTGGCCCCATGTTCTGGAAGGAATACCATCGGCGAGTCGATATGCGGAAGGCCGAAAGATCGCCCAAGTCTATTCCCTCGTCGGTGCGACCACCAAAAACGTACATCACATCACCAACCAAGGCAGATGCATGCCCCTCTCGCGGGGTTGGAATGAATCCAACGCAGTCAATTTCGGCCCACGCACCTGCACGAGGATCGAAACACCAAACATCGTTGAACCATCGCACACCGTTCGTTCCTCCAAACAAGTAAAGCTTGTCATTGTGACTGACAATAGTGTGATTGGTTCTGGCGGCAGGGATCTGACCTTCAGGAGGCCCGCCCTCGTGGCTATTTTGGACTAGAACTTCCCACTTGTTTGCCGGGTTTTGTAGTTGATTCAGATCAAATGCAATCAGGTCATTGAAAAAGAAACCCTCAACCTGGCCACCGAACACGTAGAGCTTAGATCCAAGGATATTCAGAGTATGACCATACCGTCCAGCGGGGCGAGCTCCTGGAGGAATCGCACGAGACCATTGTCGAGAAGCTAGAAGGAGCCAAAGTTAGTCCGAATCAGAAGAGAGGAGGTAAAGCGACGTACAAGTATTCAGAAGATATAGTGTGTCGTCCAACGCATCCGTTTCGTTGATTTTTGTATCTCCTCCAAATACAATATACGCATTACCAACAAGCAAGCTGGCATGCCCAACTCGGGGTCCTGGCCCTTCGGAGACTGTTGCAATCTGGGAGCAAGTAAGGCTCCCACCACTGCTTTCAATCATCCACAAATCTCCCTTGACAGTGGACCCATCGATCAGTCCACCCATCATATAGATATCGCCCTCCTTGCTAGCAACGGCATTGATAGCTGCTCCATAACGGGGAAATGGGGTTGTTTGCGGGGAAGCGAAGTTAAGTCGACGTTGCGACCAGGGATAGAGCGAAGAGTTGGGACTTTGCGGACCTCCATTGGGGCCCTGTTGTGGTCGTTGGACCTGGAAAGTTGTTTGATTAGAAATTGCCATTCCACCAATGCCAGGCAAGCTTACCTGTGATTCCGACTCAGCTCTTTGGCGCACTCTGACAGAATCTGGACTATTCGGGCTCGCCGCGGAATTTAATGAGTTGTTGTAACTGCTGCTGGGGGTTGGAGTCTGCGAGAAGCTTCCGTCCTTGGAGCCATTAGCATTGGTCATAGCCGACGGTCCATTCGACGGGGCGCCTTCGGAGGTGTGGACATTCCTCGTCGCGGGAGGAAGGGGCCCCTGGTGGTGTTTCTTCGATTTAAACAAAAAGGCCATCGTTAAGAGTCGTATTCAGTCGTGCACGGCGCAATTCGATAGGGATTCCGCGACCAGAATGCTGGTGCGCCGGCGCCGGTATTGATTATGTCGGAACCCCAGCACCAAGTTGTTCGACGTATTCGGAGGGGTAGTGGATTAACGGTGACTGTAATAAGGAGAACGTGTTTTCAAGGATAGTGTGGAGTTCGGAACCAGGAACCACAAGGAACCGTAGAAAGGTGTTCCATCCACCAAGCCGAGCCAAGGAAAAAAAATCAATAGCCCAGGGGGGGTTCGGGGAGTGGGTTGACGGGAATCAAGCACAACATATGACGATCCTGGACATCAAGACCTGGATTCGATTTTAAAAAAGAAAAAGAAACAATAAAACTGGCAAGCAATAAATTGAAAAGGGGCCAAAGCAGAGACAGATGAAAAGAAGATGATTCAATTTCCCTGGCGGAGATGGACTAATCAAACTAGTCTTAGTGTATGGGGAACAGACTCAGGCTTGCATACTCAGGGGCACCACCCAACTCCAACGGTCTTTGTTGTTAACATTCCACTTCCAGCCCCCCCGGTCGTCATGGAGAAAGGGAATTGTGGCTGCTACTCTCACTACCTTTACTGGTTTTAGTTTATCTTATGAAGAGAGCAAGCATTGGATTGGGTCAGAAAGTAAAGCATATCATTCCATTCAAAATGTTCATAGGAATGAGATTTTCAGGACCTTTATGAATCTGATCTTCATTATGGACTATACAAAGGTGAAACCATTGGAGAATCCATGCTATAATTACACCGCGGGGCTGGCTTTGCCGTGAAGCAACCGCCTATTGCTGTAGCGCAAGCCCCCGAAGCCCACAAGATGATCCACCCCCCACAACGTGGAGGGAATGTATCGAACTGGTTCCACGCATATTGAAGGGGCTCAACATCATCAAAAGTATCTGATATCAGAACAATTTATGTGATAGATTCTTATGTGAAGTACTAAGTAAGAGATAAACAATTAAAGAATGCCTTAAAGTCCAAGTGTAGGTTTTCGGTCATGGTATGCTGACTACACATGTTTATCTTCAAGTTGGTTTAGACTTTTCCTTCTATTCATTCCAATGTAACAGATGACCAAAGATTCCAAAATACACCTTCTGTTGTTGTTGATCTCGCCAGTGAAACCTTTTCATGTACCGTGTACATCCTGATTTCCTTGTCTGAGACAATGTCTTCGAAAGAAATAGATCTCTCAGCAGGGGCCATGACATTTGTGTTTGATATCATATTTGCGGGGTGAAATTGCAGTTTTTGTTAGTGACTGAACATCTCAATTCCTTGCACATCCTTAATGGAAAATGACCTCATTACAGGAGGTTGGCCAGTACAGCTTGCAAGAACAGCTATGAGGTCTCACCATGAAAACCTTGTGATAACCACTAGGGCTTTAACTCACTAGCAAATTTGAAACCGTAAGATTCAACTCAGGCAATTGAAGGATCTTATATAAGATGAAGTGAACAATCAAAGAAGTAAAAAGGTTATCGATCGTTATTGTCAATGTCAATGTCAAGCTTAACTGTCAGAGCTGCGGTTAGTCAGCCGGCGGGCGGGGATGCCGATAATCCGGCCAACAGCACTTGGGCACTGTCATAGCCGCGTGCGTCTAGATCGTTGGCTTTCCTCCACCTGATCTGACTGGTCCTTTTGTGAAAGTTCAAGCTTGTTTCGAAAACTGCAACTGGCCCTTCTCTTTCATCTTCTGGAACTCTCTTAAAACTTTGCCCCCTAACCTTGATTTGGGCATCTGGGAGGTCTCAGAGCTGCCCATGCTCTTCACCTCCCACCCCCCGCCGTCCTACCTCTCTTTCAAGTAACACCATGACTGATACAACAACATGAGGGACCCTACAGCAGAAATGGAACAATCTACCCAATCCCCCGCGCCGAATGGGTCGAGTGAACCCCGCCGCTCTAATAAATCCGTTCGAGTCGCGTTCGGTCCGGACCTTGAAACCACAATCCCCACCCGCGAACGTTCACCAGCACCATTATCCAGCCACCATCGCTCATTTACTACTGTAGAGCAGAAACATCCCATGATCGCAACCCCCACTCGTCCCACAAGCTCGGCCGGCGAGAATCCGGCTTTAGGACCCGATGACCCGCCACGACGGCCTTCCCCTCGCAGGTCGGAGAGCAGTCGACCGGCCATGTTGAAAAGAGCAAAGAGCGACTACGGCCCGAGTAGAGTCACATTTGACAAGCCAGTTGGGGAGGACGAGGAAGATTTCGCCATGCGACACGGGTGGCAGGAGGAATACACCTCCAGCGAATACCTCAAGATTTTGCACTCGGTAAGCAGAAGACAATGGGTCTAGACCTGGATCCTTGGAAATTCGAACTAACACCTCGGGGTTCATCAGAACTTCTACATGTACTTCACCGAGAAACGCCATGAAACAAATGGCATCCCCCGAGACCCTGTGGGGAGTTGGCCGAGTCAGGATTGGAGGATGAAAGACCGACTCAAGACCGTATCGGCCGCATTAGCAATTTGCTTGAATATCGGTGTCGATCCTCCTGATGTGGTGAAAACAAATCCGACATCGAAGCTAGAATGCTGGGTGGATCCTACCTCGACCACTGGTGGCGGTCAAAATAAGATCATGGAACAAATCGGCAAGAAGCTGCAAGAGCAATATGAGACTCTGAGCCTTCGAACAAGATACAAGCAATATCTGGACCCGTCAGTGGATGAAACTAAGAAGTTCTGCATCTCCCTGCGTCGGAACGCCAAGGATGAGCGGGTCCTCCTGCATTACAATGGGCATGGAGTTCCTTTACCGACCCAGTCCGGTGAGATCTGGGTCTTCAACAAAAATTATACACAGTACATCCCTGTGCCTCTATATGACCTGCAGTCCTGGCTGGCTGGACCTAGCCTTTTCGTCTTTGATGTGTCGCATGCGGGTAACATTGTCTCAAACTTCCATACATTCGTGGAAAAACATGAGAAGGAAAACATCGAAGCGAAAAAACGAGATCCCAACGCCATTGTCCAGAACTATGGCGATTGCATTCTTCTTGCAGCATGCCAGAAAAACGAGTCACTCCCCACCAACCCAGACCTCCCAGCTGATCTTTTCACCTGTTGTTTGACAACCCCGATCGAAATTGCGCTGCGTTTCTTTATTCTGCAGAATCCTCTGCGGACCGACATTTCTATAGATGACTTCAGAGTTCCAGGTCGTCTGCAAGACCGGCGCAGTCCTCTCGGAGAATTGAACTGGATCTTCACCGCGATTACTGATACGATTGCATGGAATACGCTTCCCCGTGCCTTGTTCAAGAAACTTTTCCGGCAAGATCTCATGGTAGCAGCGCTGTTCCGCAACTTCCTTCTGAGCGAACGTATCATGCGTACATACAAATGCCACCCCATCTCTTCCCCCGAGCTTCCCGAGACCCACCATCATCCACTATGGAAGAGCTGGGACCTTGCTGTGGAGATGGTGCTAGCGCAGCTGCCTGCTTTGATTGACCAAGAAGAAGGACGTCGACAGTACGAGTATCAGCACTCTACTTTCTTCGCTGAACAACTTACTGCGTTCGAGGTTTACCTCTCATCAGGACCTACTGAGAAAACACCTCCAGACCAACTCCCCATCGTGCTGCAAGTCCTGCTTAGTCAAGCACATCGCCTGCGTGCATTGATTCTGCTCAGCAAGTTCCTGGATTTGGGGCCATGGGCTGTCCACCTTGCCCTTAGCATCGGTATTTTCCCATATGTCGTTAAATTACTCCAGTCAGCTGCCCAGGAATTGAAGCCAGTCATGGTTTTTATCTGGGCAAGAATCATGGCTGTTGATCACACCGTCCAGAACGACCTTCTCAAGGATAACGGAATTCACTACTTCATCTCCATTTTGAATCCGGCGTCGCCAATTCCTGTTGGAAATGCCAGTGAACATCGAGCTATGTGTGCGTTCATCGTTTCCATCTTCTGCAAGAACTACCCCCAGGGTCAGAATGTATGTCTATCCGGTGAATTATTTGACTCGTGTTTGAGACACCTCGGTGATGTTGAAAACCCCCTGCTGCGGCAATGGTCATGTCTATGCCTGAGTATGCTTTGGTGTGATTTCCCCGAAGCAAAATGGATGGGTATTCGATGTTCAGCCCCCGCCAGACTCTGTGAGCTGAATTTTGATCCGGTTCCAGAGGTCCGCGCCGCAATGCTGCACGCGGTCACTACTTTTATCGGAATTCCCGATTTGACAGACCAGGTTGCACAGATTGAAGAGTCATTGGCCATGTCGGTCTTGCCTATGGCCGCCGATGGGAGTGTCATTGTCAGAAAAGAGCTTCTGGTATTTTTATCCACCTTCGTCAAGCGTCATCAGAATAAGTTCTTAGTGGCAGCATTTGAGGAGCTTCAAAATGAGAAGCGATCTCTCCAGCGTCGTCTTCAGGATGCGTCTCCGGCTACCCAAGCAGAGTTTCAGAAGACGTCTTCGGAGTTTGATTCAAAGACACCACAGCTGTCTCGTAACACCACTTTCGGGACTCTTTGGAAGCAAATTTTGATTATTTCTGTCGACCCACATCCTGAAATCGCACAGGGTGCTGGTGTCATTGTTGATTACATTCACCTCCTCCTTTTGGAGTCACCCATGTCGGCTCTCGCTGACAAAAACAGAATTGAGATCCTAGATCTCACCTATCATTTGTCACAAAAACTCCAGTCGGCAGAGCGCTCAGAGGCAAAGAAAACAGCTCTTCCTTCGACACCACCATCTTCTAGTACAACGCTGCCCAAACAGGAGGGCTATCTTTCTATAGGGTTCAAGCGTACAGCTAGTTACGCTGCCTCCCTCAGAAACCTTGCATTTGGCTCAGGATCGGAAAACTTGTCATCTGAAAGCAATGCCCCTCCTTCGCCCACCAAGAGTCGTATGCCCATGACACCCCGTGGCCGTGCTCCGCCTGAATGGACCCGACCTCCGGAAGTGAACGACCAGGTTGCTCCGGCTACCTACCACCTGGCTCCAACACCCACATCGCGCGGTTTTCAACCCATAGATCCAGAGAGTGTACCTGCCATCCCTCTCGGAAGCAGATTTTTGGACTGGTCAACAGAGGTAAACTCCGACCCCTTCAAACACCACAAGATGATCTATGAACACATACTGACTATGAAGTAGTATTTCCGGGAACCCCAGATGAAACCCAACGAGCCCGATGAGCCTGGAAGCTCCGACTACAATGAGCGGCTTTGGAGACGTGGCCGCAACGAGAAGATCATTGCGGAAACTCAACCTCTCAAAGGGAAGGCAGGTACCAGTCGATGGGATAACTCAGTTGCACTGTTGTCCAATAGCAGTCAGCCTTTGAAGATGTGCTTCCATCAATTTGAGGATCATCTCGCCGTTGCAGATGATCGTGATACCATTGCGTAAGTTTTCGATAGGCCCAGATGTATCTGCCAGTCACTTACCTTTGCATCAGTATCTGGGATTGGCAAAACCACAAACGACTCAACCAGTTCTCAAATGGGAATCCGATCGGATCCAAGATCAACGAAGTTCGTTATATTAACGAAGACGACCAGGCTCTTCTGTTGACAGGTTCTTCGGACGGTGTGCTCAAGCTGTTCCGTAACTACGAATCTGCCAAGGGCATCGAGGTCGTCACCGCATTCCGGGCATTACCAGACCTAATACCAAGCAATCGCAACGCAGGTCTTGTGCTTGACTGGCAACAAGGTCAAGGAAAGGCATTGGTGGCAGGTGATGTGAAGGTGATTCGAGTGTGGAATGCAGCCACTGAAGTCTGCACTAATGTAAGATTCTTTCTTTTGTTCCCCCCCCCCCCGGGGGCATATTGCCTGAATTCTAACGATTTTTGATAGGATATCCCGGCACGATCCGGCTCTTGCATCACATCGTTGACCTCAGACCAAGTGGCTGGCAACATTTTTGTTGCTGGCTTTGGTGATGGTGCCGTTCGTGTTTTCGACCAGCGACTGAAGCCTACCTCATCCATGGTCAAAGTCTGGCGCGAGCATAAGCAATGGATCACCAACGTCCATATGCAGCGTGGTGGCTTCCGAGAACTCATCTCGGGTAGCCGCAACGGTGAGATTCGCCTGTGGGACCTTCGTATGAACGATGCGCTTTCGACTATCTATGCCACCAAGGATACTCTCCGTACCTTGAGCGTCCATGAGCACGCTCCCGTCTTCAGCATGTACGTGCATTACTCGTTTAAATTTCTCTGGGGAGTCCAGCAGCTAATCCTTGATACAGGGGTACAAATCGCCACGAGGTGAAGACATTCAATGTCGATGGAACCTACCTTTCTACATTCGAACCTTATTCCAGCTTCCTCCATCACAACCGCGCCTCGCCCATTGCTGCTACTGCATTCCACCCCCATCGCACCATGCTCGCCTGTGCAGCGCTGCATGACAATCACATTAATCTTGTGTCTTGTTAGACGAATCCTGGATTCCTACAGATCAGTGGAATTTTTTTTGCTTTCAATTCTTGTGCCATTGTTGATGGGAGCTTATTGCGACATGGCCCTTGGGATCACCCAACAACGCTTACGGTACTGATACAATGACACGAATGATACATGAGTGCTTTTTACTTTCTCTTGTACCCGTGTCTTGAGCTGTTCCTCGATTACTCGAGTTTGGTCAAGTTCGAGTGATCTTGTTCATTTCCTTCACGATACGAAACATGTTTTCTCCTGATGCCTATTCTTATTCTCCCTGCCCTTTTCCACCCTGCTATTCCCTTTGAGCTTTGAATATCCCGCCTTGGTTATGCGGATCGACACGAAGTCTGAAGATGAGATGTTATGGGCACATGCGCCTAATTGCTTTGGCCAGCGCAGTCTGTTCTTCTCGGTGCCGTTCTTATTTTCTCTGTTCATCATTCATGGTAACTCAATAATATGTTCATACGCATACTCCGCACTTCAATCCTCCGTAGATGGGTCAAGTGGGGCGTCGGCAATTATCAGTTAACTGCTTCCGAGGCTCAAAACCACTTAACCGGGTCCCCTCTTCCCCTTAAGGCTAAGTTGCCGATTTTGCCGTGATATCAGCTTACTTGATTCCTTTATCGTTGAAACATGGCATTGGTGAGGTGGGGAACTTCCTGATTTCTCGAGTCATGATTTAAAATTTTAATGTTACTAATAATGCAACGCAACCATCCTGCAAATGTATTGATGAAAACTTTACACCCTGTATTCTCCAGTAGACTTTTTGCCCTTGGAAATTTCCAAGCTTAAGACAATGGGAGCCATGGAGAACTCGACACATCCAGTTGAATCTCCTGTCAAAACGGATATCGAGGCACCGGCATTGCAGCCTATTATCACTGAAAAACATCACGATCCTAATCTGGTGGATTGGGATGGTCCTGATGACCCTGAGAATCCATTTAATTGGCCTTCTTATAAGAAATGGCGACAGTTAATATTCATGGCGATTAACACTTTCTTGACGTATGTTCCTGACTAAATGTATAATGATTCATATGTCACCTTGTTGAATGTCACTAACTTTATCACAGCCCTCTTGCTTCCTCTATGTTCACACCAGGTGTAGCTGATATCCTGAAAGAATTCGGTTCTGACAGCACAATGATGGCCTCATTCCTTGTGTCAATTTATGTCCTTGGCTATGTAGTCGGTCCGTTCCTGATCGCTCCGCTATCTGAATTGTACGGGCGCGTTCCACTCTACCATACCTGCAATATCCTATTATTGATCTTCACCATCGCATGTGCCGTCTCGCAGAGCCTGCCCCAGCTCCTGGTCTTCCGGCTACTAGCTGGTATTGCTGGTGTCTGCCCGCTGACAATAGGCTCGGGCACCGTGGCTGATATGGTCTACAAAGAGAAACGTGCCGGAGTAATGGCTATATGGGCGATGGGACCCTACATGGGACCAGTTATTGGACCAGTTGCCGGTGGTTTCTTGGTGGAGGCTGAAGGGTGGAGATGGGTATTTTGGGTTCTTGCTATTACGGTATGTTTCCAGTCATTTCTGTTCATATATAATATCTAACAGGATCTAGATTGGCGTCATCCTCATCTGCACATTATTCTGTTACCGAGAATCTTACGCACCGACATTATTACGACGCAAAGCGGCTCGACTGCGCAAAGAAACGGGGAATCCTAATCTCCGCTCCATCTTGGATGATGGAGCCAGATCACCTCGTCAACTCTTCCTCTCTGCGCTATCCCGTCCGATCAAACTTCTCTTTACCTCGCCCATCGTCTTTCTGATGGCTCTCTTCGCCGCTATTACCTATGGATACCTCTACCTAATGTTCACCACAATGACTTCCATCTTCGAAGACAACTACGGCTTCAGTCAAGGTCTGGCTGGTCTAGCCTACCTCGGGTTTGGAGTAGGTTGTGCTCTCGGTCTCCTCATCGTCGGACGAACAGTCAATATGATCGCAGCAAAACACTCCGCCGAAGGCCGATTCTCGCCCGAATCTCGTCTCCCGCCAATGTTATACGGGTGCTGGGCCATTCCGGTAGGATTATTTTGGTATGGATGGTCCGCGCAGGAAAAAACCCATTGGATCATGCCAATTATTGGAACGGGCATTTTCGGCTTCGGTATCGTAGCTGTTTTCGCTACTGTGAGTGCTTACTTGGTCGATTCGTACCTTCGATATGCTGCGTCTGTGACCGCAGCGAATGTGTTTTTGCGTTCACTTTTCGGTGCCGTCTTGCCACTCGCTGGTCCATCGATGTATGATGCGCTTGGGTTGGGATGGGGAAATTCGCTGCTGGCGTTTATTGCGCTTGCGATGTGCTTTGTGCCATTCTTATTTGCGAAGTACGGGGCGATGATTCGGACACACCCCCGATTTCAGTTGAAACTCTGATATGGTTTCATGTCGATAGATTTTATGATACCCTATAGACTAGATTTCTTCAAAAATATATATGTATATATCCTAACTTCAGTGTGACAAAGAAACAAGCCACGGCATGGTCAAGAACTAGGACGATAGACGACCTGCTCGGCCCAAGCGGCTAATCTACCAGATTAACGATCTTCGGTGAAAAGGCCTTCGGCCAGTGATTAGGAGTTGCGCCCTCCATACTTGCAAAGAATGGATGTTCACCAAAGGCTTTTCAGTGCTCACGACTAATAAAGATTGGCAATTCTGGGACTTCCGCGATAAGATGCTCCAACCCACCCGCATGGTCATTGTGCAGATGACTCAGGATAACACCCTTCAATTCGGTAGCTTTTATTCCCGGCCCATGCAGCTGCTCCAATATTCCATCTTTGTGCTCGATTGTGAATTGACTGAGCAAGCTATTGAAAAGGGCAACGCGTGGGAAATAGCTGGAGTCGATGCAAAATGGTGATTGTCCGGTATCGAAGAGGAACAGTCCTTCTGGGTGATGAATCAGGAAGACTCCAACAGGTAAAGATTTAGTCCAGTTCCTATCACACAATGACCCAATACGGCGAAATAATAGGCCAATTGCTGGCTGGTTGGACATGGAGGGTCTGATGCCGACGGTCCCCGTCGAGAGGAAGGTCAACTGGACCGTATCATAAGAATTCATGTTGTTATAAGATTACTGAGAAGACATGAAAAGGGTAAAAAGAGAAAAGCGGAAATATCTAAGTTGAAAGCCATGAGCATTTGGCAAGCATCAAAGGTACAAGCCGAATGCCGAAGTAAACAATGTAGTACAACTGATTAGATAACACTTTCGGCAAAGTCACTCCCGAACACCTCAGCCGCCGAACCATCAACAGATCTTCAAGTGAATATGCCGAGAAAGCGAGGCCCAGATGGATCAAGTCGAGCAAAGGTGGTTTGTGTGCGATGCCACAGTCGCAAGGTCAGTTCTATCACTTAGCAAATGGAGTGATACTAACAATCATCTAGGTCCGCTGCGATCTTGAGGCTCGACCAAATGGAGTCTGTAGTCGGTGCGAACATGAAGGCCGTGACTGCCAGTAAATTTCACCGAGCTCTTGTTTTATGTTGAAGCTAATGAGATAGACTAAATATCGGATCGCGTAAACGAAAGGCATTTCGCACTTCACTGGCCGCGCCTAGTACTCACAATTCGCCAATTCGAGCAGACATCAGCTCTCAAGAGTTGACGCCTTCGTCACTGAATGTACTAGGGAACAGAGTCCACCACTGCCCGGCCACAGATTATGAAACCCCTCAAAATCATCTGCTGCTGGGCAACGGAACCAATGAGACCGATCTTATAGTACAGACAACCCAGGCTGATATTCTTCCCCCGCCTGTGATTTCTCAGGCTTTATCGGACTTTTATTTCAGTGAGTTGTACCATTTGGTTCCTGTCCTGGACCGGGGCCAAGAGGAATTGAAACGGTCACTTCTGCTCCGACAAGCACTCTCTTTCGCCGGCAGTGGAATGCGTCGATCGACCGAAGGACCCAGTGAATGGTCCACACTCGCGATCTATAAACGGATCAAGACATTGATATCTCTTGACTATGAGCCAGAGCCTCTGAATGTTTTGGGCTCTCTGTGTATATTGGCCTGCTATCCTATGCACTCAACTCATGAAGTTGCTTTGTATAACCCTTGGCAGTGGGCTGGGATGGCCATCCGACTCGCTCTTCAATTACAACTGCATGAAGAAAACACATATGTGCAATTTAAGCATCCTGGAATAGTCAGGAGGACTTGGTGGTACTTGTTCATGAATGATACCATGCAAATGGGCTGCTCGGGACGCCCGGGAATGTTTCCACTCAGCGATTGCAATGTACGGCTACCGACAGTTGCTGATTTCAAAATGCCCACCGCAGAAGCGCAAGTTTTTTGTGCGATGGTCACCCTCTGTCGGGAACTTAAAGAGGTTCTGCAAATGGGAAAACTCGACAACGTCTCGCAAGTGCAAGTCTTCACAAAACTTACCATGCTCAGAGTCTGGAGGGAAGACCTGCCACATGATTTACATCTCTTCGATGGAACAAAAGAAATCAGACAACGATACAATCGAGCAGTCGCCGAACTTCACATATTCTACCTGACAACCATCATTCTGACTTGCTTTCTCGGTCGTCGCGAAAACTGCCCGTTATTAAAATGTGCCTCCATCGTTGCATCGTCATGCATTTCCCGACTATATGAGGAGATTCTCTACCACGAAGGCACTCCTTTTCTTCTGCCAATCCATGCTTGGGCAAACTTGGTGGCTTCTATCCCTCGAACTTTCAGCAAGGATGAGCAGATTCCCAACCAGGCTAATGAGAAACGCATTTGCCGCATTGTTTTGGAGAAGATGAGCGAGAAACATCCCGCAGTCACGTTGGTACAGCAGCGGATCGATGAAATCGGCCGTTTAGGAGCGAGTGTTTTCAGCACGCCTGATAACCCCGCAGATGTACAAAATACGGCTTCTCTGCCCTCTACAGAGACAACAGGGGAAATACTTGCTCTGTTCCCTTTTTCGTTGAGCTTTTGCCCTACCCTGGAGCTATTTGCGCCTGACCCCGGTGAGACTGAGCAAAGTGATTTATTCTCAGATCTTCTTATCGATATCAATAACTGGGACTGGCCTGTCGATTGGTCTTCATTTCTGTTCTAGAATTATTAATGCAGATATTCATGGAACCTCAAATGCGAAGTGTACAAACAGCACTTCGTGTATTGCTACGTCTTAACATCCCGATCCTCCAGAAACATAATATACCCAATAATCATTGTGTTTCCAGGATCTAACACCGCGTCGATGGGGAAGGTCATCCTTTTTACTGGGCTCCCTTGTAATTGCAATATCTTCAGCCCTAGATCTACACTTCTATGATACTATATGTACAAAAATGCCTGATTTCGGCTTTAATAATAAATCGGACATACTTAGTAAGTAGTCAGTTTGGGGTAAAGTGGGTCTTATCGTATTTTAACGAATGAAGATGCACCATTCTGCGCCCCACTTGAGTATCCGGCAATGTTAATTTAAACTTTCTCCAACTATACGGAGTTTACCATCGCATTTACACCATCACCGACTCCACTCAACTTGATAACACCCATGACTCCAAATCTCCCAGGGGATAAATACTCCTAATATGTCTGTCAAAACCACCATTCCTATCTTCTCCAAACAGAGCCACGCGAATCCAAAAAAAAAAAACTCCATCATGTCCACCTACAAGCCCACTCGTCCTCTAACCTGGCTAATCACCGGCTGTTCCTCCGGTCTAGGCCTCGAACTTACTCGAACAATTCAAGACCACGGAGACCTCGTAATTGCTACATCACGCCAACCCTCTCGGATACCCGTACTAGTAGATGAGATCCAGAACCACGGCGGAGAATGGCACTCTTTAGATGTGGATGATCCAACCGCCGCTGCGTCACTAATAGAAATGCTCGAAACAAATGGACACCATATTGACGTTCTGGTCAATAACGCCGGTGTTATCGTCTTCGGTATCCTTGAACAACTCGCCGACAAGGATCTGCGCGACCAGATGGAAACGCTGTACTTTGGTCCACAGAGACTGATTCGTGCTGTGCTCCCGGGGATGCGCGCGCGTCAATTTGGAGTGATTGTGAATATCAGCTCTGGAGCGGCGTTGGATGGAAATGGGAGTATGGGCGCTTATGCGGCGGCAAAGGCTGCGCTGGATGGTAAGAGTTGTTATTGAACGGTTTTTGATATTGGATCTGACCTTCGATGCAGCTTCGACGCGAGTTTTAGCAAAGGAAGTTGCTCCTTTCAATATTCGGCCTTTGACTGTGTGGCTCGGAACCCTTAATACGAATATTATGAATGTTTCTCCGATTGTGCAGGGGCCGCTGTTGGAGGACTATCGTGGCTCGGGCGCTGAGCAATTGATGGAGGCAATCAGAAGCCGGAAGTTTACTGGGAATGGTGACAAGAAGAAAGCGGCAAAGGCCATCTACGAGGTCGTTGTGGGTGAGGGTGCCGGTGCCGGGCATGAGGCAGAGCGGTTCCTTCCAATGGGCCGCGATATGATTTCGCGCGTTGAATTGGTCCGCGATCAGTATGGGCACGCTTTGGAGGTGTTTGGGGAGGTCTGCGGCAATATACAGTTGGAGCATGAGTAGGTTTGCGAGATTAACTCTAGGCAGGTCCGGAAGTCTTAAGAATTGCAGATGCAGATTTAAAATTTCATTGTAGCCAGGAGTTTCCAAGATAAACCACAGCTGCGATAAGGTACCCATAGAAAACAGGGCGGGATATAAATGCTGCAGCAAAGCCTCGAGGCAATGGCGCCTGGGAGGTTTCATCCTGAGGAAAGAAATCGAAACAATCGAGCGGCGGTATCTCCCAGCCGCTTCAACGATGGTCGCAGATGCTTTGCAACACCTCCCAACACTCCGAGATGTACCAATTAAACGCCCCGCAAAGTAGTAAAGTCATAAAGGGAATCAAACGATCGCTAATACAGCATGTGTCAGAAAAACAAATCCAAGCTCCATTGCTAGGAGATGGTGACAGAAGAGAATAAACATGAGAAAGTAAGGATATCTAATCAGCGACTTCGATCGGCACGAGCCTGGTGCCAGATGGTATCACCACTAAGGGCAGATAGACTTAGGGAAGCTAGGTTTCTCCAGCTTGATTGGGGTGCAGAGGCTGAGTGGCCTCCAAGAAGACCTCGATTCTCCTCAACATCAGACACATCATCACTGATACCTGTGATGAGAACAGGCGCAGATGATGCATCGGCTGGGTCTACTTCTGTAGCACCAAAGCCAGCAGATTGCTCGCTATCAAAGCGAGTATCGTCGTCGTGCGAATGGGCCATCGAACGAACAACATCACCCTTACATATAGGGCAAGTTCGTCGACGAGTAGTGAGCCAAGGAGTGCTGTAATTGTTAGTCCATCATGGTCTTTGGTTCGGTGTTCAAATATGGCCACTTACATGCATTCGGCGTGAAATTCGTGGCCACAAGGCAAACTCATCACTCGGCTTTCTCCGTCGATATATTCCTCAAGACAAACGACGCACTCCACTTGTCTTCCAGTATACTTGCGTCGCCACAGAACCGAACCTGACTGGAAATTGGTTTGTTTCTCTTCCTTATGAGATCCAGAGTCCAATGTTGTCCCCGCAATGGTCTGAGATCGCGATCGGGTTGGCCGGGATGTACTCGATTGGAGATCATTTCTGAGGAGAGGAGAAGTCGGCGAGGCAGCATCAGGGCTGGAAGGGCGCGGGGAGCTTGAAGATGAAGAGCGAGTAGAGATGGTATGATACGTTCGAACGGGGAGACGCTCAACAACGGACTTCGGTGCACGCCAGCGGCGCCGTCGCATGCGTGATCGGAGAAGAAGCAGCGCATAAACCACCGTGAGCGTCAACAATGGACTGATCACGAGTACCAGAAGGGTATCGAAAAATGGGCTTGTCGACATGCTTGTTGGTGTCAAAGTTACCCAGAGACCTTCATGCTCAGTGAAAATCGTGACTGGGGTGGTCGAGGAATGTGCCGCATTTTGGGTCTTCTGGTCAGGAACAACATTCTGGATAGAGGGCGAGGTAGACGGTTGAACATCCTGCTTCGGATCATCCCAGCCAAAATGACTGGAGAACCAACCCTTCTCAGAATCTTTGGGCTCTTCTTTAGTCATATGGGCATCTTTCCCGGAGTCCTTCGTCGCCGCATCCCGAGATTTTCCAGTGGCTTTGTCAATACTTTGGTACTCTCCACTTCCAGGGGTGATGCTACCACCACGCAAAATATTGGAGGAAACTGCTTCTGACTCTGGAGCGGATGTCTTGGAGGAATCCTTTCCAGTTACAGCGGTACTGGGAATTGGGAGGGCGCTGCCTCGTGGCGGCATCAAATCAGGGTCTCTCCAGTCTTGTACGCCAATAACAAAATCGTCTGCCTCGAAATTGTCAGCGACCAACCCAACCTTGTTGCTATCCAAAGTATCATCGGCTTTGCCTTGGTTGCGACTACTATATGTCATGGAGCTCTTAGCACGGTCGACTCGGGCTTCGGTTATATCCCAAGTCATCCAGTCAATGTTACCACTGCTCGGTGGACGTCGGCTATCTTCGACGCCCCTTGAGCCACCGAATTTATTGCACAGTCCGAAGAAGGAGCCGAGGGTACGGAAGAATCCACCGCCAGACTTGGTGGCAGAAGTCGGTCGTTCCTTCGTTGGGGACTTCGTTGAAGTTGGCGTGGAGCTTGCCAGCGCAATTGTAGTGGTCGCAGGTTTCTGAGAATCTGCATTGACTTGGCCAGCAATATTTGCCTGGAGTGATTTCAAAGCTTCACCCAGGCCAGCATTTGCGCCAGCGTGGGCCGGAATCAATGATGAAAGAAGGTGGGCAGTCGTATGAGAAGTGAACAGAGCCGGAATCGTCACATTCGACGTATCACCTCGCGCATACATGGTAACCAAGCTACCGCCACGGGTATCATCTCCAACGATCAACGCAATAGCGCCCCGGCGTTGGGCCCACTTGACCTTCTCGAGGAACCCACAACCACCGCGGCTTAGCAGCACAACCTTGCCCTGGATTTCGGCGGTTTCCTGCAGCGATTGAATGTCCGCATGGGTGGACTTTTTGACTTGGACATAGTCTCCGTACTTTTGAGTTGCCCCAATTTCCGACCCGCTGGATTCGGGCAAAGGGTGGTGGAGATGGTCGTCGGTACCATCACTCGATGAGGGGGTAACCGAGGTATCGTCTTTGGTGTTCTGCCTGACCTCAGGCTGTAATGGTGACCGCGAGCTTTGTGAAACTGTCCCCTCTTTCACTGTACCACCTCCGGACTTGCTGGATTTCTGTTCTGCGCCCCTGGGGGAGGTGTCTGGCTGCTTGTGACCGTTCCCTTCACCCCAACCAGGGATATCGGAGCAACCTAACTCTCCTTCAACGCCAGCAGCCAGTCCTCCTTCACCAAAGCCACTTCCCACCCACAGTTGGCCGCTTAGGCTTTTGTCGGGCAGTAACGGGCCAAACGCCGCCGGGCGGGCTAGGAAGAAGGTCGAGTTGTCATCTGTCAGGCTGATGATCGCCGATGGGGGAAAGAGAGACGTCGGAATGTTAAATGAAAACAAGGCGCGCAGTCCGGACTGGCGACTAGTAAGTGTAGTAGGAGTCGCGACATTGGACGAAGAGAGTGCGGAGAACAAGGTAACAAAGATAGGAAAGAAGATAAGGCCGAAGAGAACGACAAGGAGACGTGGCGGTCGCATCTCTGGCAGGTGAGGTGAGCCACAAAGGCTCTCAAAAATGGGTAGAAGATTTGGACAGAAAAGGTGGGTGTTTTGGAGCGAAGAACGATGCCAGGAGTTGTTGTATGACAAAGGCTGACGGGATCTACCAATCCAACGGTTGGCGGCTAACGAGCAGGCGGCCACTCATCGGGAGCAATGAGCCGCACCGCAGGTCAAAAATAAACCAATGGTTACAAGCTATAATCCGCAACGTAACAGAAAGGAGGAATATAGGGGATGGGAGAAAGTAGAATGTGGATGTTAGGCAGGTGGATATCGAGACGGGGAAGTGAAATGATGGATTACATAAACAACGCAGTGACGGCATCGTTGTTGTCATTGTCATTGCCATTTGTAGGTTCCTGAATCCTGAGGCCATAAGGCTGCATAATCACCTGACACAGACACCTGATCTACCCCGCGCGTGGCTTCTGTAGTATCTACTAGTATTTGAACTGCATGAACTTGGTATGCTTCCATTTGCTTTGGAAAGGAATTCGAATAATTTTAGCATTCTCGGTATAATCAGTTCATGCCCCACTTGATGCCGATCAGGTCATTGCGCCAAGGCAACCAAGTTATCTACCGAATTTGTCCATCGCTTTTTGACTTTGTATAGGTCACCGGTCCTGGTGTTTCTACGGAGTAGTGTGATGCATCATATGATAATCATCTGCACGAGGAACAACGAAGTCATGTATCAATATACGCGATAAGAATGATATGTAAGCGTTGTGCACAGGAAACCAGTAAGAAACACAGAAGCTATCAGGGAACTTCCAAGGTTGTTCTCTTGAATTAGAATTGCACCCAGGCCGAATTAAGTGTTTCGTCTATACTCCGACTCTGTACGGAGTACTCCGTATAAGGCGCGCTGTCGTTATCAATCTGGAAATCTCCACTCCTGTTAACTAATCCTATTCTGGTCATAGCAGGTCCTAATTAGGACTAGTTGCCCCAGACAAGTATAATAGGGAGAATAAGGAGTATTTACTCGAAGGATGAGAACTTCTACTCATTCCAGTCACTGATTCTCCTATTCCAATCCCAGTTTCTCACTCAGTCAAATTTCATATTGCTTACTTGTATCATTAATATGAACGCAACCCAATCTACCGTTGGCTATCAAGGCCGCTTCATCGAGGCCCTTGGAGACTTCGAAGAGGATTATGAACCGCTTCCTATCCTAAAGCAGAAATTACTAGCCATCAACGAGCAAATCTTCAAAACTTATCAGCCTTGGGTAGCCTTTGGATCCTATGACACCAAATTCTGGGCACGTTGTATTCGAGTAGAGTCGATGTATCTTGAATAAGCTGAATTGGAACGACAGATATCAATTTCTATCTTCGGAGGAAGCAAAGCTGCGTGGGAGAAGACTGACCAAGTAAAGACCATTCTTGAGCAAATTTGTGTTCGAGAGAAAAGCTGCAAGATCTACATGAAACGCGCCGAATCAAAGCCTCATGCTCGGTGTGGAAGCATCCAACAACTATGCAGGAAGTTGTTCTCAACTAAGAAGACTCCCGTTCTAGGCATGGAAACCGTGAAACTTGAGAACAAAATGCATCGTTATGAAGAATTGAAGTTTCGAGAAGAGCTGATTCGTCAATACCAAGCTGAACATCCTGTCCATTTCTCGCTTTGGTGCCCAGTTCTCGGCGATTGGGAGGATGCTTATAATATCACCGCCGTTACCCTTTTCCCTAATATGCACGGTCAAGCGGCTATGGATGCTATTTTTGGAAAGAAAAGCTCCCCGGAGCTATTCTCACCCCGAAATGGGATTTTAATGTCCAGATTCATCGAAGCGCACTTCAGATCCGGTAAACTGGCAATCGTGCCTTGCAATCTCACACTTCTCGCAGAGAACAACCATGAGTATAAAATCAAAGTCTTGGATCCTACATGGGCGCTTCGGGACGAATTTATCGCTCCTCATCTAAAAATCCCATTAGGCCAATTAGATGATCGAAAACTAGTCTTCCGCTCTTCTTTTCGCCCTGCAGCATGCTACTTATACTTCAGCTACTGTGTACAGGCTATCAGATATGCCTGGCAGCATAATCCCGAAAGATTACCGCGCTGGGTCGCAGGGATCCTTGAAAAGAAAACTGGCAAGCCACTCTGGGGCAGTTCCGCGCGTTACATCTCTCGATCCATGTTACAAGTCGTTGTGGAGGAGCTTGGACAGGATTATCAATCACTGTTAGATGGGGCTAAATCTCGCCAGTTTGAAAGCGCTTGCAACCAAACACTCTTGGAAGCTGTCGTGAATCAGGTGAAATCTTGTCGGTCAGTGTTTATGCCAAGCTTGCTTGACTGTCATTCGACTTTTACTTATAGGCAGAATAAAGAGGCTATGAAGCTATTGCCCGCATCTTACTCTGAGTCTGAATATGGTGATAAGAGTGATGACACGTCGGAATTTGGCGAATGGTACTCGGAGTCTGATTATGGGGACAAAAGGGAGGATAGAAGTGACGATAGAAGTGACGAATTGAGTCAGGATTCAAGTGGGGAGGCACTTAAGAAGTGGATCTCTGGAATTACTGTTTAATCTCAGAAGTTGCCAATGATTTATTTTTAAAAATGTTCTTCTGTATTTCCCGTTTTACCATAAGCAAGATTTTACTAGCTACACAGATAACAAGTCATTGTACTGATAATAGAGAGCTCTATTTAAGGTTAGATCACTTGATAATCACTTCGATGTGTGGCTACTAGACATCATCATTTTAAGTAGGTGAGTGCGGCTCATCTTATCCGTACCACATAACAACGTTCTAGAAACCCCAAGGAAATCACCGATTCATGTTCTAGATACCTAAATCATTGGTACTCAAAGCTATTCTGGAGAAAGTTACTGCCACGCCCCTATAACAGGAAAGTAGTGACTAGGAACCCTGGTTATATGACTTCGGGTATTTGAACTCTGAATACCCTTGTCCGGTGGCGTATGAGATGCGGAAGAATGACGACGGATGACATTGACGGTGCTAGTTTTGTTTGGCACATCCCCGCATCTATCAGTGGTACGTCATGGAAGCCCATGTGGGAAACAATTGAATACCTGATTCCTCACCTCAGTGGTTGCCAATTTGCCCGTCCCGTATTGTGTCGTCATTGAGTACGGTAAACCCCGATTGAGCAATCAATTGGTGACAAGAATCGTTGAAATTTAAATCCCCTCCTTCTCCTATAACTCTGCTTCGCGAATAACCCACCGGTTAATCTTTCAAATCTCAAAATCAAATACGTGCTTTTTATTCAAAATCAACATCATTCATCATGTCGAACCTGATGCACAAAATGAAGGACGCCCTTACAGGTCATCATGAATCTGAGAATAAGGGATCCTCTTATAATTCATCGAACATGAACAAGAAGATGGACGGTAGGCTCTGACCTGTCTACTAGAAATATCTCCAGCTATTTACCCGTATAGATACCCGTGATAGCTATGGCGCTCAAGACCCTACTAGCACCGGCGACTACGGCTCTAAGCCTTTGACCTCTGATAACTACGGATCTGGCGACTACAAGACTGGTTTGCAGGGTGACACCAAGATGCCCAGTGTAATGGAAGGTCAGAATACTCCCGCGAAATGACAATAATTCGTACTAACCTCCTCTGCAGACACTGGAAAAACTGGCAACACCTATGGATCCACCAATAAAGGCAGCGGCAACTACGGATCTAGCAGCTTGGGTGGTACTCAGGATACCATGACCAACAGGATGGATGGTCAGTTGATATTCAGAACCGATAGGCCGTGGATGCTAACATGATCAGACACCAGTAATACTTACGGTGCATCCAACTTGGGAACTGACACGTATGACTCTGGCAACAAAGACCCGTTCAAGGACTATAGTGCTGCCACCGGCTACAGCCAAAAGCCAATTGGCTCTGAAGCTTACGACTCCAAAAATCGAGGCGGAAACCTCGGTTCAGGTTTGAACACCGACTCTTATGGCTCGGGTAACACCGACTCCTATGGTTCGGGTACTAAAGATTATGGCTCGAACACCATGAACACAGGGGCTGGCGATTCCCAGATGACCAACCCGATGGACAGTGGACTTGGTAAGATCATCCCCGCTAATGGATTATCATTCCTCTAACTGTTTTGAAAAATAGATAATCGTGGAACCTACGGCGGTACCGGCCAGACAGGTGCCTACACCTCAAACTACGGTGATGACCTTGGCTCCACAGGCATGGGCACAGGCACGGGCAAGTATAACACTCGCTCCAACACGGGATCCAACATGCCCAGTCAAATGGAGACGCGGGCCGAGTCCGGGATGGATAAGCAGGGCTTCGGTGGTGCTGCTGCTGGAGGGAGCAGCTATAATGCCCCCGAGTCTGGTAAGAGAAGGTCTTCTGGTCCCCATAGTTCGAACCTTCTCAACAAGCTTGACCCAAGAGTACGTAGCTCAGAGTATGAGAGTAATGCTATGGGTAACCAGCGGGGAAATTAGGACTAGATATGGATAGTTTTAGGCCTAGGGCTTGATGATGTATTTTAATATTTGTTTATTTCCTTTCTTATCAGAGACTAAATTGGGTTTCGAAATTGACATTAATTGCCATCTATTCCTTGTACATTTGAATCACTTGTTGTGTAAAGTACTGTGTACAAAAACAAGATTTAAGAAATCAAAAGCCCGCTTTTGCTGTTACTCTGTAAAGAAACTCTTGGATTGTAGATATACGTTTCACGGTTCCAAGTTTACAGTGAAAGGATTGTGAAAATCTCCCTAGTTATTCCATCATGTACAGATAAAAGAAGATAGTTGCCAAGGTCCTAGGACAAAGGCTCATAATTAACAGACAAAAATGAGAGGCAAAAGACTGTATGGGCTAGGCTGATGAGACATTGAGTAGAAGCACAGGGGGCATATCAAAGAAAAGAGAAGGAAAACGTCAAACAAGGTTGAAGGATCAGGACATCCGTCGTCAAGGGTCATGATTGACGCGAACTAAAATAAGGCTAATTACCATGAGACCAAAAAACAAGAGAGAATGTCAAGAGTATGCAACGTATGCAATATGACCAGGAAACCAACGCCGAGCCCCAAAAGGAATCAAGCAACTAGGCGCTGCACGGCAGCAGGCTAGGCTCAGGAATACAGGGGAATCAAGTCGTCAGGAGAAATAATCATGCTAGGATGCTCCAGAGCGCCGACTTTTCGGGGAAAGACAATCGTTAATGTGTCAAAAAGTGCAAACGAAATACCCAGAGCGTATTATCATTTATCCAGCTTTTGCCACCCGTTGAGATAGGCCATGATGCCAACTCCAAGCAGGACAACACCAAACATGGACGCATAAGGACTTGAGTCATGCAATAATTGGCGTCGGCGCCACTCTGTTGCCATAGCGGTAGCGGCGGCACCCATCTCTTTGCTCTCTGCAGAGGGTGAATCCAAGTGCTTCACTGGCGAACCACCATTCTTATCGGGGTCCACTGAGCCATTCTCGATCGGGGGCGCCGGGCCGGCAGCAGTCTTTGACTGGTCATGACCTTGGGAATCCGACTTTGAGGCAGGGGTTGTAGTGAGAGCCTTCTCGGCACGTTCCCGGCGCAGTGTCTCAATCATCTCCGCCAAAGACGTACGGGACTGGTCATTTTCCACCTCGGCTTTCTCTGCACGATCCTTGAACGAAGCCATCTGCTTCCTCATCTCCTCCATTTCTTGCATCATGCTTTCCAACCGATGCTCAAGCTTTGTAGTGTCCACGCTGGCGGGAGGCTCTGACAAGTCTGCAGGAGCGGAAGATGACTCAGATGGCAAAACTGAGCCATTGGGTTTTTCGGAGTCGTTGTGCTTGTGATTGGCATCCAACTCTTGTTCAGCAGGACTATCTTCGGATTGGATTGCTCCATTGATTTGTTGCGTGAACTGCATCTCTAAATTCTTGACCTTTTCTTCTGCTGATTCGCGAGCAGCTCTTTCTTGAAGAACAAGAGTCTCAAGTTCCTTAACACGGGCACCTTGGGTATCAATTTCTCGCTTCGCGGATGAAAGCGCCTCAATAAGGTTCAAGATCTGGCTCGAGTCCCGCGAAACAGGAGAACTTGTAGCTGGCTTTGTTTTCTCGGTATCACTGCGCTTCAAGGGTGAGAAGGCATCCGAAGCACTTCGTGATAGAGCGTCCGGTTTCTCGGGCAGTGGTTGCTGAGGGGGAGGGGCGGGGGGATCTGAGAATCGGGAGAAAGAGTCGACGCGAGGCATTTTGGGGCGTCCGTTTAATTGACGAGGTCCATTGCTTTCAAAAGATGACGGCTTGCTAGCTTTCTCTTTCTCGGCGTAGCCTGGCTTCATTATAGCGGTCAGGAACTCGTCAGTCTGGCGTAGATCCGTGGCCTGCTGTTTGGCTTGCTTTAATTCGCCCTAGAGGAAATTGTTAGCGAGTCGTAAGTATAAAAGCAGAGACAGGGAATTCGTACGGTAAGTCTCTTGACGACTTGCTCAACAGAAATGGGCGAGTTCCAGTAGTTCATCTGCCTTTGCTGATGCATGGCATTCAGTTGGCTACTAGCAGCGCTCTGGGCACTGCGATTGCTCACATTGCTGCCGGATCTTCCTCGTAGGTGTGAGAGTGGTTGGCTCAATGGGGATGGAAGAAGACCACCACCGGAAGCTGGGTCCAGATCTCCAAAGTTAAGATCCAGAATGTTTGGCGCCGAGCCATAGAGACCAGCGTGCTCGACTTTGGCTGAGACTTTATGATGAACAATGCTGCTCTGGTCCTCGCTGACAATATCGATTCCCAATTCCAAAGTATCATTCTCACGCAATTCATGCGGCTCTGATTCCCGGTTCTCCTGAGATAGACGAACGCCGTTCACAAAAGTGCCGTTGGATGATTTCACATCGCGAATCCAAATTTTGCCAGTCTTATCTGCCCAGATCTCCGCATGTTGCCGAGAGAGAACCTTGGAATCGAAAAATCCATTGATTGGAGTTGGTACAGTCTTCGCATTGGTCTGACGGCCAATCCGAAGAACTTCGGGGTAGAAGGGGACATTGATTTGCTTCTTTTCGAAAGTGCCATTCATTGGGATCAACCCCAGGATGGCTGGCGGTTCTGCGGGCACGTTGACCTGCTGTCGAACGCCATTCTGTTGTGAGGATTGGAGCATGTGTTGTGAAGGAACAATAGATTGTGGTTGGTGAATGGCGGACATTGTAGATGATGCAGTTGGCCCTGATAGGAATGCAGGGACTGCCTGAGATCGTGCGTTGGTAACGCCCGCTACTGGTTCTGACTTGACGTTGGGCCAAGGACTTCTTGCGGGTTTCTTTTTCGATGACCAAGTACCTTCACTGGCGGAACCTTGACCAGCATTAGGATCTTGGGTTGTGATCACCGTAGTCGTGGAGGTTGTCGACCCCAGAGAGGATGAGGAGTTTGAGCGCTGAACCGACTTCCGTTGCATAAACATCCGGGATACTTCGTCGTCCACGGAAGACAGAGCTCCTTCTCCTCCGTTACCAGTACTGTACCATCCCAAGCGAGAGCCCGATTGCACACTAGGAGCAGACACCACGGCAGTCATGGAGAACGACACCGGGGAGTAGTTCAGCACAGTAGAATGTGGGAGGAAAGTGGCGATCGCGCGTATCGGATGCCCGTTGCAGTTGGTGGGAGAGGTTCGATAAAAGAAGATGAGTATGTTTCTATCGGCTTATTTGATTGCGCGTGTATGGCTTTGTTTTTTGTCTGGCCGGCTAGCTCACGACGGTCGCGTTAGCGTCTCGATTCATTCCAACAATTTATTGGCTGCCTCCAGACCTTCTAGCGACTCGAGTCACCCACTGCCCTTATCAAATGTAAACAGTATCAGGCTTACCTATTCAAGATGTTTCACGTAGATTTAATGGTAGTTGGGGGCAAAACAGTCAGTGCTCCAGACTAGGGAGGCGTGTGAGGTCTTGCCGAAAAGTGAGCAGCGACCGGGTGTCTCACTACCCCAAGACAATGGGGGAAAACACTGGACGGGACTTCCGCCTTGCCACGGGCTTAAAGGCTGCCCTTACTGCGGGGTTGAAATGAGGAAATCAAACAAGTTGGCAGGCCATAAGGAACAACTCCACGGGAATGGAGGATCATGATCTCCTGCTCCCCTTCCCACCGTTGACGCCCCAGGCATTAGAGTCACGTGTACTGCACGTGTGGCACCCATTTGATCACGTGATCAAAGCGGAGACGGAAGTGAAAGTGATGCGATTCGTTTGAAAAAGCTCCCAAATCCCTTGCGAGATACGTTTACTCGAAGCGCATTATTATAATACTATTGGCTTTGTTCAGCTTGAGCTGTCTCCCCTCTATTGCCTTATATCCTACTCTCTCAGCCCTCTGACTCCGTACATCAAAATGCCTGTTGTTGCTGGTCCTCCCGCAGCCGGTCCCTCGACCTTCGACAAGAGTATGTCAACATTCACCACGCCGATTATACTGCAATGAAGTGGATATACATTGTTAATACATGTGAGCTGACTTGGTATATAGTGAAAATGGGTGCCATGATGGGTTCCAGTATGTGACCATCTCAGGCTCAGCTATCTCCCGCAGATCTTCAACTAATCCGAGTCTGGTTATTTAGCTGTCGGTGGTATTATGGGCTTCATTGGTGGTACGTTTGATTTGAATCTAATAGATGGCATATGTGGAGCTACTTAGAAAGCTAACATGGTCCAGGAACTGTGGCCATCTTCCAGTACGGCGCTGGTCCCAACGGAGTTATGCGTACTCTGGGCAAGTACATGCTGGGTTCCGGTGCGACTTTTGGGTACGTATTGATACTACTTCTCTCGCACTGATATTATTGCTTTGTTGCTGGGCTTCGGCTGTCCTCGGTTATGTACAACTCATACTGATCCTATCCTTCTCCAGTCTGTTCATGTCCATCGGTAGCGTGATCCGTTCCGAGGGACCCCGTAACGACCTCTGGCTCCGTGCCCAAGGACCCCCGATGATCCTTCCTCGCCAGACCCCGCTGCGCTCGATGCGCCAATAAACTGGCCTTTGCCCCACCCGGGATGTCAGAGAGACATGCGACACGAACAAATCGAAGGGGATGTATTTTGTACGATATGAGCAGTTTATTTGAGCGGTTTCGATAAACTGAAAGGAGCAAGATCTGGAGAATGTGGGGTTCTGGAGAAATCAGGCCAGGTTGGATGTCCAAAAGCTATCCAGCTTCATGTAAATACTAGGTACCGGTCACGTCTGGGGTATACTACCTTATTTGGTGGATACCAGCAACCCAGGCGTTGTTGCAATGGTATTCTTGCTGTTTTTCCTGAGACATGGTGCTGTGGAGATATCACCTCATGAGGCTATAGTTCATGGATCTCGCAATACGTCAATCAGGATAATATATACGCCATTCACGTTTAATTCATAAACATTTTTTTGCTGGTCATTATCAATGTGTTCCGTATATTGTAATCGCATAGTGGTCTGATGTCATTCGAGATCAACGTTGTCAATTTCCAAGACTGTGTTAGCAAACTCCACATCAACCGAGGTATAGTCCGGTATATTGTTGTTCCACCATCTTTTTAACTGTAGAGTGTTAACACTACATGTGTGAACGTAAATATAATCGTTTACAATTTTCAGTCCGAAATCTAAATATGTGTTTAGAAAATCTATCAATAATGTACCTTCTTACATATCCACATACACAAGGTATGTACTACAGTCCAAGTGTAGTGTACATATGTATATGTACGTGGAAGAACATCCCTAACTTGATTCCATGGATACGTATGTAAATTCTATATGTATAAAGATTGCGGGCATAGGGTTAACGTGATCATCAATCAATTGATGCTGGAAGCCAGCATGGAATGTTGAACAGTACAATATTTGAAGGTCGAACGTTGAAATATATGTCTCTAAACAGACCTCTGGCACATACATACATCTCCACCGATCAGTCCGTCTGTACTTAATCTTTATATAAACTCCAAGGCTTCCATGGCTCCAGTGCTTCAAATCCATTGGGAATCATTGTTTAGTGAATTCCATTTGTAGTATGTTCAAATTTACAAATGTTGTTTTCTACCTAGTCCTTCAAGGTCCTGTTGTTTGCATGAAGAATCTGGAAAAGGCGGTGTCCACGAGCAGATCCCGCCAATCGCCAACACCTGCAGATAAAATGAGGACACCTTCTTCTACCAACTCGGGCTTCGGCATATGCCAGCTGATTGGGGCCCCGTGGACGTACAAGCACACTTGGGCACACTTCACCCAACCGCGTTATGCCACATCAAACAGAGCTCAGCCCAAGAACATGTGTACCCACAGATGAACGTCCGAACGTCTTTCTACACTTGGGGAGATCGCGATTTGAAAGCCAAATAGGGCCTGGGCTAAAGTCTGTACTGGTTGATCAGTCAAAGCCTCGAACCCCCCAGAGTTTCTTCATCCGCGTATCCAAATCACTAACTCGCTGTGTTGGGAAGGTGAAAAAGCCGATCGTCAGCGGTGGATTAGGCTTGAAAAGGGTTCCATGGGTCCCGCCAGGAACAGGCACATGACTCGCTCCTGAAAGCCCCCAATTCCCGCGGTGGATGTTTGCCAAGCCCAACTTCTACAACATGGAAAAAGCAAGCCCACAAGCCCACCTCGTGGTGGAGGAGTTCGGGTTACACCCGATTCAGGGCAAAAGCGACAAATTTTACAGCCAATCTCGGCTAAACCCGTGGTCGGCCAATCCACGTCGAGGTGTAGAACAAAGCCAGAGCAGCGAATCAAGATCATTCATCCCGTGGAGATCCGTGTTATCCGTTCCTGCGTTCATGACGCCAGGGGTAACACAGGTAATTTAACTACGTGAAAACACAAGCTGCCGCAGATGCAGCCCACTTTCCAGAGAAATCCTCAATTCAGGATCAGCGCTTACAGAAACATGACCCAAAAAACCCTAGTTCTATTTACTCCGTGACTCCGTGACTATGGGTCAATTGTTGTTGGCCCGGAAATGGGACTCATTCAACGGCTGTCTTGGGTCTTAGAGCTAGAACACCTATGGCATCATCCGTTAGGGGTCGGAAACTCCTCGGCTTACTTTTCTTCTACTCCGCAGTGCCAGCCCAAAAGGATAATTAAACTGGTAACCTATGGTTCCTTGGGATCTGAAGCCACTGGGCCCGCTTACAAAAATTGTTCCGAAACTTATCAGAGATTATCAACAAGTGATACCGTATTCAATACTTTCCCTCTGATGCGACAGGATGAAATTCCATCCCCCCGAAATCCCAAATCCCTCGCATGGAGTCCGTGCGAGTAACCCGATCCAGACCCTGGTGTACCTGACGCTAGTCCGTTAGTTAGGGTTTTTTTGATTGCTTGGGCTCCATCGTTCGATTTGGAACCGCCTAATTTCGGATAATCCCAGAATCGCGTGCCCCAGATTTGGTCCAATAGGATCGTCGGTCCATCCAGAGACAAAACAATAAAATGAAAATTCTAATTTGGCGCTAACTGTTCTCTAGGGCTCTAATGGCCCCCTTCCCCAGGTTGGCTCGTATTTAGACTGACATACCGCGCCCTGTCATACTTCACTCCTTCCCTTCCTCAGGACCTCATTCACCCCAGTCATTCTTTATACTGTCACTCGTTTATGCCATCTGGCCCCATCTGAGCCGCGCTCTATTCCACGTTCTTTACCCTGTATATTCTTTTTGAGTCCCGCTTGTTGCGCTCAAAATCAATTTACACCATAACGTGCCTTCAAATCCGCACTTGCCTCAATAACTCGCTGATCTAACCAATCACATCTCGCTGTGTACGACTTCAGTTCTCTCATACGAAACTACTTTCTCTGTCCATATCAATCCTATTCCAACAAAATGCAGATCAAGGCTTTTATCACTTCGTTCCTCTGCCTGGCTGCAGCCCAGTTCGCTGCCGCAGATGTGACTACTACCTCCACTTCGACCTTGACTGTCACGAAGACGCTGGTTCGCGTCCACTCGGTCACTTCCACCCCCAGTGTCAGCGCCAGTGCCAGCTTCGTTCCCAGCTCTAGCATGGCCAAGGTGACCTCGACACCTCTTGTTGCCTCATCTACCAAGACCGCTGCCGCTACCTCCGCCATCCACACTGGTGGTGCTATCAATGTCGCAGCTGGCATCCCGGCCGCTATGGTTGCTGGATCCTTTGCGCTGATTATGGGCGCGGCCCTATAATCGCAAATACGCATTGAAAACAACCGAGAATGTTCTCAGCGGCCCTTACCAAACCTCCATTGGTCAGACCCTGTGCCTGCTCGGTGACTCTCGCCGTTCATCTCCAGCAGAGCCGGGGTTACCTTCTATTTGATCTTATTTTCGATTCTTCACTTCACCCTTTTTATTAACGGCTCATGGTTCACTGGAGAACCCCATTCGGAGAGGAAACGGTTTTATGCACTTCAAATACCCCCTTTTAACGACTTTTTGGACACGAGATGATGTCTTCTTCTATCCCTGTTTTAAGGGCCCTTTTTTCAATTCTCTTGTTCATATTTGTGCCTGACGTACTGTTTTTGGGACATCAGCAAGGGCGTGTTTTACACAGAGTTGATATACTTCGCTGCATCAACACGCCAGCTCAAACCTTGAATCATTTCATCATCACCAAATGAAACCCTTTTTTCGCATATATTTCTCCATACTTTTGCAAAATAAATACCTAAATTCTAACTCACTCATCCTGTACCTGCATATGCCCGCTTCCAACTCCAGTTGAGACATGATTGAAAGCTTGGAATTAGGGCGAGAATTGAGTGACGAATATGACTTTTCTGTCGATATTGTGTATAGAGTTGACGTGACGAAGAACATGCCGATCTAACATTCCGATCTGATTGCCGTTGACTCCGAGGTCGACTGATAAACTCAAAAGCCGTGCGCGCCACGCGTGAGCATCCGTTTCGGGCAAAGTCGTTAGATCTGATCTTATCTTGCTCATAGATTATTTTTTTTCACACTTTTCTCCTTTAAATTCGTTCTTGAGCTTTTTTCCAAAGAGCTTTGACCCCAGGGCCGTCCTAGTCTCGGGGCATCCAATAATTAAGTCGCGCGTTGTTGACGCATCCACTCCGCGGGCTCCACAACGCGTCGCAAATCCCCCAATTCTCCAACGCCTTGTCCACCAAATAACCTAGGGAATCGAGGCGCGACTCGTTTGCCCCGCGAAAATCACTCGCAATGGACAACGAGATCCCCCTTCCACCGCCACGGCGCATGCGGCACCGATCACCGCGCAAAACTGTATCCGGCGATCTCCCCACCTCGCTTGCGTCGTCATTTCGCAAAGCACGCCGACTATCGCGCTTCGATGATCGCTCCAGTCAGCCGTCTAGTGACCCGGCTTTGTTCTCAAGTGATGACATCCCTGCGTCCGGACTGGAGAACTATAATGCGCCGATGACGGGGGCTGGGCGGAAGAGACGGTATCGCGGGACGTGGTGGGGGGAGCAAGTGGCTGATCCGAAGAGAAAGAGAGCGGATTTTAAGGAGAAGCGCCATGTGGATAGTGGTGTTTGGATGGGGAGTGATGAGTCGGGTGCTGACTCTCTTCTTCCTTCTGAGGATGGTCCTTGGGGGGAGGATCTCTTGAAGACGGTGCTTGATCCGAAGACTTCAAAGTCTACTCAGGGTCCCTCATTGCTGCTTCCTACTGGGAAGGCCGCGCCGCCGATCTTTCCTTTGCCTATACTGAAGGGACCGGAGGAGTCACAGGAACACCAGTTTGCGAGGTCTGTGGTTAATGATTGCTTGGAAAAGGGAAATGATACCGTTGATCTTGGGTATGGTTGTTCCTTTGATCTGAACCTGCGGGGTAGTTTTGCTTTGGTCTGATGCTGACATCGTGTCCAGGAACTTTAATTTGAGACATATTCCAACGGGTCTCCTTCGACCTTTACAGCATCTGACCAAGCTTCCCTCTGTGGAAGCGGCACCTTTGTCTGAGAATGTTTACTCTTCGCTGCAGCCTTTTCTCAGCATCTACCTTCCGGGAAATTCCCTGACCAAACTCCATAATGAGTTATTCGAACTGAGTGGCCTGAAAGTCCTCAGTGTGCGGAATAACGAACTTCATGAACTCCCCTACACAGTCCAGAAATTGGCGGCATTGGAGGTTCTGAACGTGGCCGTGAACAGACTCACTTATCTACCATGGGAGCTCCTACATCTCCTCAAACACGGCGAACTGAAACATTTCACCGCATATCCGAATCCGTTCCCGTCAATTGAAGAAGCCACCATTGTCAAATGGCACCGCGAGCCCGAAAAGAAGCCCATGAATCAAACTTACGATGAATACGAATCCGAAAAAGATGAACCTGAACATACTATTGAAACCCCTCGATTCGATACTTACGAGAGCTCCCCTCCAGCCGATGCCTGGACTACCATCCACGTAGCCACAGGGCCAATAACACGACTGGACATGGAAGGCCGTCCAATTGAAGAAACTGCCTTAAGCATGATACCATTATCAACCCAAATCCCCACCGCCCCCTCTTTGCGTGAAGTCGCCCTCCGAGCCATATGCAAACTCCCAGATCTCGAGCACGTCACCGACGAAGAGCTAGAAGATTTCCCTGCCCTGGTCATCCCATTGATGCAGCAGGTGAAGAAGATCCGCGCAGCAGGTGGGCAACAATGCTCTGTATGCCAGAAAGAGTATATCATCCCTCGGATGGAATGGCTCGAGTGGTGGGACTGTACACCTCATGAAAATGGCATGAAGCGAGCGCGAGCTTCGGAAGAGAAGCTTCGTCCTTTGCCGTTCAAGCGGTTTGGTTGTAGCTGGGGTTGTGTTCCGTGATTGGGTGTACATTCTCTTTTCTTTGCTATAAGCCTTTGTCTCGGTTTGTATTTATTAGAATTCGGTGTTTATATTTGTCATTTCCTGTGATGGGAGATTTGATGGAACTTGGTGTTGATGTATTTTATCGGGAAATATTCTTCTTATGAAGTCATTTCTGTGAGGTGATGATGCACCTCCCTGCCCAGGTGGGAACACTACGAATCCAGATGATTAAAAATCCACCTTCGTAGTACTGCAGCCGTAGTGATTAAGTTAAATTGGGTAGTGTATTTTCAGGTACCCTTGATGGATTTCCACACATAGGGATATGTTTCATTAATTGATTTGTAGGGTTGCTAGAAATATTCCCTGACCGTCAGGGAAGCATTTGCTCGGAATATTGAAGGCCCACGGGCTTTATTGGAACCGTAAAAAGTCCTTTGACTGAATGAGGACCATGTCTTGTGTCCTGGCTGATAGCTAGGTTCACTGAGCTGGAATCGGTGGTTTCGACTTGAGTCATTTGGGTATCTCCGCTGCGTGGGCAATCCGTAGATGTGTTGAAAAGACCTTGAGCTTTGGTGGCAGATCTTACCCCGAAGCACCTTTGAGATAAAATCAAGGCTTTTGCTTCTGAAAGGCTGTTGAAATCCCCAATCTTCGTGTGGACGGTCGTAATTCTGAAAACCTTGTCGCAGGGCATAGTAATACAGTGGTAATGGCCATGCCTGCTGATTCGAATCCTCACTTCAGACTCACGGCAACCTCAACCATTTTGACCCATCGGGTACGCGTCTCAGGAAGTTCAGCATCATCAGACACAGGAGCTTGACGCTTTCGTTTCTTCGCGGCCTTGGATGGCTCCTGGTCCTGGTCCTCGGCTGACTCATCTTTGGACTGGCGCTGCTGCTTTTGCATTTCCAGCTCCTTCTTTTCTTCGTCCTCGACAACGTCATCCACCACAAGTACACTACCGGTCTTCACTCGGACCACATACTCTGTGCCCTTCTCCTCGAACCATTTCCCGATCTTTAGGACCTTCTCGATCGCCCGTCCAGTGGCCTTGACGAAAATCTCCTCTCGCTTATCTGCAGCTTTGGCCAGTTCCGCAAGCTTCTGCTGTTCGGTTTTGCGTGTGTCTTCAAGGTCGATATTGGCCGTCGCGCGTTTCTCGGCGTGGCGGAGGAGTTTCTGGACGCGCTTCACGGCGCTCATAAAGGGTGTATTTGTTGAAACATAGATAATCTTTGGCACAGAGGTGCCTGCATAGGGAGAGGCCACTGGGGCATGGGGGATAGGACGTTTTTCAACTTTCGCGTCTGCAAGTACCGCGGTTAGTCTTCAAGCTAGATTCAGGGTTTGACGGCGGAGTATTGACATTTTGGTAGTTTAACAAGATCATTGTTCTTCTTTTCAAATTGAAGCTTTCGCTCCAACGGTCCTTTACCCATATTGAGGTCGATAGATGTTGAGAATGTGGGCGCTGGACCTGATCTTATCACTATTTTCTGCCAGGCGGTGTATTCACCAAGGTCCAGTAAGTGGGTCAAAATATTACATAATCAAAGTATCGTAACTAACTAACGTGAAGTCCGGTTGCGCCGACCCGGTTGAGCGAGCGACCCCACCAAACTTCGAAAAATCATTAATTTTGAACTACCACTAAAACCATCAAATAACTCAAAATTTTGCTAATAAACACGTGAAGGGCATCCAGGATATGTATGACCTTTTATCCCACAGCCAGAACATGTCACATGCCGCCGAACCGAAGGCATAGAAGGTAAAGTAGGCTCAACAACCGCTCTTGTAGATACCTCCGGCAAATATATATCTTTACCATTATCTTCATCCTCATAAACCACATCATCTTTACCACTCTCTAGACCCCCAAAGATACCTTTCTGGGTAGTAAACTTATGTATGGTATCTCGTTTTTTTGTCTGTTTCTTGTTGGTAGCCTCTAATTGGGTACAGCGATTCTGGAGAAAAATATGGTGGTGGACCACTTTGATAGTCATATCATAGGTCTTCTGAAGCTCTCTTTTTGTTGGTGAAGAGAGGATTGAAGAAGAAGATTCTAGACCTTTTTTGATCCGAGATTGTGATTTTGTGAATTTTGAGAGAGTCCAGAGAGTATTTGGATCACTATCACTGCCGGAAGAGAGTGGTCGCTGTGAGACAATATCGAGAGGAGGAAGGGAATCCAGGCGCACATTTAGCTTTTCCAAGACTTTATTAGCATCAAATGGTGCTAATCCAGTAGCTGAAAAGCTATTTTGTATAGTAGAAGTCTTAAAAGCACCAATTCTCGCATCAGCGATAAGTTCAAGAAAATCTTCCTTATCAATAGAGTTCACTCCATTCCGCATCAAGGTTGAAACCGCTCCTCCATAAAGCCTCTTCAAAACCGAAAAACAGCCCACATCCAAAGGTTGTAAAAGGTGGGAAGCATGAGGAAGCATACAGATTGCGATAATTTGGTTTTCTTCACAAAGTTGGTCAAATTCGGGGGTCAAATGACTCCCATGACCATCGAGGACCAGTAGGCAATATTTCCCCACTCTTGGCCCAATATTTGGGATAAAAAGATGTTTCAACCACCATAAACCAATTGTATTAGTAGTCCAGCCATTTTCACTCATAGTGAGACGTGCTCCTTCTTGATTTAAAAGAAGATAAGGGCGTAGATGCTCTGGAAACTTTTTTCCCTTGAAAATGAAGAGTGGAGGCATAATACTTCCAGAAGCTCGAATACACTCGATTATGGTTACCCACTCGCGATTTCCGGCTTGTAAAAGAGCTCTTTTCCCGTGGTATTCTGCAGAAGTGATAATCTTTTGTGTTGCGCCGATACCCATAGCAAAACCACTCTCATCAAAGTTAAAGATATCGTCCGAGACAATACCCCACTTTTCAATTGTTTTTTGCACCAAATCAAACCATGGTTTAATGATTCTAGGGTCTTCTGAAAGGGCTCTCTGATAGTCGTATTTGCGAGAGAATCGAGTAGAGAGATTTGGGCGTCGTTTGATAAATTCAGCAGGCCAATGATTACCCACAGTAGAGGGCGTAGTTTTTCGGGCATAAAGTAGCAGATTAGCCATATCTCGCAACATAGGCAAAGTAAGAGCTGCCCCTCTAGAATCCATATCCAGTAGCCATTTTTCAATCGATCCTTCCTCAATTTCGGTGAAAATAAAGCGATTGTGTCGCTTTTCAGTAGCAGATTCACGCCCATTAATCCGTGCCTTCAAAGTTGAGACAGGGATATCAAAGGATCGTGCAGCAGCCGCAGCAGAGGGATATTTACCATCTTTTATAGCTTTTATAGCTAATAAAAGACGACCCTCCTGCTCTATTAGCTTTTTTTTCTTATCGGAGCGCTCAGGGGGCATTCTTGTTATGGTTGAAGAAGACGTATTAATATGGAAGTGGATTTTTGGTGGGGTCGCTCGCTCAACCGGGTCGCCCGCGCAACCGGACTTCACGTTAGTAGTTATTTCACGGGCGAGTGGCGCACCTCAAACACCATAGTAAATACGATAACGTACTACTCATTATCTCAACAACAGTAACCTATGGGAGCTTTTCCTTGAAGTTTAGTTTTCTCAATGTGATACATAGACCCTTTGAGGAGTTTTGAGAATTCTTTTGCCTTGATGACTGGATTATGTATATTTATCAGTTCAAGGATGAAATTCTCGGTATCGTGGTAAAAGAAGAGTTTGATATATTTCAACCTGATATATGCTTCTGATACTCTTTGTCTGTGTCTATAGGCTAGTCTAGGAATATCTTAGGACTAGTTGTGTTGAGATATTAGGGTAGTAAATATCGCGTTTACTATGGTGTTCGGGGGTGCGCCACTCGCCCGTGAAATACGTTATTTAGAGCACTTGGTGAGTCATGGCAGCCTTGGATTTCAAGTTTTAATAATGGCACCATCTGAATGGCTCGAGCAGAATGGCATGCATGTGAATTTGAAACGTTAATCTTCTGCTCAAGAATGGGGTCCAAGTTGATACTGACAATGAGAAAGAACATCACTATGAGGAAGCCAGAACAAAGAACTGATCCAGTTTCGATTCTTCGAAACTCGCAGACTTTGTATTGTTCAAATGACTGAAATATCCGATACAAAGACTAACAAATCTTCAGGCTCTGTAATTTTTTACTGAACTTAGACTTCAAGGTTTCAGCCAACTTCATCTTTATGTATATGGAGATACTCGTCAGGTCAACAAAGATGAATCTCGGATTTTTCGCCAGAACTGCTTTCTTAATGACACTGAAGGTTGTTGCTATATTTGATGAAACATCTGAAATTGGAAAGTTGAGCCTCTGAATCGTGGTCTTGAAGCCATGCCACTATTTCTGATCATCAGAGATGCCAATTTCGGCTTCAATCAATGAACCAAGGACACTTCTTTCTTCTATGCGTAATTTCAAGGCCCGGGGTTCGTGAGCCCTTCCCCGAAGAAATCCCAGCGCCACTTCCTGCTCCTGTTCCAGGAGCCCACCACGAGCCCGCTCGCGCATCAGCTGGCCGAAAGCGTGCTGCTTCTGATCCGGCTCCCAATTCTGCTTCGCGTAGAAAGCTGGTAAGGCTTTATTTCCCAGGAGAGGCCGAGAAGATAGAGGTCAAGATGCCTGATCCCAGGAAGGCAGAGACTGAGCTCTATAAGGACGTTATCAAGAAGGCAGAGGCTGAGCTCGAGAAGGCAAAGATTAAGAAGGAAACGCCCAAGAAGGAAACGCCCAAGAAGGCAACACCCAAGAAGGCAACGCCCAAGAAGGCAACGCCCAAGGTAACAACGCCCAAAAAGGCAGAGACTAAGAAGAGAGTGACCAGAAAAACCGAAAACCAAAGAGGAGCTCATGAAGCTAGAGGCCAAAGACGCGGACATTGAAGAGGACTCTGCTCTACCCAAAAATGTGCCACAGTCTCATTTGCCAAAAGAAGAGCTCAAGAAGCCAGGCAGAGGGACAGGTAAAGGCAAAAGAGCTGCGCCAGAAAGCGAAAATGAAGAAGCGAAACGTCAAAAGCGCTGATAGCATGACTTTGGTTCTGTCTTTGTTCTCAAGGGTTCAATGTTTCAAATGTTGGTTGTTTTTATCTTATATTTAGTTCATAAGCGCGTTATGTACGTTGTCCTTGTTTTGTATTCGCTGTATACGTTCTGTCATCTGAATTATCCTCTTTACTACTAGTAGTATCCTCTTTACTGGTATGAACGATCAAATTTCTAAAAAATAAATTATTTTTACTCCGGGAATGCGGTAGAAATTACAATAGTCTGAGTCGTCTGACAATAGGTAAACACTGCGCCGGATTCTCATCCATTGTTTGAGGCTACATGATCCTAGATCCTGGTCAGGCAGAGCCCTGAAGGATTATAATTGTACCTAATTACAATAGATGATTAGCAGGACATAACCTTCACATCAAATGACTATCTCCTAGTGTCTAATAGGAAATTTGAAAATAATATGTGATCAAGTCTCATGTCCACCAGTCCTCTCACAGTCCCACGTCAACTGTCCAGTCATTCCAAAATAAAGTAAAGCCCGAAGATCACTCGAATACTAGACAATTGACTCAATGGTAGATTGTAATTTGTAGATGGAACAACCTGGATCATTGTTCCAACAAAAAGAATCACCAGTCCGATGGCTACGCCTTTTTTGCGTCTAAGAATATTGGCCATGTATGAAGCTATGTGTCTCATCACTTGTGACCCAGGAGGAGGGGGGAGCCATACCGAATAACAACGAACAGGAATCGTCGATGTTCTGGATCGCGGTGAATATATATGATGTTCATCCGCTAGAACTGCAGAAGTCTGTACTGGTTGTTCTTCATCATTCACCGATATGTCCTATTGTGGATCAAGAACGATACAGAAAGATTTCCACAAGCAACGCTGCGACAAGCCGGTGGCGTGCTGGAATCCGTTAATGCCTTGTCGATTCCCCACGAAGAAGCTCCTGAGGCAGACGCAAAGGCATTCGGTCGCCTCTTGGCACACCCGAAAGCGATGGATGGCCCACACTCCACTATTGTCATGGTACAGGTCGAAATCGAGACAAGTCTAGTAAGGGATTCTCGAGAAGGATCCGTCGCCGCGGAGAAGCGCTTCGCCGCACCACTCCCGGTCAACCTCCTCCACTTCCTAGCTCAAGATTGGGAAATCTACAAGTCGACCTAAAAGCAAACTGGAACGTCAATCTCAATCTCAATCCCGAACACCCGGAACATGGACTGAAGTCTTCGGTCCAGGCCCACGCACAAACGAGCCCGTCATGGCATACCACTACGCGAAATACGTCAACCAAGTCGCTGAAGCCGAGAAATGCGAATGACCACTCCCGCTCTACATGAATCTCTGGCAAAAGTACGTCGGCGACAACGGCGACAACAATATCCCCGTTGTGGTCGGCGGCGGGAATCCAGGCGATTACCCGTCGGGAGAAGGCACAAGCAACTTGCTCGATATTTGGCAGAAGTTTGCACCAGCGTTGAAGTTATCGCACCAGATGTCTACTTGAACGATTACAGTAGTTCCTGTCACAAATAACGACACCGGGATCAGGCGTTGTTTAATCCGAGCAGCGGAGTGATGAGTACGGTGCGAGGCGGATTTAGGCGGCGTATGGTTCGGATCAGGCTATGGGGGTTTCTCCTTTTGGAGATGATAAGCAAGTGCCCGGTAGGAATCCTTTTACGATGCGTTACGGTCTGCTGCAGTCTGTTGCTTCAATTGAGCTGGAGGCACAGACTAGTCCTGGGGCGCCTGTTGGGTTTTACTTTTGGGACTGATCTTTCGAAAACGTTTGACAGGTGCTGGGGTGGGTATGAGATGAGTATGAAGCGGTACTTTGTCTTTGAAAAGCCGGGTCCTGGTGCTGGGATGGTCATTCATCTTGGAGGGCCGAGGTTTCTGTTGATTGGGTGGGGATTCCAGGCGCGAGCACGGGCGTGGTCATTTAGTTTCACAGGATTCTTGAGTTTCCGGGAGAAGGTGGTGGACAAAGGGGAAGTACGGCTTCTGCGGGTGTTGAATGGGGATGAGGCGAGGAGTGGAAAGTTTGCGATGATGCCGAATGAGGATTCGGACTGCGGCGGGTTCCCGATCTGTATGACTATATCTGCTCGTACGAAATAGCGGAGTTGGAGGTTTACAGTTTCGATTGAGTAAACTAGATATGTCATTATGTGGCTTATTAATTAAACGGGGGTTAAAATGATCGACAAGTGCCGTTTTCAAAGTTTTCCCAGTTGCTGGATAAGGCAAGGCTATGCAGGCATCCGGTTAGCAATTCCGAGGCTACCATCACCTGCACGCGATCTCCGTTAGACCCGCAAAGACTGGAAAATGGAAAATGAAGATGAAAGGGAATAGTTTCGTCACGAAAGTCAAATTCAAACTCCCAACTCTTGCCGGGTGCCGGGCACAGCTTACAGCGCACATCGAACCCAAAAATCAATAATGGAACAGGTCCAATTCCCAATTCATCCCGGAACAGTAGTTTCACTCCAGCAATCTCCGAGTCAAAAAAAGCCTAGACCTTCTGATTCGGCGTATCGAGTTTAATATCCCAATCGCGGTGTTCACCCGAGAACCTCACACTTGGGATATAAGCGAGCCCCAGTTTCAGGGGCATGATGCCATGATCGCCGTCTAAGGTGATTAGCTCGCGGTCCTGATCTTAACAGGGTCGACTCCACTCATTAATCAAAACAAAAACCTTGAAGAAACCGACGATCAGATCTGGACTTTCATTGCGGAGCGAAGACCCACTAATCCAGATTGGGAAGGTCATTCTAATACCTGTTAACACCTGTTAACACCTGTTTAGTGACTGAGAGTACGGATAGTTCGGTCGCATATCCGGATCTTCACAAAAGTACTGTACATTTCAAATGCATCGAAGTATTCAAATCCTCGAGATGTCAGATTCATTGTGCTACCTGTCGATTTCCCATGTGAAACGATCCGATGATTGGGGCGGGGAATGACATTTTCGGTTCCATGGATCAATCAGCTAGTTGTGGTTGTTTATTGTGAAAAATGATGCGTGTCCAGGAACCTTTGTACCGTAGTCTGGGAGAAAGTCTACCTGTCAAAAGTTTTTTTTTTTTTTTTTTTTTCTTTTGGGTTGTCTTTGTGTAGTGGCGTTGCGAGGCTCCGGTCGATTGCGTGGTCCACCCCACACAGAATCAAAGACGTTATAGGCCCTGACGAATGACTTCACTTCAGCTGATCTATATTTGTATTTGTAGATCATGTGCATGACGAGTAATTGCCATCGGGGGCAATGTTACTGTATGGACGCGTGGGTGTGGGCATGGGTGTGGTGTATCCGCGAGTCCGCAAGACCGCGCGTAAGGCGTGTATAGCGTTTCAATCTCCTTTGACAGGGATGTGAAAATATGTCGAAGGTTTATCTCCGTACAAAGAAACCCATGGAATGTACTCGGATGCTTGGAGAGATCCCGGTGGACGGGGGACGGGGAAGAGGAGAAGCGAGCTGGAAAAGCGGCTTAGCGGCTTAGCGGCATGAGAAGTGGAGAATAGAAGGACCAACGGTTGACTTTTCCTCTTTTTGGCTCAATCCCGGCTGGATGCATTGGGTGGAGCTACCAGAAAGGCGAAACCCAAGAGTTTGTTAGGAATCATATCCACTAAAGTCCAGACTGGACTTCATAAACGTCTTTCCCCCTCAATCCACTCATTTTCCCACATTCCCTCTTTCGACCTTCCCTCTTCTCTTCCACTCTTCCCTTCCACTCTCTCCATATCCCTTTTTCTCTCTTTAACCCAACCTTCTTTTCTCCTTTATCCCTGTACCTTTGTCCTTTGCCTCGGTTGAGACAAATCTATTCATTCAGCCGCGTCTTAAATCACATTACATCTGCAAGGGACGTGTGAAAAGAAAAGCCATTCCAAGACATTTCAGCCGTCAAGCCACTCTATTCGCCACTTCCACTGTGGATTATGCACAGTGTAACTGAGATTTGATCCAGTGTCGCCTTTCCTTTGCTACACCTTGCTCAACGTCACGTCAACTTACACATCTTACCCCTCGTTCCTCGAGTGGTTAGATATCCCAGCCCGCTTGAAAATACTGTGGTGACTACTTATGTACCTGGTCTTGTCTGTTCTTTACTCTTCCCATAACTCCAATCCCAATCCAATATTTGCCCACCATGTCTGAATCGCCTCTCGACAATCCCAATGGCCGCGGCCTTACTTGGATCTTCGATCATTGTCTGCGTTACCCGGCTTCTTATGAGATCCCTCTCCGCACTATGTACACCATCAACTGCAACCCCGTCAAGAATCCCAAGGGCCCGGAAAAAGAGAATGCCTGGGAAAAGTCCCCACGCGACTCCAGCTCCGCCAAGTCATCTAGCTCAAGCGACTCCATCGATGCTAGCGCCGACTTTCGCTCGCAGCTCATCCACCAAATCTCTCGCCTGCCCTCGCAGCCCTGCAATCTACCCCCGGTCTTCCTTACTTCTTTCTTGCGCCGGGTCTGGACCCCCGAATTAGAAGATATCGATTTTCCCCAGGCTTTGACTTCCCTGGACTACCTGAAAGATCTGAATGGCCGCTGGCAGAAGGAGATGAGCAATGCCACCCATCGTCTGAACATCACGCGCAGTGATGCTGAGGACCCCGTGCACTCTGGCTTGGCCCTGAACTACCCCGGTGTCATGGCTTGGCTGGATAATATGAGTGCCAAAGGACGTACTATGGAGGCTTTGTACACTCAGATCTGGGTCGGTCTGCGTCGTTGGGTATGTTTTTAACTTTCTTCCCCACTATTCGTCCCACATTACTAATGTTTCTAACAGACTCTGATCAATGAAATGATCCTTGAACCCACTGACAAAGTCGCCCACATCGCCATGCTTAACACTCTCTTCCCGCCGGTCACGGATAAGACCATCACCCCAACCTCCCACTTGACCCCTCATATTCTCAAGGCGCAGCGGAACGGTTTCCTCAAATACATCAACGGTGTCGCCAAGAAAGGTCTTGAGGTTTTGACCCCAGTTCTCGAGCAGGGCGCTCCCGCGGGCGGGAAGACCAACTGGCCTATTATCTTCGACTCTCTCGACAAATATTTGACCATGGCCCAGGAGATGATCGATGAATGTGTCTTGATTCTCGAGCCAACCAATCTTGAGCAGGCTCAAGCTCCTCAGTCTCCCCACCGTCACAAGGGTCGCAAGGTTGATTCGGGAATCAGCTTTACTTCCGCCAGCAATCTTAACCTCTCTGAAGAATCCCCGGAGAAGCCTCTCCCCAACTTCCCCCTCCCCAGTCCCACACATCAGGCCAAGTCCGCTGGTTCGACTCTAGAACGCCTGGCCACTGAGCTCCGCCGACTGGGTTTCACCAAGAGCAAAAACCTGAAGAAAATGAAATCTACCACCACCTTGGGTACCCGTCCCAGCAGCCAAGACAGCTATGCCGAGACCTCATACTTTGAAATCGACGAGCAGAAGCGCCGCCGTCTAATTGGTGAAGCTACCAGCCGCCGCAAGAACTCACAGGCTTCAAATTCCAGCCTCCGTTCTCAGTGAGGTCACTCCTGGTCCGTCTGTCTTCTTGACACGACGTCTCTCTTAAGCGTGGACTCCGGATGTATCTTCTTTTTTTCTGCACAAGACTCGGCGTCTTTAACATGTACAAAGGGACCTTGCATATGGTCGGATACTTTTTCTTTTTTTTCCTCTCTGTGGAGTTATGGCGTATGGACATTGCATGGTATCGGAGGCAAAAAGTCGGCGCGTGGGAACGTTTTACTACGAAATTATGTCTTACGGATTACAAAAAACGGCAGCTAGCTGTCGCTCGGATTGAACCGGATTCAACTGAAAATCAAATAAAAATGAAAAGAAAATTACCATTGACTTCTATTAGTTCAGTAGATGAGGATAAAGATGAAGTAAACTGCACATGTTGCTCTATCGTTTGCCGTAGAAGCTGCGATAAGAGATAAGATGATAACCAGGTGTCCAGATCGTCATGTTTACCGTCGTTGCTAAATAAGGTGACTTTTTTTTAATCAATTACATATCTCTCTCCATTGAGACTTCATCACTTTCCAAGGGGCCCGGTCCCCCATACCTATACTTTGTTCCTTCCCGGCAGGATGCGGACCAAATCCATCCTGTCATGGCGTTGGTACGCCGCCATCGCAGCCACATTACCAGCCTGGATAGCAAATGCTAGCCCATCTGTCAATGTTGCTCTCCAAGCATCATTCGATGCATCCCCATATCTTGTGGAGCTTCTGTAAGCTAAGAGCCCTCGGTGTCAACAAAGACTAATGTGTGCTAGTGAATCCGCCGCAGAGGAAAACGCCACATCATACTTCCCTTTACTCGATCGGATCGCCGGCGGAGCCTTTGAAGATGCCGCTACTGAGAAGGAGCTCTACGATCGCTTCTTACAGGTCGTTCATGAAGATGGACACCTCCGCACCCCCGAAGCTCTCTCCTCCTTTAAATTGTCGCTTGCGGTTCGATCCTCTGCGCCGCGCATTCAGGCCCATTACCAGTTCTACAATACTTCTGTTCAGCATTCGTTGATGGTGGCTCAGGATGCGGTTTGTCCGGTTTGGGTTCATACCGATGGGAAGCAATACTGTTCTTCGGCTATGGAGCGCGCGCAGCAGGATGTCCAGGGAGAATTGTATGTGAATGGATATTGATCTGTGGAATGGTGGCTAACTTGAGTTCTGACACAGAGACCCTAGAGAACTTCCCTTCGATCGAGTCTTTGGCGATGCATCACTACCCCCGGCTGTACTTTATGCGGACATCTCCGCGCCCATGTTTAAGGAATTCCACGAGACGTTGACCGATATGGCGAAAGAAGGTCAGATTTCATACCGTGTGCGTTACCGGCCGCCACAGCACTGGGTCTCTCGTCCTTTGTTTGTCCCTGGATATGGTGTGGAACTGGCTTTGAAGCGTACGGATTATATTGTGATCGACGATCGGGATGCTGAGCAGCGAGGCGGCGAGGAGAAGCTGGCAGACTCTTTGGACGAGTTGAAGGAGGATGCTCCGGATGACTTGCGACCTCTCTCTGCATCGGAGGTTTCAAGGCTGGGTTGGAACACTGCAGCCTACGTTCTGGACAGCGAGAACCCACTTGATACATTGATTAAGCTTTCTCAGAACTTCCCCAAGTACTCATCTGTTGTGGCTGCTCACAATGCTACTGTTCCACTCAAGAGGGAAATTCGCGCTAACCGGGCACGACTGATTGCCGCTGGTGCTAATGCTATGTGGATTAACGGTGTCCAGATTGACCAGCGCCAGATTGATGCTTTCTCTCTCCTCGATCACCTTCGTCGGGAGCGTAAGTTGATTGAGAAATTCCAGGCCTTGGATTTGTCTGCCCAGGATACCGTGAAGCTTCTCTCACACCCTGTCCTGGCGGAGGCGCAAGCAGAGAATGATGCCCAGCGATACGACTACCGAGACGAACTGGAGGGTGGCGAGGTTATTATTTGGATGAACAATCTTGAGAAGGACTCAAGGTACCAGGAATGGCCCGGTGAGCTGAAAGCATATATCCAAAATGCCTACCCCGGCCAGTTACCGCCTGTAGCCCGCGACTTGCAAAATGTGGTGGTTCCTGTTGATTTGTCAAAGTCAGAGGATATGCTGCTGGTCCTCCAGCAAATTCTCACATTCATTAAGCGTGGTATTCCTGTGCGATTCGGATTGGTGCCCACTGCGTCGTCACCAGAGTCTATCGCGCAGCTCAAAGTGGCGCACTATCTTCAGGACACTTTTGGACTCTCAGCTTTTATTCAGTACTTGGAGGAGGTGAGTTTCTATTCTATTTTGCTCCGACTGGTCCTGATATCAATCTTTTAGTCTGCCTCAAAAGCGAAGGCAGGGAACCCGGATAAATCCGTGTTCGCCTCTGTCATCAAGGAGCGAACGCCACGTACGGACAAGGAAGTCATGTCTCTGGAAGAAGTGCAAAAGCACGAACATTACAGCGCTATCGCAGATCGTGCATGCAGCTATCAGAGCCGTCTGAGCCTTAATGTTGATGAGCCTCATTTCCTGGTCAATGGAATTCCAATCTCCCGCGAAGGGAACTGGATGCAGGAGATGAGTATGCAGATCGGCAGAGACTTGAAGCTAGTTCAGCAGGGTATCGTTGAAGGAGTCTTTGAAGAGAACGCCTGGCTACCAGCCTTCTTCTTGGCGACATCATTTGAGAGACGTAACACTTTCTTGATGCCTGAAGACCCCAAGAGTGTACACATCGTGGACCTTTCTACGTTTTCTGGGTCTGATTCAGAAGTCTTGGCTAATATGCCTCGTATTCCATCTGAAAAGTGTGCATTGGATAGTGTCAACATCATTGCTGTGGCAAACTTCAATTCTGGAGAGGGATTGAAGATGTTGACCGATCTACTGAGCTTCCGAAAGGAGCATGAAGAAGTTGAGATTCTCCTGCTACACAAAGGCAATTTCGACTCTGAGGGATCCAATATTGATAAAATCCAGAAGGCGCTTGTTGCGGGTGGCCTCGACCAACTGCTGGCTGTTCTTAGCTCACTGGATGTGTCGTTCTCGGAACTGGACAGCAAAAAGACCCTTGGTGATCGCCGAGACTTTATTAAGAAGCTTGGCTTCTGGAACTCTGATGGTGTTGTCGTCAATGGAAGAGTAGTCGCCATGCTAGAATACAATATCGGTGTGAGCGAGCTAGCTCAAGTCGTTGCATATGAAAACAGCAAGCGCATCGAACCAGTTGCAAAGGCTGCGAAGAATCTCAAATTGGACTCGAAATTCTCTACACCATTTGACTTTGCCAAGCTTACTTCTTTGATTTCTTTATCGGCGGCGGCTGATATCCCCGAGGGAATGTTCGAAAACACCCCCGACTATAGACTGGATGTGTCGGATAATTGGAGGACAGATCATTCTGTGATCACCATTTCCAACTCTGACGATCCTGCAATCAATGTTGTGGTTGTTCTCGACCCTGCATCTGAGATGGCTCAAAGATGGCTACCTATACTCAAAGTCCTGTCTGAATTGGCTGGAGTCCAGCTGAAGATCTTCCTAAACCCCAAAGAGGAAATCAAGGAGCTCCCCGTCAAGCGATTCTATCGCTATGTTCTAGAATCTGAGCCCACGTTTACCAGTGATGGTGCCCTGTCGCGCCCCCAAGCTTCTTTCTCGGGAGTGCCCGTCGAAGCGTTGCTTACACTGGGCATGGACGTGCCTACTTCATGGCTTGTTGCTCCCCAGGACTCCATCCATGATTTGGATAACATCAAGCTGAGCTCGCTCAAAAGTGACACGAATGTTGATGCTATCTATGCCCTGGAGCATATCTTGATCGAGGGCCATTCCCGCGATCTTACCACCAAGACTCCACCGCGTGGTGTCCAGCTCATACTGGGTACCAAGGAAAACCCTCACTTTGCTGATACCCTCATCATGGCCAATCTCGGTTACTTCCAGTTCAAAGCACAGCCCGGTCTTTGGCAAATCAACCTCAAGCCCGGTCGCAGCGAGAAGCTCTTCGACCTCGAAGACATCGGTAGCTCCGGATATCACGAGCAACCCGGAGAGCAAGTCCACGAAGTCGCCCTGCTATCATTCCAGGGTCGCACTCTCTTCCCTCGTCTGTCCCGGAAACCAGGATATGAAACCGAAGATGTCCTAGAAACAGGCCAACAAGGATCAGCCATGGGTCTAGTATCAAAGGGACTCAACTTCGCTTCCGGTGTCCTTTCCAGCGTTGGCGTCGGCTCCAAGTCTGAAAAACATGCCGACATCAACATCTTCTCCGTGGCAAGTGGTCACCTCTACGAGCGCATGCTCAACATCATGATGGTCTCCGTCATGCGACACACCAAACACACTGTTAAATTCTGGTTCATCGAACAATTCCTCTCCCCATCCTTCCGCACCCTCCTCCCCCATCTCGCCGCCGAATACGGCTTCTCCTACGAAATGGTCACATACAAATGGCCACACTGGCTCCGCGCCCAAACCGAGAAACAGCGCGAAATCTGGGGCTACAAGATACTCTTCTTAGATGTCCTCTTCCCCCTCTCCCTGGAAAAAGTCATCTTCGTAGACGCAGACCAAATTGTCCGAACAGACATGTACGACCTCGTCACTCACGATCTTCAAGGCGCCCCATACGGCTTCACACCAATGGGCGACTCCCGTACCGAAATGGAAGGCTTCCGCTTCTGGAAACAGGGCTATTGGAACACATATCTCCGTGGGAAACCGTATCATATCTCGGCTCTGTATGTTGTCGATCTCAACCGCTTCAGGGAACTGGCGGCTGGTGATCGATTGCGAGGCCAGTATCAGATGCTCTCGGCTGATCCGAATAGTCTCAGTAATCTGGATCAGGATCTGCCTAATCATATGCAGCATCATATTCCTATTCATAGTCTACCGCAGGAGTGGTTGTGGTGTGAGACTTGGTGTGCTGATGAGGATTTGCAGTCGGCGAAGACTATTGATTTGTGTAACAACCCGTTGACTAAGGAGCCTAAATTGGAGAGAGCGAGGAGACAAGTTCCTGAGTGGACGGTTTATGATGATGAGATTGCTGCGCTGGCGAAGAGGGTTGCTGAGGAGAAGGTTGAGTTTGTGCATGACGAGGAGGGTGATGATGTTGAAGACGAAGGGAAAGATGAGCTATAGATGGATAGCATCCTTCAGCCTCTCGAGATTTTTTTGGTATAAGAGTTACCACAGTGAAAAGCGTTCTTGTTCAATATTGCTTAGAACAATCATAGGCTAATGCATATTATCATTGTTACATGTACATCATCACATCCACATAACCCCCTTAAATCGCATTCACCGGAACCAGCCTGTTACTCTGTGATGATAGATTTCCGCTTCTTCTTCTTGTGAGAATCAGTAGATGTTCGCTCTTCACCAGCATCCGTAGACTTGCGACTTTTCTTCTTCGACTTGGGTGTGGCGGTATTTTCAGCTTCAGCTTCAACATCGACAACTGAGCTCTTGTGTTTCTTGCTCTTTTTATCCTTCTCCTTAAGACTCTCGATTGGGATGCTTCCCTCAATCGCAGCCACAAGCGCATTAGATTCCCTTCGCTCTCGACGCTCTCTTTTCCTCTTTTCTTTTTCGGCCTTTTTGGTCGCCTTTTGTTCGGCCTTTTGTGCTGCCTTATCCTCGGCGTCTGAGGAAAGAGGACTTGATGGCTCAGCGGGTTCATTCAACTCGAGGTGCTTCTTCTTTGGTGGGTTTGCGGGGCTGCTTGGTGTGGAGGTAGCGGGAGAGCGGATTTCGTGTTTGTGTTCAGCCTGAGAGTCCTGCTCGGTGGTCGGCTGGGAAGTTGGTGCCTCTTCTGAAGCTGGTGTCTGGGTAGCATCGGCAAATATACCAAGACCGTTGATGGGTGCGGATGTCTCGATTTTGTCCTTGGGGTTGTCGTCGTCTTCGTCGTCGTCACCGACCAAGTATGCGCTTTTCGGCGTAACGGATCCTGATCCCCATCGAGTACGCTTGTTGGCAGCCTCGACGGGATCATACACGGCATCTGGGTTACCGGTGGCACGCATGACCTCTACGGATCTTCGAATCTTGCGCCATTTGTCCGCGCATTGTTGGCGCGATCGCACATTTCCCATGTCATCGCTAATGACACCCCATCTGAGGTGCTTCTCCGGTAACTCATACATGTCCTTTCCAGCAGTATCACGATCGATATTATAGGCTGAGATCCAGATCTTCTGGATTGCGTCCATCAGAGAACGTAATTCCTCCTCAGACCATTTGCCTCGGTTCATCTTCCCGCGATGTTCCAGCTGGTTCTTCCAGCGCTGCGTCACATCGTCGTCGCTGCGACCGAGAAGCTTGGCAACGTACGCCCATCTGCCTGGATGTTGGGTCATAAGAGTGACGAGCTCTTTATCTTGTTCTGGAGTCCATTCGTGTGGTTTCTGCATTGAATCCTGGAAGTGTCGTCGCATGAACCGGTACAAAGATCGCCGGTCTCGATCGGGGACGAGGTCGTAAATTTGGGTCCAGAATTCGGTCTTAGTGCACACGTCTGCTGGGCACGGCCACTCGCCGCCTTCACGCTCGGAATGCTGGACCATTTCGTCAAATTTCTTGTGATCTGTGAACCCATGGAGGTTACAGAAATTGACCTTGAATGTCTCCAGTGCCGACACTTCTTCTTTGACGAAGAAGCCTACTTTCATGTTGTTCTTTCCACCGATGCGAGACCCGCGGATCTTCTTCACTTTCCCTGTGCTGGTGGTTTCAGTGTTGGCCTCTGATGTAGCGTCTTGAGGGGGGCTATCCGCGTCATTCTCTGTAGATTTTTGAGGCGCCTTTGTCGCAACAGATTCAGATTGAGGCAGCTCATCTTCTACAGGGTTGACCGAAGGATCGCCGTTCTCCAACTCATTGCCAGTCGAACGGTGCTTGTGCTTCTTCTGCTTCTTGTGACTCGATTCGGAACTTCGCTTTCGCTTCTTCTCATGGGGTGATTCTTCGAGGGTCGGAGAGGGGGTCCGACTATTTGGATCTGGCACGGCAGAGGAGTCCTTGTTCTTGGACGTGCGCGACTTCTTACGCTTCTTTACGTCCATTTCGGATTTGATTTTGGGCGATTGATCAACTTGAAACGATTACAGTAAGTATGGGTATGACCATGGAATAAGAAAATCCATACAAACCTTCCATATTGGCTTCATCCATTTCTTGAGACGGAGCCAGTTTCGTGTTGCGTCTAGAGGATCAAGTCGAATCACGCGAATCAAAAATTAGGCTCGGACTGGCAAAATTGTACACCGCCATGTGAGGGGCCGCATTGACTTGGATGTTAAATGCAGGCACGGTTACATGCATGTCAATCCATTACATACTTCCAGAAGTTCATTATATGCCAATTGCATCTTGGAATGGTTTATCTATATACAATATTAAACAAGTGATAGCCTTGTCCAGGCAACAAGGGCTATACAAGTAATTTTCCTTAAATATTCAATATTTATGCATTCAGCCTAGCCTGGCTGAGTCCGGGTATGCCTAGTAGCCTACCATGCCTTAATTGAGGCTTCATTGGGCAGCTGTATTGCCCTTCGCAGGTGGCATTCAGGCATGGCTGGCGCCATTATCATGCATGCCTTAATGGCTTCGAGATCGGTAAGGTGGGGAAGATTGGAAAAGCGATAGATCATCTCAGCCAATTCGCTGCTTACGTCTCACCCAGACTTCCTTGTCATCATTTGGAGTCTCCGCGGTCGATGGAGGCTCTCGCAAGTCTATCTCCCAGATTTTGAGGTTATAGTTGCCTCGGTCTCCCTTGCCAGTGAAAAGGTCGAAGGACCAGCCATGTTTGGGACACGTCAGTCCGGTGCTGAGTTTGATACCGAAATCCTCGATATCGAACAATTTACCCTGCGAGAGAGGGAAGGACGAGTGTGGGCATTGCTTATTTGAATGGTCAGTGTGCGTTCCAACTTTCATGGATTGTAAACGCCTACATGATCAACGGCATGGACTTTTCCTTTATATTTGAACACCAGAACTTGATCCTTCAAATCAATTGAGGAATCCAGATCTGCTTCTTCTGGAGCCTTGGGGTCTGACGATCCATCCTTGGGAATGTTGAAGGCTTTGCATTTCGGGGCCATCCGATAGCCGTCGTCATTCTCGAGTTCCGGTAGTGCGGATACAAGGCCAATTCGGTGCCAGGCCTTAGCGGCCCGTTGTTGGTGAAAGGGATTCATATCCTTTCATTTGGTGTGACCGGTATTTGAAGGTTGATAACTTGCCTTCCGGGTACCTGAATCCGACTCAATTGCCGTTGAGATTACGTAACGGTTCCAAGATGCCAGGGATCACTATAGAATCCAATCTCGACCTAGTTGTTCAAATGCTTCTGTCCAAAATTACGTTATTACTTCACATTCTGTGTTCTCGGTGAATATCAGGATTATTGCATAAGAATGTTGAATCGACATTGAAGTCTTCAATCATGAAAATAAGTCATAATTTCTTGAATGGAATAGAATGCTTGATGCAGAAATTACTGTACATGTTGCTCATGGTATACCAGGAAAAAACACCTTTCCGAAACCTTGAATCCAGACTCCTCAAACCAGACCATTCATGAGCTCTCATCAAGCTAATTTCATGGACCGAAGGATTTTGGTAACCAGCTTCTTTTGATCCGCAGGGTTCAGATTGTGCTCATCTGTTGCTTGCAAGCACCGTCCGACGGCAATCGTAGCATTGGTCTCAATATCCCCAGCATTCGAGCAGTCCACCCAGACTTTTCCATTGCGTCCAACGGCCATTTCAAATCCTCCAATACTCTCAAGCTTCTTTCCAAGCTCAGTAAGAACAGTAAGTCCATCAATAGCATCTTCGTCAGAAGAAGAGGAGCTGGCTCGAAGCAATCGCATAGCCATACCCGTTGAAATATCAAACACCATGCCACCGTTCAAAGGACCCATACCACCCGGGTCTGACTTTCCAGTTGCTGGGTGAACGCAGGTAATTTCGACCTCAGCGCCAGCGCCAAGGCCCACGGACAAAACTCGTGCGTAGACCAAATCGCCCCCCTTCAGCTGTGGCCTTGTCTTTTTTGTTGCGCCCTCAAATGACAGCTGACCAAGGAGTGCTTGTGCGGTGTGCGGTGTGATCATACAGTGGAAGAAGTCGACGCTGGAGTGGTGAACCTGTGCGACGACCAGATCGTTGACTGCGGGCATATAGCGGCGATTGGGGAAGGAGAGAAGCGAGACAGTATTTCGCTTGGCATCAGTTGTCAAGAGACCAGCGGTTGTTGCTGTGATAACATGGTTTGATGATGAAGGCTTCGCGGAAGGTTGTGATAGCAGGCGGAGGCCGGGGCCTACTTTAAGAGGATTGGACGAGTTTGGGAGTTGATCATTGGGCACTTGATCGCCAGGAAGCAGGAAAAGTGGGGTCGACATGATGTCAATCAGGTATCTGGGAGCTTCCCAAGTTCTGTTGACAGAGGAGAAGAAGGGAAATTGGTGACTTAAGTAATGGAGGGGAAAGAGCTATATGACTTGGGTTTGCAGGAAGAAAACTGCTTATCTCCTTATCACCACGTGATAGTTTGATGGTTTGGCAGAATTTGATTGACAAGATATTGAGATGAAAGATAGTAAATATATTAGAGATGAGTACTGATCTATTTAGAAACATTGTGCATACTGGCACAAAACTATCCATTGAATCATGAGTACTACGAGTTACTAGTTACTGTTATTGTCCTTATTCTATAGATCAAAGATTTCTTGTACTGTACCGCCACAATCCATATCGATAAGCACAAGCCACTTTCCGCCGAAAATCTTCAAATTTTTCGGTTTGGTTCTTCCCCTCCATCGAGAAATTTCCCTCCGATCATCCCTTGAATTCTCTCCGTCCATTGTGTCGCGGACTCTACCTATATTTTAAATCTAGAATTTTTTCACACTTTATCAAAATGGGTGACTCAAACGGTGTCGTTGAGGCTGAGCGCTTCGCTATCGGTATCTCTTTCGGCAACACATCCAGCTCAATTGCCCGTATTTCGCCTGTACGTGGAAATCATTGCAAGACATCTTGTACAGAAACTGACAAAGTCACATAGGAGGGCAAGGCTGAAGTTATCGCCAACGAGGAGGGAGGTATGTTTTTCGAATTTCCATACTCGACTGTTCAAAGACACAGAACTGACCATTTTCAGACCGTCAAATCCCCAGCATCCTCTCTTACATCGATGGTGAGGAGTACCACGGTACTCAGGCCAAGGCTCAGCTCATCCGCAACTCTTCCAACACTGTCGCATACTTCCGGGACTACTTGGGCAAGGAGTTCAAGTCCATCGACCCTACCCCGGCCCACGCCTCCGCCCACCCCCAGCAGAGCGAGTCCACTGTCGCTTTCACCATCCGTGACAGCGCCAGCGAGACCCCCAACACAGTCACCGTCTCAGAGATCACTACCCGCCACCTCCGCCGCCTGAAGCAGTCTGCCTCCGATTTCCTCGGCAAGCAGGTCAACGCCGCAGTCATCACCGTCCCTACCGACTTCACCGATGCTCAGCGCGAGGCTCTCATCGCTGCCGCCAAGGAGGCCGGCATTGAGGTTCTCCAGCTCATCCACGAGCCTGTCGCCGCCGTCATGGCTTACGATGCTCGTCCCGAGGCTACCGTCACTGACAAGCTGGTCGTTGTCGCTGACCTTGGTGGTACCCGCTCCGATGTGGCCGTCGTTGCCTGCCGCGGCGGTATGTACACCATCCTGGCCACCGCTCACGACTACGAGCTTGGTGGTGCTTCGCTGGACCAGATCATCATTGACCACTTCGCCAAGGAGTTCGTCAAGAAGCACAAGGTTGACCCCCGCGAGGACGCCCGTGGCCTTGCCAAGCTCAAGCTCGAGGGTGAGGGCACCCGCAAGGCTCTCAGCCTGAGCGCCAACGCTCAGCTGAGCATTGAGTCTCTGGCTGCCGGTATTGACTACAACTCCACCATCAACCGCACTCGCTTCGAGCTCCTCTCCGCCAAGGTCTTTGCCCAGTTCACTGGCCTGATTGAGCAGGTTGTCAAGAAGGCCGGTCTTGATGTCCTTGACATCGACGAGGTCATCTTCTCCGGTGGTGCTTCGCACACCCCCAAGATCGCCCAGCTGGCCCAGAACATCTTCCCCGAGACTACTACCATCTTGGCCCCCTCCACCACCACCACCGCCATCAACCCCTCTGAGCTGGCCGCCCGTGGTGCCGCTTTCCAGGCCTCCCTGGTCCAGGAGTTCGACCACGAGGATGTTGAGCAGTCTATCCACCCCATGGTCACTGTCACCCCCCACCTGACCAAGCCCATCGGTGTCGAGTTCACCTCCGGCAGCGAGACTTCCTTCCAGCCTCTCCTCGCTTCCGAGACCGCTCTCCCCGCCCGCCGCATCGCCCAGTACTCCGTCCCCAAGGATGGCGGTGATGTTCTGGTCCGCGTGTGCGAGGGCTCTCGCGACATCAAGGTCACCAAGCCTGAGCCCAAGCCCAAGCAGGAGAAGCCCGCTGATGATGAGGACTCTGACTTCTCTGACGATGAGGAGGAGGAAGAGATCCGCGAGATTGTGTGGCAGACCGAGAGCCCCGTCGCTGAGCTCGCCGTCAAGGGCGTCAAGGCCGGCGGCAAGGTCGAGGTCATGGTCCACGTCAACCCCGATCTGGGCCTCCAGATTGCTGTGCGTGAGGTCGGTGGCCAGACCGCTGTCCGTGGTGCCATCAACGGCTCTGCTTAGATCAAATTTCCCGTTCGATCTCATAAAAGAATTCGATCTCCTTATGGTGTGATGATGCATGCATGATTGATAGAGGCTTTTTGATGTTCCCGTCATTATCTCGTTGGAGTCACACGCTACCTTTGTTATCTCGTTTTATTTCCCCGTTCCATTTTCCCTATATAGACCCTCGATTGGAAGTGGCCAATGAACATGACTTTCCGAATATATTGTCCGCGTAGTTTAGATAAAGTTCCAGGGGTTCGATAAGTGCCGCATTCCCACTAGATGTTCGACCTGCTGTGATTTACCAGATGACAGATCTTTTACTATGATAACGAAGTTTAGAACACATTATATTCAATCCACGACTGATTAAGATAGGGGCACATAAGATAAATATCAGATCCAACTCCAGAAACAAGTGTTGCTGAACCGCAGAGGTCAACATTTGGGAGGAAATGGCAAAGATGAAACATAGATTGCAGTAGATTAGGGTGTATGTAACGATCGTGGGTATTTCGTGCCGCATCAAGCGAGTGAATTAGTGGTACACAGGGAAAGAGAGAAATCATTCAAACATAAACCAACGAGGCTAAAGCAGGTTGAGAGAGATACACACCAACGCGATGTATATCTCGGGGAATATCAACGCAGAAGGGAAATCGTGTACGAGTCGAAACAGCATGTTTCAGAATTTGACGTTGAGAGTATTGAATGGTCAACGTGGTGGTCCTGATTAGACCAGAGAGTTTCCAGGGGATCCTTTGCACTCTGTCAAGAATGCATTTATTCGTAGGTGGTGGGACCCTCCTCCTCTCGCTTCTGGCTATGGACACTGTTGGACCGGGCCGAGGAGAAGAAACCGCGACGGCGCTCCTTACGTCCGCTGTAGCCCTTACCACTATCTTTACGACCAACTGCACCACCGAGACAGTAGCACAGACAGGAAAAGAACAGGCATACGCTGGCGGTCCACATGAAGGCGAAAGCTTTGACACCCAGCCTGGAGGTCTGGCCATTGCTTTGGAAGGCATTGCGGCCCTGAACGAAGACGGCACTGTATGAGATTAGTATATGCCAATTTAGAAGTGAATTAAATGGTTCGATGGAGAGACATACGTCATCAGACAGGTCGTGATCACTTGGAAGGTCAGAGCAAGCCATGCAAAGAAACCCGAAATATAGCTGCCAATGCGAGTGCACATAGCCAGGAATCCACTGAAGAGCGAGACGACGGCGAAGAAGAGTCCAATGATGATGAACGGGAACATGAATCGGGAAGTCAAGTAGTAGTGCTTGGTTCTATAATCTGTTAGAAAAAGTTCCCTGCGTGGCCGCCTGTTGGTCCTACATACCCGATGAATTGATGAGGGATATTGTCGGTGGTGTTGAAGTTATTGGCCCGTGGTGGGTCGAATGGGAAGTCGGGGTGCGAGCTACCACAGACACTCCTGCCATTGGAATTCACACTGCATAGGTTCCAGAATGTCCAGCGCGAGAGGGCTGGAGCACCTGAGATGTTGCTTGAATCCACCTGGAGGAAGTAGATTTCGTTCAGCGGGGTTGAGTTACGAGCACCACCCAGCAATGTGAGGAAGATGAGCAGGATGGCACTGGCCATGAAAAACAGGCCTAAGAAGCCCAATGTAGCTCCTATGAGTAGTTAGTATACAACGGATATAGGTGATAGATCCAGCATGGTGAACGTGAACACTTACTGCTAGCTCCCATTGTGCGTAGTCTTATCCTAGCTTAAATGTGAAGGTGAAGAAGATTTTTTCTCGCTGTGGGAATTAGGTCGAAGTATCCGAGCTCTGGGTTTGGTGCCCGATGTTGAGTATAGACTCTGGGGTATGCGCGAAGGCCAAGGTCGAGGTCGGGGTCGAGGTCGAGGGAATGAGAAGACCTATGTGATGAGGAAGAAGGGAAGAGAGTCATGAAAAAAAGGAACATTGATCCAAGAGCCGGGATCATCCGGGAATTCCCCTGGGTGTTAGCATCATCACCATTCATAGATTGAACGAGGATCATAACGTCATGCTTGCACCTGATTTGTTGTGTTGCTTTGGGATTAGCGCAACTATATATTAAACTAGACCATATCGGTTCTAGCGTATTACCAAATATAGTCTAGCGTGAGCGGTCCATGACGAAGTGACGAACAGCAACACAAGACTTAACCCAGCTTGATCAACGTTACACCTCACAGCTCTCTTGTGTCGTTCCACCTCTGACGTGGATTAACTTAAAATCTTTCTGCCTGGTTTCTTTTTACCAAAAGTCTATCCTTCTTTTTGTGGCGCTTCACATCATGGCAACTTGGGCATACCCCCCACTAGCCCCCGATCAGGTGAATCGGGAGGCCGATAGTGCGCTGGTACGTCAACTCGCGATTCTTACGGAGTGATGCAACTCAGTGGACCTGGGGTCCCTGGTGGATGCGCAAAAAAAAGATCGTCCCCCGATCATACCAATGTGGATCTAATGCCAACACATGTCTCTTTTTTTTTTCCCTAGGCCCGTGAAATCGAGTGGCTCCTACAATCACTTCAGGAATCCCTTGTTTCCCTCAAAGATGGACTCCAAGAGTGTGCAGCTCTAATCGCACCACAAGAACCCGGTTCTACTTTGGTTCTCTCGTCTCTGCGGTCAGAAAGTGTCAAGGGTTTCGTGACTCGCCTCGGTACGCAGGTGGTCAAGGGGGTATGTGCCAACCGTATATACTACGCACCTACGAAAAATTCTCATTTATTCGTGGCTACTAGGATATTCAACTTCGTCTTCCTTCGCTACCTCCTCCACGTGGTAGTCCCAGCACCCGATTGACCCTGTCGCAATTGCCCGAAGCTCCAAGCTTTGTTCTGCAGCAGCTAGTGTCGGTGCGAAACCTGGTTAACCAGAGTTTAGATATCGTAGATGTGAGCACATATACGGGCAATCCTCTCGATGCGACATTTATCTTCAGCCAGCTGCATCTCTTGCATGAGACCATCAGCGAGGCACGACAGATGCTGAAAGGGGAGGGGGACGTGCGAGGCAACTGGTGGGATACCAGTGCTAGCGACAATGTAAGTCTCACTTCTTTAACGTGACGGTCTTGCTATTAATACTACTTCGCCCCTAGACGTTTGATCCTCCACCGCCGCCCTACGTCTCATTTCACCTGTCCATTGCAGACACCGCGCTTGTTCTTCTCCTGCGCACATTAGAGAGCACTACCATTGCGCAAGCTCCGTCCGCTTTTGCCACAGATATCTCCTTGACAGGATTCTCCTTGCGAGACCGGATTTTTGGAAGTCACAAACGCGCGCATGACGAGGCCGGTGATGTATTCATGTGGCGTGGAGAAGAAGTTCGCGTCAAAGAAAAGATCCGGGTGGAAAGTCAAGACCCTAGTTTGATGGCAGTTATGGCCAAATTGACGGCCCTGGAGCATGAAGTAATGCGGTGGGTGGCCGCATTGCGAGTGCTTATGGGGAATGAAGATACGGAGAGCGAAGCATAGAAGACTTATATACCCTGCATGGCTTGAAGCTATTGGCTTACCATTTGTTTGCCTTTTTTTGCATCTTTGAAGCAATATACTTAGATCCAACTATAAACCTGTTCTCTTTCAATTATTTCAGATATTTCATACTAAAAGTGGATCAACCCAAGTAGCTCCGCTGGGGAGACAAAACCCGCCAATCAACGACTTGCAGATTGCGATGGCTTGGCATCAATTTTCTGGAGCTGCGCCCGTTTCTCAACTTTTTTTATATCCCACCAACTTGTGCTTTGTGTTTTTACCTGGGTTAGAAGTATGTTGTCCAGGCCACCAACATCAAGTGCCGGCAACTCCCATGCCAGGTACCTGTTGCGTTCGCGGGTTTCTCGCCCTGCATCGCGACAGTCCTGCGGAGCTGGATTGATTGCGCCCCGACAGCAACCAGACCTTCAACAATCACGATCCATCTCCATCGCTACAAATTCACGATCATGTAGGACGTACGTCCCAATGGCGACAGCACCGCAATGGGCTTCTACACAGCGTCACTCCTCCACCGCATCCTCCGCAGAACCACCGGCCGACTCTCCCGAAGCCAGTACGATCGACCAGATCAATGTACTCATCGAGCGCATCAGTGAAACCGAAGAAAGAATGGTGCAAACAATGGATGAATTGGATTTGTTGGCGGAATCGGAAGGCGCTGACGACCTCCTGGCCGACTTCATGAGCAACCGGGACCTGCACACCCCGGAATCATGGGTGAATTTAGTTCGACAGCAATTTGGTGATACCATTCCAGATGGCGTCTTGAATGAAGGAGATATGAAACTATATATCAGTCTTTACGGAGAGCCGATCGTCCATGAGATCTTCGAGGAAGGAATTGCAGAGGAAGAAGGGGATTCAGATCAGTTATTCCGTGAGGATGGAGAAGGAGGTTGGGAGGAGATCGAGTACAAGGAGAATGTGGAGTTTGAGGAAGACGTGCCTGTGGTCTACGATATGGAGGCCGGACCGGAAGAGAGGGAGACAATTGCCATGCAGCGGACTCGAGAAGTGGCTGAGCAACTCGGCGGCGAGATCATGCTAGAGCAGTTCGAGAATGAGGCTGTTCCAGACTCTACCCCCAGAGCTCATCCTTTAACCCTGCTAGGGAAATCCCAGACTGATCCCAGCACGATTCACCTACCCAAGAACTCACTGACTGGCCCCATCTCCGTCATCTTGTCAGAGGTCTCCAACAGACACGTCGCTGAGACTGCTCACCGTTTGTTCGGCGGCCCAGGTCTTCCTCATTCCACTACAACTCCGCCTCCCCGCGCACAGCTACCTCAGCTTCCAATCCCGATTCATGCATCGCAGCACTACATGGCAAACATGGAGGCCAATGCATACCTCGCGGTCCTCTACCCGGGAATCTACGCGTCTGCACTGAGCGTGCTGGTTGAAGTGCGGAAACGCCTTGGGACAGACTGGATTCGCAACCTTATTACTCAAGAAGGTGGCCCGAATGTTCTAGATGCTAGCGGTGGTGGTGCTGGCATCTTAGCTTGGCGCGATGTCATTCGTGCGGAATATGAGACGATGGTTCCCGACCACCCACAAGAAGATCCTGTTCCATATGGACGATCAACGGTTCTGACAGGTTCAGACGCGCTCCGTTTGCGTGCAAGCGCAATCCTCGAAAACACCACTTTCCTTCCCCGCTTGCCGGACTACCTCCATGTGCGTGAAAAACCGACATTGGAAGATTCGCGTGATGCCCCCAAGCGCAAGCAATTTGACGTCATCATCGCACCCCACTCTCTCCTCGGATACGAAGAAGAATACGAGCGCAAGGAGTATGTGGAGAATCTATGGGCACTCCTGAATCCTAAGGGAGGTGTTCTGATTCTTCTGGAGAAGGGACGTCAAAAGGGCTTCGAGGCCATTGCCGGTGCCCGTGAGATGCTGCTCAAACGCTATATCGCCAGTCCTGGCTCAACAGAGTACAACAACTCCCTCGAAGCTCCTGATGAGACCGAGCCCGTGGTAAAGGGAGCCGGTATGATCATCGCCCCTTGCACCAACCACTCAACCTGCCCCATGCACAACCCTGCAGGCCCATCAAAGGGCCGCAAGGACTACTGCCACTTTGAGCAGCGGTACATTCGCCCCCCATTCCTGCAGCGCATCATGGGAGCCAAGGATCGTAACCACGAAGATATCAAATACAGCTACCTTGCCGTGCAGCGTGGTGTAGACATGCGACAGGAACTTGGTATTCAACAGAATGCTGAAGCAACGGACGCTGCCTTTGAAGGGTTTGAGGATGTCGAAGACCCGTCCAAGATCCACCCGCTTTCTCTTCCACGTGCTGTTTACCCACCTCTCAAACGCCGCGGTCATGTCATTTTCGATTTGTGTACCCCGGCTGGCAAGATTGAACGCTGGACTGTTCCCCGTTCTTATAGTCGCCAGGCCTATCGTGACGCTCGCAAGTCAAGCTGGGGTGATCTTTGGGCGCTTGGTGCTAAGACCCGCATCCCACGCAATTTGAACTTGGGCGACAAGCATGGTGAAGGCAAAAAGGAGCGTTTAGCTCGACGAGCTGCAGACAGGGCAGCTCGCGAAGAAGAAGAAATGGATGAGCATGAGCGTGACGAAGACGAAGATGATGAGCTTGACGAGGGTCAAAGCCGCTCGGCTCTTCCTGAGCCAGCTCCGCGAAAGAGAGGCCAGAATATACCGAGCTGGAAGAAGCACAATGACAAAAAGAAGATGAGACAGGCATTAAAGAGACAGGTGGATGCTGAAAATACTCTTTAATTTGGGTTTGGCGATCTCAAGGGATATAGCCTAGCATTGGTTGAGGGCGCATTTGTTAAGAAGACTGGGGATAAGCCCACCTTGTACTACTATAGAGCATTTGATATCGGATTATGGGGATTGGGATTGGATTATGTATTATAGATATCATCTTCACACCAAAATATGTAAAACTGTAAATATAGTCTCTTCACTCTGAATTTATAGATCAATCTACATACATATATAGAACCAATGAAAGACTCACTTGTTGATAAACATTGAGTCCTTGAAATGTACCGTATATCCCACATCTGCATCTCACACGACCTAATTCTCCCAATGGCAATAAGGTTGCATGTGGGCTAGTCCATCAAGATCTCCTCCATTATCTCCAAGATCTCAGAGAGTACGCAGTATTGTTATGTTCATAATATTATATAGACGCTCGATCATACACCTGGCGCGATGATGTTGGTCACGGATGGTCTCGCTCACCGACGCTGTTGAGAGTAGAACTATCAGAATTGCTGTCAATAGGATTTTGCGGAGGACTTTTAAAACCGTTTCTAGCTGTACAATAGTCATCGTATGGAGCATTTTGGATCACAAAATTGCTAATAATCGGAGGATGAATTAAAATCAGTTCTTCAGTGCTTCTGTAAAACTATGGCTGGAAACCTGGGAAATGGTTTCGAGACTTCTAACGCCGTGGTCTAGCTTTATATAAGTCTTGGGACAGATATGCATCGTTTGAACTCGATCATTGAGGCCCAATGACCATTGTCCCTATACAATCTTGAAAAAAGTAAGAGAGACAACTCTCCTTCTATTTGACTGGGAGATAAGTAAGGAGTTTGGTCCACAAAGAGATGAAGCCTTTTTTGTATCTCGAATTTCCATTGATTGCTTTCCAGGACACAATGTCTTGGTTACTGAGAAACTATGAAGGGGATTTTCTTTGAGGTACCCCAAATAGAATACAGATTTCATGCAAGGCCCCTCTCCTGAGAATTTATTAAAGAAACTCATTGTTCAAAAAGCCTGGCTTCTGATCAAGCATGCCTCCGCGCTTGGATGGTTCGGACTGCATTGTAGAGTAGTGCGAAGGAAAGCAACTATGTGGCTGTTTCTTTGGATTGACTAGAACCCATGTTCACTCGAATCCGATATGCATTTTCCAGCACAGTGCGGGTAGGTTGGGGAATTATCGTCCAAGTCTTCAATAATTTGCAACGAGATGAAACACCACCATATAAGTTGAAGCACAAGCTGAAGCTGCCCAGGCAACGAGTAGGGTTGTGATCCTTATAAATGGCCGATTGGCTAATGTGCAGTCGATAGATCCAGTATCGACTCCTAAATTCCTGATAGCGAAAGCGAAGTTCTGGTTCACTGCGCAGCCATACTCTTCCTTAACTGCCTTTCTCGCTGGGTACTCTGCAACTCCAGGCGATCGACAACATACTTGAGTCGCTCCTTCTTCTGGACCAGCCGTCGTAGCTCCGCCGCCTTGGATGCCGCATTTCCCGTTGACGCCGTCAGACGACCCCGCATTGCCGCGCTGCTCTGGGACTGGGTGCGAATCGCCGAGGCTCGGTTTTCCGAATTTGAAGAAAGGCGACCTTCTTGAAGGTCACATTTGGCTTTCAGACCTTGCTCGCGACGAGCTAGCTTCTCGACATGATTTGAGGCGAGGGAGAGAAGGTGGGCGATGCTGGGTGTGATTTCGTCTAGGAGAGATTGCTGCGCTTCTCGCAGGGTTGGTTCTGGTAGGAGCTCAAAGTGCTGTATCATCAATTGGGTTAGATTTGAACTGTCTTGAAGGCGGCGTGTGCTACCTACTCGTGTTGTTTGGAGGACTTTGCATAAGCGGGGGAAATCGCTAACTCCTTCATCAAGGGTGGTGATGGAGTTGTCAAGGAGTTGTAGAGATGATTGGAGGGAAGATACGGATGAGGCAAGTGATGACGCCATGATGAGAAGAATGTCTACTCCGTAGGTGTTGAGTTTAGATACGCATACAGCTGGAGGTTATCAGTAAACAAGTCGGGACCGATCGGGTAAAGCGGCCAGACCGCCAAACCTAAAGCGGCAAGGCTTCTCGGACCGGGCAAACTCCAACTTCACAACTCCTCTTCTTCCTGCATCACTACCCCCGCGAACTCCGATTTCATATCTTCGCATCATCTACACCATGTCTCTCCTCGGAAAGAAGTTCCCCGGCGCCCTTGGTAAGTTTTCCTCGAAGACGACCTGACGAGTCCGCACAGCTGGCGCTCAAGACTAACACTGCTTAACAGCCGGTCCCATGACCCCCTTCTTCGCTGCCGGTACGCTTCATCCAGTCCCTTGAATCTACTCCAATTCTTCGAAACCGAAATGATCACCGATTTTACGTTTCGATCCCGGTCCCGACCGAGCTTCCCGCCACGGAATTATGTTCTAACATATCTCCTTCCTAGGTGTCATTGTCCTCTACGGTGTCAACTCTCTGCAGAACGCTCTGTCCAACAGTGAGTTCCCCAGCGCATCATGAAAACTTCATTCAGCTCGACCTATGCCGGTATGGCGACGCGATAGATTTTATGCAGCGCGCCAGCCGATACCTGTTCGATATGTCTCATCCGGAATGCCTAACTAACCTTTAACTCTTTCCAGCTGCCGAGTTCAAGAACGACCCCCGCAACCCCAACGCCGGCAAGGCCAGCCACTAAATCAGCTCTGAGCGATGAGCTGTGATGCCACCGAGTGTGGTGTGAAGCAGGAGCGGATCAGGCAGTTGGCCGCGGAAGTGTGAATGCAAACGCTTTGGCCTTCGGTTTCGTCCCGCAAATTTGTGTTTACGTTCGCGGGCAGTTTGCCCTCTGTCCAAGCATATAGAATATACCCTACAGGGTGACTTGGATCAATTCACAAACTGTACCACTACTGATTGCGATTCATGGTGTCTGATGCTACTGAACTGGCAGCTCAGTGTTCTCCATAAGGTTTCGACCTGTAGTTATAGACCGACTCATCCGAAGGCATTGATTATCTGAGGTGATCTCGGGATCGTTGTAGCCGTAGGGTTCAAGGTATATGGTGCCCTCAGCCAGAGCACCAATCATCCAAGGAAATGTTCAGAATTGGGAATAGAATATTACGAACATATTGAAAACGTCCCTTCAAAACCCATATGATCAGCTCTAGACTGTCTCGTTCATACTTGGCGCATATAACTTTACCATTTGGTGGGAATCTCGCGGGTGCACGCTAAACCTGATTGGGAGTTTTCACCAACTCCGCCTGGAGAGAACATCGCGACTTCTTTCTCCCCAGCTCCTTCACATTTGCTCAAACACCACATCACAATGTCTAAGGCTGCCTCCCTATTCCACCCCAAGAGGCTCAACCTCTCTGGGTTCGTCAACACCCGCCTGATCCGCGACAACAACAAGCGCATGGCCTTCGAGCAGACCGAGCCCGAACGGTAAGAAACCACGCCCGGGGCTTATACCTGCAGCTACCGCAAAAGCCCCCATGTAGAAATTCCAATTGATACGGACTCATTCTGACTTTTCCGGATAATAGCCAAGCTCTCCGTTACATGATCCGCAACACCTCCCTCCCCGGTCGTATCCGCGCCCAGGCCCAGCTCCAGTTGTCGCAGATGCACGCCTACACCCGGCCGACACAGATTAAGAACCGTTGTGTGGCATCGGGTACTGCTCGCAGTGTTTTCCGGGACTTCAGAATCAACCGAGTGAGTGAGAGTTGCAGGTTAGTGAAGAGTTCGACTGACTGGTTTCCCTAGTACCAATTCCGTCTCCAGGCTCTTTCTGGCGAGCTTCCTGGTGTGAAGAAGGCCAGTTGGTAATTGGGGATGTATAATTACTAGGGTCGATATGAAAGTTTGGGGTTTGGCGGCGTTCTGTGTGCTTCATTTGAAGCTTGTATAGTATGCACATACCATATCATTTTGCATTCTCTCTCCACCTTCACTATTTTTCTTCGAAACATTAAATCCGTACTCCAATCCTCTACTTGATGCGATATTGCAGCCTAGCAGTAGCTGCTTGGTCTGTTTCTTCTTCAAGAAAAAGTGTTCGTCTCCTTCTTTCTCCTTCTATACCACCCCTCAACCTTTCTCTCTACAACTCATCACATCTTGTCATCTTACGTCTATCAAGATGTATGTCTATCAGAATAAGGATCTGCCTCCGGACCCCGACTTTCCTGTGGATCTCAAGGAGCTGGGGTATGCATATCTGACGTTCCCTGGCCGTTATTATCACTCACAAAGCATCTCAGATATTACATCAATGAACATGACCAAATCCGCCAGATTGACCACCCAGAGGAAGGATACAGATACAAGATCAACCGTAACGATCGCTTCAATGTCAGGTTCCGCGAGTCATTGAATGGTAAGACATAAAGTCCTCGGATTTGATCAAGGCTGCTAAATATAAGTGCTAGACTGTATCCGTGCGATCATCCTTGATCGTCTCAAGGATGTTTGCTTGACAAGCCTACGTCTTCCCCTTGACAGCACCCTAGAGAATAGCCATGTACCAATTCTCACAACGAAGAATCTTGATGAGAAGTCCCGCATCATTATCGTCTTTGGGGAGCCTATTCAAGATCTTGGCGTCTGGGCCTATCGATCTATCCATGACAGCATTAACCGCGGATCGGCAGTTGATTTCACCAATGCTGTACTGGGTGGTGGCAAGAACAAAAATGTCGGTCTCCTCATTGCCAACACTGGACAGTTGATCTGGCACTGTGCCTCGGAGCGTGCTGTCAGCCAGCAGTCGTGGCTTGCAAGCCCTCGCCCGTATGGAAATTGGGGTCAAGCTACGATGAGCTGGCGGAACAAGATCCCGAGTAACAATGACTGGCAACAGCACATCGAATACATCTTTGAGAAGGTCCTGTGGCCGGCTGTGGGGAAGCAGACCCGGATCGACATTATCGGTATGTCCGAAGGTGGACTGGGAGCCATCAGATACCTCCAGAAAAACTGTGAGTATATTGCCCTGTTCTTGACGATATAATTCCCCACTAATATCTGCACAGGGAATGTCTGGAAACCTTATGTCTCTGGCATCTGTCTCGGCGACCCACAGCAGACAACCCATACTGACATCGACATGGGTGCTCTAACCGATCCGTCGTCGTTTACTTCGTTCTTTGCCTCACGCTGCCGCGCATACCTTCTTTCTTCTACACCCTGCGGTAGTCGCATGGGTGGCTACCGGATGTACGGGTGCAACTGCTACTCCTCTGGCGAAGGTATCAACACCGAATGCATCATGCCTGCATCGTGGAAGGATATGCTTGAGTGGCTTGATGTGCTTTCCACCGATCCGACCTACTCGGAGCATGTCATGCTGCGTGGTGAGGATATGGACGAAGAGATGCGTCGCGGGCTGGAAGAGCAGGCAGAGAATGAGGGAGACAGTAGACTTGCTGATATCGATGAACAGGTGAAGCCTGCAGAAATTGAGTGGGATAGTGGAAGTTCCGATATCAAGAAACAGCAGGAACTGGAGACTGTTGTGGAGGATGATAGCGGACGTGCTGATCTCGCCGCGCAAAAGGAACTGCAGGCTTCTGCGAAGAGTGACAAGGCTGAGGATGTTGAGAAGGATGACCTAGTCGCTAAGATCGTCAGCAAGTGCAAGGACCTGAAGGTGACTGATTCTGCGATCTAGGACCCTGGTGAACGGTCTCGCAGAATGATATTTCATGACCTCTTTTAAACTAATTTATGGGCGCATTCTACTAGATCAGTTAGGTATTGACGTAGCAAGTGGAATCTGATATTCAGACAGTATTGATATTTCAACTGTAAATCAATATATGGAGCTCTTTAGTACGTTCTGCATGTCCGCGATTAGTTTGATGTATCCTGGAACCGCAGTTTCGACCATTTCCTAATGTTAATTCCACCAAGCATCAATTCATATTTGAATTTGCAGCTCTCATCGTGAATGGTGAATAAAGCCCGGGTGGTGTGAGATGATGCAATAGTTCTGCCTGGTTCTGCCGTCAACCCCGCAAAACATTGGATGTTCCTCTTTCCCCTTCTTTCCTTTTCAAATGATAATCTTCTCAATTGTTCGAATGAATTCTTCGATACGAAACATTTGAAATCACCAGTGGATGGGGGTATTACTCGATCAAAATGCAAGCCCCTCATCGGAATCCGCCGCTGCAGCAAAAAAGAGAGACCAGGAGGACCGAGAACACAGGTTTGCACAGCGCTTTCGGAGGAAGAAATGATCCAGACCTCCAAAACTTTGATCCGTCGAGGTTTTGATCGAGTAAAAGAAACGGAGAAACGCGGGTCCAGTTTTGATCGAGTAACGGCTGATAAGGCGATGCCCGGACCGCTGGCAGCATCGGAGGTGCCCGATGCTCTTATTCGGGGTGGATTTGCTATGAACCGACTCCAACCAACCACCGTTATCCGCCTCTCAGAAAATTTGTGCGGTGAGCCATGGTTCACGTTGACCCGCTCAACAACATGGCAATAACCATGACAATCATCAATCATCTCGTCCTGATAGAGAAAAGATGAAGGTATTCATATCATTTGAAACAAATTGCAATATGCAAGTTGCAGGTCGCATCTGCAGGGGCTTCGATTGGTCCGCGTCATAGCTGATTAGCCTGTGATAATTATCGAGTAATGGCAACAACATCTCCGTCTTTGCCCCCATTCCCGGAACTCCCCAGTGTGGGTATCGAAAAGTCCATTTCTTTACCCACTTGAATTTTTACCTGTGGGTCATTGCCGTGCCCGCAAAGCTGAAAGTTCTCAAGGGAATTGGTTCTAGTATTTATACCTCACCCATTTCCCTTATCTTGTACCTTTTATTCTTAACGAAGATAAGACTTTTGCTTTTGGCCCTCCTATCCGATCCTTTCCATTGGTCGTCTTATCTACTCTTTCATTATATACATTCCCCTCTCCCCCACACACCTAATTCACAATTGCCGCTACCGATTTAGTCTATTTGGCATACATTTGAAGCTTCATCAACTTGAGCTATCATGGCGACAGCTAACATTCCTTCGATTGCCGTTGTGGCCTCATCGCGTGCCGTCATCTCCGGCCGTTTGACCGCTGCTACTGTGGTCATCTCTCGCACTACTGGCAAGATTACCGCCGTCTTCGACTCCGTGATCCCCGTATCGGAGTTTCCCGAAGGCACACCTTACACCGACTACTCGCCATATGTGCTTTTGCCCGGTTTGGTTGATGCTCACGTCCACCTGAACGAGCCTGGCCGTACGGAATGGGAGGGCTTCTACACCGGCACCCAGGCTGCTGCCTTTGGCGGTGTGACCACTGTCATTGATATGCCTTTGAACGCTATCCCTCCTACTACTACCGTGGCGGGCTTGAAGGAGAAGCTCAAGGCTGCCCAGGGTAAGTGCTGGGTGGATGTTGGTTTCTACGGTGGTATCATTCCCGGCAATGCTGGTGAACTCCAGGGTCTTGTGAACGAGGGTGTCCGTGGTTTCAAGGGTTTCCTGATTGACAGTGGTGTAAGTGATTCATTCAGCCTTGATTCGACTCGCATTTCTAACATTTGAATAGGTTGAAGAGTTCCCCGCTGTGACTCAAGAAGATATCAAAAAAGCAATGATTGAGCTGGCCGACCAGCCCACAACGCTCATGTTCCACGCTGAGATGGTCCCACCAATTACAAAGTCCGTGGGCGACGAGGTTCAATCTTCTGAACCCCCGGCTGCCCCGACTGGCCCCCTGGAGGCTTACTCCACTTTCTTGGACTCTCGGCCTTCAGAGTTTGAGACCTGCGCCATTGAGAGTATTCTGTCCCTGGCCCACCTCGCCCCCAACCTTCAATTGCACATTGTTCACCTCTCTGCTATGGAGGCTATTCCAATTCTGCGCGAAGCTCGTGCCCGTGGTGTGAAGATCACCGCTGAGACCTGCTTCCACTACCTGTCACTGGCCGCCGAGGAGGTGCGTGATGGCGACACTCGCCACAAGTGCTGCCCACCCATCCGCTCTAAGATGAACCAGGATGGTCTGTGGGAGGAGCTGGAGAAGCACAACGGCGACGGTGTCATCAAGACTGTCGTCTCGGACCACTCTCCCTGCACTCCTGAGCTGAAGCAGCTTCCTTCCCACGTGCCCGGCGCCATTGAAGGCAAGAACGAGAAGGGCGACTTCTTCTCCGCATGGGGTGGTATCTCCTCCGTTGGTCTTGGACTTCCCATTCTTTGGACCGAGCTCAGCCGTCGTAAGGGCTTGACTCCTTCTCCCGAAGACGTGAACACCAGAAACGCTCTCCAAGACATCGTCCGCCTCTGCTGCGCTAACACCGCCGCCCAGGTCGGTCTGCAGACTCAGAAGGGTGATCTGCGTCCTGGTTTTGACGCTGATATCTGTGTCTTCGATGACTCCGCCGAATGGATCGTCGAGCCTAGCACAATGCTCTTCCGCAACAAGTGCTCACCCTACCAGGGACGCACCTTGCGCGGTATGGTCCGCGAGACCTGGCTTCGTGGCGAGCGCATCTTCAGCCGGGAGAGCAACTTTGGCGACCAGCCCCCAGCTGGAAAGCTGCTCCTCGAGAAACGAGTTTGATACCCTTCATATTTTCTTTTTACTTCCGCATCTTCTATCTTTTTGGACACCCCTGCATCTCGTTCTCGGTCTCGCGCTGTGACGAGCACTAATGATTGACCAGCATTCATACCCTAGAGTAATGACAGCGCGTTGTAGCTCTATAGACTACGCATTGAATAAAACAGCATATACATATTGACAATGATTGAATCCAACGGAAATGGGTAAAAAACATATATATATCCGTACATCAACTAAGTATCTTTACAATCTACACCAAATGATCAGTCTTCACTCTGATCTTGCTCCTTCTCCCACTTTTCTCTCATTCTCCTCCTCACGCCCCCATTAACCCCCTTGCCCCAGATCTCCTCTTTATCACCTTCAGTACCAATAATGACCCCCTCGTCCGCATCACCCTCCACAGGTCCAATAACAACCTTTCTCTCCTTCAACTTCCTTTCCTTATCCCTAGCCTCATTAACCTTCCCAAGATAAACTGCATATAGTACTGATTCCGCAACAGCAACAGCCAAAGCCGCAAAGAAAGACAAAAGTACCCGCACAGCCTCAGACGCACCCACAGCATCCCGTGGCTCCATCCCTTCCACACTCGGACCCGTCCATGACGAGAATATCGACGCCAGAATCCCTGGCATGCCGAAGCTAGTCAGGGCCCAGTAGACGGCGAACCCTGTGATGAGCGTGGAGAGGAAGATGTTCAACACCAGTGAAGGCGTGAGAGTGTCTTCGCTATACGGGCTTCCATCGGCGTTTATAGCGTGGGGATCGGCATGGTCTGGATTCAGGGTGTAAGTTGGGTTCAATAGGCGTTCGTAGGCTTGCTTTTCGGCTAGGGCTTGGAGGCGGGCTTTTGAGGCGAGGTATTCGGGGGTCTGTTTCATTAGTACATTGTTGTGAGTACTTGAAGGACAACGTACCGGTTCGGGTTTTTTGGGTGGAGGTGGTACATATACTTTTGTACCATGTAGGAGGGCGCTGAGAATTGTAGGGCTATTCATTGAGATCCTGCGATCTGTGGTGTTGTATTCGTCGTCATTCTGAAGGTGTTTAGATAGGCGCAGGAGCTGGCTGTGCGCAATTGGTCCGTGAAGATCCAGCGAGGTAGGGAGATCGAGTTCTTTTCGACGGGCAGCTGGAACAGCCTCCAGGGCCGTAAGGATGCGATCTGTCGTAATCAAGAGGACCATTTTATGTGGTGGTGAGTGTAAGCAATGACGGAGCTCTAGCGGAGAGATGAGCGGAACGAAGGTCGCGGGCAGAAAGAGAGTCAAGCTCTCCCCACTTTGGGATTCTTTGCAACGCACTACCTTCAGCCATGGCAGACTCCAAATCCAAGGGGTATGTATATTGATTTCCAGTTTTTATTTCTCATTGAATGTGAAACTTGCATTTCTCCCCTCAATGTTTTTGTCCAAGCCTGCCGTCTCAAAATTTCATAATTAACCCCTCTATCCAGCCCGGTAACAACACAAACCAACGCGCGGGGAATCCCCGTCGCGCCCTTCGTCGACAATGTGGCCGACTACGTCTCCTCACGCGAAGATGTCGAGCCGACCCTTCGTCGATTCCAGGAGATGATCTCCAAGTACCAGTTCATGGAAGTGAACAGCCAGCGCCGCGGGCAGGGACTGCGCGATAAGATCCCGGATATCAAGAAGACATTGGAGATGGTGCGGTTTTTGAAGCTGCGCAAGGGGGTACGCTGTACGCAATGATAGCATCGGAGAATACGGACTAATTCATTCCAGGCTAACCCTGACACCGACCTCGAGACCAACTTCGAACTCAATGATACCCTCTACGCTCGTGCTTCTATCTCCCCGGCTGACACAGAGGAAGTGTACCTCTGGCTCGGCGCTAACGTCATGTTGGCGTATCCATTGGAGGAGGCCGAGTCTATGCTGCAGGAGAAGCTTTCGGCAGCGGAGTCGAGTCTGGCTAATTGCGACGAGGACCTGGAGTTCTTGCGCGAGCAGATTACGGTATGTTTGTTGAACTTGTGGGATTGGGCTTGGCTGACTGTTTCTAGACGTTGGAGGTTGCCACGGCACGTGTTTACAACTGGGATGTGGTGCAACGGCGGAAAGAGAAAGGCGATGGGAAAGGAGATGATCAAGAGAAGCCCCGGCCTGGTTGATCGTTGATCAGTCTAATCGATTACATCTATGGAATAAAAGGACAGAATCAATAAGAAAAATGGACAACAGAGACAATTCATCTCTGATAGAAAGTCTCTTATATTGGATGTACTAATAAGAGGCTGGTTAGTAAGATTATGCACATATTTACTACATGTATGTCTCCTCTCTTCTATGTGGTGTTTTCCTCTACTCACATGTGGATGATTATAAGGACATCTGGAGTATAGTGGATTCTCATACGTATTAGCACTTTTACGAAGTCCTTGATGAGCAAACGTTTACAAAATGAGTGTTACACTTGGATATGATGAGATTTTTTCCACAATAAACCAATTCGAGCAAGATTGACTCTATAGGGTACTTGAAAGTTGTTGTTTTAACCCTGATAATCTCGGAGGAATCGCTATGATAAAAAATCATGGACAAGGTAGAAATATCTATGAAATATGTATTGCATAAAGTAACGATAAGAATTCTGTCTAGTGAAATAAAAAAGCGCAATTTTAAACGCAGAGTAAGAGAACACCATAGTAAAGATTTATAATAAATAAGTATTATGTAGATAGTATGATCAGGTTTTTACTTTGAATTCAAGAATCCTAAGTAGACGTGTGCAGTTTGAAATTCTAAAAACCGTCCAAAAACTGGCCATGGCAACAATCCACGCAACTTATGTCTATTTACCTTATAAGAGTGGGATTTAAATTATGAAACTACTAAAACAAACCAAGGATACGTATACAGAGATTCAATCTTGAAATAATCTTATCTTGAAAATATTCATTATATGCTAGTCTAGGTAGAGTCTGTGTTAGGGCCGGGGTCATCTGTCTACTTGGCGCCCAAGATGAGGCTGAATGGCACTGCCGTGCAGGTCATCTCATCTTGTTAACTCCTCTTCTGAGATGTCAGCTTTCAACGTCTATCAATATTATATTTCCTATCACTCGTACCAGCTACAGATACCTCAATATTTTGAATATAATGGATTCTCCGCCTCGAAAGTCCCCAGCAGGAGTTCCATTTGCTTATGCCGTTCAACTAAGCGACGATCTGGACAGGTCACCTGAGAGTCTCCCAGGCTACCCCCGCATTAAGACAAACGACACTCAGGGTCTTTACGAATTTATCCACAAGGAGCTCTGGTCCTCCGACTTGGAGACGATGGCGAACAGACTTTGGTGGATGTCAAAGGAAGACGGCAGCAACATCTCACCTCTGCATCGACAGTTAGTCAAAGGGCGAGAGATCATTGTGACAGAAGATGCGAAGCTTCATCTTGTTTGGATTCAGAATCGTATTTTCATCAAGCCACTTCCGCGCTTCCTCACATCTCATACCTTCTGGCGCGGCTTTCTGGCTGATGCTTCCCAACACCCGCATGTTGTGCCGATTCGAAAGGCTGCATTGGGCTTTCTGCGCACCTATTTCTATCTTATCAAATACGAGTCCGACTTTCGCATCGCAAAGAGTGAAAATCTCCGACTCGTCTGTGAGAACGTTACTTGGGAACAGTTCTGTTATTTTTCGATTAATTTTTTGAACATCTCAGACGCTGAAGTCTCTGGACGATATTCCTATGGGGAAATCAGACTGACACGATTGAACTACTACGCCCCGCTTTTGATCTCCAAGACGCATTTTCAAAAGGTCGAATACCAGTACAAAGATTATTTTGCCCAATTCCAAGGACCCATCTTGTTTACTTTTGCTATTCTTTCTATCCTTCTGAATTCCATGCAAGTCAACCTGACAGCCCCTGACATGGACGACACACTTAACAGCATGATTCTTACCCGCCTTTTCTATTGGTCCAGCACCCTCATTGCCGTGTTCACCTGCTTGATGTCTATATTTTTAATCGGCCTTTTTCTTTTCAAGATTGGAAGAGAGTGGACCTTTGCAATACGAAATAGACGTCATAAGAAGAAGAATAATCGCAGGGGAGTTCTCAAGGTGATTGCCTCGAATGACCAAGCATAGTATATTCCAAAATTGAAGTCTACATAGCTTTCTTTGGAAATAATACGCACTAGAAGCGAGGAATTAAGATTACCTTCTGTTCGTCTTTTGTGAACGTTTTCTGATGTCCAAGACCTTACGGCTGCCTACCTACGGAGGCGCGTAGCGGCCATGAGGACAGAACCTTTAGCATCACATAATCGATAGCAGAAAATCATAAATACTACTAAGCTAATCTACTCCTCTATTACTTGGATATATCGCCGACTTTTTGGACGTACGTTCGAAGCCTCCACCAGGCCTTCTTCTTCCACTTCACTTTTTTTCTCTTTCTATCTATTCCGCTATGTAACTTCAGAGGAAGCCCTTAACCATTTAACTAGACTGGTATAAAAGAAGCTAGAATAATAGATAGGATACTAATTAGGAAACTGAGTAGGAGACTGAGTAGGAGATATTTTATAATACCATAGTACTAGGCGCTACCCTTAAAGGTTCTGTCCTTATGGCCGCTACTCGCCCTCGTATCAACCTCAATTTGTAATCGTGTTGCGAAGACTCCTGATCTCGTCTAAACTTGGAAAGGCCTTGATATTCAAAGATCGCATAGAGTATATCGATCGACCCAGCTGCGGATGACACCTTCCCGCGTTGAAGGATATTCCTGAATAAGAACCTCTCCTTGAGAAGAGAACAAATCCTCTTGAGCGGCTTCATGGCTATCCTGCAATATCGTGTTTGCCTGGACAAAAATCGGCCGTTGTTGATGATGTATTTTGACTGCTTCCTGCCATAGTAGGTAGTTCTCGTCCACTTGAGCCAAGGCCTCGAACCATGGTTGTCCATTTTCGAGATCTGCTGTGGCAAGGTAAACCTGCAAACGAAGAAGAAGATTGTAAATTGCTTGTCGACCAGCCACCGGAATAAGATCCTTGTTCAAAGTAATCGCCAAATCCGCCGGTGCCTCGCTAGTGGCAGGATGATGTTTGATTTCCAAAACACCGTTTCCAAATTCACAAAGATACCTGACAATTGCAAACCGTGCCTAAAGTAGATGAGAATGATATCTTGAACATAAAAGAGGTCAGCTTTTGGAAGTACCTTGTCGTGTGCCTGTCCCCATTTCTGCGTGGCCGTATTAGTCTCGCCTCGTGGATTTCTTCATAACAGACAGAATCATACCTTTTTGGAATGGTCATATGTCATAACTCCTCTCAAACCCAAAGTTATGATCTGCAGATATCCTACATACTCAACTTGAGGAAGAGTGTCCCTTCAGTATGAAGACAGAGGATATGAGCCCCAAAAAGGAACGGGAAACATACATGTCTCAGCATCAACCGTAGGGTATTTCTCGAATAGTTCGAAAATTGTTAGAATCTCTGTATTGGAAAGCAGATGCATGGTAACCAATTCAGCAATACATTCATTCATGCCAGCGTAAGTACTTCCGAAAAGGGACTTGGCGCTTTCCCCAACCTTGTACCAAGTTTTGACCAAGTCTCCGGTTAACGGGTTTATCGGTGGGCTAGAATAGTCAAAGTTGTATACCGATGGGCTAGTCTCAGCGAGATTTTTCCCGCAGCCATGTCCAATCAGCTCATGTACAGCTATCATTATTCTAAGACAAAAATCTCGCAGGTACTTGAAGATCTTTTGGTCCGATGCGTTCAGAAAAGGCACCTTGTCCTGCGAATTGACAGCCGCAGTCCTATTTGAAAACAAAATGTGTTTCTTGCCATAGACTTGCTTGACATCTTGATACTAAATGGGTTATCGATATTAGTGAGGAGTTCTGTGTCCACCGAAAAATCAGCCACGTACGGTTGGTCCTGAAATCCCGCTCCAACAAGTCACTCCACAGAATGACAGAACTTGCAGAATGTCAGCAAATGACGCACCACCGGATTACTATAACCTCAAAGGAGGAATGACACAAATAATTAAGAATACTCACCATCCAAGCTGACAAAGTCAGGCTTAACGAATCGAGGTTTCTCAAAGGGACCGTAAGGCTCGTTTGCTGAGACATATTGGTTAATAACAACCCATGGCAATGACCCCAGCAAACTATTCACGGACTCGGTCAATTTGTTCAAAGTTCGGCTCTCCTCTTTATTCTTGATAGCGACGAGCCCCTCACATGAGCGCCTGAGTCCAGCAGGGTCACGGTATGCGGTGAGGAAGCCAATATTTGCCTCCACCACAGGGCCTTTATTCTGAACCCAAGATATCGCTGCTTGTCGGTGAGTCTCAATGTGTCCTGTCCGGAGGAACTCCGCGAGATGCTCTATGTATTGCTTTTGATGTTCATTGCATGTAAACCTGGCGCTCTCTTGAAGGGATTTCCTGACTTTCTCCAACTCGGCAGCATAGTCTCCATACTGGAAATCAATCTTGGGCTGCTTTGTATTGAAGATAATTGTATGTTCCGGAGGATCAATTGAGCTAGAGGCCACGATGACAAGGTACGTGGGGCCTTCAGTGCTTTGTATTTTCTTGAGCCGGGTATGGTCCAGAAGATGCTTGTCATGTTGAAGCAGCGCTCGCTGCACCTCTTCGATCTCAACTTTGCTAATATCTGGGGAGCATGGATAAAAGGCACTCATTCCACCCTGGTCAGGAAATCCAATGGAAGCCGGTTGCTCGGAGAATATGTCATTTTCGATCGTTTTATAGAGCTCGGCAGTTGTCTCTGAATAAGCGCAAATGCGTCTGAATTCCTCAGCTGATAACCTCGGAATGATCTTCCGATCTCCATATCCCTACATGAGAATCAATATCTAGTACCCATCTTCTTAGTGCCATAGAAAAAGTTCCTACTCTGTAGTTTCCCAAACTATCCAGAAATATTGCAGCATAGTCAAGGAAATAATCAATCGCATATGCGCTGACACCGGTCTTCTCTTGAAGGATTTCCCATTGGCAATTGCATTGTTTTGCCAACTCGATGATTAGATCGAAAATATGTTCCGATTCCTGCGACACTTGCCGAAGTACGATACGTGTGCATTGATACGCAGCCCTGTATTGGTTAATATACCACTTCTAGAAGGGAGGTTGGGGGGGGGGAAAAGAGTACTTAGACATGAAATGACTATAAAGCTTCTCATCTCTATCCAGTTGTTCAAAAGACTTTGCGATGTCCAACCTAAAAACAGAGGGCGATAAGTCCGCATACAATTCTACCGGGGCCATTTTGGGAAATTTCATTGAATACAGATAGAAGAATGGACATCAACCTTGGAATTCCACAAGCAAGAATTGAAAAGTTACAATAAAATGCACCGATCGTTAAAAAGATGCAAATATGGCGGGGTCATAAGTGGGGGGTTTAGCAAGGACGTGGGCGCAAGCGTCGAATGTCCGTGGCTGAATGTGGCATGTCCCGATGGACCATCCACACTTCGGTAAACTTGTTCTCTGAAAGTTCCAGATCTCATAAAGCAGGGAACAAATAGAATTTTGAGAACTCATTGAGAGGAAAAGATAGCGGGAATTCTTATCTGACCTGGAGCCCATGCGTTGTCATAAGACTCGCTCCAATTTGGGTGCTCACTACATTCAAGCAACAACATCACATGGATATTGTGTGATTCACCCGGGTGAAGTTACTTGTCCTGATCCCTGTTGCAGCCGGCTGAGATGTACAGGGATAATTTACTAGTTGCGCGTTCCGTACCGCATCGTACAAGAAATTTCGCTGTACAGTTGGCGATTCAGCCCGGCGACGTGTTGTCACAACGCCTATTGGTCAGTGTCCCGGTGCTACGGCCACTCTGCTAATATGCAATTGTTACAAGAGCCTCAATGTCACAGGCTAGTGATTGAAAGCCAAGCACACCCATCAGTTAAAGAGCGATTCTACATAAATCATCTCACCCGATGTTACGTGAACCTCTTTCCACACCAAATCCCTTGTCTTCCTGGCACATTAAAGCTTTCTGAATCATAGTCAGCGCACTATCTTCAACTCAAACATGTCTTCAGCTACCAACCCCTTGCCTGATTTGGACATCGACACCGATGTGGATGGCCCGTCCGAAGAACAAAGTATTACACGCGAGATCGTTTCACGCAAGAAGGCTCGGACTCCTTTGAAGACAAAAGCCCAGCCATGGAAGGGAACCCACGTTGTGATGCCCGAAGACTTGCCGACTTCGAAGTATAACATCCATGACCAGGCCTGGTTCAACCAGGATGAGTATCCCGCAGATGACAGCTCTTATGGCGCGTGAGCCTCTAGAAGCGTAAGTTCCATATATTCTGCCTATAATCAAAGCGATCCGACTGACAGGCCACTAAAGGACGGGCAACATCAGTCTCTCATCTGTCTATTGGAGCTGGTCCAGATCTCATGTGAATCGGGAACTGATACTACGCGGATTTGGTATATTTAATGTAGGAGATGATAGTATCATATGAATTATATTGCGATTTAAACCTCCAGCTGATAACCATTCGAGTAGAATGACACGTCCCAGTAGAGAGAAGCTGAACCCGCGAATAGTCGGTGAGAAAGAGAAAAAGAGAAAAAGAGAAAAAGAGAAAAAGAGAAAAAGAGAAAAGAGAAAAAAGAGAAGCAAATAGAAATGTGGTAAGAGAGCTAGGTACATATGACCTATCTAATATATCTGATAATATTCTGCAGATCTGGTTCATCCAGTAATGATCACTTTCATCTCAAAGCTTTCTCGTGCTTGAGCTTGAGCTGGTATGATAGGGTGCGCAAATCCAGAATGTGGAACTCCTGCAGAAAAAGTCAGCTTGAATTTGAAAAGTCTCGTGTGACACGCACTGATTCCTGTTTCAGAATCGTAATTGACAATCAATAAAATGTCCTCATGGCACTGATCCCTCATATAATACCAGCGGTGCCGAGCACTGAACAAAACCATGTATGTTTCGGTCTCGAAATGAGGGAAAATATAATCACTTTCAATCAGGTCATCATCACTTACGGTGCGAGAGTCACAAACTGCCAAAGGATAATCTTTGACGGGACTGCTTAGAGGTTGCCAGATGCTGATTCATGGTGAAATTGAATTAGAAATGGGTATCCATGATAACATCTGGAGATTGTATTACCTCAGCATTCTATACCGTCCCTTCAATATCTCCTCGGCCTCATTAGGAAAGCTGAATCGAATGCGTTCTTCGATGGCGTTGCTGGTGATGTCTGGGATGTTCAGCCTATCTTTCACTGTAATTACAAGGGCCGGCGACTCAACCTATGTGTACGAAGTTGCTCACAGGCCTTATTCGGGGGTTTCCATCGTTGGAGCCACGTTTGCGAAACTGATGGTGTAATAATTAATTAGTCTCCAACGTTTCATTTTTAAGGTTAGACGGGGCTACCCCATACAGGAACTACGATGGGGACAACTCACTTGATATTGGAATGTGAAAACTCCCTTAGCTCCAAGCAAATCTTTCAAGACAATTTCGATTCTCTCCATATGATCATTGATCTCATTTTGACTTCCAAGACATTTGCTCATTGGACCCTTGATCCACTGGAAGCCAGTCGTGTTCAATTCAGGCGCAATATTCACGGTTCTGATATCGAATATATTCACAGAGTGAGATTCATGTTCGAGGTTATCCCGCGGCTGACCCGGGGGTCTTCGTCCAACGATTTGGAATGGCTTGGTATCCTCCCATTTCTTGAGAGGTTGGAGATATCGCAATGTAGTCTCAGCTGAAGTTTGCATCATTGAAGAGTTTGCTTTCTATGGCGCTGGAAAAACCTTTTCCGTATATGCCACCAGCGACCCAGCCCGCCTTTATGTGGCATCTATGCTTTCCCAAATCATGCAGCTTGGCTACCTGGACACTGTAAATTCCATACTAGTTGTTTTTTTGGTCGTCTTGCATTTTTATGAATGCTGCATTCTACGTAACTGTATCATCTTGGTCGCCCTCGTCTACACTAGCTCCGAAAACTATTCGGGGGAAATATCACTTCGGCATCGGCACTGGAGCACAAATGAGCTGCCTCTAGAATCGCTTCATTGTGAACTAGGAGATTTGAATATGTAGTCAAACTAGCCCACCCAAGTCAAATCTAAAACTTCAAAAGTAGCTTCAGCTGATAATTCGACAATTGCCAAAGCTGAGGTGGCGTACCCATGCGAGCTCCGGGAGTTGAACGACACGAGCGATCCCAAAAATAAAATTATTTAATAAAATAATACAAGATAGTGAAAGGAAAAGAGGGGAAGCCCCCGATATTGGCACGTCAGAGAAGGACCCAGGTCACTTTATAAAATTTGCGGGGGATCATGGGCGGGTTCGCATATGCATTTACAACATGGCTTTGATATCATGGAAATCGGCCGAAGGGCATATTATCGGTTTAAAGGTTCTTCGGTAATGCGTAGCCTGTTCGAATGCATAGGAAGCGCCGATAACTCTAGCATCGTCCCACCTACGACCTACGAATAGAATTCCAGTTCTTGAGATGACGAAATTAGCCATTGCTTGCACCCGGACTTAACATCACTTACGGAATGTTGGGCCCAGTCGAGATAAAGCCATTATGCATCTTTTTCAAAGGCCAGTCCTTGGGGTAGGCTTGTAGAGGTACCGATACCTGTGGACAGCCGCCCACATTCGCTGCTGTCTCTGTCCATGCTGGTGCAACCAGTAGATCGCATTTGTAATGGTCAAGGAGATTTCCAAGCTCCTTGCCCATACTAAGCCGAAGCAAAAGTGATTCTTGATACTCATCTGAGGCCATATCGTACTTTTGAGCTTGTTGCGCCGCCATGTCGAGTTCTGTTAATTGATAGAGCCCCGCTTTTTCCTTGGAACATTCTCTTGTGTAGTTCCTGACATCGTCAAGAGTATGAAGACCTTGCGGGTTCTCAGAAAATGATTCCAGGAATGATTCTATATCTGTTACGGATGGAGAATGAGCTATGAACAGAAAAGAAGGACCAAAAAAATTGGTAATGATCACGGGCTTTCTCACTCTGCTTCAAAAGTAATCGTGATGCAAGCTTCCACTTATCTCCGAAACGTTTCGACATGTTTAGTGTCCACGAAGAAAACTCGACATTGTCCACTATCGTCGCACCGAGACTTTTCATCGTTATGAGTGCTTCTTCGAATTTCTCAGTGGCAAATTCATCTCGCTTCATAACGTGTCGTGCGACCTATCTTGGTCAGCCTCGTAAGTCACATGAGCAAGATTTTATAGCTCCTACTGCTATTCGTAAGCCTTTAAGACCAGAAGAAGTACAGGAATCGGTAAAATTGGTCTTGCCGATAGGTGGAATGGTCCGATACAAGTCTCGTGGATCAATCTTCTCACATGCATCCTTATCGCTTGTGTCTTTATAACATCAGAGATTATAGCTTCACAGGATGAAAGTGATAGATTGAATGACTCACCGGCTATAGCCGTAAGTATAAGGGCTGCATCTTTGACAGTTTGAGATAGAACTCCCACACTATCTTGATATTCGTTGGCAATAAAGACTCCATCCCGTGAAGTTAAGCCCGCAGTTGGCTTTAGCCCGATAAGACCGCAGCTGCGAGCTGGTGTTGCAATGCTTCCAGAAGTCTGCAAATTGTTAGACAGGTATATTATTTGAATTCTCCGTATCTAACCTCGGTACCCAGTGCAGCAGCTGCCAATCCCAGAGCTGTCGCAACAGCACTTCCCGTGGATGAACCACCAGCATCCTGATTCTCGCAGAAGATACCCGCGCACTGGCCACCTACTGGAGACCAGCCATTTGGGGCAATTCCCGGAGATCTAAAATTCAGCCACTCGGACATGGTCGCCTTACCAAGAATGATGGCTCCTTCTTCGCGGAGTTTGCGAACCACAGTGGCTTCAAGTGCAGGTTTTGCGCCAAGCAAACCCTCGAATCCCGCTGAAAAACATCCATCTACTTAGCTTGTGGGAAATTTTTAGACGGGAAAGGAGAAAGCTGCAAGGAAATCTACCTGTGGTTGCCATGGAATCCGTAGTAGAGATTACATCTTTGAGGAGAATTGGAACACCATGAAGTATGCCCCGAATTTGATCCTTCTCTCGTTCAATATCACGCTCTCTTGCGATGGCCAATGCATCTGGGTTGATTTCACTGATGGCATGCACCTTCGAATTGACTTCTTGGGTGCGATCGATGTACATCTGAACATATTAGACAAGGGATGCCTTATTCATTGTTTAACTCACCTCGACCAGTTGAACGCTTGTCAATCTTCGCTCCTGTAATTCGTGGAGAAGTTCATCGATTGACACATCGCTCAGTCGTAGCCGAGGTCGCCTCTCTCTAGCCGTTAGTGTCTGCGGCCCGGACAAAACCAAATTGGCCAGAGTATAGACACAGGTTGCTAGAAATGAAGTCTTGATCATGAATGATGACAATAACCCAGACATGACGGACTTGGTGGACAGCAAGCTCTTTTCGTTCAACCCCATCGGACTTTTTATGAAATCTTTATTTGAGGAAATTTGAGGAATGCCAGAGAGGAAGCAGTCCCAGCCTCCAATAATTTAACAAAAATTAAAAAGGCGCCTGAAGCGGGTACACGCAGAGCACCCGCTTTGACCAACTGGCAAAAGAAAAGTATTTATGAAGTACAGATGCGTATACTTTGTTGATCTTACCACCTTTGTCAGCGGGGCACATGTTTATCAGCTGGCTTGCAGCTACAGGGGTTCCGATACACTAGTGACACGCTAGAAAGGGGGTTAAAGGGGTAAAAATAATCGTCTGTATCATACAGGCCATTACTATTTTCAAAAAAAAAAAATACAAAACAGCCCCAATCAGTGTGCTAAATGTAGCGATGAAGCTAACCAATAATATGGCCTCCCACGTTCCGAAGAATTTTTGGTGGCCTCTTTTTTCATTTTATTCCATCCAGTGCTCGCAGGAGTTCTTTCAAGCAGGGTCTTTGAAGATAAGCTAGAAGGTCCAAGTCATTGGGAGTTGCTTTGCCTTGGCGATATCTTTCGCGGGCCATCACAAATTGCTCTGAGCTATCAAGGCTGTTGATCCAATAATGTCTGGCTGCCCTGATTGTATCTGCGGGGGTTCCCATGGGCTCTCCTTCAACCCCCGACATACCACGGCTGACCAGCTTATTGCCCACACGAAGAATGAATGGAGAGGAAGTTTCATACTCACGCGCCCCCCTTGTACACTTCGTAACAAGCTGCTGTATTTTTGGGGGTGAGATAACGAATCGCGGAAATTGAGGATTAGACTCCCCTGGATGAGATGGGACAATCAAGTGTGTGACAGTCCCAACATTCTCAAAGATGCAGTAGAGTAATTTGCCCAACATAAAAACCATGGCAGCGTCTTGCTCTAAGGAGCGAAGACGATACCAAAAGTTCCGCGAGCGACCCTTCATTCGCTGATAATGCTGCACGGGGTTAGGGATGGGCTCCTCCAGTGCAAGTGAAAGTAACTGCGCAGACTTGGCTTGCACCACAGGGTCTTCGCAAGTCATAATCACGGAGTAAAGTCTCTGCATCATAATAATCTCAGGGGGTGTCCAGGCATCTGCAGTCCCTCGCTGCTCAAAGTCGATCAAGACCAAATCACGACTGTTTGGGATGGAGGAGGACAGCACGACATTCTCGGCTTTGAGATCTCCGTAGATAATTCCTTGTTTCAATCTGAGATCACATAATGTTTTGGCTAACTGTTTGGCCCATTTGACCTTTTCCTGCCATCCGATAGGCTTGAAATGGCTATGAGGACATAGCGCTCTGGCTAAGGACCCACCAGAGTAGAACTGAAGAATGAAACCAAACACAAGGGGCTCCATGGTCGGGCAGGACTGATACACTATGAGGCCCATGGGGCGACCGCACAAATTCGGGTGCTTATCGAGCGAAAGTAATATCTGGAGCTCGTGGTATAGTGAATCAGCCGTGCCCGTCGCGGATTTCATAATCACTAGCCGAGGCTCATAGCCCACAGGAAGCTCGACAAGGCTCACTGTGTCATTGATCTGCCTAACAATCCGTAATTGGTCTAGAGAAACAATAGGAGGGAGGACCACCGAGTAGCCCAGATGTTTGTAAGAAGCCTTGAGTCGTTCAACAGTGGTTAGAAACCTTTCAACTCGACTTGATTTGATGGAAAACCTCATTTCGCGAATATTGATATCAATATTCTCGATATGGATCTCCGAAGCAGGCGAAAGGGACCGGTAAAACGCGTCGAAATCATCGTGCTGTGAGGTCCACATATGCAAGGCATGAAGCACATGACGTGCAAGTCCAAGTTGGGCAAAGCGATCGTCACGAATATGAGTACAGGATGAAATGTCTAAACACCAATGCAGAAACGAGGGTAGGTGAGAGAGATCGGGTAGAAAAAGGTCGATGCGGAGCGGAGGGTGAGGCCCACAGGATCCTATTGGGACAATGAGAAGACGCCGCCCACAATCGTCGGCCCCGTCTATTCTCCACCCTGGACTCGGAATAGGATCTAGACAGTCGATGCGCGTTGCCGGGTTCATGAAAGAATCGGTCCACCTCGTATCGGGACAATCTTTCTCATAGATAGACTTCTCGACGTTTATGGCATCCCACGGCCCAGAACTTGATTTCAAGGAACACCAGTCTCTATAGGCACCGGAGTTTTTGACATATTGTGAGTATATTGCTGGTGTGAGATCCATTTTGGCCTTTTATCAGGCTGTGGGGATCTGTCCACAGTAGGAGCTCAAAATGATTTCCAGAATAGGTGCTGGTAAACTCCGCGAGAAGAAGCCTTCGTAACAAAAATATGCGCTAAGCACCTGAGCGATGAGTTAAAACCTTCAATATCGGAATGGGGCTTATAAGTGGTTTCAGTTTTCAAAAATATATAGAAAAAACTAGAAAACCGTCGTCGATATATCATGTATGCCAACCACCAACTAAGAAACGCAAATCTGAAATCTCAGCCCTATTCAAGTGCCTACTGCTGAGGTCCTTAAGTAAATGCATGTATCTACATGTAGTGGGCTGGCGCCCGTATGGACTCCCGAGGTCCTTCATATCGATTACCATGTATCCCGGAAGCCTTGAAATGCACCAGCCTGGAGAATCTGCTCTGCATATTTATATTGGCTGCTTCGGAACCTTGGAAACGGCAAGGCGTTCAAATCACATTAGATACGAAGTTTCGATAGGTCAGACAAGGGCCGTGCCCATGATACGTCGCAATAATAACTTGGTGTAAATAGCAAGTGCATAGACCTTACTGGTAACCCAGCACTAGTAATTACAGAACCAAAACAGGTTACAGTTGGGTTCAGCAGCTCACCTGGGCATGAATGCATGCATCAGAGCCGGTTAGCCTAGGCATGCAAATTCACCCTCCATCACCCGCCATTAATCTTCTATCGCCACCTAATAACCCCAGTCTTGTGTTGTTCTACTCCGTGGCTACTCGGTACTTACCTTGGCTATTTGTCTCTACCTTATACTAGAATAACTTTGGGCTCTAGTGACAAATTTCTACTACATGTATCTAAAATCTAATAGCCAGCCAAGAATCCCACGGAAGCAGTCAAATATCAAATATTGAAATGAACAAGCGGCCACAGGAGTCACATCCTGCAGAGGAAGCAAATGACCGACATGTACGAGCTCCAAGGACTCAAGAAACCTTTCAATCTGCACTGAAATTTTTCAATACTGATTATTTTATTAAACAGGTCAAGAAACGGGCTCCAAATGCCACCACGACGGGGCCTTCTATGGAAACCCCCAGGTACGATACGAAAGAAACATTTCGTATTCGAGACATTCCTGAATCCTATTCTGCAGAGGAGCTAGGCAAAGGTCTGCAGGTGACATTGAAAATGGAATCCCGAGAGATCGTTATTCATTCATTATCAACGGAACCAGGCTTCACCTCTCAGGAGCAGACGCGAACTGCTACTGTCTCTTTCAGCCGCATCCCTCCCTTTTTTGCAGGTCGAGGCAGAATGCTCAATATTGACACAAATCAAGTTGCATCCACCTGCTCTCTACTCCTCCTACATGATCCGAAATCTGAGCTCGAAGAAGTTGTTGTAACCATAGACCAACACTTCCTCGGATTCACTCCACTCTCGCCAGCGCGATTGGATTCCGGTTCAATAATCGAGTAAGTCACACTCTGATGTTTCAACCTTATGAGCTCTGAAACCTGGTCGCTTATCATTCCAAAGCTGCATTGTGATTCACGGTTTCGGCGGTCATGCAATTGGATCTTTCAGGGACTCGGCCACCAGCTTTCTATGGATTAGAGACAGCTTACCCCATCATTATCCGGGACTCAGAGTTTTCACTTATGGCTATGACTCAAATATCCGCGATCATGACTCGGTCGCCGATATCTACGAATGGTCTCAGAATTTTGTCATGGATCTACAGATCCTAAGGCGAAAGGCTCTGGTGAGTAAAAGTCTGATATTTCTAATGAGGCCTTGATGGAAAATTGATTCGAAATTAGTCACAACGCAATTCAAGGAGCCCCGTTCCAATAATTTTCATCGTCCATAGTCTGGGGGGCTATATCTTCAAAGAGGCAGGTCTTGACAACTATCCCAAGCAGTATTCCTCCGCCAGGTTGAATTGACAGTTGTGATATATTTCTAGGCATTCATTTCCATGCATGATAGGAAAAATCCTGAGGATGAAGCGATTCGCCTTTCGACGCATGGGGCCCTGTTCTTTGGAGTTCCAAGCCAGGGCATGGATATCAGCTTACTTACTGCAATGGCTGGTAACAGTCCCAGGCAGTACACCGTGCAATTGCTCGACAGAGATGTCGGCTCACGCTTGCGCCAAAGACAGCATGAGAAATTTTGCAATGCATTCCCATTTCGCGACTCGAAGATAGTGCAGTTCTTTGAGCTTTTGAAAACAAACTTCAATGGGGTAAGCCACGAACCTATCATCCTGCAAGCCGGTCGCTGATTATGCAGAAATCTGAGCTGCTTCTCGACCCAGGATCTGCAACCTACGGTCGTCCTTGGGAAACAGGGACCAGTTATACATACTCAATTGGAGGAGACCACAGAGGGATGATCAAGTTTGCACGGTCGGACCGAGAAACCTACGATCGAGTGCGGTATGTTTTGAGTGAAATGGTTCAAGATGCGGTATCTGTGGTTGCGGATCGCATGAATTCACAGCAGAACACCGCAGTTCTGGTCTCAGACCCGCCAAAGACGTCTCAAACCGATATGCCGCATCGTTCGGCTCCAACTCAGAAGACCAACTTTCCTATCACCTTGCCACCATTTCTAGGCTCAAAAATTATTGTTGGTAGAGGTGATTACCCCCGCTCTTCTTTTCTCGCACCACACGAGAAGAACACGAGAAGAATCTAACGGATACTAGATGAGACTATCGCCGCACTGATTCAACATGTGAAGGATCAGACGGATGGAATGCCGTGTTTTGCCTTATTTGGCGAAGGTGGCGTTGGAAAAACACAAGCCGCCTTGAAATACATTGACGAGCAGCATCAGAACTACGATACTGTGCTTTGGGTCAATGCAGATACGACGGAGAAGTTGACTCGAGACTACGAGGTATTGGCAATCAAGTTAGGCTGCTTAGATCGATCTTCTGGTTCGTCTGAGACGAGCAAAGAGGCTTTGAAGACATGGCTGCAAAATAACTCCGGCTGGCTCTTGGTTTTTGACAATGCAGACAATTTTGAGGTGCTCGACTCATTCTGGCCAGCGCGGATAGGAGGCGGACATATTCTTCTCACCTCCCGCCAACCAGCAATATCCGATGCTCCTTTCCTGACCTTCAGCAGGGAAATTAAATGTTCCACAGATGAGGAAGGAGCCAGCATGCTCTTATCAAAGATCAAAAACTACTCCCATGACGTCAAATCAGCAAAGATGATATCAAGACGCCTTGGGGGCCTTCCATTAGCGATTTCACACATCGCAAGCTATATAAAGAAGAATTTTGTCTCTCTAGAGGATTTCATTACCCAATACGATGGAGAGGAAATGGTTGTGATTGAAGAACATCAAGCTGTATCAGCCACATGGGGCTACCAACGTTCCTTTGCGACCTGCTGGAAAATGTCTATGGACAGCTTATCCACACAAGCTCAGGACCTCTTAAACAGGTTAGCTTTATTGGATTCCGACGGGATTCCCAATGTTTTGATTATGCCATCCACCGAGCAACCGACGCACAACTTTGCGCGCGAAACATTAGCACAGAAACGTGCTCTCAGAGAGCTTGAGGATAGTTCTCTGATTCACTTCGCGCGAGAAAGTGTGAGCTTACATGAAGACAAACCAGCAATTCTGATACACCGCCTGGTCCAGGATGCTTGTCGCCGACGCTGGTCACCAGAGAAATGGCAGGAAAGCTTCAAGACCGCTTGCGACAGCATTTCGAGAACCTACCCAAAGCAAAAGATGGGCCAGTCAATGGTGAAGTTCTATCCTCAATGCATAACTTACAGTTCTCATGTTCTCACACTTCTTCGCCATCTTAAAAACAATCCAGACAAGATGGAGGCATCTCTGGAGTTTGCCGAGGTCCTGGCCCACTGCGGCTGGTATCACTTCGAAAGAGGACAATTCGATACCGCATTTTCCATACTCGAGCGAGCACAGTTTATTTGCAACCAAGTGATGCCAGATGAAAAGAACCTCATTGTAGCCCTTGTTTACAACAACCTGGGTGGCGTATATGTCAGTTGGAGCAAGCGCGAAGAGGCAGAAGTGTGCATCAAGACCTGCATTCAGCACCGAGAAGCCTGTCTCACCCGCGACGATCCCCAAATTCAAGAGCTAGCTACCGTATATTCTAACTACGCGAATCTTCTCCGCAAGGAGAAACTTCATTGGGAAGAATCTCGGCTCTACTACGAAAAAGCTCTTGACATTCGGAAGACATGCCCTGGATGTACCCCCGAGCTATTGGAGCATACGCTTTTCAATTACGCAAATTGGTTTTTGCAGCAGGGACTTGTTGAGGAGGGTTTCAAGTATCTTCTTGAGGCGAAAAAGCTGCACAATTTGTTTGAACGTATCTCTACAAACCAATTGTACACAATGTATACCATTGGCAAAGTGGAATATATTCGAGGTCACACCATGAAATCCTACGAAACACATAAGGAATGTCTCAGTCATCGGGTTCGTTTGGAAGGAGAGAATCACTTCCTGACTGGAGTCTCGTTACACAAAGTAGGCTGCTTGGCCCTTGAGCTGGGCAATATGGATGAATGTATCCTGTACCTTCAAAGGGCCTTGAAGGTCTTCCGAAACACTACTGGTGATCGAGGTCTGCTTCCTCGAACATTGATTCAACTTGGGAGGGTCTTAACAGTCAAGGGAAATCAGGACTTAGATCAAGAAACACTGGAAGCTGGGAGAGTAATGCTGAGCGAAGGTACCGAGCTAGCGAAGCAACATAGGGGAAGAAATGTTCCTTTGGAAACTGAAGCGGATATCAATCGTCTGGTCAAAACAACCTACCAGTGACTGTACTTTAGATAGGACTTGTTAAGTCATCTAGACTCCACTTTCATCATCATATGTATCACCTTCCCGGAGCGGTGCATGTGACAGATCAAATTTTGAGCGCTGTTGGGGGTTTTATTTGCATAAGTTCTGAACTATCACATGTAACGTATTTCACAGGCGAGCGGCGCACCCCTAAGCACCATAGTAAATGCGATAAATTCCACCTCATTGTCTTGTTAACAGTGGTCTATAAGGGCTATTCCTTGAAGCTGAGTTCTCTTGGTAGGACATCTAAGCCTTTTAACGAGTTTCGAAATTTTTTTGACCTGATGACTATAGAATATATATCTCATCAGCTTGTGGATGTAATTCTAGGTCTCGTGGTAAAAGAAGAACTTAATTTATTTGAAATTGATATATGCTCCTGGTAATCCTCATCCGTGACTACCCACCAATATAGAAATATATTAGAAATTTTGTTTATGAAATTCTAACTGAAGGGCAGCGCGAAAACAAAAAAGGCAGGACAGGAGAGAGACTGGAGCATAAACTGTAAGATCATTCTTGCTATGTATGTGGTTGTAAAAAGTAAAAAGCCAAAAAGAATGGAGCAGCGGCGGATTGAACGCCGGGCCTCCGCAATTTCCAGATCACGTGCAAATGCGGCGCTCTACCACTGAGCTACAGCCCCAATTGTTTACATTTAACATACATATTATTAATATGTTGTTTTCTAACTTATGATTCTTCAGCCTTTCCCTAACATTTCTTAGATATTTCAAAGGCAAAAAATCGAAATATATTTAGTTGAGATAGTAGGCTTTGATAAGGGAAGAAAGATATGTGTTGGCTCAACGAATCTGGCGTCACAGCAGTACCAGATTTGATACAGTGATAGTCTTCGTTACAATCGTCCATTAGTATTGCAGAAATGTAAGATTTCCAATTTTATTCTAACTAGTTTCAACATCAAGTGGCATAAATACTCTAAAATATCTATTGGATCAAATAAAATCAATCTCTAATGCCTTAAAATATAGCGAGCTAACCGGTTTTCATCGATCACTTCGAATCAATTAATGCGCTCAAAATCGAAGCGCATGTTAAGAGAAGCCCCAACCCAACCAGTTTGCATAACAATTTGAGAAATCCGACGAGTCCCCCGTGGAAAGGCTCCCAGTACAATGTATGCGACAACCTTCCCTATACGAGTACCCACCAGAGCATCATATTGTGGCATCCCATATTCGTAAGTCCAAGGCGTATGATCATGCCATTCAAGATTCAGTGAAGGGTACAGGTGCTCATGGGCATAAGCGAGTGTCTCCTCATTAATTATTCCACTACCAATTATGCAGGTTAGTTCATCCAAGTTGAAATCACGTTGATAGATGGCCTGCGAGATCTGAGAAATGTGAATGACATTAATTCTCCCCTCACAATCACCAGCCAAATGATCTGGGACTCGGTGTAAATTTTCGAGGATCATTACCCCATCTGATACATACCCAGCCCAGCCGACAAACCGAGATTTCAATTTATACCATCGATAGTTGGGCTGTTCTGGCCCAAAGACTTCTGGGGCAATATTCGTCCCTGCCAAGAATTCATTAATCTTTCCTTCAAAGTCGAATCCAGGGTTTTCGTACCGGACCTCGAACGTACTCCAGTCATCACAGATAATTACGTCGGCATATGTTAGTGTGGATGGACCTATGTGGCAACCGCCCACGTCTGGATTGTCGATCCATTCTCGAATGGCTTTTCCACGGGCTTGGAAGATTTTTGCGTCGCCAACGGGAGACTCAGGTAGAGGGGCAGGGGGGAGAGGGGCACCAGTAATAGGAATAGGAGTAGAAGTAGGAACACGGTGGATAGGTGCCGGAGGGGGAATTGGTACGGGATCAATATGCTCATTGTGCTCTGAATGCACTGATTGAACTGAGTGCTCAGAGTCTAAGCTACTGCCATTGAAGCAGCAATTAAAGAGATTGTGAATGATACAGCGGCGAGACATTGAGAAAGGCTTCACTGTAAGTATATGGTACAGGCGTTATCGATTGACTGTTGATGGACTATCAAGCAAAGTGGATTAACACAGTGACTTTATACCTCACACATGATTCATTTCCATAAATCAGAATGATCGGAATGAGAATATGAAATCTTAGATTTCAAAGACTTCATCACAATGAATGATCTAAATATAATGTTTGTTCCATCATTTTCGAAAATAAAGCGGTCAAAGGCGAGTGTTCATTCGGAGATTCAAAGTCTATTCTAGATCAATCGGCTTCTTCCTAGATGCCTTGGTTTGTTCCATTGTCTTAGTTCAATCAGCGCATTGTCTTTCATTATTCTTATTTCGAGTACATTGTAAAGACCATTTTTAGTGATGCTTGACAGATCTGGTGCCGTTGAACTATGCTATTGTACGAAATTCAGGAATGTGTGTAGATTCAAAATGGCTTCCGATAGCAGCAAATGGACGTATATTTGACATTGATCTATCTTTAAGCTTGTTGATTCTTCCATCTGATATGCTTTTGATAGATATCATGGCGAAATGTTTGCTTTAATGAGGCTACTAACTCACCATCGACCGGAAGCGCCGCCTGTATCGCACAAACGCCACAAAGGTCGTTCTGGCGATCAATAAACCAGGCTAGTGTCAGACCACCACCCCAAGTAAGAGTATGCTCACCATACCAGCCATCGACATCTTCCAGCGCTAGCAAACCGCTTAGACCATAGCCCACCTTCATTCCAAGGTCGGTCCCCACACGGAAAAAGGGCCCCATCGGACTTGCCAGCGCAGTTTGATAACTTGCCATTGCTTGAGGGCTGAGATGATTCTGAAACATGCTTTCCACGGCGGCAGGCTTGAGGATCTTGCCGTCGTTAGCCAGAAGCGATTGCAGGACCTTCATAAAGTCGATACCCGGAAGAAAATATCCATGTCCACCGAAGTCGCCAATGGTACGCTTGTTCATGTCGCCGCCACCACCAAGAACAGCACGACCCAGGGCATCGGGGTCATCAGGGTTGAGGTCAACTAGCCGGGCTCGTAGGTCCTCGCGTGTGACCGGGTAGAATTGGCCGTCCGTGATCCCCAGTGGATCAAAGATCATCTTCTGCATATATTCTCCTAGGGTGCAACCCGCCACTCGCTCAACTATACGACCGGCCCAATCAAGTCCAGGGCCATACATCCAGCCATCGCCGGGCTGAAAAATTAGTGGATAACAGAACAGTTCTTCGACTGTTCGACGGTCGGTTTCGGAACCAGCAAACTTTTCTCGCCACCTGGCGACGAGTGGATTCATAAAGTGATAACAAAGGCCCGAGCTATGTGTGAGTAGCATTCTGAGAGTGATTGGTCGAGATGCAGGTTCGAGCAACGGTGTTTGACAGTCTTCCGTAAAGCCAGTCAGGATCTGTTTGGCAGCAAGCTCGGGTGCGATCGATGAAAGGTCACCATCGAGGGATAAAAGGCCCTGATCGGCGCATTTCAGGGCTGCAATGGTCGTGAGTATTTTGGTCGCCGACGCTAAAAATAGTACGTCATCTAGCGCTTGCGGGCGCGTTTCACCGGATAGGAGAGTGCGTGTTCCAAAAGACTCCTTGAATTCAAACGAACCCTCAGAGTTGGTAGCGCAGATAACGACACCGTGGATGCTTTTGGCATCGATAGCGGCGTGGAAGCTAGTTTCGATGTCGGCGGCCATGACGAAGCTGAATTCAAATAGTGCTGGGATCCAGTATCTGGAAATATGAATTTTGCGGTCAAAAACCTCTTTAGGATCGTAAGCGAAGGGTGAGTTGATTAACAGCCAGTTTTATGACTCAGGAGATCTGCGGGGTTCATGTGCGCAAAAGACCGAACTCCGTTCCCGTGAAACTTCAAAAAGGGTTTGACCATGGGTTTTACGAGGCATTCCTGTGAGCAGAGACATTTCCTTCACTTTTAGATACGAATGGTCAATTGAATCGCCTGTGAATAAATAAATTTCGCCACGGAGACACGAAGGTCGGAGCCAGTCCATAGCTAGCCGGCTGATAAAGAGATATTCCAAAGTAATGATATCTTTCCAATTTCTTTGAATTGGAAAAAAAAAACAACGAATACATGTGATACTCAAAGCCCATTGTCCTAAGAACAATTCGTTCTATATTCCACTGCGCCTAAAGACAGTTTGGCCTTGAGAGAAACGCTTTATAAATAACAGTATTTATAGAATCTCAAGTGCTCTGCGTCGACGATAAATAGATCGACAATCCTACTCTTATTTACTTCCATAAAAGAACGACTCATAGATATTTATTCACGGACCAAAACCCAACAAGCATCAACACCAAGCAAACCACTAAAATTCCTCCCATTTTACTACTTATCTTGACACTCATTCAAAACGGTTAGAATCTGGGTCAATATTTTCCTTTCTGGACGTGAAAGTCGACTGAGTGATAAGGATCTTCTGTTGTTCATTTTAACAGCCGCGGGCAGTCGACAGGGTACCCTTACCCAGCGACCTGAGATGATGAGAGTAAGTCACTGTATATCCATCGAGGTGAAGGGTACAAACATGGCTAGCTACTTTGACTCCGCCGAAAGAACTATCTATGAGTGGGGTCGTGATCTCGAGTCCCATGGAATAGTACCATTTAACCGTTGTTGTATCTTTCCAATGAATTAGTGATAGAGATACATGTATAAGGCGACAAAGCGAGTTCCTTCTTTGTCTACGGCGCGTGTATGCAATTTTACTTCATTTTTCGATTTAAAATTTTCAAGGTACAAATCAATTATCACCTGTAATCGTGTTATTTCAAAACTTGCACTTTTCAAATCTCTAGACGTGTCCGGTGAAATGATAATCAGCTGGCTCCAAGCATTGCGCCCTCTTCTAAACGGGACGATCGTCACTTATATAGTGGACTTCGACGTGTCACGGCCGGTAATGGCTTTGAACGATGTGAGAGACACAAGCTAGCCATGAAGAGATTCACGAAAATACAGAAATTCCTACCTGACTGCAGTGGAGGGGCTGCCGCCATACCTGGGGATTTTGACTGGTATGACAGGTTGATCTCGGTGGTGTGGGGATGCTGCCGCCGTCACTAGCCACGTCAGGCAGTGATCAACGCTAGGGGATGGGGGCGGAAGATGATTTCACGAGAAGGGTTCTAGCCAAACCCGTACTAATCTGACAGGAATTATGCGGCTGATGGCACTATATTACCATTAGATTGTCTCCCCCCAAAGAATCCTTTCTCTCTCTATCTACATCTCCTCACTTGGATGTTTCTCTGGCGAAGACTCTCGATTTTCACTTGTTATCTTCAATGATTCCTGTCGAAAATGATTGAAACCCGGATAGAGATTGTGGCTCCACCTAGTCAGGTGCGAGACCTTGTAAGATTCCATCAAACTATCTGATATGACTCATGACTGACAGTTCGGCGATGTCACGCCTGCCCTTCCCATAGCTGCTAGATTTTGCGAATTACCCGGATTGGCAAACCTCTGGGCTTATTCGTTCTTTAGAACCTGAAGATTCCGCTCAAACTCTAGCCACCTTGCAGCCTGGCGATAAAATCAAGTGTGACATTGATAGAATGAAGTTCACAGCCGTCATTAAGGTTTGTCTACATCCAAAACTAGCGGTATGCAGCTAACGCGATACCGATGACAGGAAAATTCCGAGCGTCTCTTCCAGTGGCAAGGGCCGCCCGTCATGGGCCTGGTTGCGGGGCTTCACTCATTCGGTTTTGCGACTACGGAATCTGGGGGTACGATATTCACCCAGACAGAGCAATTTTCTGGCCCCCTCTCATTCCTGATGGGGCCCTCTTTACTGGGGCGGAAGATGCTCGGCCAGTATCGGAGGTTCAATGAGGAGTTGAAGGTGCGCGCAGAGAGAGAGGGTTCCCCTTGATGACAATGCATTCTGTTGGGAGTGGCCCGAGTCATGACCTAGTGCAGTGCTCTCGTCTTGTTCGGGACTAGCTTAGTTGTGGTCCATAGGCCTTATCCTTAGACCTTTTACCCTTCTCTCTCTTTTTTCCCTTGAGACCCATTTCATACACTGTTCTGTGCGCTTCATCCGTGCTAGCCATGGGTGATGAGTGATTAGACCATATCACTTTCAACAAAAGTAAGGTTGCCTACAGCGCACTCACATGCATTGTCTAGAACTGATAGTACATAGCTGTAGTGTGTATTCATGCGTGTTACAGTCTTTGCAACATTTGTCTGCAAGAAAAAATATATCTCTACAAGAACCGGGGAGATTTAGATAAATCGATATTAACGTCAGGTTTCCCTACTTGCAAGTTTGGAGCACGAGCAAAATTAGATTCATAGCAATATTTAGCTAAGTGATCATGGTCAGCAAAAAATCCGAGGGTCTGAATTTGAAGTTTTGCGCCCGAAAAAAAGGATGCATCATCCGTGAATCGAACACGGGCCTCGTCGATGGCAACGACGAATTCTACCACTAGACCAATGATGCTGGGTCATGTGAAATGCTTACATATGTGGCTTCATGTAAGAAAACTAGCTTTCCAACCCAATTGAAATCTATCCCCGTAGTTGCACCTAATAGCTCGATTAGCTCAAAATACAAACGAACTCGAAAGATACACACCACTTAACATATAGAGCGGCTAAGGATGAAGAGTAATTGAAGTACCAACATTGAAATTGAAAATTCAGAGTACATGAATTCGTTTTTGAAAGAGTCTATAAGACCATTGATAAGTCCCAAACATAGAGAGCAGTCTAGGTACGATCACGACAAAAATCGTGATCATGGCGTAGTAATCTGCCCGGGCCTGCACCTCGCTTCTGGGCCCTATCTCTTACTTGCCTTCTATAATTCAAATTGTTCACGTGTGATGACATTTTCACAATTGATGGTCCTCGGAGGATATGATAAAGCGTTTAAGCACCGAAGAATATCATTTTTTGACTGATTTTAGGAGTGCGAATGAGGAGTACAGTACAGATATAACATCAGCCGGCTTCCATTTAGTTCGGTTTAAAAGTTACGGTATAGCGCCATACATTCTTGCGCTAGCCGCTGTTGATCTGTTCCTTGATCTTCCTCATCCAGAAGGCGTTAGGTATTGTCATCGGATGTTCTAAACCTATATGCGAGCTCCCGTCCGAGATATCAGTATCATATCCACCACCTGCCCCAGTACCAAAACAGGCCTGCCTCTTGATAGTCGTAGTCCGGCACTTATACGCTTTATATTTGACAGCGCTATTCTGCACCTTTCTTTTATTTTCCATCTCCCCCAACCATGGTTTCACTTTCTCTTTCAAAACCTGATACACTCCGGTGTAGAAGTGAACTTCAAACACCTCTAGGTCCTCATTCGCCTCAACCATCGCTTCAATACCATCTAACCACGCATGTTGGATGTAACTGTTTTTAGCATTCTCGGAGACTCCTTTTGGCATTTTAGCCAAAGATCTCAAGCTCGGACAATCAATATAAATCCGGATATGAGATAGGGAGAATGTCGTCCCTGGAGCGTTCCATAGGGAGTCGTATTTTGCTTTGTTGTGGCGTGACATATGTGGTTGGATATCCGTTTCCAGGCTCCACCAGAAGGTTAGACGTCGGATAGCAGGCAGACCCAGGGAGGGGATCTGGGCGGGAAAAGTGTTGCATGTATCTTTCTGGTGTTTGAAGCGGAACTCATTGCTGCCGTAGAGAATTGGTAGGCTTTCGGTGTATCTGTTTCTATTATCAGTATCATCGTTTTCTGAATAGTCCCTGATGTATGAATCGCACGGTAGAATTTCAAGATAGGAAATATTTTAACTCACACCTTCCAACACGAGCACAAAAACCAAACATCAATGCACATCCCCCAATACACTGCATGAGAAGGCGCGTGGCTTTGATCTCCTGGGCAAAAGTCCCAGTCTACGCTTTCGGATTGTGAATAGCATCCATACGAATAGATAACCCAATTTCTCGTTTCTTCCACCCAGTCACACTGGTAGTGCAGGGAACGGTTTCCGAAAAGGAGCTCGTAGATAATGATTCGGATTTCTGGGGGAAGGGTAAAGAATATACTTTGGGACTGGGAGTTGATGGAAGATTGACAGGGGTAGAGCTTCTTTTGGTGGACATTGGAAGCCGGGTGTTTGTTGGATTTGACTCCTGATTTTGTATTTAGTAATTGATCATTTGCATGGTGTTGGGTTACTCACTTCTCTCTATGTACCGTTTCAGAAAGTCGAAGGGCATGGTTTTGGCCAAAGATTAGTGATGAAAGAGATGATGGAGAAAGCTGGGGAAGATATGGAAACAAGGAGTCTGAGGCGCTTACCTAGGTATTCATGGCTAGGCAAATTTACTAGGGTCATTTTGGTATATGTAGGGTACCGCGGTAAACTTACACTACCGACCTTGCCCAAGTTTGAGATAACACCTTTACGGAGGCGAATAGAGACCAATTTATCAAAACCCCTAAAAACCAGGCAGAAACAGTAGAAATGGCAGAGAACGCAAAAATACTAGAATTTGAAAAAACAGTAATTTACATATCCAAGGTAAAAAAGTCAAATATTAGTCAAATCTTACTAAGTGCCAACTATATGCCACTTATCCGGCGACATGTTTCAGAGGTTTAGTCAGTATGTCCGGCAAGTAGTCGGCTGCCAAATATCGGACCGATCGCCTTCGGATTTCGGTAAATGAGGTACCGAAGTTGTCGGGGTTTTGAGGCCATGTGGCCCCTTTCCGTGAGCTCCAAGCGCTCCAGTAGATGGAGGCTTCTCGCCTAAAGAGAACCTATCCTCTCCACCCCTATGAGCACGATATATTGTGCGTCTTCCCACTTCTCCAAAACACCTAGTTCAGCCAGCTATGTGCACTTGCCCCTAGCTTCAAAAATATTTTCCATCGCCGCAGGCTCCTAGGCTTTGATGCACACTACTCGCCCTTTGTTGTCGCAGACTGCCTCGAGTTTGGGCTTTCTAGCATCCTGACTTAACATGGCTCCCTTCATGATCTCCCAATGCAGCGTCCCCGATGGCGCTGCCTTGGCTGCCAACAATGTTCCCGCTTTCTGGGCTGACCCGCACTGGGTCCTGGCCTGGCGCCATCGGACCCTCGAGTACCATATTTCGCAGGTAGCCCTGCTTTTTCCGCGTAACATGCTGAATGAACGGGAGTCCTTTCGACACCAGAAAGCAGTGAATCTAGAGACGGGTCGTATACTTGGCTATGCCCGATGGTCCCTATATGTACCATCGTGTCATGAGATAAACCCAGATAATGGTACACCGATATGGCCTGAGGCCCAAGTCCCTGCGTTTGAGCCTGAGAAGGAGGCTGAGATCCGGTGGATTGCTGAGACTGCTATTTGGGATCCTAACGAAGATGCCGACGAGCTAGGGAATCGCGTAACCGCGCTTAGGACAGAAGTGACGCCAAAGACACCGCATATAAGTAAGTTATATATTAAAAAATGACTATAGAGAAAAGGATTTCCTATACTTACACATTGGTTAATAGGTCTAAAATACCTTGCTGTGCATCCAGACAACCAGCGTAAAGGAGTCGGGACGGCATTGGTGAAGAGTGGGACGGACCAGGCGGATAAGATGGGTTTAGACATAATTGGTGTTAGTGGAGAGTATGGCGCAGATTTCTTTATCTATGAGGCTGGATCAAGGACTGTTTCTACATGTACATAATTCCCGGTCTTCTATTGAGTACTCAACACCGTCTAATCAAATACATCTGCTAAGTTGAGCGTACTAAAGTCGTGTTGCCTTATATTTACTTACATAGTTATCATACTTCCAAGTACTAGTCAGTACCTAGTAGTAATGAAGTTTCTCAGCCGGCAGTAGCCTGAGATAGTGTTGATTTTGGACGAAGTCGATCACAGCGACTAAAATAACGGGACGTGAGCAGAATTTGGTAAGCTGAATAAGCGCCTACCCATTTCCTGAAGTTGAGTAAGGCTCTAAGTTCCAGACTTCATATTACGGAAAGAGACGGCATCGTTTCGTGTTCATCATGCTATTACACTACCTTAGTAGCAGTAAATTAAAGCCCGTCCGAGAATTTTTGTTTTGACAGATACCTAGATTCTATATGTTTTCCAGCTCGGGGGGTGTTATTTGATGATCACTGGAGAATAAAATTCGCTCATTACAGTGGTCACTCAGTGAGGTCCAATTGACCATACAGTATGAATGTATATTCTCTAAAGCTCTAGATGAACGATCTATTTCACAGTTCAGTGTGCTGATTCAGCATTTAAATCTGAAATAGGATCAGATTGGTGGTTAAAATCTGTCCATGAACGGTAATATTTATACAGTATTTTTGTTATATATGTACATGAACGTTTTTTATGCACTTTATGGGAATGAAGAAATCAAATAAATCTGTCCATAGACAGGAGGAATGTCTCCATTGATAGGCCCGTGCCGAAGTCTATCACTAACGAAATGCCTTCAAGCGCAAGTGACAGACTATATATCCCTCACAGGCTCTTCGTATTGGCGGATAAATGAGGGTACTCTACCTGGCCATTGGTTATGGCACTCCATAAGCGACATAGTGAAAGGGTCGAGAGCGAGAGGGGGAGTTCTTATCGGGCGTACTAAGTGGGTCCATATCTCCTGGCTCCTATACGATGTAGTTTATGCCTAGTGTTTCTATTCGGTATTTCATCACAAGGCCACCTGTCCATATCCTAATGAGGCATCTTTATTTTTTCCCTTCTAAGGATATACACGTATCCTTCAATCAGCCTGGACTCCTCTCTCATGCTGACTGAAGTGACAGAGCCGGTTAACACCGCATTCGACAATACTGGCTACGGTTCGCTCCGAGTGCCAGGGTTCGCAGACATCCCGGTCCACTATGAACTCCCTTCCAACGCCCGTTTTGCGCACGGAACGGTGGAATGGCGACAGGCCCCCGCAGTCACGGCCCGCGAGCTAACCATGGTCGCCGTGATGAGCCACCTCACCGATCGGCCTGCGTGGTATGTGACTATCTTCGACGATGAAGTTGTAGCGCAATGGAAACAAAATACCTTTGATACAACACCACTGATGAGCGAAAAGGCGTGGGGATGGTGCGTAAAGGAGCTGCGCGATAAAGCGGTTAATCTCCGGGACAATCGCCAGATCCATATCCGCGTTCTTGATACTGGATCGTGCGTGTGCAAAGCGGATACGGAGAGTCTGGGCTCTCTCAGTGCAGTGTTCAGAGGGTCCGTTCCGGCTTGATTAGAGGAGCAGCAGGAACAGATAATTTTAGATTGGCAGTCTGAAAGCGTGTTGAATGTGGTTGACCCGTTGTTATTTGATTTATGGACGAAGCCTAGTCTTGACGGACGGAGGGAAAGTGGACCTCGACAAAGTGCTGGGCTCCTATCGAGATGCAACGGTCGCACCAAAGCATACGACCGACGGACCAATTCTCAGACCATGCAGGAGACACTAGACCGAAATTGCATTCCAGCGTGGGGTGTTAGACCCCCCTATGGTGACAAGTCTGCTTTCTACCATTGGAGTTCCAACCACCAATCCCTTCCATGCGAGGTGGAATTTCTCCACAATTTCGGGACGGAGGTGCAGATCACATCATACATCAACAACTTAAATCCAGCTCATAAGGGGCTATACCAGGCCATTGAAAACCTCATCTCGATGGCAATCAAGCCGGGGAATGATTGTCTGGTGAAAGAACAGAGTGGCTGGGATAATGAATACAATGTGGCACATTCAGGGCCGGTTCCCCTACGAATCATTACCTACGGGGTCGAATGGGAGATTGAGCTTCCTGAATGGGCGCTCGCGTTCAAAATACCCACCAAAGACAGAAAATAAATGTATCACATAGCCCAAGAAGCCCTACAGAGCAGCAAAGATGACCAGACAAGAGAGGGTAAGAAAAAGTACCTCGAGGCGCAAAAACAGCTATGCGGGCTACAAGATGTTGCAGAAAACCCAGATAAGGAGTGGAACATTGAAGATAAGTTAAAGCGTCTGCTGCGCTTTAAGCATCCGGAACCGGGAACCGCTTTTTCGTACGAGGAGTGGAAGACCAACCGACACAACGACAGAGCCATCATCGAGATACCCGACTCTTCCCGGGCATTATCGCTACATCAAGATGTATCTGATCGATCCACACTACCGCGTATGTTCGACCCGGAATATACCGCCACAGCAGTATCACTGGTGGATGCAGGAGGTAGGTAAGGTCCTTTCTACATTGGGGTTGCCTCGCGAACTTGTGGATGAGATCTTCTGCTACACGGAAGACTGGCCGATGGGAATGGAGGAGGCGGCACAGCACCGTCAGGATCTGATCAGAGAGCATAGATGGAACGAAGTATCTAGATTAGCGCGTATGTCTGGTCCGGAATTTTGATAGCAAAGAGTGACATGTGACATGTTCATTCACGTTGCAACATTAAGCCTCGTATGATTGTGTCACTTTAGGTCCTCACCGGGGGTTGGAATTGAAGGCAGGTGCCCATTAATGCCGAAGGGCGTAGTGTGCTTGTCGGGATATAGTTCAGGCAAATATAGGCTTCTCAGAAAATGCTTACATCGCAAAGGGGTGTTCAAGAAGCGTCATATCCTACCTTGATAGGCCTCTCAGCCCATAGGTTTTGTCTTGGTACTATGGGGAATTTCTTTTGGCCTACTTCATTATGCCTAAAAATGATAGGTAGATCGCTAGCTACTTTATTATGGGAGCAAGGATACTAGGGAGTATTAATTTTACACTTCCATTCATAAAGAGTTGTTCACGAAGAAAAAGATGCGACGATAAAGCGATTGCATATTGAAACCAATTTTTACTAGTAAATCACCGGCGCTTCCCCCCGAGCTGCAAAGCTAGACCTAATCTTTAGAAGGGTTGGGCATTCCCGAGGTGTGAGGCCACTTGCGGAAGAGGTCGGCAAGATGGTCAATGGGCGCCGCCAAAAGGCCAACAGCCGTCTCGTATGGCGGTTTGTCCGGAGCGCTGGGGTGAGAACGAGAAGGAACGAACATCTTAGTTCTTCCAAAAGACGTAGAGTACTCCTCGCTTTCCTCTTGCGATAAGACTTCTTCCAGCTTGGGCAGGTCATCAGCCTCTTCTTCCTTGATATGCTGAGACAGATCGACCATCAGAGCCTTGAGGGTAGGTAGGAACTGAGAATCTGAAGACTTCAAGTTTTGGAACTTCTTCAGTTGCTCTTTGATCTTTGATAATGTAAATAAGCTATTGAAACTCAGGGGAACGCGCACGTACTGATTGATGCTCTTGGCGATCTTTTTTGGCAAGTTCAAGGCCGCCGGACACATACTTCTCAAAGGCTGGGTAGACAACAAGCTCCTCAGCAATGGAATGGCGAGCCAATTCCCACGTAAAGAGATTCTGCCATCTCGTCTTCTCCGTATCCTCTGAGGTATTGATAATATTTTCGTAATATGACTCTATCTCCCGGTGATCCTTCTTGATCCAGTCGCTGATGCGGGGTGCCATATCAATGGATGAAATCACAAATGTGCGTCTGGTAGTAAGTAGTACTAGGCGTTCAATACTATTTTTTCTGAGCGCACGTAATGGAAAGGCCATGTTAATGAATCAACAGCTCTGCTCCTACGTTATATCGAGGGACCCCACCCTATAATAAAGATCCCTGCTTTCCAGTAATCATTCAAGCTTGCCAGAAGACTACCGGCTTGATGGTGTTGGTGCCCCAACCCTGGGAATGAATGCCAGCATCCAGGGATAGAGGCAAAAATCAAGGATGCACGGTAGGCCCAAACAGATTTACCAATCAAAGAAAGTATATATGTAAGCGTCATGGTGGCGAGCCACGGAAACTGAAGGATGGTCCACTTGTTGAACTCAAAAACACCTGTATACAACGAACTAAACTTGAAATCTAGTCACCGTAGCTGAAGCACTTGGGAATTCAGCTAGACAGACCCCGGGATCTAGTTCCACCAAATAGAACCAGACTGGTTCTAATCTGTAGAGCGTGAAACGCGTCAGATTCTTTCTATTTACTATACCAGCTTAGATACCGTAATTAACTAAAGCGGTCTATTGACCCGATCGTTGGAGCTTAGCAACATGAAACCTCAGTAAAACACAGCTTAGAGAATGCATCTCATTCAGCGTTTCACTGTTGCCTGAGATGGTGCGGAAACTGTTAAACAGCCAAGCAATCACCTTGTCATCCAGGGTGAGATCCATGAACATTAAGGTGTCAGCGCTAGGTAGTTTTGAATTGACAAAGTGTAGATCAATTACGTTGGCGTTCTTGCTATCACGGAGGATTTGTTTAAGCGAGAGATAGAGACGAATCCCGGTAAAGAAACGGATAATTATCTCCGAATAGTGTTCCCACGACCGACTGTTGCGAAGGCTTTGAATATATATCGGGTCTTGACGGGCGGGCTTGTACTGTACCCTAAGTTACGGTGAATAATGATGTTATTCGTCAAGCAAAGCCTCTATAACCCAATATGTGCATGCCATTCTCCCAAATCCCTACCTACCAAAATATCCTATTGTCATTCATAGTTTTCTCCCCGTATAGTAGAACAGAAGAAAAACGCCACCGGCATTTTTTACTAGATAGTTCTAACCGAGGGTGTCATAGTTTCTGATTAATTTATCTAGGCTTAACACTAAAGATCAATAATCAAGAAACCCGCAAGGGAATTAAGATAGAAGGCATTTCCCGTGCGAATATTGTGACATCATTCGGGTATCGCTTTAGCCCAAGTTGGGGGCGTTCTACTGGGCTTTCTTTTTTTTGTTTATGAGTTTACAATCAGTTAAAGCACTCGTCTCTTCACCGACGACCTGCTGTGTGGCATAAAGGTATATGGACTATCAAAGGTAACGAATATATAAGAGAGCCGGAAGCAGATTACTCACCCAGTAACTTCAGATTTTTTTTCACTTTACTATAATCTTTCCTCGTAGTCTAATAGTCTGTAATATCTAGAATCTGGTATAATTGATTTCCTGCATTCGCATTGTAATATAGACAAGCAAAGACTTGATTCCAATTATGGGCTAATGCTAAGGTTACATGTGCTGTTTGGAAAGACCAGATCTTTTATGTAGAAAGCCTTATAGGGATCTATGGCACAGTGGGTATATGAAGATCGCATGGTAAAGCCTGACTTTTACTCTTATGTTGCCATAGACTTTATCATGTTGACAGCAGCAATTTCTATTGATCTCTCCATTAATCTTTCCATTGATATTTGTGTTGGACTTTCTGAATTGGCCATCAATAAAAAGGCCTTCTTGCTAGCGAGCAAGCTAGTATAAAGAAGAACTAGCGCAATTGTCAATAGCCGCAATTGATAACGAATAGTCAGAGTTTACTTAAAGGGACTGTGACCCAGAAACCATTGCAGAGTAAAAAATATCCCCAGAATCTCAGACCTGGACGTCCTCGGAGACATCACTTGATATTTGCATTAATCGGCCATGATGAGCCAGCAAATTAGAATTGACACCATGTGACATTCTGCGTTACATCAAGCAACCCACCGCTAGTGAGCTCTCAGCATCCTTTCCGCGCAACGCTGTCCGCTGAGCGACCTCACCAAGCGACCCCAGCTGGGCAGTCCTCTGTCTGTGCGTAACTTTCTTCGCTTCCCCGCCACGTTGTTTTCACCTAACGCCCGTCACCCGCTTGTTCTTTGCAATGGAAATGGAGATACATGGTATCGGACGGCCATGCCTACGCTCTGTTAAGGGATCACCTGCGGAAGCAAGCGGAGTTCAGATTCTCGCTGAAGCCCCGATGCAGATGCCATATCCATGGGCCATCTTCCAGGACCACACCAAGTCCAATGCGCCAGCTGATTCGCTCTCCCAATCTAGGCGACCGTTGACCTGAGGGTACCATCGCTGTCACTACAAGGGATACAAGCGCGTTAGGTCAACAAGCCCGAGTATGGGTGTAAACCTACAAGGATGGGTTCCTTTCTAGTCTCACCGGTGCTGATCTGAACAATTTCTCAATTTGACATACAGTCCGTGCACAGTTCAGCTCTAAATCGTAAACTACTCAATTGCTCAAGCCGCTAAAAAGTGGAGACAGCCCTACAACTCGGGTCATGATGCCGAGGCCCTATAGGCCAGTATCCACAAAGAATTGACGAAGATGCATCAGTGCTTTTACTTTGGTTTTCCACAAGCCACCAATGTTGACCGAGGCACGGGATTCGGAAAGAGAACTCGGCCAGCTTACACCTATTCATAAACCTCATTTCCTCTCCATCGTCTGTCTCTGCTTTGTGCTGACGATTTACGAAGACGTTTAGAAACATCGTCGACCTCATGGCTGGACGATTGCTCTAAAGTAAATCAATCTCTGTGGTAAGGAAGACGAACTTCGCTGCAGCCCCTTTTACTGACAAGGAGTAGAACCCCGAGACTTATTAATTCAAGTTCGAAAACGACGGAGGTAAGACACAATTCGGCAAATAAGGCATAATGCAATGCTGAGCAAATAGATGTGAGATAATATACCAGGACTATTTGGATTGTGCGGTCATGAGGCATCAGTTTGTATTGCGAGATATCGACCTCCTCTTCAAAACAAAGTGACTTGTCCTCCTTATGAGCTTGCAGACGTCCCCGACTGGCAAGAAGACAAGGACAACGAAGACCGCCCGTATGTAAGAGGATAACACCAGTGGTAGTCTTGCCTGGTGCGGGGAATTATCAAGTTGGTGACGGTGATTGGAATTTTGGTTCTGATCATTAAATAACCATGCATGAAGGTGAATGGGCTGGAGTTAGGTTTTTGCTTGCCTGCTATGGTTTATATTAAGAAATTAGATTACCATGATATCGATCGTCTATGAACTTTGAGCTATGATTAAATTTGCGCTTGAGCCTTGTCTATATTTAACTGTTGAGTTGCTGCTACTTTTCCGAAGGTGTCATTAGAAGTTCCATGAATGATACACTTATTTGAAGAGGACTGTTATCCATTGATCTGATTGGCTGACGCCATAAACTGGGGTCTCCAAGTCAAGTCATTACATCATACTTGCGTTTCACTACAGTGAGGCAGAACAGGACAGGGCAATGTGGAGATTGTCAAAAAGGGGCGAAGGGTGATGAAGCTTACATGGAGTTGACGTAAGAGGGAAAAATACGAAGGTAGTGTAAGGATAACCCCCGCACGAACAGATATAAGGGTATTTCTATGTGCAAACGTAGAACAATCATCAGACAACATAGCAGAATCCTCACACAAGAAATCCTCCGCATTCTTACAGGCTAGCGACAATAGTAAGTTAATTAGAAATCATCAAAATTTGAAAAAGCGCGATATCCTGATGAGAATGACAGTGTGATTAGATAACGTACTTCATATGCGAGCGCCGCCAAAACACCATAGTAGAGGTTATTCTTGATAATCCTATATATCAACAAAAACTTCCTTAATTATATTATACTATTTTTCGATAAACTTCGATAAGTATTTAAAATAACATATATGAAGTTTAAATGATTCAAACTATTATATCATGACGATACCGAAAATTCCATCACTCAAACCCGGAAGACATATAATGTGATCCTCAGATAATCAATAATTTCAAATTTCTCTAAAATGACTAGATATGACATAAAAAGAAGTAAAATTCAAGAAAGCTTCCTATAGACCACTGTCGTTGAGATAATGAGTTGTAATTTATCGCATCTACTATGTGTTTTGGGGTGCGGCGCTCGCCTGTGCGCGGCGCTCGCATGTGAAATACGTTAAGTATCCTTTAAAGTTTAAAACTCAGTTACTCATATATATAGCAGGAGACAAGGATACGAGATCAGCAATCTTAATGTATCAGCCTGGATATAATATTGAGCGCCATGATGGTGAACGCACTCTGAATAATCCGCATTTTCACCCACGGGTCGAGGTAACGATGTTAATTGTCCAAGGGGGAGAAGCGAGAATGACATCGAGTTAGCTCCGTTAATCAAAATGTGAATTCTATATACTATAACGCCAACGAACGATTACCACTTTGTGCTTATGAGTGTATGAATCTTATCTAAAGAATGAATCGTTAGTAACTCGGTGTACTTGCTAGCTTGCAGAATAATAATCAATGGTCGTGGAGTTGCGGGGGTAGATTTGCGGGGTTTTAGTGGATGGTCAGTCCCGAGATGAATTAAAATCCAGTTGAGCACACAATATAAACAAATATGTATTAACTATTTTATTAAAGACTACTTGTTCTCTCGAAAGTATGATCAAAATGACCTTAGTAGTGTGACCAGTGCTACCCTATCCGTTCTTGACGTCATCACGATGTGAAAGACTACTAAAATTTCTATAGAAATCAGGATTCTTCTAGGTATATTTTCTTATCAGTCAATCAGATGTAACCGAACACCTGTTACATATCAAGAAATTTTTGTGAAATCATTGCTACGTAGGAGACAGCTTGAGTGTCTATAAGGTCCAGAATATACCAGCGAGACGATTTCAACCATTCAATCTTTCCTTAGTTGAGCCGAGAATAACCAGTCCATAAGTGGCGAGCCACAACGATATCATGACAATGAAAGCCGTCCAATTTCACAAACGCAAGGATGTTCGCGTGGTGTCAATTCCAGAGCCGGAATGCCAACCTGGCGAAGTGAAGGTATCTATCAATCCTCTTTTATAAGGACGAGATGTAGAGAATGAATATGTTCACAGATCAAGCCTGCCTTTGTCGGAATATGTGGTACAGGTAAGAATCTCTACCAGCAGACTTAGAATTGGGAACATTGAAGTTGATCCATCAAAGATTTACACGAGTATACTTCTGGGCCTGTTTTGATCCCAGAGAAGCCCCATACAATTACCAATACCAAAATTCCCGTCACACTGGGACACGAATTTAGCGGTACCGTTATAGACGTTGGAGAGGGAGTTCATCATTTGACCAAGGGTCAGAGAGTGGTGGTTCGCCCAACAATTTATGACAAGACCTGTTGCTCTTGCAAAGGGAAAGCCTATCACTGCTGCGATAACATCGGGTTTATTGGACTAAGTGGTATGTTTCGACATGAGGTCAAATCTTTGCAGACCTCTGTTGACATTCTCCTTCCAAGGCTATGGCGGCGGAATGGCGGAATACATGACTGCTCCAGCGGATCATTTCTACTGCATTCCAGACAGCATCTCGTTTGATATTGGAGCCCTCGTGGAACCTCTAGCGGTCGCCTGGCACGCTGTGCACCTGTCGCCTTTTAAAGCCGGTGATACAACCGTGGTCGTCGGCGGAGGCCCAATCGGCATCAGCATCGTCCAGGTCTTGAAACTTAAGGGGGCAAAGCAGATCATTGTCGTTGAGCCTGTGAAGAATCGCCAGCGTTTGGCATCCGAATTCGGTGCTGATAAGATTCTTGATCCAGGGGATTCGACTAATATCTCGGAAAGTATACGAGCATTGACGGAGGATGTCGGGGCCGATGTCATATTGGACACAGCCGGGGTCGAAAAGGCACTGAATAGCATAATTCCAGCATGCCGAACGCATGCATCAATTATTAACATTGCAGTCTGGGAAAAAAGGCCCCAAGTCGACTTGAACAAGTTGATGTATAATGAGGTGAACTTTACTGGGGCAGCATTGTACGATGAGCAGGCATTCGTGGACGTGATTCAAGCTTTGGCTTCTGGTGAGTACTGCAAATCCTTCCTGAGAAGCCCGAAGATGATTGAAACTAATAACGAGATAAAGGTGAACTGGATCCGAAAAGAATGATTACTTCAAAGATCGAGATAGACGATGTGGTTGATCAAGGACTGGAAGCTTTGATTCGGGACAAAGAGCACCATTGTAAGGTTCTGATTAATGTGGGGGCAGGATGAGATACAATCCGAGCTCATTGTATAATCGATTCGTGGAGAAATGTTCGAGAGCATGGTAGTCTCGTTCCATTGTTTGACTATTACAAGATACCATGATCCTATGAGACTGTATTGGCCGACGAATCTGCCGTGGACCAGGGCGCTGTAGTGAGAAATTGTTTCTTGCAGCCTTTTCCGGGCCATCCCAACCAAAGAAGAATTTATTGGATTGTTCTTTTCTCAGCTAAATCCGCCATAGCAATTTCTTGTAGCAGCTTGGTTATTTCTTGCTATATCCTCATTGTAATAAAAGAGCAATACTTGGGTGGCTGCTTTATCTGCGCGTAAACAGGTGCCCAGACTCTCCTGAAATGGCTAAATAAAGCGACAAGCTACCTAAAACATCGATACGTAAGCTCGCATACAAATTTCCGGTTGCTCTTCGAAGTATACTTTGATGCGTTTGGTATCCGACGAGAAAGTTGAATCTATGTTTGGGTCTCGTTGTATTGTTGCTGTTACATTACTGTGCAAAGTCATCCCCCACCGAGAGCTAGATGGTTGTTGATATGGTACTGTACGGCATCCCAAAGATGAAATGACCTAACCCATAGGGGTAATTCCATCGTACTACGATGGAATTAGGGTGATCTTCTTTAGTATGGGGGAACAAAAGTGGGTCAGGGTACGATGGGATATTATTTCAAGACTAGGATGGAGGCTGCCACTGCACATATTGCCGCAAAAACACAGTAGTTATTTATGTTCGTGAATTACCTAATGCAAAGTAGATTTCGACAATTAATTGAAGAGAGTAAAGAGATGAAACTGATTTCGAGCGCGTCTGTACCCCTTCGTAATCCTTCACTTTGCACACCCCCTTTTCATCGCTTGGCCCTTCTCCTCCAGTATGCCAGAGCTAGCAGACTTCACGCCGGCAAGGTTTTAGTCGTCAATATATCTCTAAGAACAGACTTGAAGCTCCTTCAAACCTAAGGTTTCTTCCTCAGCCTTCTTTAGGTAGCCATCCCCAAGATACTTGCGGAGCAATGGGGTATGGTCGAAGATGAAATCACGAATGTTGGCGAGAGGTCGAGGTATCCAATGAAACAATGTACTAAGTTTGCGAGCAAATTCCATGTTGTGATTAACATAGTCAATACGCTGTTTCTCATAGATTTCACATCCGGCTTTGAATGCTTGTGAGTCACGCAGATCGACGCCATCCAACGCTCTGGCGAGGTAAAATCCGTCTTCAATGGCCATACCCATACCGTAAGCAGCATAAGGCGATACGGGGTGCACGGAGTCACCGACGCAAACCACTCGTCCCTTGGACCACTTTTTCATTGAAGGTCGATTGTAGATTTCCCAACGATAAACCTGGGTATTGAAATCGGTGACATCCAAAAAGCGAGGTATCGGCTGTGCCCAGTCTTTGAGGATTTCGGAGAGATGTGCCTTAGGATCCTTTGGGACAGGTTTCCCCTCCCAAGACGGCTCGACAACCCACCACTCAAATCCGGGCTTGCCATCATGAATCATTGGGAAGAAGCTGGCTTGGTGCTGCCAGTCATGCGAGACGTATCCATAGTTGGGAGGAATGTCGGGAATGTGGTCGCACCAGGCGAGCCAGAGGCGAATGCCGGTGTGAAATAGGTGAGGATCACCAAAGGCCTGTTGGGAAACCTTTGAGCGAATACCATCTGCACCGACAACAATATCAGCGGTAATTTGGTTTCCGTTTTGGAAATGAAGTTCGACGCCATCTTCCGTCTCGGTGTAAGATGTAAACTCATGACCGGCGTAAATCACACCCTCGGGAACAAGGTCGAGAATCTTTTTGAAAATGGAAGAGCGGAGGACTCCATAATGCCATCCCTTGATGCCCATGCGCTTTTCAACAAGGGGATTGAATGGTAGTTTGACACGCTCGTCCCCGGCCTTGTTCTTAAAATATGTAGTTGTGAATGAGCCAACGTTGTCCAGACTCAAACCGTAAGACCGAAGAATCGACAAGACAGGAGTGGACAAGAGAACAGCACCCCCTATGGCTTTACATTCCGCCTGTCGCTCGTAGATGCGCACGTCAAAGCCACGTTGAATGAAAGCAAGTCCAGCCGAGATCGATCCAGGACCTCCTCCCACGATTGCCACTCGTTTGCCAGGGCGCCATTGTGGAGAAGCCATTGCGAGTATATATCAGACTGAAAAGTAGTCTGACGAGAGCGAGATGGTTGCATTGAGAAACAAAAGAAAAACCAACATAAACGTGCTAGGTTGGAGCTTTAGTAGGCAAGACCATACCCCTAACCTCAATATTGAAACCCATAGATCCAATTCCGGGGTATAGGTCGGAAGGCTGCCCACATTCCGTAAGCCGTATGATTGGTCAAAAAGGTAGATCTCTCGACTACTCTAGCGGTGTATGGAGAACTCGTCTCGGAGAAACAAACACCCGCTGACAAAGCAGCCGGCGATCTGCTAATCGCGCTTCCACGAAATAGTCTCGATCCCCCTCTAAAACTCAGGGAAAGTTTTGATTTTGGTCGGTCGGTCACTCACTATACCTAATTAGGAAGTGTTTTCGCATCCAAAAAGCCCACTACGGCGAGATCATGCTTATTTGGAGACCCATGTCTATTGAGTTAGAGAGCATCACTCAAGGGGACGGTAGCCATACAGTCGCGGAGATGTTCAATAAGCGGACATAATATTGCACCTATGGCGTGGACTTAGCGGAGACAGACTTAAGCCAGCAGGAGAAAAAGCAGGAAATTCCACTTCTTGTCCACTTGAGAAGCTCCAAACCGCCGTTCCGGTGATTGAGAACTTAACTCAAATGTCAGATTAACGTTGTGCTCGCTCGTATCAGTTTCAAATGGTGTTTCGCAGGGCCGGACAGAATTTGTGCTTTCTTGTTTAGCTGAGAGAAATTGGCACAGGAAGGGGTGGCATCGGTCACCAACGGAAACTAGCTAGGCTACATATTGTATTGGGGTGCAACCGTGCATGTAGAAGCATATGAGATCACCGCCTAGCATGTGGACGTGTATTTAGTATAATGACTCGCTGAGTCTCAGATAGCATCTGCCTAAACACATAGCCCAGGGAATGTCTCTGTTCCTAGCTTTCCGTTGTCCTACCATACTGGGCTTGCGTAGAGCTTGCCTCCTTTGACAAAAAAATGATGTCTGCCAGTGCCATTCCATTATTATCTTTTACTTCGCTGCTTCAAGTACGTCCGTTGTAAAATGCAGAGTAGGGTAAAAGAAGATCATGAAATTATTAGCTAATCATGTCAATGAACCATTCACGTTCTTGCTTCCAGCGTTTCTCGCAAGGGAATTTCCTGAAATGGCCTGGCACTCTTCTCTAAGGTAAAATCTGCAATAGTGCAATGAAATCCGTCGACACCATCATCATCATCTAAATCATATCCTCGCATATAGTTTACATATAGACTCCGTCGATTTGGTGATATTAGTGGATGTGAATGTGAAAGAAATTCCCCAAGTCCAATGTACAATCATATGTAGAGTCGAACTTGCCCGCTAGAGAGTATTTCACGTTCTACACTACATCATAGGGGACAGTTTAATACAATTCCCATAAGCGGCCGCGTGATATTGGTCCTTCGCAATGCACTGTACAGAAATGTCAAAGTCATACTGTGGTGCGCTAAGCCTAATCAGGTAAAAAATGGGCTAAGTGTCAAGCCGATGTGCGTCCTACTTATTACTGAGATTTCAGGTATCTTCCAGGTATCTTCAGGCGGGGGCTGACTTTAATAACTAACTTTCTTCAGTAACGAGCTATCAATTTCGAATTCACATGGGGCTGAAGGTTGGAGAAGGACGAGTCTGCCAATAAATCCTTCACAGAAAATAATGATACATTTTATATAAACATATATAGCTCGACTTGATACATGAACACATTATATCGCACGTTATTACTCCATAGATAACAACCGTGCTCAATAGCAAGACCATTGCACAACAATCATGGACAATTTCGTTTGCGACCAGCCATGTCCACGATCAGACCTTTTCGACAAAGTCCTCACATCTCTTCTCGTCGCCCGCATATCCACCGCTCTCAATCTCCATCTTTTCGATTTCAGCATTAAAGTGAGTCATACGCTTGGCAAACTCCTTTTCCTCATCCCACACGAAGGGGCTCTTGCTGGCAAACAGGAAGTCGATCTGCTCGAGCGTGCGGCCGGCAGTCTCGGGGAAGAAACAGTAGATGATGGGGATGTAGACGAGCATGGCAGCACCGAAGACGTAGAAGGTCTGAGGGAAAGAAGTCAGAAATGAAAATATGGGAAAGGTAAGATAGCACTAACCTTCTCGTGGATACCGGCAAACATGACCGGGACGAGCAACGACCCAGCGCCATAGCCAACCGCCCAACCTGCAACACCAAAAGCGTTACCTTTGGCGCGTAGCCATGTCGGGAAGATCTCCGTCGGATAAATGAAAGGAATCATTAACCATGAGGAGCTGAAGACAACCACGTAGAGAATTACCATGGCGGCGGCTCCGGTCCCGTACTGTTGAGCCTTGTCGGGGTTGTTAATGGCTCCACGGTTCAGACCACCACTTGAGAGACGTCAGCAGGAGCATCGTCAGGAAGAAATGGGATTGTACTCACATGGTAAAGAGAATAATACTCAAAACGACCGCTCCCCAGTAGAGAGTCCGGCGGCGACCTACTCGGTCCAAGGTCAAAGCAGCGATGCCAGTTCCCAGAATACCGCAGGTCATGCACACAGCAGACAGCCAGTTGGACTTGAAATCATCAAAGCCAGCAGTGCGATAGATGTTTCCCGAGTAGATGACAACCGCCGCGATACCCGTGCCGTATTGCATCAGAACTTGGAGCCAGAAGGCCAGCTGGATACGACGTCCAATGTGAATATCCCCTGATCCAATGCCCAAAAACATTTTGATATAGCTGGAGTTCTGTGACTCCTGTTCCATTTGCACGACGACAACGATCTCGCGGATTTCCTTCTGCACATTCGGGTGGTCGCGATCGCCATCTCCACGGAGCTTGGTGATAATCTCGAATGCCTCCTCATTGCGTCCGACCTTGACGAGCCATCGAGGTGATTCAGGAATGAGCAAGGTGCCGATGACGAGGAAGAAAATTGGGATCACTTGACAGGAAAAGCAGAAGCGCCATCGAAAAGCGCCGCCGGCGTAATTGGTGAAGGAGGTAGCGAAGCCAATCCAAGAAGCTAAGGCAATACCCCCAAAGTTGGCGAGGAAAGTCAGGGCAATCATTTGACCTCGATGGGCCGCTGGAGCCAGCTCTGCAGTCCACGAGGGAGCAATAACGATGATGAAAGAGACACCAATACCTGCGACAACACGGGCGCAGAGCATATGAGTGAGATTTACAGCACTAGCCTGCAAGATAGCTCCGACAAGACACCAGGCGCAGGCCATCCAAATACCCTTGATACGTCCGTAGGCGTCGGAGAAACTACCGGCCCAGAAGGCTCCGAACAGAGCACCGAAATAGTACATGGCAGCGATGCCACCCTGCAGAGAGGGCTTGATGACTTTTCCATTCTCATTGGCGAAGCCCATACGATACTGCAGTTGTGATATTCGATTAGTTCACGTTTGTGACTTAGGGAATAACGGCCCAGGAAGACTGCGGTACATACTCCATATTCTGGGGCGACGTTGACAGCGCCCATGACACCCTGACTCATGCCCTCATAGGAAATGGCCACAGCAGAGACTGCAGTAATCAGCCTGAGCAGTCTAGGTCCAGGGACCGTCTTCCAGAAACCTTTCTGAATCATAGTGAATGAACTTGAATGAAGAAAAGATAGAAGTAGTCAAAGACAAATTTGGAATGAGTATATAATGTGGAGAGAAACCAAGACTCTGGGAGTCAACCCCAGATGATTGATAGAGAAAGGAATGGATCATCGTTGTATCAGGGAGACATGGGGATTTTTATAGATGATGAGTGGTTTCCCTTCATGAAATGAATGATGGTGAGATATAGAGAGAAAGTGCGGGACAAACCCCATGGGGAGAAGATCATGAGAAATTGGGGCTCCATAGTTTTCTTGGTTCTTGGTCGTTGACGGGAATCACTCCAAACTCAAAAACCTCGGGGTCTCTTTCCTTCTTCGTCTCCGTCTCCGCCACCATATATCCCGAGTTTCCTCTCCACTTTCCATCTCTCCACAGCTCTTCGATCCTCTCTCCTGTCTGTTCTCGTCTCGATATTCCTTCTTCGACACAAACTAACCTCGCTCTTACCGTTCCACCTCTACAGACCCACTTCTACAGACCTCGCGTATTTCGACACAGATTTCGACATGGGAAAGCTTCGCTCAAAAGAAGGATGGTAAGTCATTCCCTCCATAAATTTCCCCACACTACACGAGCTGCACACTACGCCTGTCGATGATCGGAAGGAAAGGTGACTGGCTCATATCTATGTCTCATGTCTTGAAACGGTTATGGGGAAAGTTTCCAGGCAGAGCTATTGACCATGTGACCGCTAACGGAGAAGTGTCCAGACTCCGTCCTTGTCGTGAGTCTCGCTAAGTTTCATCACAGCCTAACTTGCCGGGAGAGGCATGTCAAATGTATATCATTCACAAGTCCAATATAAGTTGAATGCAACGACTTACCCGAGAACAGGCGACCAAGTCAAACCGATATGTTCGCAGTGCCAGAAAAAGAACCGGCAATGTCGTCGACAAGATCCATTAAAGAGCATCAGGATCAAACCTTATCAACCACGAAAGGCCAAGGACGACCCCAAGGATGCTCCTGGTCATGACCACGATGAAATATCTCGCCTTTCGGAACAAGGAACTGAAGACACAGTGATTGCTAATGCAACCAGCCCTGAACATAGTACTAATCCAATCTATGCGGAATTCTGTACCAATGCCTCGGTGACATCATCATATAACACAAGAGGATCTACCATCCTCCCGAAAATCACCAACGACTCTGTTCCCGTGCCTCTAATGGCCTCTCAAGTCAATAATACCACTACCTCACCATATTTTAGCGTGGTCGGACTTCCGATCTCCCACCAGCTCCGAACGGACTCTTTGAGTCCATGGTCTGCGGCTTCGCCCACAGGTGCGATACATGCAGGGTCTCCACTGACCTACAGAGAAGCTTATCTTGTGCATCACTTTGCGACGCACCTCGGGCATTGGCTCGATTGCACCGACGCTTCCCGCCAGTTTACCCGGAAAATCCCCATCCTGATCAAGCAATCGCCGATTTTGCTGCATGCCGTACTTTCCTACGCGGCCTGCCACATCGGGGATACCAAAATGGCCGACCAGGCGTATGAGCGTTGCGTAGAATTATTGATTCCCTCCCTGAACTCAGAAACGGTGGCCAACGATGATATTCTGCTGTGTGCAATTGTCATCCTGCGGGTGTTTGAACAGTTGAATGGTAAGTGAGAAAGTTTGCGAGCCGATTCCCAGGCTAACTTCCTTGGGACTGAAACAGTCAGGGTAACTGGGAACGATCAGGAGCGTCATTTAGCCGGCTGCTCGGCTCTGCTCCGGGCGTCGCAAGGACGGGAGGTGGATCCATCGACCCCGAGATTGCGGCAGGCGGCTTTCTGGGTGTACATGCGTCAGTGCCTCTACAACGCCTGTGTACATCAGCAGGCTCCAAACGTGGATTTAAATTTGGTTCTCATCCCTCCCCCGGGCGGAGGAGACCCCCTGAGCGATCTGAGGTCTGAAACAGCTTGGGCCAACACTATGACTTGGATCTGTGCCACGGTGGTACATTTTTGCTTTGGATCGAGTTACCCTGAGCCCTCCTCCAGAATACGCCGATGGCAAGAGCTATCTGAGGCCGTCGAGAGTTGGTTGATCACCCGACCAGATACATTTGACCCAATCTGGTATAGCGAAGCCGTTCAGGAGAGTGGAAACCCATTCCCGGAGATATGGTTCACCGCGGACTGGCATAGTATGTCTGCTAAAAGTCTTCTAGTTTGTGCTGTCTAACGTTGTTCGTAGTTATGGCATTCGGGTTTTATCATCTTGCCTGTATGCTCTTGGCCATCTACAAGCCATCGCCTAAATTCGCAGTCAGGGGGCTACATAGTACAGCTCGTGAGTCTGATGTGAGTTCTGGTTTTGCTATCCTGCGAATGACTTCTCGTTGACGTTAGCAGATCCGAGTCATGATGCACGCTCGTGCAATCTGTGGGGCATGCAACAGTTCCCCTTCGACGGTGCCATCGTTGATCACACTCTGTCATTCCACCTTTATTTGTAAGACATGTCCAGGGTCCGTGGGGATGCAGTTACTGACATTGACAGGGGGTCCCTTGATGACAGATCCAGCAGAAAGGTCTGGAGTAATTAGACTACTGCGAGATATGGAAGCGACGCATGCATGGCCGACGACTTGGATAATCAATTCTCTAAAAGAAGAATGGACGATGACATAACTCATTTACAATGTCCACATCAGAAGTAAAGGGCGTTTATTCATGCGACAAAGGAAATCATTGACCCTCATTAAAGGATACTACGGCATACTTTCCGTTCTGGATCCAGGCACCACCGGGCGCCTCCTCGTTCAATGCGTCAACTTTGCTCTGGGTAGGGACGCCAACGCAAACGTCGGACTTATTCGTGCGAAGGGACAAGATTTTGACGCCGCTCTGCTTGCCCAGGGGACCCAGAGCCTCCTCGTATGTGGTGGTGTGAGGCCACAGCCCATCCCTGGTCAGTTTGCGGTAGTTGAGGTCGCCCTTGAAGATGACCAGGTAGCTGTTCTGGAGCTCCTTAAAGACGGCCGGTGCCTTGGATGGCAACTCGTGGAATGAGAATGGCGTTGTCCAGAAGGGATCGCTAGTGGTTGTGATGGCGCCCGACTGGAAGAACTTGCGGAGTTTCGGGATGAGTTGGCCGAGATAGAGGCGACCTGGGAAGCATTCGGAGGAATCGAGATGCTCGAATAGTGATTCGACATCTGTGGAGATGACATCGCTGACGAACCACGGGAAGTCCTTGGTATGCAGTCTGATAGAGGTAGAAATGCCGGCGTCCAAAAGATAAGCGGCATAGAGCACATCAGTGAAGAACTCGAAGCCAGCGTTGTCAAGGATAATGTCAATCTGGCGACTAGCCTGACTGGCAGTGCGCTGAAGATAGGTCCAGACGTCGTCAGTGTCGTTGTCGACAATGTTCCGCTGGCTCTTCTGGATGGCCTCACGACCCTGCAGGTTTTGCAAGTCCTCCAGGGACAGGTTAGCGAGGAGTGACAGGTCTGTGGCGTTTCCCCACAGTGCAATTTCTGTCATCTCGACAAATAGCAACTTCTTGGCCTCTTCTTTGCTCTCATCTTGAGCAAATCGAGTATCGGCAACGATCTGCATATAACGGCTGGCGAGCTCCTCGACTGCGGCTCTCGACTTGACAAAGGTAGAGTCTTTCTGTCGTTTAAAGACATCGTAGTTCTGCCAGTATTTTGAGGCATTCAGGATCCTCTGGATGCTTCTGGAGGAATTTTCAGCGCAATTCCTCGATCCGAACTTTGCAGCAAGATTCGTACCTGTACATGTAGCACTCTCCAAAGAGCCAAGGGCAGTTTCTCCAACTGCACTGGCCAATTGCAGCCAGCTGCTTGTTCCACTCTTGAATATCGAGCTTGCCGTCATCTTGCAGGGGTCTGAAGAGCTGTGAGTCCTTGCGCTTTCGGTTATTGGAGAAAGATTACGTACGTGAGGGGCTTGTTTTGTTCGATCCTTCTCTTGATGTCCTTCAAGGCAATCTGAATGGCAATGCTCTCCGCTCTCTTCTGGTCGTCAAAATCGTCCGCGTTAGCTGTTTCGCCAATGTCGTCGATGGTGCCTTGAATGATTTTTGCCCATCGGTTCTCGGCCGTCTGTTTAGCCATTGACCCCTCCTCTGACGTCCAAACTGCACGAACTTCTTGAGGGTTCATGGTGGCGGAAGGCATGATGATGTGACTCTGACAGATCCGACTGGACAAGGTCAAGAGCTTAAAAGCTGTGAGGAAGCAGTGACAGCGGATTCAGGGGACTATTTATGTATTCTTTTTCAAAGAAAAAATGGAAGATCGTCCCTACTGAAAATAATAGCAGAGCTCGAGATCCGCTGACCACCATCTATGGAAACGCCCTCGACGCGAATATGGAAGGACCTCGGCTGCCTTCCCCTGTCTAGGGAGGTGGGGCCGAAACCAAGGCTTAAATCCCAAGCGTTCGCAATTCCGGGGATACGGTCTGTGCACCTCGTCTCGAAGATACCCAATTAGGCAATTCTGGCTTGCATGTCGGCCTCGGAATCGTGATGGAGCTCGCAAAATGCATCCCGAATTCTTACTTTTGAGCATTTTCTCGTGCGCATAAGCACACGCTTTTGGATCATGCGGGGGTAGTGGAGTCTTTTTGATTGTCCAGCAGGAATGGGGGCAAGGTATTTGAAGCGGTTGTTCGCTCCTCTGGATTACTGTTGGAATACAAATTATTGAGTTTTGATATTTTATATGCACATTACCAAAATGGTCACTTCAGTTGAATTTCCTGAGCCCAATGGCACTGCTCACGTCAACGGCTCTCACCGTTGTGTCGCAGATGGTACCATCGACATCACAGTCATGGGAATGAACAGCGGTACGGCCATGGACGGCATTGACTGCGCCCTTGTTCGTTATCGGCAGAGTTCTCCTGAAGCTCCTTTGCACATGGAGATCCTCAAGGTACGACTGCTCTCTAGTGGTCTTTCTCGATTCAACTTCAGCAAAACTGACAAATTGCCCTTGTACAGTACGACGAGATCTCCATCCCTCGGTACATCAAGGAGCCTGTCCTCACCATGCTACGTGAAACGAAAACCACCCCATCCCTCATGTCTCAGCTGAACGTCCAGCTCGGCAACATGTTCGGCGAGACCGTCAAGCTCTTCTGTGAGAAGCACAACGTCCCCATTAACAGCATCGACCTCATCGGCTCTCACGGTCAGACCATATGGCTTCTCTCCATGCCCGAGGAGGGCGAGACCCGTTCTGCCTTCTGCCTTGGTGAAGGAACTGTCATGAGTGGCTTGACCGGCATCACTACAGTCACCGACTTCCGCATGGCTGAACAGGCGGTCGGCCGCCAGGGTGCACCTCTTGTCGCTTTGATCGATGGTCTCCTCCTTCACCACCCCACTGAATGGCGTATCTGCCAGAATATTGGCGGTATCGCTAACCTCTGCGTCATTCCACCCGACAGTGAGGGTGGCGTCGACGCCATGGTCGACTGGGACTGCGGCCCGGGCAATATGTTCATCGACGCCGCGATGCGCTACTTCACCAACGGCGAGATGGAGTATGACCGCGATGGCAAGTGGGGTGCTCAGGGTACTGTCAACCAGGCAGTCGTCGACAAGTTCCTCGACAATAATAAGTACTGCAACCACCTGCCTCCGAAGACGACAGGTCGTGAGACCTTCGGTGACAACGAAGCCCAGGCGATCATCGACGAGTGCTTAGCTTTGGGCATGAGTAAGTGCGACACCGTCGCCACAATAACCCGCATCACCGCCCAAAATATTGTCAAGCAGTACCGCACTTTCTTCCCCAACTTCAACATCGATATCGACAAGATAGCCGGTGTCTACATGTGTGGTGGTGGTGCCCACAACCCCAACATCATCAAGTACCTCAAGGAGCAGCTTCCAAACTTGGAGATTCTCAAGCTTGATGAGACGGGTGTTCCTTCTGATGCCAAGGAGGCTGTATCGTTCGCTCAACAGGCTCTCGAGGCTATTCTCGGCCGTGCCGCTCTTGTTCCCATTAACAGTGACACATTGACACCCAACACCATCTCGGGTAAAATTGCGCCGGGATTGCGTTGGAGAGAAGTTATGACGATGGCAGTGGAATTTGGAAAGGGTCAAGCTCAGTTGCCAACAGTCAAGGAGATGGTTATTGACCGGCCCTACACCTACGGGAAGCCTTAGAAGGGTATGGTGGTGCACCTATCTATTTGTATGATTAATTACTTGCATATAATGGTTTAGCAATGATTTGTTCCAATCCAGCATTTTTAGCGACTTTGAAGTATCTTTCCGGTTTAATCTCCTCATGGTACTGTCAAGTGAAGATGCAGTGTACCACTGTTGAGAGGGCGATGGGCGGTGTTACGGCTCAGGACTATGCAGCACAAGAGGGACCTGCGCTGTTCATGAAGTAGCCTAACACTAATACTTTTCAGATAAGACTCTTCAACTACATAGGCAAGATCAGTGATTTCCAAATTGACGAATTTTCTTGCTGCTTTTGCTTGTGGTAAACCCGGCGGATCCAGCAGGTATCAACTCCACGTTTACCGTAGTATATAGCCGATAACAATCCATCGCTCATTTATTCTCCATCGAAAATTGAGCAGTGCATCAAACTCATTTCACGTATCAATTGATTGCGAACCTATCCATATAAGAAGGTCTCACGATAAGGCACGATAAGGTTCGATCTGCGGACTTTTTAGTGGCTAATCTACTATTTTCGCACCACAAATATTTTCACCGCTTCGTTCGCGCGTCTTCCGATATACGAGTACATGATCCAAAGAGCAGCAGATGACTGGGTGGATTTTGAGAGAAGTTGGTGACAAGAGATAATAGCATTTCAATTTAGAGCCCTGCTTCTACCTAGAAATTGACCATACAATCAATGTCTCAGATCCAGCTGTCTCTCAGCATAGTACTGATATCTGTCTGCCATTGCATGTCGCAGGCGTTTCCCATAAACAATAAACCCAAAGGTGCCAAGTAGAATAGCAGTCATTAAAACTGCAATTGTCACAAAGACATTTGCCAGGCCAACTCCCTCAATCCATGGCGAGAGTGAAAATACCAAAGCGGTCGCAAAAAGATTACGCATGAAACTGACTCCAACCAGTGAGTCGGCAACGATCTAAAATTATGTTGTTCAGCGACTTAGCATTTCAGAAGGGAGCATTGGATTGCATACCTCTCCATAAGCATCGGTGATATATGTCAAAGAAACGCTGCTGGCGGGTGCATTTCCAAATGCACAAAGTGCATGATGATGATGATGATGATGATGATATTCTATTAACCTGATGCTGCCTAGCTAGAATCGCAGTGGCAATGCAGGCGCTTCGTCCGTCCGAAGCAAGAATATGCCCAACGCCGTAACCCACGCAGTAAAGAGTGACTATGCACAAAGGAAATAGGTATCGCGCTACCACACAGGTGTAAATGAAGCCGAAATGAAGCCGAAATGAAGCCGAAATG